GGGGGGGGGGGGGGGAGAGAGAGAGAGAGAGGAGATGGTAGTGGGGAAGATGGGAGAGAAAGGAGAGAATGCGAGCTGAGAAGGCCTGGAGGATCAAGTGAGCAGCAACTACCGGTCACTTAACACGGCAGCGCCGTTAGTCCTCCACATCATCTCTGAATCCACTTCCTTCTTATCCTATTTTTTTCCTAGAAATGAAGTCGAGCGACGACGCACTCTGAGGCTGTAGAGGCAATGGAGAGCATAATTCCAAGCCTGCACGTGTCACAATCGCACGGGAATCGTGAGTGGTGGGGCTCAACGCTTTCGCGGCACACAATATGATCTGGTCGCGCCCGATCGGGCCGACCCGACTTGGCCCCGTCAAATCTGGCCTCGGCATTCGGCCGCTTCTTCTGTCGTATGCCGTTGCAATGAGCCCGCGACCTTGTTGCTGTTCACCCAATGAGTGTTTTTTAAGAATTCGAGTCTCGGCACTCCCGATCAGCTGGCTCCTTAGAGAAAGATTGGGGTGGACATCCCTCCCGCTTTCAGGGGTGTGATTACCTCATCTTTCGGACCAGGGAAAACGAAGAGTACAAGGCCTACGAGGCTATGCATAGGAATCATCTCTTTATCATGGACAGAGAGAAAGTGAAGCACGCCTTAAAGAAGTTCGGCTAAGTCGCCTCCGGGTATTGCTCTGGGTTAAAGAGCTACTTGCAATGTACCTGAAACTTAGCCCCTGATGGAAAGGATTTTCACGTGGCAAATATATACCTCTGGCTACTGGGTTGCACCCCGACTGTGCGAATCGAGAGCGTGGAAGGTCTGCCTTCATGGGATGCTTTCACTTTCTACTTTATGATATCAGAACACCTGGGATCTTGAATGAAGACACCGATGGCAGGCTGTCTACTGATGTCTTATCTCGTGCAGAGAAGCGGGTCCTGATGTGTTTGACAGCAGGGGAGGGGGGTATTGACAGACACCACACAAGCTGGGGTTGTCCACCTATTTCTACGGTGGCGGCTAGGACGCACATGTTGACGCACCCAGTCCTGGACAAGGTCTATTTTAGCAAGGAAAAAGGGAAACCGATCCGGGAGAAAAGGCTCATAGGTAATGGTTCATGTGTCCTCGTGAAGCGGTATACACTTGTGATTCCACGACTCTAGTATCCCCTAAGCGTCGGACTTTGTCCAATTACAACAAAAGTATAATCAAGCATGATCTATATGAATGGAAAGAATGGAACGTAATCGTTATTTCATATTGGTGGTCATAATGGTCTTGGAGCTTGATAATGACAGCTGTGTACCATGTTAGAATAATCAATTCACGGGAGCAGTGTCAATTTCATAGCTCATGGTAGACTCAAAGCTCGTAAACTATCTTGTACGCTGAGATCTTCCCGTCTCTGTACTCCTGAAATCCGTCCGCCACCGCATCTAATCCTTTGAGTAATTTCGGCGTATTTGGTTTCAAGCTGCCTTTCTCCAACCATCCGGGTAGCTTTTCGAACAACTCGCTGGTGAGCTCGTGGTCATCCTTCGAGGCCTAGACGTTCACAAAAATTATCAGTGAGGTTTGTTCCACAAGGATATCATCGGTGTGGGAAATATCATATGATGGTGGGGATACGCACAGGCCACTTAAACTCTCCATAGCTGTGATCTTTGAGGAAAGCAGTCCAAACCAACACATCCGTGACGCGCGTGCCCGGGACAACGTTCTTCGTATTAGCCTTTCCAGGACGCACAGTGCAGAGATTTCCAAGCCCGGGATGAAGTGCGCGTGAAGCAGTAGCAGACGAAGTCGCGTTGCCGATAGTGTCGAAGACATGGCGTAGACCCGGCGCCAGTCCCCGGATCTGTTCAGCAACATCCTTGTCTTTGTAGTCAAAGGCATACTTGGCGCCAGAGGCGCATACCAGATTGAAGTGCTTTGGGCTGCATGTCGTCACTACTTCGAAGCCGCAGAGAGAGGCGAGTTGGATGGTATATAAACCGACGCTTGCTGTGATCGGTCAGTATCGTATTTTGGCTTAGTGGATTGATAGTGAGTTCTTACAGCTACCACCCCACACCAGAACTCTAGTCCCCTTAGCCTGGTTGCGGTTGAGCGCAAGGCAGCCTTTGGAAAAGAGAGCTAGCCAGGCTGTAGCTGCGGCGAGAGGAATAGTGCTGGCTTCTGCGCGCGAGATGTCGATGTTGGTTGGTAGTTTGAATGAGATCCGCTCGTCTGCTAGGCAGTACTGGCTGTATGCGCCGAGGCCTTTCACCTCTCCTAGATATTGAGGGATATCTCAGTCTGTGGTGTCCAGTACGGTCTGAGTGAATACAATGACGACTTACCTCCCCAGACCAAGCCAGCAACGATATCACCTTTGGATAGACGCGCAACATCGCTACCTAGCTCAATAACCTCACCGACAAAGTCGCATCCCAGAACAGCTCCATCACCAAAGGCGTTACTGTCAAAGGATTGCACTATAGCGTGTAAGCGGGGCTGGTTGCAGGGCAGGTAGGACGAGATTAGGCGCTAAACTTACCATCGGTCGGGTTTTGTGCGGCATGCGACAATTTTACCAGCACTTGATTCGAGGCTGGAGAGGGTCGGGGGATCTCTTCTTTGGACAGCTTTGGGTGTTGTTGGCCATCCGTCACGCGGACGACCAGCGCTGTCATGTTTGGCGGGGTTCCCATCGTGGTAAGGATTGGTCGGGATTCTTGGCTAGTTCGAGTGTTAACCGATGGTAGAGTTCTTGTCATACAACTGTAAGGGCGCTATAATACAGTACTTTCGGACAACAGCTATTTGGAGGTATTTATAGAGGAACTTATAGAGGAGAACGAGATACTTGGTGAATGGACTGACAGGCAACGTGATTGATAAGCGCGCTAAAAGTGAAGCACATGCGGGGAACGGGGATCCCCGCCTCATGAGTTCCCGCCTGCCATTTCCCGATATACATTCCCGAATATTCGCAGCTTCCCTGGGGATATTGCAGCTGCTCAATCTCAAATAATATATGCGTCATGTATACTGCAATACTCAATCCTTTCATTGCATCAACGGCTGCAGGTAACCCAAGACACATTCCTGCACTCCCAACGAGTTGTGCGCCACTCCATCCACCACGTCCAGCCGAGCCTCAATGCCATCTGCCTGCCAACTGCTCTGCAATTGCTGGAGCGTCTGCGATCGTCCCTGATCCATCATCACCACCTCTCGCTTTCCCGTATTCACCGTCCCGCTGTCCTGCCCAGAAGCCTTTTCCGCAGCCATCCGTTGCGCCATCATTTTCTTTGCCCACTCCCAGAACTCCCGCCCCCCATGGACCTTCACATCTTCACTTCCAATGACTAGCTGGATTTGCACATTTTTGACAAGATCCTTATTCACTCCCTTGCCAAATATCTCCTGAATATTAGCTATCCCGCTCGGCCAGGCCAGTTGCTCATCAAGCATCGTAACCTTTCCCGGCGCACCGACACTCACGGCTGCTAATCGCTCCGGGTGCACGTAGAGAAACCGATGCGCAAATTGCCCTCCCCCGGAAAACCCCGCCAAGAAAACCTTCTCGGTGTCGATTCCAGGCCAGACTGTAGATACTTCACCTAGGATTGCCAGAAGCGCACGATCAGAGCGCAGTGTCGCTGAGCGCAGCACCTTGTATGAGTCGAGATCATTGGGTCCGTCGATGTTGGCGGGGAAAAGTGGCGCAAGGATAGCACAGGGCGTGGATTCGGCAAAGGAAACCAGCTCGGTTCGCATCGAAATATTGCGGCTGGTGCCATGGATGTTCACCAGCAGTGGAAGCTTGGCTTTGTCGTAAGGGCTTGGTTGGGGAGAGGTGCGGCTGGGGTCCGGATTGTAATGGGTGGGAGGAATGTACAGGGTGTAAGACACGCGCGGTTCAGCTGCCAAAGTACGCTGGGGGATATGTCCGACGAGAAACGCGGATTTGAGAAACTGGGGCGGTACTTCCGCGGTGGTGAGAGGCACATTCATGGTCGCGTTGTTCAGTTGTAAATCTTCACTCTAGTTAATCGTCGTCGAAACGGGTGCATGCGATACTACACGTACTATATAATCTGACGGTCGGAAAGTACGGGATGCCGATATGCCGATGGTAATTGTTGAGCCGTAAGCGCTAAAGGCAGAGCTTATTCTCCAAGATTTCGATACAGCGGTCTGATATGATTAAGGCGTACGATGGATAGGATCTTTCAGCCAGTTGCAACCGGTAACAAAGTTATAGTCACGGCGTTCAACGTTGGGAGTCTATCCCGGGCCGTAAGCCGCATGCCCGATCTTAAGTGGTTGCGGGGACATGCGGAGAGCGAGTGGATCCCACAGAAATTGCTCCACGCAAAAGTGTTGAGAACATTCCTTTGTGGCTGAAGTTGACATATCATTCGGTAAACGAGTCGGTAGGATGGATATCGGAATCAGGAAAATTATGGCGGAAGCTGTTGCTCAGATCTCAGCATTCCGACTACCTGCTCTTTCCATACGCTGAAGTTTTATATCGTCCCTAAAGTCGCTAACAGTACCGTCCAAGGGTCAGCATGTGCTTGGGAGAATTAAAGAAGAGCCTAGCATGGCACTAGTACTCTGAAAAAAGGCTTAGGTATCTCGACTGCATCATGAATTTATCACGGTGTTTGTGCTCCAAGGGGAGGGCTGTGAGTGCTTTCATATCCTGTAATGCAGATAGTATCCACAAGCTTGGTCGCAGGATTTTCGGCCGGACAGTCTGTGGACCCTCGTATAATCGCCTCGTTTTCTATGATTAGGTAGTGTAATCCTTAATTTCATCGGTTTGTTAGAGCTTATATACCAACATTCATGAGACGCAAAGTGGAAAGGCTTTTGAGAACCGTAGAAGATGTTGATGGAAGTTGGTTGATGGTGAATCACCTGATCACCAGCTGACTGAGTCACGAGGGCGACGATGACTTGACTCTCTTTCCTCCACCCTTCATCTTAACTGTCTACACCTGCCGAGTCAATGACAGTTCATCGTTCAATGCCACAAATCGATGCTTCATACACCACCGCCGTCCTCAGTGTGAACCGGCTTCAATGACTGGAGTGCGATGACTCGAATAATTGGGCTATCTCGAAGGGGTGTCCTTTGGTCTACTGAGTCGCTTGTGAGAGACCGATTCCCTAGCAACAAGCCGTATTAATTAGACCGGGGTGAGTCTCCTGCTCAGAGAACCAAGCAATGACTGATGAAAAGCGTATGCACTTTGAATTAGTTGCAGCCTAAATCGTGAGAGGATGCTGTGCTAGCCGGAAACGTGCAGCCGTTCTCATGGTTCCCCGCAATCTATGGAGTGCACCGGAGGAAGATACCACTTTTCGGCTAGCGGTTTTTCTGCTTCTCTCAAGACTGCGTATACTTCATCTCCTATGTTGCCCCTTTAATTGGGAACCTTGAATGGAAAGACAAAGCACATTATAGCGCCATTAACAGCTAGCAGAAGCTTACGATCTATTAAAGGAAGCAGATTATGTGCTACTCAGTCTTTCGGCGCTGCCTATGACGGACTAAATTAGCGTGGGTAGAGCATGTCTTGGATTATTTTGGGATTCCACGGTTAGCGATTCCTTGTGAGACATGAGAAATGAACCGATTTCATGGCTGAGACAAGCTTTAGCCAAGCTTTAGGACGGCTGTCGGCATCGCATCCGGATTTCTAGATTTGACGAATTATGAATCATGAAACACTGACAGGGGGTGACGAAGAGTCAAAGACGAGGACATATTGGGCAAGGTATGCTTAGTTACACCCAATGAGATCTTTGGCCCACTATGGTGAATGACTGCTTAATTACATTATCCGGCTGCGTATTCTGCCAGGGTCATCTCGCTAACGGCGAGACCAGGTTCGGGTAGGAACTTTAGAACATCAGAAAGCCAGGCACATCTTCTGACCAGCCGATCACCGGGTGAGACATGGATAAATACTGGACAGTCATCGCCAATGAAGGTGGACAACCAGACCCACCGTGGAAAAATTTAACCCGTTCGGAATAGCGGCTGTTTTCGGCAGTAAATATTTCCCCAGGAAGCGCGCAACTCAACTTCGGCGCCCCGTTGATCTACGCAGGACCGAGACGAACAATCTGCCAAATGACACGGCGCAGCAGCTTTATGCTATATCTGTCCATCTGCTACGCCGCCGTTCATAATTTAATACCGATCACTGCTTTGTGATAACAAATGTCGGAGGACGCGCAATGCCCCTGAGGTAGCGCTGGTTAGTCTGTACTAGCGGAAGCACTAGCAAAGCTTGACCCAACAATGGCGCACGAGAATCCTGCTGCCTAGCTCGGATTGGTCGCCCTCAGCAGGCGTGAAACAATATTCCCGGCATGAAGACCTGCCATTCGTGCAGATTCGATCCAATTACTCTGACGTACGATCACCGGGGAAGACCATAATGAAGTGCAGATTGTCCCTGCGTAGCGGATATGGAGGGCTACAGCTCGCTTATCATGATTCATGAATCCACCCGGTGACCTGACCCAGATATGACCCGTTCCAACCATGGCATCGCCGAGTGCCATAAACATGTTATCTTCAGCGGGCCTCTCCAAGACATTTAGTGTGCCCATGTGGTGATTCCACTCGTCATTGCCACTATTCACCAATACTTTTTGGGTTAGCTGGTCCCCCCATTTCTTGAATTTGCTATGCGATTATCCAATTTCAATACGGAGATGCATAAGCGATATCTCCGGTCTTTCGGTCTGCAATCGTTTGGCTGTCGCCTTGTCCCACACATTCCCCTTTTTGACCCTACCGGTCGCTTCGGGGAATCAACGGGATGCGGGATTTTCCCTCGATATAATGCTGAACCTGCCGTCCCTTTGCTACTGAAACTGCGCTGTTGTTTCATATTTCTACTGTAACCAGCCCATTCTCCAGGCAGTCCTCTTTGGCTGTCCTCTGCCACACCCCTCGGCTGCGGCATAGCATTCTCGTTCGGACCCAACATGCGCCACATTCCGGCATGGTTCGTGGCCTGTCTGGCTGCGGCCACCGCCTCGGCCTCTGCCCCGACTTGCAGCACCGACAGCAAGTGTCCGGAAGAGTATCCGTGCTGCTACAGTAAGCACACCATGCCTCGTAATTCGCACATGTTCTGACATATCATCTTCAAGGCGGACAATGTGGTGTAGGAACCTACTGCCTGGGAGGTTGCAACCCTCTTGAATCGTACTCGCTCGACAGCTGCACGCCCGAGCCAATCTGCAAGAATCAGACCTACACGTTTACGAACATGGACAATGCGGTCCTGTACGACCACTACCTTGGTAACGCCTCCGAATACGATTGGGTGTACAGCGGCTACCCCAAGATCAAGAATGAAAGTCTGTGGTTGACGATGCCCAACGGCACGACGGGCAGTCTGTACTCCCTCAATCATTACATCTGGTACGGCAAGATCTCGGCCAAGATCAAGAGCAGCCGGACGCAGGGTGTTGTGACGGGTTTCATTCTGATGTCGGATGATTTTGATGAGATAGACCTTGAATGGGTTGGATACAATCTTTCGAGCGCGCAGACAAACTTTTACTTCCAGGGCGTGGAGAACTGTATGTTCCGCAGATCAGTTTTATGCACCTAAACTAACAATTCTAGATACCAATGAGGTCAATGCCGCCGTGTCTACCGGCAACACCTTTGACGAATGGCATACCTACACGATCGACTGGAAGCCCGATGTGCTGGAGTGGCTCATCGATGGCACTGTGATGCGCACCCTGACCAAGAACTCTACCTACAACTCCACCTCGGGTATCTACCAATACCCGCAGACTCCATCCCGGCTGGAGATGTCTATCTGGCCCGGTGGCTCGGAAGCCGAGGGACAGGGTACTATTGAATGGGCCGGCGGTCTCATCGACTGGGACAGCACGGATATCAAGGAGTACGGCTACTTCTATGCGCAATACAAGGACATCACGGTCGAGTGCTACCCTGCCCCGTCTGGCACCATCGACAAAGGTGACACATCCTACGTGTACACGAGCGACAGCGGTCTCTCGGACACCATTGAACTTTCCGGCAACAGCACCGTGCTTTACAACCTGCAGGATACTGGCTTGAACATGACGGCTGGCACCAAGATGTCTGATTCTGCCACGGCCTCGGGATCCAGCTCTGGAGCCAGTAGCACCGGCAGCAGCAGCAGCAGCAGCAGCAGCAGCAGCAAGAAGGAGAGTGCGGCATCCGGCTATGGTGAGCGCGTGATGGAGGGATCGGTGCTTGCGGCCGTTGGTGCCGTGGTTGCACTGGGTCTTTTTTAGATAGGGGGGCTACACGGTTTCTAGTGGGAACGTGGCACGCGAGATGCTTGATGTGGTATATATTCTCTTCGGATCAATATTTCAAACATGTATTACCAAGTGTACTTAATCATAATACTTACAGACTACAGAGTGTAGATGTACATAAAACACTCACACTTGAACATAGGATTGCAACTGCATTTACTCTACCAAGACTCGAATTCTCGAGAGACTAGCAACCTACTACACCATATTTCTTAAAACAGACACCGTCACACCCCGCCTTTTCCCACTTCCCAGGTTGAAGATAAAAGTTTCTACAATTCAGCAGGCACCCCCGTACAAGCAAGACACAAGTTCCGCACCAGCCCAATCCCCAAAATAGCACACAGCAACATCCTCCAACTCGACCTATCACCACTCTCCATCCACGCGTCTTCTAGCCCACAAAACCACTCACGCATCCCCATCCTCATCCTCATGCCCATCACCATCACCACAATCACACTCAGCACAACAACAACACCACCCACCCACATCCACAACCGCCCCTTACTCATCCTTATATCTCCCCTCTTCATCCTCCTCACCCACTCCTCCACCACCCCAACAACAACCCCACTCCCCCCAAGCACAACCGGCACCCCACTCCCGGGATGCGTACTGGCCCCGACAAAAAACAATCCCCCGATACTCTCATGCTGAATCCTCGGCCTAAAGCACAACACATTGAAAAATGAATGCGAAAGACCTAATATCGCCCCGCGATCCAGATTGTATTTCTCTTTCCAGGTGAGTGGGGTCTCGATCCTCTCGCACACGATGTGTGATTCGATGGAGTTGCCTGTGCGGTCATGGATAGTGCTGAGGATGAGGGAGCGGATGGTCTGGGTTGTTTCGTGCCAGTAGGCGGTTATGTTGTGGGGGTTTAGGGGGGATGTTGGTGATGAGGAGGAGGACGAGGAGGAAGGTGATGGGGATAAGAGGTGGGGGACTGGGACTAGGACTACTATTGCATCTGTGTTTGGGGGTGAGGCTGAGGGGTCAATTCTGCTGGGGATGTGCAGGTAGAATGAGGGATGGTCTGGGATTTGGTGTTTTTTGAAGATGGTGTCGAAGCTGGATTTGTATGTTGTTGAATCTGGGAGGAATATGTTGTGGGATTGGAGGTTGGGGAGGGTGGTGTCTAGTCCCCAGTAGAAGGAGATGCTGCTGCAGGAGGTAGGCTTGTTTTGTAGGGATTTGCTGTAGGTGGTTTTGGGGAGGAGGTTGTTGTATGCGTAGGTTAGGTCCGCGTTGACGATTACTATATCTGCTGAGAGGGTTTCTCCGGTGGAGAGTCGCACGCCCGTTATGTGTTGATGGTCGTCGCTGAGCTCGATGGAGGTTACGGGGGTGTTGAGGATGTAGGTGGTGCCGTGGCGGATGCTCATTTTGACGAGGGCGTCGAGGATCTATGTATGTCAGTACAGTCGTGGATAGTATGAACAGGGGAGAAGAGGGAAGGGATGTACAGTTCTGAATCCACCGACAGGATACCATATCCCATCTGTCATCTCGGTATACTGTAGCAAGGAGTATGTCGCTGGAGCATCAAACGGGCTCATACCAAGGTACATACTGGCGAATGTAAATGCCTGGCGGAGTTTGTCGGAGCGGAAGTACCGACTCGCACGGGTATATATGCTTTCGAAGACGTGGAGTCTGGGTAAGGCGAAGAGGAGGTCCCATCGGAGTAGACTCCAGATGGTTGCGAAGTTACGGTGCAGGATATGTTCGCAAGATAAGTTGTAGTGTCGGCCGGATTCGACCAGGAAGCGCAGAAACCTTTCAAATCCATACGGCCCTTCGTGGGCTTCTATTTGCTCTTTCATCGACGGAATATCAGTGGATAAGTCGAGGTGGTCGTGATCCGGGAACCAGATGCGGTAGCTGGGGTCGCATTTGCGGAGGGTGATGCCTTCGGCGGATATGGAGGTGTACAGGTCGTTGAATATCTGGTGGAAGAAGGACGGCATGAGGAGGAGGGAGGGACCTTGGTCGAAGCGCTGATGCGGTTAGTATTGTACTGAGATATATAGATGGACACACGTAGTCATTCTCTTGCATTAGAGAACATCGCCCTCCGATGTCTGCATTCTTCTCGACCACCGTCACTTTGTAACCCTTTTTGGCGAGGCAAGCTGCGACAGCGATGCCGCCAGCGCCGCCACCTGTTGGAGGATAAGTTAGAAAGAAAAGTGCAGTAAGGGATGCGCTTCGTACCAACTATTATGGCAGTGGGAGGCTCCATTGAGGTGAAGAGCAGCTGGTATGGGAAATGAATGAAACTGTCTGATTTCCTATTTACCTCCGGCCTGCATTTAAGGCTGCGAGTCGTTATCATGCAGTAAACCATGTGAGAATTATAGCTGAGCCATATTGGTGTCTTAAGCTTTATACTTCAACTTCCTTAAGGTCAAATATCCACTACGACCAAGCAAGTGGTGAGAGCAGACACAGACACAGCATCCATGGTTCAGGCCGAGCAGCAACAAGAAATTATAAATCCAAAACAACATAAAGACACCTAGACTGCATGACAACCGAACTGACTTTCTGTCAATCCGGGTATAACGTACAGGAACAAGCTAATTGACTCCCAGCTCTTCCGCTTCCCAATCATATGCTACCTTCAATCGCTCGCTCATGTCCAGCGGCTGGTCCAACCTCTCTGACAATATGTCCAACACAGCGGGTACATCCACCTCCATATTATGCTCGTCATCCACCGGATCTAACATCAAAACCGCATATGGTTGATCCCGCATTCTTGCGGCCTCATAGAAAGCAAAGTCTGGCCTCGACGTTGGCATAAATTCAATCAAAAGCGTATCCTCTGCAGTCCAGAAATGGTTATGCAAAGCACTTCCGTGGGGACCAATGACGGCTTTCACGTTCTGATGAACGTAGCGCATCAGCGCGTCTGTGCTGGGAAAATCTTCGTGGTTGAAGATCTTGAGTTGCTCCCTTTTCCCTCTTTTATCGAGAAGTGCTTGAATATCTGCTAGGAGAATATCCTCATTAAGAACTTCTCGGCCAGCATTGAGATTTAGTCCGTTCGATCGCGTCATGTATAGAATTAGTTTTCGAGTTGACTTATCCACTGGCTGAAGACTATCAGGACTGAGGAGCGAAAGGGACCTCTGTGTCAGCCAGGGGTGAATGAGTGGTGCACGACAGCTCCAGATTAGCTGCGATGCTACGAAACTCGTATCGCTATGTAGCACCTGGTTTGCGGCATATCCAAGGTATGACCAAAACTCCTCGACGGACTTGTGGCCCTCGCGCCCGGTAGCTACGTACCGCGTCTGATGGTCTCGCGACTGAGCCACTACTCGCATGCCGCGGTCGAGGAAGTGCTGCATTGACCATGAGTCTGGGAAATTTGCAAGCAGCACGCTGTCATGGGTGGGCTTGTCGCTGCTAGGTACAACATGAGAGGTTGTAGCGAGGCCGGACATGCAGGATTGCATGATCCAGTTGTCGAAAGGTGTAGAGGCAGATAAGGTGACGTTTTGGAAGACCTAAAAGATGAGTCTCTGTCTCTTGTATAATGGGTAGACACTTACATATATCTGACCGTGCTTTTCAGGATACCGCATTCGACCTTTCATCTTATAAGCTCGTTCCCACATCATCCAGGTTGTGTTCCACCACCGTTCAGCATCTTGGGGACGGGACGCAGCGAATATCGGAGGGCCGATAGTAAATGCAGGGTAGATCAGCTCCTCAGCGGACACTGCATTGGGTAATGTTCGAGCAAGACACGGTGCGTAGTATCCGGGAGTTGTACCAGTGCATTCTGTCAGTCTGAGGGGATGAAACCGGTCGCCTGTGGAGAGGGAAGGCGATATATGATTCTCTGGATTTAATCCAGGCGTGACAACTCGGACGGTATAGTCTCCGATGTGTTTGGTTTTGAAGATGATGAACAGGAGCGAAAGAGACAGTGTAAGCGACAATAGGATACGCCGCATTGTGGATGCATGAAGTTTTGAGGTTCCAGTATACCCTCAATATTTGTCAGGTATATTGCTTAAAGAACAGTAGGCCGCGACTCGATAGTCTTCTTTTTTCCGTTCATGCCAATTTTGACAGCGCATCGCTCCTGTATGCTGAGCCCCAGTAATGATGAACAGCCACTCTTGGCGTCATCCGTAGTTCCCAGCCAGGCAGTCCTACTGATCGCTTCACCTTCCACGAACACTGGTTTTTCCTCACGCCGCACTGCCCCTGTGCAGGGTCCTCTGCCGAGACCTTCCTGTCAGCTTACAGTTTGGCACGCCTGATGAGCGGCTCCGTCCTCGTACCTGGATTTTGGGATCTCGGAGTTGGTTACGAGGTTGAGCTGAGAGCAACGATAATAATATGCATTATTCCGCAGTGCTAAGCACGGTAATAGTTTTGGGAGCCAATCAAACCGTACTGGAGACAGAGTAGGAGGCTATGTGCTTAAGAAGGGCAATGCGCTTGTGCTGACAGGCTGGCCAATTAGGACCGTTGTCTAATGGTAATGCACCGGGAAGGCTGACATATAATAGTGCAGATCCACTGAATTGGGTGATGATCTTCTTCATGGCGCGGGGGAATGCCGGGTAACGCCAGCCCACGTAAGATCTACTGCTCGTGTTCGATGTTATCCCCTCTGCCGACAGTCTTCGAAGTAATTCTACATGATTCAATCTCCGCAAAAACAAATACGTTCTAGTGCATCTGAGTACCCACTGTGTGATCACCTGCTAGCACGGCTGACGAGGTTTTCCACCTGATACGCCCAAACAACCGACTTTCGGTCCACAGTCTTGGACATATACATGGACGCCAGGATCAACAACGGGAACATAACAACCGCTGCTGCAGTCCACGCCAGGAATAGTACATGCCAGGCGGACTCATCCTGCTGCGTCTGCCAGAAATCCGTCCCCCACAGATGATAACAGACAGCCTGCAGGATGCGATTGCGCATGACCATGATGAATAACGGATGAAACAGGTATAGTGAGAAAGAGATCGTCCCGAGGAACTGCACGAGACGAGTCTCTAGCGGAACTCGCAGGAATCGAACACGTCTGAGCGTTCCAACAACAAGGATCGCCCCGACAGCGTGCCATCCCCGGATGCGAATCTCAGGATCCACATAGAACGGTAGCTCAAGGGAGGATTGAAACCAAAAGTCAGGTGGAAAAGTCGTATCTTGTGGGAGGCACAAGAGGTAAATTCCGCTCACGAAGAGGAAGCCAGTGAAGACATTTGCACAGTTTCTGACAAGGATGGTCGGTTTTCTCATTTCCCCAGCCGCCAATGAATTCCAGGATGCTTCACGCAGGACATCAAGCTCCGCAAATAGGAGACCAGCCATAAATGCTGATAATATAGGTGAGCCGAACCACATGAGGGTGACACACAAGCCGGCGATTGCTAACAGCCGCACCCTAGGCCTGATGGATGCAAGCCCAAGTATCACCAGGTAGACCGTCATTGAGCATTGGTACTCATACGAAATGGTCCACAAGTGGAAATTGTATCCCGTCACATAGAATGGCCCACTCAGATGAAGAGTCGTTAGAAAGGTCATGGTGAGACAACTGAGATGAGGTCGCAGCGCTGACCAGGGCTGTGCTCCAGGACAGCCCTCCCGATCACCCGGCATCCAGTCAATCAGGCCCATGTAATAAGCCGAATGGGAGATGAGGCAAAGAGTCAGAACGGGAATGTAAAGTCGAAATCCGCGGCGAAAGACGGAAGACGTAAGTTTTCGATAGAACTGAGCCGGAGCATCATCACGGAGTCGTATTATGGAGGTGGACACGGCATAGCCTGAGATGACAAAGAAGAGAAGAACCATGGACTGACCAGCAAATAGTAAGCGAAACGGTGGTAACTGGAAGAAACGGTGATTTTCAGTTGCGGGGACAGCCCAGAATGATCGATAGGGAGCTTTCATCTCTGTCACGGTGAAGTGGAACCAGGCGACGATCGCCGCAGCTATGCCTCGCAGTCCATCCAGCCAAATTTCGCGAGATTTGGCCGAAGCTGTTGATGCCATTGTGACAATAAGAGGGGAAGTGGGGGATAAGCTTAGAGTAAGGAGGATAAGGTGTGGTATGGTGTTTTCGTCGAGTGAGGGGTTTAAGAAGCAAAGCCATGGTGCAGCCCCGATAAATAGACTCGTGCTACTGAATGGTACGGAAGCGTAATATTGAAGGGTCAGCCGTGGCACGGCCTTCACTGAATCGGCAAGCAGATTCTACCTATCAAAAAACAAGGCAATGTGGATCTAGCTTAGCCAAGACATAGAATCACAAGGTTGGTGACATTCTTCCATAGGACGGGTATGTGAAGATCCCGGAGATGATGCTCCGTAGTCCGACGGGGAGCCATCCGATACCAAATCCCGAGGCCATTAAGCCCAAGCTGCATTATTCGAGGCGCCCAGCATGACCAATCAGGTAGTGAGATAAGCACTAAAATCAGCGGGGTCTGGATACGAGCTAAATAGTAGAAACTCCCGCGGCTTATGCAGATCACAGATCTATCATGCTACTCGTCGTATATCGTTGTCCTCGGCACATTGCCAACGGGCTCTGGTGTAGCCAACCAGAGTGCTCAAGATGCTTTTGTCCATGTTTGCTAGGGACGCTTTCAATGGAAGCGGCATTCAGAGGTAATAGTAATAACCTGCAGATATTAATATATCATTCGAATTAGGCAATGAACCGTATATGTTGGAAACCGAAGGAGCTGAGAAAAATGCAAAGACGCACCTGCCGCCGTCTACTGTTGACTTGCGCGTCCTTGTCAAGGAAGATTATATCCGTATCCAATCGTGGTCATAATCGTTTGTTGGTTCACAATATCACACTCAATAAGGGTTTGCGACTGAAATGTGGAGGTCAAGATCCGTGCTCCATATCCAGTCTGAATACTGGAAATTGTGGCCTGTACAGAGTTGGATGATATCTGTTTCCTTGGCCTTGACGACACATTTTCCCTAGTGCTTATGCGACAGCCAATGTGCCGGCACTGGAGCACGGATTGTCAATCTTTTGTCTGCTCCCGCCTGAAGACCGCGTAGTTTGTCCCAACGTGGGCCGATCGTTCGCGCGGCAAGTTTCATCACGGCCGTATGCAGGGACTTTGCAACACCACATCAACAGTCTAACGAAATGACTGGATAGCAAAATGTATTGGCATCAGCACTAGATGCGCACGCCATGATCCGTCGAAGAGTGAGGGCGGATGGCTTATGGCTGCTCTAGATGATGTGGTTTGCATTGCCACCCGAATCATAGACAGTCATCAGTAACATATATTGCAACAAAGAGGGCAGGAAAACTTGATGTATCACTCTCGGGAATAGTACTAGATTCTTTCTTTCGTCCGTTCTTAGTCTCACGGTTTGGCGCCTTCTGGCTCCCAAAAGTCTTACCTTTATTCCATCATGTATTACATCCCCAAGCCGTTGAAGCCACACAGTGGCGTAGGCTCCGGCCAGCGATTGGTGTCCCTGGCTGAACAAACTTTCAATTTCCTGGGATGCATTGTTGCGGCTGTGGTATACTTCTACGGCTTGATGTATCTCAAGCAACCCTTAACCTTTGACATGATAGTGAGTATAATTCTGGCCGAGTACTGTCGATGGAGAAATAGCCAGAGACGCAGATATGCAGCTCAGCAGGAAGAGAACGGTAGCCTTGGTCTTGCTGAAAAGGGCAAGTCAAGCGAGCAGAGGTTGGACTGTGTTGCTGCTGTTGTTGGGTATAGGGAGGAGCCTACCCTGTGGAAAAGGGCATTGGAGAGCTATTCGCAGGCGCAAAATTGCAGGTTTCTTCTCATATGCATAGACGGGGATGCAGAGGAGGATCGGGAGATGGTTGAAGTCTTTCAAGACGTGAGTGGCTATCCTCTGTCTGTATTGCATGTATTCACGTTTATTGATCAGGTTTACGCGGAAACGTCCGCCTTGATGCACCTGGATATTCCTCTAGCAGAGATTGCTATGCAGATGGACCGAGCTAGGTCCTCCAAGACGACTGATGCGGATATTATCGCTCAATGCTGTTCTGTCGCCAGAGGGGCTCTGGAGAAGAGTGGTATCAATCTGACCGGCGAGAGGGCGATCTCTAGATTATGTGTTAGCCAGCCGCACATGCACAAGAAGGGCGTCATGTTTACCTCCTTCATAATTTCCTTGGTGCTCTCCGATATCCTCGACATCGAGTTCTTGTGGACATCCGATTCGGACTCAATTGTGATGCCCGATACATTGACACGTACGATGGCGACATGTGCCGCGGATCCCGGAATTGGGGGTGCCAGCACGGCACTTACCACCCACAACAAGGATGAAACAGCCATCACGCAGCTCGGGAACGCGGTATACCTGAACGAATTGTATCTGGCACGTTCCTTTACTGGCGCAGCTGCCGCAAATGACTGCCAAAGCGGACCGTCTGCTGCTTTTCGCTTTTCTGCTGTGAGTGGAGAGTTGCTCGCCTGGTATAAACAAAGCGTGCTCGGACATTGGATGGTGAGATTATTCTGCGCCACCGTATGAGCATAGATTGACTGTGCAGGTTGTGAACTAGGATCGACATCTGACCACACGTCTCCTTTTGAAAGGTTGGAGAGTGGTCTTCGCATCCGACGTTATGACCGCCACTGAGTCACCCACAACATTCAGGAGGTGGCTATTGCAACAGGTGCGTATCCGGAAAGAATTGTGCCCCTAGCTCAGTGAAACTGGCATTATGCTGAGGTATCCAGGTTCGTTGGGGTCGAGCTGTACATGTCGAAAGCTTTCACCGACCGAGCGTGTACCTAAAGCACTCTCCCATATTGTTCTTCGGCGCCCTGCGGCGACAATTTGCCGCCTTTATCGTGCCCCTAACTGTTGTCTTGTATCTCTGTTCTGGGATGCTCCTAATCCGAGCCTTCTCATTTCAGGATTACTCCCACCGCCTGGCGCTGACAATCTCCTACCTTGTGTTTCGTAATCCATACCGACCAACTATGAAGGAGTGGATGTGGAGTCTCCCCGCACATCTGTTCTATCATGTTCCCTTGCCTGCCATTCAGGTGTGGAGCTTTCTGACAGTACTCCATGATTCATGGGGAACGACTATGAGGGCCAACAAAGAGGTAAAGCATTCTAAGCTGCGTCTCAAGATTTGGGAAGTTGGGTTCTTCGTCTTCTGGATGGCCATCTTGGGCGGTGCCTCGGGGCGATATATTGCAACGTCGCTGATGCCAGGTTCAGTTGACGTGGTGGCATTCATTCTTGGGGGGTTTGTGTCAGTGTTGATTGTGGGTGGATGGTGGATGGTTGTCGCGAAGTGAGCGGGGCTTTTGGTTTTACCGCATAAACGGTGTCGCCATGAACGCTTCCCTGGGCGGACCTACCAGGTGAACATATCCTTGAGCATCATTTTATTGACGAGTAGAAGAGCCAAACAAGATTCGGAAAGGCGGACTTTAGAAAGTTGATAGAAATGGCATGCCATTGCGAGGCTTGAGGTGTGATGGCAACGGAGAAGCGAGTTGAAATAACAGGGCGTCGGGAAACAACAGATGTCCCTCGGTCACCTGATCAGCGTACTACACGAATAATATGATCACTTCTCACGCGTATTGTGTTTGGTTACACTACTAAGTGGTCATCCAGGGGGTCAGCAGTCGGATATGCATTTGCTCTTGAAGCGTTTTTTATAGATTCATTGAAGGTATATATTTCGTGATCAGCCTAACAAAGATTCAACATGACATCTACTTCCTGTTCGCCAAGAGCTTCTTCTTCGTCCTGTCAGCACACGTCTTAGCATCAAAAATACCATTGACGCTAGGATGCTCCCGAGTCGCCTGCGCCCAACGGCTGAAGTTCTTCGCCTCTGCCAATCCCTCCCAGATGGCCGGGTCGATCAAGCCAGCCTCCTTGTCCGCGAAGGCGTGCAGACGGATCAGGAACGATCCGAGCAGCACCTCCACCAAAGTCAATTTATCACTACCACCGAAGAAAGGTCCGTGCTGCTTTCCCTCCAGTCCCTGGTACAGGAGAGGCTCGATCTCCTTCTTGATAGCAGCTACGTAGCCCTCAACGCCGGCTTTCCGGTCGGCTTCGGTAGCACCACGCAGAGCGGCGTTGTAGTGGGGGGCAGCTTTGCTGGAGTAAGTGTCGACGAAGAAGGCGACGCGGGCGCGCTGCAGAGCTCCCTCGGGAGTGTTTGACGGGGGCACAAGGTGGGAGGGGTATGCGTCGGCGAGGAATTGAGCGACGATGCCGGATTCGGTGATCACTTCACCGTTGTAGGAGAGGGAGGGAACGAGACCACGCTTTGATTGTGAACGTTGCTTAGCTAAGCTTTGTGGAAGGTGGATAGGAAGGTCGGACATACCGGGTTAACTTCCAGATACCATGGCTCGCGTGGGGTATCCAAATCAATGGTGACCTCTTCGAAGGGGAGACCGAGCTCCTGGAGAACAATGTGGGCGCGGTGAGCCCAGGGGCAGGTGCGGTTGGTGTAGAGGACGATCTTGGGAGAAGACATGATGAATCTGTGAATCAATGGAGGGAGTTAACAGCTGTCAAGGGGTGACGAGGAGAGGCGGGACAGGCGGGTATAAAAAGGCCGGCAGAAGCGGGGCATCGGCAGATGGAACCGGCGGGGAGGAAAACGTGGGAGGAAGAAAGCTTACACGACGCGCTGCTGAGCTCCGACGGGATTATTAATGGCCAGCCCGCCGGGTGATTTCCCGCCTGGATGGCATCACCGCCACCCTATTAATTATTTTCCGGTGTCCTACGGGGTTACTGATGGAGAAAGGCGCGGGAATTCGTCATCCAAGGCGTTATATTGCACAATTTGGGGTATAATCTATCTATCTAGACCTTTAACATCTAAATATATGAACAAGAAGTGTCGCACATGCGGGGTATCTAAAATGCTCGTGGCCACATAAAATGTCATGGAGAATCCTCGACTCATGCATGTACTTAAACAGGGAACGGCTGCGACTCGCGACGGAGTCGACTGGCCCGACGACCAGCATGTCTCTCGCGATCGGCGGCTAGGGTCTGGGCAAATTTGCTGCGACGACGGATTTCGGGGCCCTTCCAGTAGAAGATATAGATCGGAATGGCCACTAACGCGGCAATGCACCCCAACAGGGTACTGCCCCAGGCCAGATGGAACTTACCACCAATGTTCTCATACAGTGGTGTCGCATACATGGTCGCAATACCAGCGAGAAAATCACGGGCGAATCCATTACCGCCGGTCGCCGAGGCAGAATAGGCACCGTAGGCAGCGACCATGTAATCAATCGTAGCCATGTAAATGGAGTAGTTAGCGATGGCGATCAAACAGGCGAAGATCAGGGGAGCAATCCAAGGAGCATAGGCAGGGCCAATAGACGTCCATGCAAAGCCCAGCAGACCGATGGGCTCGAGCGGAGCGAGGAACAAGAGCAGGAGAAGACGGCGCTCCGCAAGACGAGCAGCATTACCTTCCTTCTTGCGGATCTGGCGTTGTCGCCAGACGTCTGGCAGGAAAATAAGGTATGCGATTATATAACCAAGCAGGATGGCACAGAAAGCTAGGCCATTTGTGAGGGTATTGAAGCCCCACTGATCGAAAACGAGCGTGAAGGATTCGGTGAAGGTGAAAATCAGAGCATCGGAGAACCCAGATAGGAGTGACAAACAAAGGACAATGGGCTCGCGGATAAACATCTCAAACGGACGTTTCCAGATTCTCAAGACCTCCTTGATACTCAGACGGCTTTCTTTCAACTCGTTGGGGCCGTAGATGTTGGGGTCTTCACCAGACTTGCGGCGGCGCTTGGCTTCGCGATCCAGGAGGATGGTTGCTCTAGTTTCGGGAACCAACAGAAAGTGCAGAGCTTGAGTGAAGCCTCCGACAATCAATTGCACCCAGAATACCCACTGCCACGTGAGATACTGGCCAATAAATCCACCAAAGACGGGTCCAATTGTAGACCCGCCCACTGAAGAAAGCACGACGTATGCAACAGCAAACCCCTGGTCATCAACTTCCCACATGTCTGCAGTCATACCCAAAGTGACCGATCCACCAGCAGAGCTCAGGCCACCCAGGAAGCGGCAAACCACGATAGTACCAAAATTCGGTGCCAAGGCGCAAGGGATCTGCCAGATATTGACTAAGAATAAACTGAGCTGCATGATCGGCCATCGCCCGAATTCCTCACTCCAGGGCGCCCACAGCTCACAGCCAAAGGCGTATGCAACCAGGAAGATCATCTGCCCGACACGGGCTGCCTGGGCGCTGACGTTGAACTCATTCTCAATGCCGGTGAGAGCATCCGAGTACACACCCGTATTGAAGTTCATGGACATCTGAACCATGAAGACTACGGTTAGGATGGTCCATTTCTTGTACCAAGGAAAGCAAAAGCCGAGTTTGTCGTAACAATCATCCTCGGTTAGCTCCCGCTTGCCGTCGGATCGCTCTTTTTTGGAAAGATCGGTATCACTTCCAGATGTTGGCTGGGAGGCATGCTCGGCCTGCTGGGTGGAAGGATCGTCCGATTCCGATCGACGGGTCAGGTTTCTGAGGGTGTCGTCTGTCTTGCCAGACTTCTTCTCATCATACATACCCCGATCGCCAGGGGCATCGTTCTCCGGGGTGGGCTCAGTGGCCGTCATGGTGATGGAGTAGAAGGCGCAAGCTAGAACAGTATGGAAACCCTTGTCATGCGGGGTGGAGAAGGTAGGAAGAAAAATTGTAGAAAAGACCAATCAGTGTCACGGGAATGCGAGGGAGAGAGGTGATTGATTGGATTGAGGATGATGCTGGAGTGACGATTGATTGCCAGAAGGGATGGGAGGGATCTTTATAGATCGCTGATCTCTCCTGGATGGCATCTTCCCTGCACCACGGTACATTATTATTCCTCGAGGATGCCTGGCACCTGGAGTGCGGAGCCGATGTCTGCCCTCAGTGGCATGACGTGAGGGCTTACCCATGGGAGTAGGTTGGCAAATGGCAAACGATGGGTGTCCCAAAAGGGTAATCCGAGAGGTTGTTCGCTAAGGAAGCCTGATAACGATGCCAGTCGGGGCTCGGCGGAAGAGATCTTCTCCCCTCGCTGGCGTCATAGTTCCGGCCCGTCAGACTAGGAGCTGGGGTCCCCAATCAGAGGCGGGGACTCCTATATTGTCCAGCTCGAACCATGGTGCTACTCTTACCGGGGTACTTTCTACTAAGTACAGAAAATCTAGCATTATGGGCCATAGCGGCGACAGAACTTTGCGTGTGCATCGGAGATTGTTGGGTTCTGATTGTGTGATAGTACTTATTGCGTGGTGACCACTAGGGTGAGTTTCCCTCCAGGCGGGAAAAGGTCGGAGAGGCAGACACCACACGGCCGAGGTGCAGCCTGGGGTGTCTGCTTTGAGGTACAGGACAGGATGTTCCTAATGGCTGAGAAAGCGGCCATCTAGGCGGTTTCACTGGACTTTGCGACAGGCAGTGGAGTAGACCAGATGCAAAAGCATGCACAGTCACCTGCTCAGGCTAACCCGATCGGCACGACTGCTGTCGGCCGGGGCCGGCGGTGAGCCATGACGTCACACGCTTTCTTTCAGAACACCAATAATATTGCAGTATTCTTTCTGTGTTGTTCCTGATTAGGACTAGGGAGGGCGGCCAACTGGTTTCTGCCTGCATTCTGCCGCCCTTCTCCGGCCGGTTTCTTAACTAACTATCAGGTTCGTTGTGCTGCTCAATCGGCTAGGCTGATACTAACAACAGTAGCCCACTTCTTCATTTTTTTTCTCACCCTCCATTTCCCCAGTTCCTTCTCCACGTCCTCCCCAGCAATTCCAAAATACTTTCTCCTCCACCATGACGCAGGGCTCAGCTCGAGTGTCAACTGACAACGTCACTTTACGCCTGGCTATCGTTCTTTAACGTCATGGTCCATGTGGTCGCTGCCAGATGTCCTCCCTCATGGTATTGGAGACGATATCGGCTCGGTCCTTGCAACTCAGTGTCTAGCCTCTTGGCTACGAAGCTAATCCGCAGCCGGCCAACCTCTGTCGGCTTGAAACCATGCAGCTATTCCGTCTCCTTGTGCCGCCTGGCCTGGCATCCCGGCCTCCCGATGCAACCCGACGCCACACCTACTGTCGACCCGAGGAACGACATCGCGTCGAGGGGAAGAATTATGATACGCCTCGACAAGGTTCACGCAGATTTACGGTTCGGATAATTTCTATAGCCGCCAATTCTCCCTTTGCTCACATGGACAATATTCCTCTATCAAAACCGTCAAGACCGTAGGTGAGTATATCAATCATCCCACGCAGATAAGTTCAGACTAGAGTGTGAGGAACAACATTTCCGCAATCATGTTTGCTTTTGGTACTCCGCGTTTCTCACCCCTGCTCCCTCCATCGCACTAAATTAATGAACCGCAACAAAACATTCCATCAGCGATTCTTATTGACTGAGATGTGACCCACACTGCATCATCTCCTTACCATCCACGCAGACAGCCCCCCAAAACCAGTTCCGCCTGCATCGTTGATTATCATATGATATTCGGATCCCTTGCTGTAATCGTCCCAGTCGAATCCACTAACATCTACTCTGTCTATGCGTGCCGGCGCTCTCGGCTTTCAGAAAGCCAAATCCCACGCCCTCGTATCGGGTCTGTGGTAGGGTACCGCATCCTTCCAAGACTGAGGTGGTATCGAAACCCGAGGAGCTTACTGGTAGAAATGTGCACAGCACAAGGCTCGGAGTGATCTGCACCGGCACGGTCACACATCCCGGATGCTCTGTATTAGCCGGAGGTGGTCTCCCAGGCTCCTGACAAGATCTTGGCCAAGGTACAACGCGCACAGTATACTTAAGGGTGAACACAATCGGTAATTGATCTACTGGTCGTGGAAATTTTAATCTGCCACATTAGCACAATACAAGCAGACGTGGTATAATGCGATATACGTCTGAGCCTGCCCTAAATAACAGAGTGCTTCTGGCCTCTAACCCAAGAGAGTAACTTCCTCGGTTCGACCAATTACAGTGCGGTTTTTTCAGGACGGCCATTACTGTCCAGCCAGCCAATTCTAGATCCTGCTTTGCACAATAATCTCCACTTATGTAACCAACAACAGTCTATCCTACATTACATAACTAAGACCAAGTGCACCCCGTTCTCTGCTCGCACAGATCGTGACAGTCCCCGCTGTGCGCCCGATGTTGATTAGGCCCAATTTGTGCTAATGCAGCACCAAGCATCGCCTAAGGCAAGCCATAAGATTATAGCGTGATGCCAAGGCCCATTGAACAGGGGGCTGTGGTCGTGGCGGACGCGTCGGACAGAGGCCATCATTGCCACTTCCGGGATAGTCGGGCGACCCCGACGGTGCTGCCAACCTCAACAACACAGTCCAAGGTGACACAAGAATGTTGCTGGAACCCAAATTATGAAATCATTTTGGGCAGATGTCTAGACCGCCATAACATAGACATTTACCTTATTCCTGATATCGGTGAAAGGCAATATGGGCCGTTTTACAGTGAATATAGAAGAACTACGACTTATCAACATCGTCGGGAAAGTCCGCGACTCTGGACTGAAGGAATTTTCAGCTGAATGTCACTAGTTCATAGAAACGCATCGAAACCCATATTATCTATGTGTTTATCGGAATCCCAGCTAGCGTGCACTTCGGTTAAATTCCGGGGCATGAAGCAAAGTCGTACCCACTTGACCGGACTGTCTGGTTTCCCGATAACGTGATGGAATAGACTTTTTCGTCCTATCGTTCCCTGAATGGCATATTGATGACCTTTCTGGAATAGCAACACGGGAAATATTTCCAAGGTTCTGAGCTCTCCTTGTTAATGCCCAGCCATAACAAGTTTTGTGGCTACAATATCTGGGTTCCCAAGAAGTATCCTGCTTTACCACTAACAGTCGGGGAAGTTTTGGTAAGACCATGGCCTACTGTGATCTGGTAATACCCCTTGTGCCATATTGTAGCGTAGCACATAGCGCTCGGATGGCGTAGTAATTTGCACGCTTCCGCACGCTGTCTGCTTCTTCCTGCCTATCTTCCGATTTGGTGGTCCCACTACATCAATCACTAAAGGCATGTCAAGGATGACTCCGGTGGTTGACGTCTTTTAGGTAGGTCTGTTCTTCCTTAACATCCATGGTTCGATACATTTGGTGTTATACCATTTGCTGATTTTCAGCCAAATGTCCAAGGATAACTGGCACTCACTGCGCCGGGACTGCCAAATTCAGGGAAAGTAAAAGACTGGAATTATAATCCGGGTGGCTGAGAACGGGCAACGATTGTAGAATTTTTTAGGGTGTGCACCTACAGATCGAGCTCTGCGAGGTGACCAGCCATCACAGAAGACACTGTCAGGCGTCGTCTTGATAGAGTATGAAGTACATCTCTTTTCGACTTGACCGAGCTACTACTACTGACTAGTAGTCAATGGCCAAAAAGACCTTTATGCTGTGTGTTACAAACAGTCAACAGTAACGAACGGTATGCCCCTAGCAGGTTTCGGGATAACAGCTGAAACGCGATCCCGCTCGAAATTGATTCATCCCTCTGTCACATTAGCTACCTCTTCCTCATGACTCCCCTGCCCCCCATCCTGACTACCATCGTTCGAGTATATCCTCTCCATTATTCTAGAGAGGCCTTCTTCGTCACCTTTCATTGTCTCCATATGCTCCTTCGCCACCCATCCTTCCGTATATCCACCACCAAAGTCGATCACCCACGCAGCATCATTCCTATCGATCAACACATTGTCCGTCTTCGCATCTCCCCAGATAATATCAGCCCGATGCAGCAAATCCACAGTCGTAGTAATCTGCTCCTCCCATTTCTTCTGTTGTGCAAATGTGACTTCGTCATGTAATGCACACGAAAGGGTGAGGTTTTCACAGTCTACCAACGATAGCAAGATGCCAATAATGCAGCAGCTGTCGTGCGATCCATAAACAACACCTACAAGTCGGGGAATATGTACTTGCGGATCGTCTCTCAGGCCTTGGTTCTCCATCCTCCTATAAATGTCCAACTCACGCAGAAGTCCTCGCTTTGTGTGAGATTCCTTTAGGAAACATAGCTTGCCATCGACACAGACCTTCCTTGGGTGCTTGGAATAGCCATATTCGCCTTCGCTGAGGCACTGTTCTACCGTTTCTGGTGTGAACTTACCCCAGTTTGGGTGAAGAGCGAAGTCGCCTATATCAACACCCGGTTCCCTCAGCGTCCTTCGAACTTCATAGTCATAACAGGGTTCCATCCTCTCATCAACGAAGTAGAGCTGGAAGTAATATGTTTCAGGAGAGAGGTAATCACGAAGCGTGGCCGTTTTCCCGGTTGTGAGCGAGGGTTCAACTTGGTCGAAGATTGGCAAGAACGGGGCCAAAACCCAGTCATAGAGATCGTCCTCTGCTGTCTCAGCTGCATTTTCAACGACATACATAAGGTCGATATGACGGCTATACATTTGGAAAGATAATGGCGACTGTATAAAGTTCTCCGGTGAGATCTCTATCTGAAAACATTTCCCTTTGCATGCAAGAGTAATTCGTGTCCACTTGTCATGTTTACCGTAAAGGAGGTCCTGGACTTTCCAATTAGGACTCGGCGCTTCCATTTTGAATCCAAAGAGTTGGCTAGACAAGATTTGACGCAGGGGGTAGATTAAGTAGTAAGTGGCAGCGAAGGTTTAGTACCAAATGAGTAGTCGAACAGCGACCCGTGGAAGGTTCAATGTGTTCACTTTCGGTGGCTTGTACTACCTAGCGACCAAGACCGCTTATCACAGAAAGAAGAGTTGTTGTAACCTTTTATAGACATTTTCCTACACTCCTCTTGCTGATTAGGTCTGATGAAGTACAGAAGACCACAACAAGCAGCGTACAGAACTCTTAAGAAGATAACTGTATTTTCTGATTTTTGCGGCAAATCTCTGCTCCTAATCGGCAGTCCCCTTGCTATAATTGAATTTCTGTTTCGGAATATTCCACTGATATTAAAGGAGCATAATCAGTTTGCCCACTTAGTTATATAAATGTGAAGTTTGCCTGGCTTAGTAGAACGATCAACAGGAAACCACCCGCCATCTCAACTTACTAATAGGCTTCTATATTATCACCATACCCCATTCACGATTTATACTTTTCGGAAAGTGCCAAGCATTTTCTGTTACTCATCCATCATCCACTCATCAACCTACTGTTCCAAAGCGAACCCGATGCCAGGAATCAGACGATATGCACTTTGCTCCGGGCACGGAACGCGGCATTTTACTACTTTGGATGCACTCTGTACTAGGGAGGAATGCGTGTTAAAAGAAATGATCGATAGGGGCTGGACCTGCTGTAAATGTGGACAGGAGAGCATTGTGGGCGCGTATGTATGCAGTGGTCCCCCCTCCGGAATACATTACGGCGTTGATAAGGGTAGTTGCTGCGCACATCTCGTTTGCTTGGATTGTCAGCATACATCTACTCCACCGAAGGGTAGATTTCCGCTACCGACGTATGATTGACAGGGCTATTTACTGTCATGTCTTTTCGTTAATACTTTATTCTTCCTTGTTGACGATCGGTCTGTGGGGCTGAACGTGTACTGCTCCAATTGAGCGGCGTTGCTAGGCGAAAATTGCTTTTGCTAGGTCGCTGCTCTGCGTCATTCTTATTTGAATCAGCTACTGGTGTAGGGTTTGGATGTAGTGTCTTGACTGCAAATAAATCTGACAATGAACGATGAGATACATACCTGTTGTATACCTGACCCGTCAATCCCACAAGGTAGCTTCTACAATGTAACCTTTCAATCAATACTTCTCCAGTAAGCTTATCTTATCTCACCGGCCGGTCTTTGACGTGAAATACCATGAGCTTTCCGCAAGTCGATGTCATTAGAACAGAGTACTGAGACGTAGCAGCCCGATAATTGTCGGAAAAGTGTCATAGATCGCAATATATCAACAGGCTACATTAACATTCTATCAAGAAAGAAAGTATAGTACACATGTAAGAACACAACCCCCTTTCCACCCCTTCTTCCACAGCACACCTTACATAATCCAACTCCTAAGAGATAACAGTAACATTATCACCCAAGTTCCTGCAGTTCTTAGGCAAAGTCACGACGGCACCCTGACCCCTGGCCACATCCGAGTGATTATAAGTCAGGTTAAACGCCATAATTTGGCCCACAGTGGAGCCAATCTTGTCGGCCAAATCCTTGTACGTGCCATAAGTGAAGTGATACGGCTCAACCTCACACACACTAGGACTGCACTGAGGGACCTTCAACTCATTGTCCACCTGGACCAGTGCATCAGGATCACTAACCCCACCCTGAGCGGTTTCGGAAAGGGCTTCGACAGTGATATTCAGTCTCAGCGCGATGGTGCGGATGGTGTCTCCCTTGACGGTGTAGTAGGTGTGAGGACCGCCGGACACGCAGTCGGCGTAGTTGTCATTGGGGCTGGGGAAGAGCAGACAGGTGGAGTTGTCGGGAGTGCAGGTCTCCGGAGGGATGAGCAGTTGTTCTCCCGTCAAGAAGGGGATCATGGCATCCGCCATGCGGTTGAGTCGGGCGATGTCGCAGATGCCGCGGTTTACGGAGTTGGAGACGCTGGCGATGGTGTCGCCGTCTTGGACGGTGTAGAGACCGACGGTACTGTTCAGGTTGGAGCGGTTGCATGTAGGTGCTGCTGATGCTGCCGAGGCAAGGAAGGGCAATGCTGCAAGGGTTAGGAAGTGCATAGTGGAAGGATTGATTTCAAAAGAATGGCCTTCTCAAAGAGCGACAAAGGTTTGTAGTAAGAGAGTGACTTTTTGCTGTAGGATGAGTGGAGTGTAATTGCTTGACTTGTGGGCGAGCGCGGTGCCATCTTTATATTCATACAAGAGATTGAATCCCTCCCACGGTAATCGCGCGTGATGATGCGTCCAATGTCGCAACCAGATGTAATATGCGACGGGATCGTTGTGGAGGGAGCGAAGGCGATCTTTCGCATACGCGTCAGCTTAAAGTATATGGCAAACTCGGAGATAATGGCTTCCCGTGGGGACGGCCCCGCAATGGCGAAGATCTTATCCCGACTGTGTATGCTCACAGTTGCCATCCGGGGGCTGGGCCCCGAATTTTGCAAATCCCGATGTTCATACTGGACGACCTGGATGACGAAGCTGTGCTGCGAAAGGAAGTGGGTTTGGATAAATGCGCTGCATGTTGAAGAAGCTATGCTAGCGTAGTGGAAACTGATGGCTATCAATCTCCGGCAGTCGCGCGTATGCTACTGCGAATTGTGCCTTGAAAGGTAAAAGAGTATAGAGAGCAATATATATTGTGGAACACCTTTCTCCGTGTCCGATATTGTTATGGCCTTGGAATAGATTGACTTATCAGTCTTTTTCTTGGTATTGTCGCCCTTAATTCATTGGCCAATCCAGAAACAGCCTACTTTAGAGATACAGCAAGCGTTTGGTTTTCCCGGGGGAAGGGGGTGATTTGCTATTCCAGCACAGAATTTGACATGACCTGGTCTTGGTCGTCAACATTCAAAGAAACGAGAATCATACACTAAATGATTATCAGAGAGACAATTAGAGACATAATCACACCCTTTAAACTATCTTGGCATAATAAGCCCTAGCATCCACCCGGCAATGGCCGCCAGGGTCCGCCGGGATGCCGATCATTTCTGCCCCCGGATATCCCTCCCGAACGAAATCCGCATTCGGGAGTAGCTTGCGAGAGAGCGGGACCGTATCCCCGACCTTCCCGGGCCGGGTGCGCATGGCAATGACAAAGCTTTTCAAGATATGAAACGTTATCCAGAGCATTTTCACAGAGGGGACTTAGTATTAACTCAATAATAATAGTGAATTTCGAGCAACATTGCTTGATCATGCATGCTTAGTACCACTAGCGTTTGTGGCTTGTGTTAAATATATCCTGTCTCGCTGTTGCATTATGTACTTGAATATCTCAGATATCAGTAGCGCTTATTCTACTTCCATTACTGTCTGCTGTAATTCTGCTATTTGCATCTGCTGCTATCTTATCTGTTCACTGGTATCCATATTCTGTATTTGATATTTGTTCCTGTCTTTTCTGTAGATTATACTTGGATTACTCGGTCAATTTGCCCGACATTCCTGACTGAACAGATTGTACGGCGCTCTCAGCTGCTCCTTCACCTAGCCAAATCGAGCATCACTTTCTGGGCCACAATGCATTGAAAAATAGTCTTGTCGATATTGAGTTTCAGATCTGACAGATAGCCCAGACCACCGTTTAGCTGATCACTGTGAATTGAACGGCCCAAATATGTCAATCAATTTCAAGCTGCAGATATGATTACCGCCTTCGAATCAGGTCCTTGATTCATTCCTGAATACTATCTGGAAATGCGCCCAGAACGGAAAGATATACTAGGAATGCTGTAATCGCTTTGTCAGGGAACGATGCTTACTGGTAGAAACAAGGAAAGAGAACCGGTGAAACCTGGTGTGATTCTGTTGTGACTCTTAGAATTATGGTGCAGTCCAGTCATAGAGTGAGCTTCTTAATAGGACTAGCTCCAAGACGCTCAGTAGTTTGGAAGCAAGTAAACAAAGCGCAAAAGAGTGACATGAAAACCTAAAAGCCAGACTTCATTATCCTATTCCGTAAGTCCAAAAATGCCGCTCGTCTGGAGAACCCGGGATCACGCATGTGTTAGAGCCCAATGACCAGGACCCGACAATGGGCTATCCTTTTCCGATGCTCAGGGTGCCAGATGTAAGGGATCCCTGCGCAGTATACGTATTGCCGACTGCCAAATATTCTGGACTCTTCTACTGCGTACAAGAGTTGCTGTTGCGCTTGAGGACAATGTATTGATTTCCATATTTCTATGCGTCCCTTTCAACATCTTCGCGCTCGGAAGGCTGAACTTCAAAAGCAGGAGAATAGCCTTTCTGACGCTTTGCAGGATGGACCTCGAAGGCAGGAGGATAGCCTTCCTGACGCTTCGAATGCGGCTCAAGTGTAGGGTTGTACTCTGCTGCTTCAGCAAAGGCTTCCTCACGGTTTACGTTCATCTATTCAAAAGAATCAATACACAGTTCAACAGAGTGCACTCCATGCAGAGTACTAACATCATGATAGAGGGATCGCCACTGCCACTGTGGCCATGGCCAGGATAATGGGGGTGAATCTCATTGTGGGCTGAGGTTTCGGTTTTTCTCGAATATTGGGTGGATATTTAGGTTTTCAAAACTGAAAATGATCTGGTTTGGCGAAGTAATACTTGGAGGCAGAGTATCATAGCCTTTATATATACTTCGCCGCTGGAGGATGACGTCGAACTACACCGGGCTTGCTACACCATAATCGATGCCCTTGCCATCATCCTGCGAGGTGACCAACGATGTGTGGTACGAATAGGTTCCGTTTCGCTCCACAATATGTGAGAGCCGAAGAAAGGGGTGCACTTGAGAGATCATTTGGAAGTTCAGGCGGAAGGGACGATGTGCGAATTTGACGCCTGTATCCTGACAGTGCACCTGGATCATCACGGTAAAGCCCAGCGGAGGTTGAGTGATCGCCACTTAAGGGGTGCTTCGGTTGAGTTCTACATGAAACAACCTGAGCGCCAGGGAGATTCAGATATGCACATATGCTTGTGCCAATACATTGCGTTATTTAGAGGCGAGGGGGCCTTTGGTGTCGAGTGTCGTCAGCCATCTTACGGAAGAAACGCGGTGCACAGTTTAGAGATTGACATTGACACCGAGTCAATAAAATGGTATGCCACATAGTGGAGTAGTTCCGCGGAACATACTAACGTACGATCTCCGCACTCATCAATGGGCCGCAATATTTCTCGGTCAAGGTCTACAGGCACCTGTCTTGCGTTCGGATATGTAAGGCAAATTCTGCGGTGAACGCGGGAATGACATGAAACATTGTGCAATACTGACAGGTTAAGCAATTCCTGTCGCTGAATAGCAAGGGAGGAACCCTGGAGTGTCCACCTTGCCTGATGGTTATATCTTCAAAGTGCCGTTCCATTTCGTAATCGCAGGGAGTTGACTCCTCTAAGATAGGAAATCACCTGCGAGCGTGCATGACAATGATAGCAAGGAGTGAGATTTGGGCGGGGTTCCTTCCCCTTATATGGCAATGTGTCTGGTCTTCCTGCAGTCTGCCCTTGCTTCTCTTGTGTACAGAACCCGGCTGACAAAGGGTAAGGGGAAAATGTCATACTACGTGACGCGAGTCAGGTGGAATAGTATTCCGGGTAATTGATATGCTCCGGCCTAGCCCCTTGGAATGTAGTGCACCCCGTTAGTCACATCTATGCATGGTTTCCTTCCTGTAATCGACATCTTGAAGGTGAGTTTACGCGGCAATCAAGCTCAGTATCTTTCTTGCTTTAGATTCGCCCTTTTTTCAAATTTATCAATAGCACTCCTTTGGTGCTTACTCAATGGTCAACCGCGACCGATAGCACAGGGCCTTGATGCACAACAACAGCAGCATGAGCTTGTTCCAATCGATCAAAGCTCCATTTTCCAAGAGGCGATATGAAGCTTTACATCACGGATCTGATGAGAATATAGGCGAGAAGCCCTTATGTACAGCTTGCCAGCGCCAGTTCAGAGGTAGAAAAAAATTACGAGAGCTCAATATTTGCGTAATGAGCGGCGTGTTCTTCACCACTGTCATCATATTCCTGCTGCTTGCCGTGTTATTCGACACGTACTTGAACTCGGAGAAGAACGCAGCTCTGCGTGGAAGCCTTTACTGGTGTATGACTGAATCTACATTCAGAGTGCTGCATTAATCTGACTTGAGATAGCCCCAATTCTCGATGATGTGGAGCTACCCCAGCGCATAGCGACAATGAACAGCACTCTCCTACCACCACCAGACCCATCCATCGCCCGTCAAGAACCAGGACCAGAGAACGATGCCGAGTGGTATAAGTACAACGACACGCCACTGTTTTGGCTCACTCGAGAGGAGATCGGAAAGCTAGGCCAAAACCCCGATACAGCTGCAAGATGGGACCGCGAATATTGGGGACACGATGAAGACCTTTATGTGGGAAAGTTGGATATATCACATGTATGGTCCATCGTTCAATCGATTCTTGAGGACAAGTGCTGATCCGTAAATTAACAGCAAATACACTGCCTGGATACCCTCCGGCAGAAGGCCTATGACGATTATCCAGGCTATCATCCCAACCACCATCACGATAAGAGGGAGAGGGATAGTAGCAAAATGGACTGGATCCATCTCAGCCATTGCATAGATATGCTTCTGCAGTTCGTCCTTTGTAAAGCAGACACCGGCATCGTTACCTTCACATATGTTGAAGGGCAGGAGGCCCCTTGGCCCGACTTTCATCTCAAGCGCCAATGTGGGAACCTCGAGCCTCTGCTCGACTGGGCAAAAGGTCGAGAGGTGGGCGCTTGGCAGACAGCACCCCGACCAAAGGATGCATATCTCTGGCCAAATCCGTTTGTAGGAGATCCAGACTATGAACTAGGATATCCTTTAGGGCATCATCACCAAGGGGAGGGCAATCCTCATCCAAATTTGTCTTCAGGTTAGTGGACCTTCAAAGATAGTGCTTGGACGACACGTTACTGCCGGTAGTGGAAGGACTTGATAATGTGGGATATGTTATATGGCAGAAACCAACCCTTGAGCTTGCGGTGTGGGTGCGTTTGTCTATCAACATTGTAGTTGACACTATATGCCATAGTCACGGAGACAATATCTGCTAGTCAACAGTGGGAGGGGTCCCACACGCGGCAAGTTCAGATTAGAGCTATTCTGATATCAAGAAGGCTCCATCACATGAGAAGATACCCAATATTAGTCTCAATTCGAATATAGCTATACTAGACTATAGTGAGATTTTCTAATTTATTTATGCTGTAAATATCACATTCATGAGGTCTTTCAACAAATTTAGAACCCGCTATGTGTCGGTGCCCGGCACACCCTGAGTCTATCGCAGCTTCGAACTATGTTCTAGACCGACCATCACCTTCAAGTACTGCCCCTTGTCATCCCAGCTATCATGTGGAGAACGTTGAAATGCCACCGGAGCTGGCCGCTCATCCGTTCCGAAGGGATTTACCACGTAGGCCTGCGATACATGCCAGAAACGCAAACTGTATGGTATGTCTTGAACACTTCCTGGATTGTGTGTGGAGAAATGCATTATGGTGAACGTAATTTACTTCTTAGCGGCAGGATCCTGCCCCTCACCTCCTAGATACTTCTCCCGAAGTGAATCGATGGTGAGCACACCTAGCTGTTGGACGGAACCCAACGAGGTGATTTGCAAGACGTGTTGATTTCTAGCCCAAGATTCTGCCGCTACCATCTGCGGATCCCGACACTCACCAAAGAATCAAGGCCTTGGGCAGTTAACAAGGAGGTGATATTCATATCCTCCTTGCGCAGCGAGATGATCGAGCAAAGCATATTTACAATCTCACTGGTGACAATCTCGAGGCTCAAGTCATCACGCAAGACGTCGGGATTCGCAGCCACTGTGTTGAGAAATTGTTTCAGTGGACTGTCGCCAGAGTCGAGTGCGTTTCTGCGTGACCTATCTGGATTGCGGTGCACGCTCACTCGGATGCCGTCCATGGAAAGGCCATTTAGTCCCCTTGTTTTGGACATGTGGCCGAAAAGGAGGTCAGCAATCCCACCTGAGCATTCGGCCCCTGCGGCCTTTGCGGAAAGTGCTTGACCTCGATATCTGTGGATCGGAGCCGGTCGCAAGTCTCAAGGACACAGAGAACAGTAAGCTGCAGCAGCAAAACAACAGCACTCCTGCTAGAGTTCACCTCGAGAATATCCTAATGTCGTACGAAATCAACATAAGGAGCTCTTTTCATCTTCACCGCTGCCAAGCCATCAACTCTCTCCTGCATGTCCAGGCTGCTGAATGTGCAGCCCTGCATCTGGAGAGCAGGCCGCCCACCCAAGAATGCCACTATGCGCCATCTGCTGCACCAACAGATACTTGGATACGGAGAGCTTTGCCAACGCGCGCTATTTGGATCTTCGTGATTGTCTTTGGTACCCCTGGCCGCTCGATTTTGCGTGGCTCGCCGCCACACTTCACGAAGATTTTCAGCTGTAGACGCTGGTCGATGACAGTGGGATGGATGTGGTAGAATGATTCGCTACCGTGAGATTTTCCATTCACGGTAGCAATCGCATTTTTCCCAACAGGATCCACTGTAATATCATCCAAGCCGTGGAAGGTTGGGCCGTAGGTCAAGCCACGCGTGGAAAGGGCGCGGTACCAGACGATTGAATCGATCCTGCGGGGCGAGGGATCTAGAAGACAACAATCAGGGTTTCGCGCCCCCATTCCACTCCTGACCAATCCAGTACAATGCTTTGTCCAGTGCTCGTTAGTGAGCGAGGAAATGGTGAACCCATAAGCCGCCGAGTCCGACACACTGGTGGTTCTTGCTGGTCTGAGGTTCGTTATAAGCTCCACTGGGGTCCCCGCTTGAAGTAGCAAGGCATTATTAAAATGGAGCTGATGGACGGTATATTCAGAAATGCCAGTGATCCTTCGCATAGCCTCTCCCACCATAGCAACATATTCAGCATCCGGGAAGACAATGTCACCACCAACGCGATGGTCCTTCAGCCACGGCACATCTTCCAATCGAAGAATGTTCTTCCACGCAGGCTCCAAATCGCTAGCCTCGAGCACTGGAGACCCCAGAAGCTCATGATGGGGGAACTTCCGGAAGTTCCACCTCTTCGTGGCCCTGCTTTCTGCCCGGTACGCGGTGCGTTTCTGCCACGGGTAAAGAGGCAAGTTTGTGAGAACCGTCTCATCACCGGTCCCATTGACAAGGCCGAGGTTGACGTCCACTCCGAGGGTATATAAATGGCCCACAGCGACCATCAAACTGCTGACCAAGCCTTTCCTTCTGGCCAGTGTGGAAACGTGAACTGGACTTGACTGGGGTCGGCTGGTTGAGAAGATCTGCCGAAGGGGACCTGCGAGTGTTGAGTGCGGGCCGAGCTCGAGGAAGACTGCATTTCCCGTGTCCTTGAGTAAGGACTGGACTGCTGAGGAGAAGCGCACCGGAGATTCCAGGTTATTCTGCCAGTACACAGCATCCAATTGAGGCGGCCCTGGCTGGGAATTTGCGCTCACCGTGGAATATGGAAGGGGAGGATAAGTTCCAATGTATTTTGTGAGAATGGTCCTGTATGCACCCCCGATGGCTTTCATGTGATCTATTTCCAACCAGTGTCAGTAACATTGGTAAACGTGTATACGTGAGAATTGAGACTCACTTGAATGGTACGCAATATTGAATCGAAGGCGCCTGTAGAAGGTATCCGGCCGCGAAAGTTTGATCTTCTCCGCTACCGCTTCAACCATATCCACATCGCCAGAGATGGTCACACTTTGAGGACTATTCTCACAGGCAATCACGGCGCCCTCCACCAGGAACTCTTCAGCTTCTTGGGCGTTCAAACCAACGGCAGCCATGGCCCCCCTAACAGGCAGTGAGCTGGCTAATTTACCATGATAGAAAGCAATTGTGATTGCTTCTTCTGCGGTCAAACTCCCCATCGCATATGCCGCAGCTATTTCTCCACTAGAATGGCCCACTACTGTAGCTGGCCGAATATTCCACTCAGCAAGTACGTCCACAAGCCCGATTTGAAGGGCCGTGCATAGAGGCTGCACAAACTCCGCTTTGCTGGTCCAGCATCCGGCTGTACTAGCAAGAGTATCTGAATCCTCTTCGTCAGCATCGTTCCTTACAGCTAAGGAGCAGAAAGGAACCGTCGTACCTATAATCGTCCACGATGGAGGGTCCTCCAGTGCCGTCAACGCCAGATCCATTCTTCTGATATTGCTGCGAAAGGAAGGAAAAATTTGCAGAAGCTCCGCTGCCATACCTGCCCACTGCGCGCCTTGCCCGTTGAAGACAAATACCAGGGATGGGTGCTTCGTAGGTGATCTGCGCGCATCAGACACGGCAGGCTGACCATCGTCGTCGCTGGTCACAAAGCCTCGACAGACCATGTGATCTCGACGGTGGCATAGTGTGTATGCGATATCAATTGTGGGTACTCGGCTAGTAGCAAGATATTCCTTCGTTGAGTCAAGTCGCGCCTTGAGTGGTTCTGTGCTATCGGCAGAAACAACATGGAGATATGAGCGTCCTTTGCTGCCTTTGTTCTTCTTTGAATTCCGGACGTAGGACGGAGCTGATTCGACAATGGCCTACCAGAATTAGAAAAGTCCCGAAAGCACCTAAGCCAACTGTTGGGTGTCTTACATGCGCGTTTACGGCCCCAATACCGAAGGAGTTGACGCTAACCCTTTCCATGCGGTTCACTGGCCAGGTTAGCGTTTCTGTGGGCACCTTTAGTCGAGCTTCCTCAAAGGGAACTGTATAGTCACATAAAGCGATGTCAGTAATTGTCATTGAATTAACAAGGCGTGTTTGGATGATTTCATACTGCCTGGGTTGGGTGTGGAGAAATGGATGTTTGGCGGGATCTGTCGGTGCTCGAGAGCTAGCACAGCTTTGATCAGACCAGTGAGCCCTGAAGCACCCTCGGAATGGCCGAGGTTCGGTTTGACCTAGATACCAACCCTGTCAGTTGCAAACCTTGACTTTTTGATCAAAAAATGATTATTACCGCGCCCAGAATGATCCCTTTTTGACCAAAGACTTTGGCAATTCCCGCAGCCTCGGTTCGGTCTCCAACAGTGGTTCCTGTGCCATGAGCCTCGATATAGGCCGTCTGCGACAGGTCCGAAATCCCAGCCTGCTCATAGCCTTTTAGAATGAGCTCTGCTTGGGCCTCAGCGCTGGGAGTAGATAGTCCTGTTGTTTTTCCATCACTGTTTGTACTCGTTCCACGAATCACCCCGCGAATGGGATCATTGTCGCGAATGGCATCCTCCAGCTTCTTCACGTAGATAGCGTTGATTGCCTCGCCGCGAGCGTACCCATCTGCAGATGCGTCGAACGTCTTACACTTTCCATCTGGAGACAGTGCTCGTTCCTCGGTCATGGCAATGGTGTATGTTGGCGTGAGAAGAAGGCTGGTACCTGCCACAATCGCGGACGAGCACCTCCCTGTTGCAATGGCACGTTGAGCCATATGGAGGCCGACAAGAGATGAGGAGCAGGCTGTTCGAACGGTGCAGCTTGTGCAGATATTACGTTAGCAACATAGCCTCTTCCACAGAGTTGGACACGATAGACATATGTAAAACTTACCTGGGTCCCCTGAGATCGTACTGGTAAGAAACTCGATTAGCGATGGCAAAATCGCCAGTGTCACCAACCCGACCCTGCCCCAGATTCTGATAATCCTTGCGGGTCATATCCAGCCAGCCTTCACCAGAGACTCCGACAAAACATCCAATGTCCTTTCCCTGCCATGCAACCTGGCCTCCGCTCTCCATACATTCCCAGACCACCTTTAGTAATAGTAGTTGCTGTGGGTCCATTCCGGCCAGCTCAACAGGGGAGATGTTGAAGAACTCCGCGTCGAATTCGCTGATATCTTCATCCAAGCAATAGGCATACTTGCAACGCAAGGATCCCCTTTGGCCTGACTCGCTATCGAACCCGTCGATGTTGTACCTGTCTGCAGGCAACTCCTTTCGAGCGCACCGCTTGTTCACGAGCAGATCCCAGAATTCAGAGTCGTTCTTGACTCCACCGGGAAGCCTCAGCCCAATCCCTACAATGGCTAGCGGGCAGGAAGTGGTCGTCTCAGTGACTCTGAGGCTTCCCAGTTTTGTCCGAAGAAACTGGTAGAGGGCAACAAGGTAAGAAATGATTCTCACAATGATCACAATGAAGTCCATAATGCAAGGTCTTGACTCCGATAGAAGGATGAGAGCATGTATGTTTCTCTTCTTTCAGATGACGCGGTAGTCCTCTGTTTATATAACCAGTCAGGGACTCCGACCAACCACTAACGCCTAGTCTGCCACTAAAGAAATCCATTCTCCTGATCTTACTATACCAACACTGGCCAGTCATGTTAGCCAGAGTCTAATTGATCATACAGCATAATTGGTACCACCCCAACCCTCTCATTCCGAGAGTTAAAAGCCTACGGATCTGCTAAAGGTCCGACGCATCTAGATGCAGATACAACACATGATTCAGATGAGAGAGATTCGTGATCATGGTATCAACAGATTCACCAGAACATAGTTGCTGTTGTGCAACCCCAGAACATCAGTACTTAACGAGTCATGGTAGGCTGCATTTGTGTATAGACTTCAGCATGGCAACAGTCTCCGACATCAGATGCTCCCTCAACCTCTGCGACACCTGGTATATAAATATTGCCGAGTATGTTGCACAATATTGAACTTTATATACGCTATGAGAGAGGGCTAGAAAACCAAGCGTCGTCTGACGGAAGGGCTGGTTGCCTGAATATGATGTGCACTCCATGTAACTGCTAATAATTACTTAGTAAATGGCTCTATCGCAACTGAACAGCGAGGTCCTAGCTTGCAAGCCAGGGTACTGTCAGTTGAGTATTACTCTAATGGTTACCCCGGCCTCCAAGTGCCAAAGAAGCATGCATTATACGGTGAGCATAAACTCTGCCTGTGTTATTTTGGCATGGATATCTTGGGTGGGACTGCTGCAACCGCCCGCCACGTAGTCTCATTTGAGCCGGTGCACTCATGCACGAGTGTATAAGGCGATCAGATCGCCAGGTGACAGGTCACACAAACTTTAAAACCTGAAGAATTGCTTATATCACATCCCACAGTACACCGTATACCGCATCTGCTAGACAATAGCGTGAGTTATCTCGCTTGAACCATGCTCCCCAATTCGGCAAATCCAGCGCTCTCGAGTGAACTCAGAGATACAGTCTGTCGTTATACGCGTGTTATGGAATACCCGTACTAAAAATTAATTTATCAAGTAGAAACAATTCAGTTGGTTCTGTAGTCAGAGCGCCGATCTTACATATCGGCGTTCCGAGGCTTCCTCAGACCGGTCATGATGTTCTTCCTGCATGACTTTAGACAGTTCGGTCGCGTTATTCAACTTGCTCTTATGAGGAAGGATAATGGACAACATAAATTGAAGGGGTCATAATATTGAAAGAATTTTGTGGCCATAACGGATATACGCAGTATGGACGAAATGCGATAATGCGTACTTCCTGAGCAGAGATTAACTACAGGGCTCAAGAACTTGTGATATTAGTGGATGCCGGTCGAGGAAGCCAGACCAAACGCACCAAACTTCGTACATTAATCATGACACCATGGACAACATGATGGATGCTAGACACCAAATGGTGGCATTCGGGAATCCGACACAAAGAGGTCAACTAGTTTACCGCCACAGCAGAGGCTTGATGAACTGCAACTTGTCCAGCGGACATATCCACGATCATCAGTTGTACGCTGGTAATCGCATGCAGTAGCTGGAGACATGGTCGTCAGGTAGGGTGATAACTCGATGGCAATCATGCTGTGGTGTAACGAGCCAGCTCCTCTCCAATGGCTTACGAATCCCTGTCTTGTTCGTCATATCGCGGTGATTCCAGTATCGGTACTCAGATTCATGGTGGGTGTTGATGGTCTGTTGACTTGATCCCAAGGTTCAAGCCCTAGATCTGCATCTTGCTTGTACGAAGAGGATGGGATGAAGAATGTGACCAGATTTCAATTTTCAGATGAGAGCAGCGGCGCTTTGCGCGTCTAAGAGCCCTCTTCGTACTACTTTAAGCATGAACCCCAATAGCACGTGCGTTCAACATACAGGTTATCAGTTTGCATATGCAGCGCGCGGACAGGCAACACTCCGGCCAATTTCTGAGTATCGCATTCAAATTGATTCAGAGATGGGATTTTATCCATTCGCATAACTAACCATGAAATTCTAAGTTATACCAACTGCGATCAAACTCTCATATGATAGCAACAGATGATTCAAGGTCAAGGCAACACGGCCATGCCCATCTCAGGTAGGATAGTTTATACAAGTATTCATGCGGGGTGAAGAATAATCAATGAAATATTAATATTCTTTAACTTCGCTGGTGTGACCAGGGGTAGGGTTAAACCGACCAAAAGGCTGGAAACGCGACTCATGACGATTCTGAAAGAATGCTAGTTGGTAGCTTCGCTTCCCCATGAAAGATTATGTGGGACTACTGGTCCGTCTTTATTTCCCGGATTCTCGGCATCAAAATCTAAACGGTCGGGGATTCTCAAACCGGCTGGAAGATGGTAACGGACAAACCACACAGACACGCCATCCTTGTACAGCCACGGGTCCTCGGTTTGGCGTTGCCACTTTTCCAATCGCAACCTGAGGTCATCAAGTACAGCGGCATACGCTGGATCCTTTGCCAGATTGTGAACCTCTCTTGGGTCCTCCTCCAGATCGTATAGTTCTTCCGGAGGGCGGAAGAAGTAGTCTCTTAGCTTCCGTCCGCCAACCAGGATATCTGTGTCGGTTGAATTGCGGATATCCTCCCAAGACAATGACCCATAGAGATCGGCGGCAAAGGGAAAATCTAATCGCCAGGCCAGATTCCGGTGGTATTTATACCGGCGATCGCGGATGAACCTTGTTGGCCAGTAATTCGTCACTTCATGGAAAGTGTGCGATCCAAACGTCTGGTCGAAATCGGGTAAGCTGTTGGAATTTCCAAGTATCGGTAGCAGGGATCGGCCCAATCGCTTTTTCTCTGGATCTGTGACCTCGGGATGACCGACGAAGTCAAGAATGGTAGGAAGGATATCAACATAGGAGATCATGTTTGAGCTAACGGCTGGAGGTGTGCTTGGTTGCCTAATTATCAACGGGAGTCTAACACCTGCATCATAGAGCGTTGTTTTGGAGTTGATGAAAGGCGGGCCATTATCGCTGATGAAGATGACGAGGGTGGAATCCTCTAGGCCGGTCTCCCTCAGAGCATCAAGCACAAATCCGACACCTTGGTCAACACGATGGATTGATTTGTAGTATTCGACTAGTTCAGAACGAGTACCGGGTGTATCATTGACAAAAGAGGGAATCGGAACGTCTTCGGGTTCAAGATGAATCTTGGTGATGCGAGGATCATAGTCATCAGTGTTCCCGAAACCACCTCGAGTTCGGTCGCGATGAGGATCATGATACCCAATGGTCAACGCAAATGGTTTGTTGCTGGCTTTTGCTTCCTCAAAAAAAGATCTGGCTTGGTCGGCAATAACAGCAACATCGCGGGTGTCGCTCTCCTTGCGCAGTTGCCACGGATAAACAGCAGATGGGCCCACATGAATCTTGCCCAAGATTCCCGTCCAAAGGCCGGCCTCATTCAATAGATGAGGTAGACTTTTCACATGGTCGAAGGTCACGAAGTGATGACGGTGGCTCGCTAGTCCATATTGCCCATTCTGATGAGTGTGAAGACCAGTGTAAATGACAGAGCGGCTACCGCTGCAGGATGCCGTACTCGCAAACGCGTAGTCAAATCTGGTTCCCTGCTCTGCAAGCCGGTCAAGGTTTGGCGTTTGGATGGTATTGTCTCCGTAGCAGCTGAGCTGTTTTCCGAGATCATCCGCGATCAATAAAAGCACGTTCTTCTGATTTGCCATTGTTGTGAAGAAAGAAAACTCGAGAACAGCTATACAACAGTTTTATCTTTCATGACAAACATGAAATGAGTAGGAAATCGAAATTAATGAAGAGCAAAGGGAGTTCTGTGGGAAGTTGTCGAAGATCGCTTTTGACCCCGCTTAGGGTCACCTATCATTTCATGGGCGGATAATGCAATAACTCACACATACTAGCAGATAGCACCAAGCTACTGCATATTCCACCTATAGGAATAGCTTTGCTGCAAGGATCTCGGGTAATTGGGGGTTGGGTTCAACCTGCTGCATGAACGCAATTCCGTCAGCAGATGATGTGCTTGCGGGTAGAGAGTCACCATAACGGCCTTATCAACCCAATCCTTCTTCCATTATGGACTCGTATTTCGACATATCAATATAAATTAATCACGCCATGTACTCAGTCATCTCAATATATTATTTTCATGTTGCAATGCGCCCTTAAATTAGGAAATCCTGAAGAACTTGAGCTAGTCGCAGGTGCCTGACAGAACCCATGTTTGGTAGACACTGTTTTGTGGTAGATTTGGTCCTTGCAGAAAGTAATAATCACGTACTTGGACGGATGCATGATTTCCTGCCTATAAACAAGAATCATATAAATAATGGGTCTGGGTTACGAACAATCTACGCAGAACAATTTCTTCATCTGAATTATATATCTTTTAAACATATATTGGTAGCGTCGCCACGAGAGCATAGTATTCTCGATGCGTTCCATTTCATTCATACTATTTTCTGTGTTCGCAGGCCTCGCAGCCGGCCAACTGATTGGCCCAGTTGGTCCGACAACCCATCTCGAAGACAAGGATATTGAGTGCAATATTTTGGACTATGGTGGCGTTGCCGATAATGAAACCGATGTCGCAACTTCCATAGAGACCACGTTCACCGAATGTGTGCTAAACAACCCCAAAAGTCGTCTTGTTATCCCCGAGGGCGACTATTTGATCAAGCGCAGTGTTGTTTTGAGTAATGGAACCAATTGGGCTTTCCAGCTTGACGGTCTGATCACCGCGGCATATGGTGGAAATTGGACAGTCGACCGTGAGTTGATACTCCAAGGGTTTGCGGGAGAGCAAATAATAAACTCTACCATCAACGGCGAGGGTGACGGAAAATTCTTACTAGATGTGCTCGTCATTGTGAACGGTATGACTACTTAATCCTCATTCCGGATGACAGGCTTCTAAATACATCCCATTCAATGTGTGCAGCTGTCGATTTCGAATTCTATTCGTCCAACGGGCTTGGCGCATTTCAAGGCCAAGGATATATCTATCGAAATCTGGCAAAGTGAGTTATCTGAAATCCTATTTCTGCACACAGCTGACGAGCTTTCAAAGCACCGACCGCCCTCGACTTGTGAGATTAATCTCGCCCACAAATGCTTCTGTGCATGATTTGATCCTTGTGGATAGCCCCAAGTTTCACATCGTGTTTGATTTTGCTGTGAACCTGGAGGCGTACCACCTTACTATCCGCGGTGCTAACCTAGGAAGCTATGATGGCATTGACGCCATCGGCACCAACTATTACATCCACGATAACGAGGCAAGTCGATAGACCATAAATTAGCAATCTAGCAGTGGCTAACAATAAGACCGATGGTAGGTCACGAATCGTGATGAGTGTGTCTCCGTGAAAAGCCCGTCCCATCATGCCTTAGTCGAGAACCTGGTTTGCAATCAAGCAGGATCTGGTGTTTCAATTGGCAGTCTCAACGTATCTGCGGAAATATCTAACATCGTGAGTCTCATCAGTTGATTCGTTCGCGAGTGGTTTGGCAGATTACTAACATGAAATAGGAAGCTCGCAATATCAGCATTATCCAGGGCAACAATATCGCCTTCATCAAGACGTATCCTGGAGGGTCTGGTTACGTCAAAGACGTCACATTTGAAAATTTCCGCTCTTTGAACAGCCTGTACGGGTTGGACATCAACCAATACTGGCAAAACACATGGGAGCCTGATACCGGTTCCGTGACATTGAGCAACCTTGTCTTCAAGAACTTCTCAGGTAATCTCGGCTCGTGTATCCAGTGAATGCAGCCCTCGTACTGATGCACAAACATAGGATCGGTTGCCGATGGAGCACTCCGCCCGCCATTGTATCTGTTTGCAAGTGACTTGACATTTGCAACGAACGTCACCGTGGAGGAATTCTCTGTCTGGACTGAGACTGGTACAACAGTCGTCAACAAGATCAGCAATATCTTCGGCACTGGGGATGACAGCTATGGAGAGAATGATGGCATTGAGAGCCTCCAATCTGGAGAGTCGCCGTATACGTACACTAGCACCTATACTATTACGGCTTCTCCCACCAATTGGCAAGCTCCATTAACCCCAACCTGGGCTTTACCGAGCACTGGATATGGAAGTAAGTTCAACGAGAATTGTTCTGGTTATCTTTTACATAGCTAACTTATCTACAGCTGCGTCGCCTATTCCAGTCTATACTCCCGCACCTCTTTGGCGCCCTGGTGGAATTGACTATAACCTCCATTATTGGGGAAGCTTTTAGTTACGAAACCTGCAATACTACGTTTAGAAATGGGTTGGGATAGGATGGGAGATTATGTAGATAGAATGAGTTTGATAAAGCTCCAGAGATTGATTGTAAGGTAGAATTGAGCGAATCCTCGCTCTCGCCAACAGCAAAAAGCTGCCTGACATTGCCCAAATAAGAAAATATATTTATCGCATTGCAGTCCCGCTTTCACGAGCATATATAACATCTTCGCACATGCTTCTATAGCCCCACACCAGCATTGCCAAGGAAAATCGAGTGACAGGAAGGCTGTAATGGAGACATCTGTTCATGCCAGAAAAACTACTGGTTCCGTTAGAACATATCTCAAGCACTAGCAATTTCCCACCAATCCAGAGACATGACACCGAACAGGGCCTCGACTGTCGGTAAATTAAGCAAGGAGGGGCATTGATAGATTCCAGGGTCTTGGGTGCGCTATGATTGGAGTAGCCCTAGCTTGTGTCATCCGCGCTTACATGACGACGATGGTCAGCAGCAACATATCGCGGTCAATATGCGCCAACTCAGAGTTAAGCAAGTTGGAAAGCAGCTAGTTGCTGTCATCTTTCATTTAATATAATTTTACTATCATGTTATTAGCATCTTATCACTGAGAACTGCTACTATAGTATGTTTGGTCGTTCTATGATAGCGCAAATGCCCATCACCTCATCATCCTCGCCGATCACGCATCTCCGGGCTCTAGCTCCAGGGAGCTACTTCCCTATGTACGCATCGCATGTATATAATTCCAACCTAGCCAACGTGTATTTACCTTCAGCAAGCCATATTATCTTGTTCGGGCCTGGGTTGGCTGTTATATCCTCTTGACCTTGTCCGGTATACAGATCGCTCCGACTATGGAGCGAAATCCCTCCAAAGCTGCGTCTTCACTGGATCGCGATCAAGTCGAAAGAAGCCAAGACCTGAAAGATGGGAGCTACGTGAACCTTGCCGAGCCAGACGATTCCCCTGGCTCTGATGCAGTCCTTTCTTCTCTCTTCCGTCGATCCAAGAAGCACGACCCTGACGCTATAGCGACCACTCGAAGTGTATTCGATGACCCTTCACTTGCACCATTTTACCAGCCTCATCCAAAGTATGAGAATCTTCATCGCTTCGACCCCAGCGCACGATGGACGTACCGCGAGGAAACGAAAGTTCGACGTAAGACAGACTGGTCAATTCTTCTTTGGATCCTAGTTATGTTCTTTGGGTTGAACCTCGATCGAGGAAATCTGAGCAACGCCAACTCGGATAATCTTCTCGGCGATCTGAACCTAACCACCAATGACTACAACAACGCACAAAAAATGTACCGGGTGGGTTTTCTGATTGCAGAGATCCCGTCGCAGATGCTTGGAAAAGCAATCGGTCCTGATCGGTGGATTCCGGTTCAAATCATCTTGTGGAGTTTTGCGTCTGGAGGACAATTCTTCATGCACAATCGTGCAGGATTTTTCGCTTGTCGCTTCTTCATAGGGCTGTTCATGGGTGGCTTCATTCCTGATTCCATCTTGTACTTGTCTTATTTTTATACGAAGGCGGAGATGCCGTTCCGCCTGGCACTGTTCTGGTTCACTGATTCGATATCTGGTGTCATCGCATCATTCATTGCGTACGGTGTCTTGCACATGCGCGGCGTGGACGGAAGGGAGGGATGGAGATGGCTTTTCCTAATCGAAGCGCTGATCAGTTTTGTGATTGGCTGTCTAAGCTTCTTGTTTCTGGTCCCTGGACCCACTCAGACCAGAACGTGGTGGAACCCCAAAGGAATCTTCTCAGAAAGAGAGGAGACGATTATCGTTAACAGAGTGCTGCGAGATGATCCATCCAAGGGTGACATGCATAATCGCCAAGCGCTGTCCCTAGGGATGTTATGGAAGAGTCTCAAAGACTATGACCTCTGGCCGATATATATCATCGGGATCATGTTCGAAATTCCGACTTCACCACCAAAGTCTTATTTGACCTTGTCACTCACGGGAATTGGCTTCTCCACATTCCAAACGACCCTCTTGTCCATCCCTGTGACCGTCTTCGCCGCTATCAATCTTGTCCTCGTCGCGCTCTTATCTGAGTTCTGGGGACAAATCTCAATTGTGTGCCTTCTAACACAGTTGTGGTCACTTCCACTCCTCATTGTACTCTACACATCTGCCGGAAGCCTTTCCAACTGGGGGCTATATGCCGTCTCGTTCATCTTACTGGGCTGGCCGAATCCTCAAGCTGCCCAGGTGAGTTGGTGTTCGCGATTGAGCAACAGTGTGAGAACCAGAGCAGTCAGTGCAGCAATTTTCAATATTATGATTCAGCTTTCTGGAATTGCGTCCTCCAACATTTACCGGTCGGATGACAAGCCTCTCTACCGCCGAGGAAATAGACAACTGATCGCGATCAATGTTGCCACTATTGTCATGTACGCGTTGGCGAAGTTTTATTATGTATCTCGGAATCGGTGGAAGAAAGCTCAATGGGACAAGATGACGGCGCAGGAGAAGGCTACTTACTTAGAGACAACGACGGATGAGGGGAACAAGCGGCTTGACTTTTATTTCGACAGTTGAAAGGGTATCATGCTGCTCGGATAGTGCGTGGTTTTTGTAGGGGACGTGCTTGTCAAAAGATTTCGTGGTCAGTAGCGGACGGCACTAGTGAAAAGCAGACTGTTTATAAACAGGACAAGCAATCAATATAGGGACTAATCATGAAATTAACTATCCGTGCATCAGTGGAAGGATAGTGAACGAAGCAGGTTGTTTGGAATTAAAGATCATATTTACCCAGGCCTCAGTAGAATCTGTTCTTCGTACTCTCGACTACCATACACAATCGGAGAAATGTAGGGTAGGATCTTAATCGAAACAGCAGATGCCAGACGTGAGGTCAAGGACCACATATTAATGTCGAACAAAGTGAATTCAATTTCACTTGATCTCAGAAAAAGATTTTCATAGGGCTTATCACTATAAAGTCCGCAGTGGATAATTAAACTCTAAGTTGGGCGGAAACGAAAACGAAAACGAACCAAAATAGAAACAGGGTCCTGCGGCTTAAACGAATATACGAGCGGATCCTCACGAATGTACCCGGTACCATCAATGAAAAGGTCACCAAAATTTCAAGATAGGATTCATATAACCAATAGAAACGTCTGAGCAGAAGGTAGTAAGTGTTCCAAATATTCTGATCCAGTCGACTTCTGGACCCCGAATAAAACACTCCGTTCCTTGGGCGAACAGTGCTCAGGCCTTACCCAAGAAATGTACTCTGTAGCCCCATAATATCATCATATACACAACGAATTTTGCGTTGCACAACCTTTCCTCAGCCTCACCTGTGCGGGTCCACTATCTGTTAGGCTATTGTCTGAAGCCCCATGTTACTATAGAGAGATAGTATAAGTAGCAGCTTGATAGAAAGAATTTTCTCCGTCTTGTGGTCTAAAGACTTTCCAGGCCCCTATTCACTCACTACCGTTAATATTTTCCTCCACGCTCTTTTTGTTCTTATATGTTTGTTGTTGCTTGCTGTTGCTTTCCGTTCACTCCAAAAATGCTGGGCCCTAGGGATTCCGCCAGTTATGACTTCGCATTCTATCGCTATGACCCCAGTATGGGTGGCGCCGTTCTTTTCATCCTCCTCTTCATTGGCACAACAGGGTATCATGTCTTCCAAATGGTCAAGTCTCGAACATGGTTCTTCATCCCATTTGTGATCGGAGGTATATGTATGAGCACCTTCAATGTGCGTGAGTCTCGAACCATCATGCTAATTTTCCTAGTCGAGATTATCGGATATATCGGACGTGCCATGTCTAGCAAGCAAAGTCCAAATTGGACTCTCGGACCCTACATTGTGCAGACGCTCTTTCTTTTACTCGCCCCAGCTCTTCTCGCAGCCTCCATATACATGCTACTCGGTCGGATTATCCTTGTGTTACAAGCCGAATCACACGCTCTCTTGAAGAAGAAATGGTTGACCAAGATATTTGTCACGGGTGATGTCCTTTCATTCTTATTGCAGGGAGCGGGTACGTATCGCATAAGGCAACCCCATATTACCAGATAGGTCTCTGACCCTGTCCAGGTGGCGGCATTCAGGCTAGTGGAAGCCTGGCCGGCATGAAGAATGGCGAGCACATCATCGTCGTTGGTCTCGTGATCCAAATATTCTTCTTTGCATTCTTTATGGTCACTGCGACGCACTTTTACTTGAAGGTCCATAAATATCCCTTCCCGCGATCTTGTTCTCCACATATTCCTTGGAAGAAACACATGAAGGTACTCTATGCGACGAGCATATTTATCATGGTTCGATCCATGTTTCGATTGATTGAGTATATTCAGGGGAACAATGGGTACCTCTTGCACCATGAAGCCTTTCTTTATATATTTGATGCATTGTTGATGTTTATCACCATGATAATATTCAATGCTGTCCATCCGCAAGAAATCGGTCAACTACTCCGTCATCCGAATGACTATAGTATGGCGACTCTTCCAGAAGATCAGGCTCCGAATCCTTACCAAGGCTGCAATAATGTGTGAGGAAGTTGTAGCATTCTTGCTACTTTTGGTCGTCATCCTATGTGTTACCGTCCGCAATACATCCGTTACGTTTGTGTTCTTCTTCTTTCCAGGCCCAATTATTGATTTTGGGCTCTATCTACATTTAATAAGATCCGAGATTCATCGAGGATGAACAGGCCTTTCCAGTTTATTGGGCTTGAGTCATAGAGCCTAATTCCGATCACGTGTGTTTTAGGTCAAGGCTCATGCAATCAGAAACGATACAATAATGAGAATATGTGCGAGTTGGCTATGTACCATCCATTTCATTGTCACTTCAGGATGGTGGGACTAAGCTATCCTGATGGGATCAGTCAAGGCGGGTACTTCAACACGAGACTAGGAAGTAGTACACAATAGGGCTGCCTCTCAGCGAAAACCCCAAAACTAAACATTTCTAGATCAGACAATCAATTGCGGACTGAGTTTCCTGAATGGTGGAAGATGCCATACTGTTAGCGGGGACTATTTTTAGCATGTCATGACTTGGTCGGCGTCCGTACATAGAAGGTTAGCGGATGTCTTGATGATCACACAAAAAAGGGATAGGATGAAACTAGATGTCTCACTGGCTATCTCATTTGCCCAACAGCATCAGTCGTTCCGGCCCGCTAGTTCCACCACATGTCACTTGTCTCGGATTATTCTCGAAGGTCTGGCATTTCAATGTTCCACCTGGTCGCTCTACATAAATAGACCTTTACGCCGTTTTGTTTTCTTCTTCGTTCTACGTCATTTATTTATCCAAAATGGCTTCCAAGACCCTTCTACTCATTCCGGCACTGGCCACAGCCGCTCTGGGAAGTGTATTGGACCTAGATATCAAGGTTCAAAATGGCTATGTATGTCAATGAGAAGCTCAGCTCCTGAGAAATTTCTACTAACTCGGCGAAGAGGACTATCGAGGTAGACCTTGGAACCCCAGGTGGCCCGTTTGATTTGATGTACGACACCGGATCATCAACACTCTGGGTGCTTGATAGCAATTGTACAGATGATTGTCCAAATGTTAGCGGGTTAGTTGATTCATCCCACCATTCCTTAAGCCTACACTAATCACGAGCGCCAGGTACTCCCGACACGGCTACAACCTCACCTCTACTGGTGTCAACCTAGGTGTCAACGACAGCATTGCTTACAGCGGAGGCACTGTCAGCGGCTTCACTGCCACGGATATTCTCACGGTTCCCGACACCAACGTCTCATATCGCCAGAGCTTTGCCGTCATTACCGACAGTACCTGGGCGGCCTTAGCAGCCGATGGGTTCATCGGCCTGGCATCGTCCACCATCGCATTCAAGAATACTACGACAGCCGTCGAACAGATGATGCAGGATGGACTTTTGGATGAACCTCGATTCGCCATATATGCAGGTTCAGGGGTATCGACCGTGACCAACCCTGATCCGGAGAATAATGGCGTGTTCACCTTTGGTGGCAGCCATGAGGAAACCTATGCGGACGGGGAACTGCAATGGATGAAGATGCTCTCCCCCTTTGAAATATACAAAACAAATCTCCTTGGAATTCAGGGACACAACAACTCCGATGGCCAGGCCCTGTCAAGCGACGTCCTGAACTGGTACGGCCAGGTTATTTTCGATACCGGTAGGCATTTTCTACCACACTGTTTTCTTTAGCTTGCTAGACTAATCTATACAATGTCGCAGGTGCTTCATCGATAAGCATTCCCAACGACCAGATTGAGGCGATGTATGCCCTAACGCCTTTCTCATACGCTGACATCTCATCTGGATACCGACCTCTGTGCTCCGATTTCAATGATACATGGTCGATCTCTTTTACAATGGGCTTCTATGGCGAGGGCGTCACCTTCAATTTGACCGGTGATCAGCTGGCCGTGCCTGGCTATCAGGACGACGACCACTGCTTCCCTCCCTTCAATCCATGGGACAGCTACAACACGATTATTGGTCAGCATTGGTTGAGCAATTTCTATGCTGTATTCGACTTCGGATCATTTGACCCGGAGACATACGATATACGTGTTGGGCTGGCTCCTTTGAAGAAGGAATACCTGCCGAGCGCTTGACCTAAGAACTTCTATTCGTGTCTTTGAGCATTTAGTTCAAACCTCTTGCTCGGACGTCAATGTTTAAGCATGCGTAAAACTATCTACTAGAAGTTAATGTTCATCGAGAGTTCAACGTTTGAATAAGCAGCTTATCTTCATTCTTTATAGCCACTATACGCGACATGACAATTGTTTTGTGGGTCGGTGCGATAAAGTGGCCATCCTGCCATTCTTCCTGCATCGTCGTAGTCGGATAATGAATGCATATAAAGGCAATAGCAATCAAAATAAGCCAGGAGATGGAACATGAAAGGATCTTACTCTTTGTCATGGCCTCATGCAACTTTGGTTCGGGCTGTCGGTGACCCTGTGGGGCACATCTCCGGGGAGTGGAGGCCGTTAAGCTTCGGACAACATTATTTCTTCGGGTCAACCATGAAAAGGTTCGGGGACCTGCATGTATTCCCCAAGCCCGCAAGTCGGCGTCATTAAAAATTATTGCGGATAAGGAAATGGAGCCATGCAGACTATCTTTACGGTTCTATGGTTTGTTAGAGATAATCATTGCTCGCCGAACCCAGATGCAGCATTGATCTGTTAAAACCCTCTCTCATATTCCGCGAGTCACTCGAATTCGTGATCAAGCTTTCTCAGATCTCAGTATGGGGCCAATTTCATCTCTCCTCGTCTCACCGGCCGAGCTACATCACTTACTTAAAGCTGCCTCTACTGCATTCCGAATTGTCCCTGTCGCAGCGGGAAATTATTCCACACTTCCATCCTTCGAGTCTCATCATGTACCCGACTCTGTGTAAGCCATTTCTCCGCCTACTCTGTCCGTTTGACCTCCATCTAATTACAATCAAACAAAAGGTTCTTCAACATGGATGCAGCCAGAGACGCCAACTCACCCTACCCGATGATGCTGCCCTCTTCAGCCCAGTTTGCAACGTACATGGCAGAGCGTGGCATCCGCCCAGATGACGTTCTAGTCATCTACGATACCTTCGAGACGGGTCTCCGCTTGTCTCCCCGTGTCGCATGGGCCTGTCAGCACTTTGGACACAAGAATGTTCACGTATTGAACAATTTTGCCAACTACGTAAAAGAAGGGTTTCCCGTCGCTTCCGGGCAGATGCGGACGCCAGTGTCTTCGACAACTAGCGAGATGGATGAAGCTCCCAGCATTTATCCGGACCCCGAGGCAGACAACGTGATTACCTTCGAGCACTTACGTTGTATGATTAAGGACCCATCGCAGAAAGGAAATTTTCAGATCATCGATGCCAGACCCAATGACTTGTTTTCTGGACGTGCTGCAGCCAACGGCGCGAGTACTTCTGTGAGATTGGGACATATGCCATCTGCTATCAATGTCCCTTTTGATTCCGTTCTTGGTCTAGACAAAACATTTCTTCCTCCGGCAGAGCTAAGGGACCAGTTCGTGAAATCGGGAGTAAGAGAAGACGTGCCGGCTGTGTTGACCTGTAATAGCGGTGTTACTGCTGCAGTGGTAGATCTGGCGCTGCGGGTGGCTGGCCTGAATGTGAAGACGAGCCTTTATGATGGGAGTTGGAGTGAGTGGGCTGATCGAGTGGATGAAGATGGTTTGATTGTTATATAAAATCGAGATTTCCTACTGCTCTCAATTTTTTATGCACTTGATCGTTATAGAGATATCTAAGGATACCAAGGCCTGAGGAGCATATTATCTTCCTCATTTAATGGCCATGCTATTTTGGTTACAGTGGGTCTACCTCGATGATTAGTCTCCGCGGGACGGCAACCCCGGCAATCGCCGACAAAAATCGTGGAGCCATCCAGATTGACAATCTAGCTCAAAGCCATAGTGTTACCTAAACTGTGTTCCATTGGTCATTCCGTCGAAGGTCAAGCGCGATCGGGGACCGGAGATGATATCCATAGGCGGGTGACAAAGCGTTCGTCTATCGTGCAATTACCCACTGAGGGTGTAGGAAGTGCTGCGTATGTTAAGCGGTTTTGCAGACAGCCACCAAGAATACCCATCTATAGAAGATTATCAACCCCTACAGGCTCGTGGGTACAGTACTCGCTAGATCGGGTTTCGGGGACCATTTCCACGGCGCGGGAAGTCATGGTGGTTCCGTCGATTAGTGTTCACTGTCGCCGTCTTGTTCGCCACCAACACCGGGGTTCTGCGGTGAAGGGTATACATGGAACTACTAATGTTATCTTAAGATAATGAGCATCTCAGTAGTCTGGATCGTCGTACTTGCCCCACTGAAGGTCCTGCTCAGACATAGTTTGTCTCTGGCCTTCTTCAGGGGTCAGCAAAACTTTAATAACCGTTTTCTAATCTGCTGTTCAGTCGCCAAATCTCTCAGAAGCATAAGCATGCAAAGCTTCATAGTAAACATTATCCCATGGTACTTGAGTGGGTAATAGTGAACATTCTGGCTGTGAGTAGTGCTCGCTCGGTGACACCATGGACCCCTATCCCGATCTAAACCAAACTACCGAGTCACCGCATGCAAGTAAACCCCGAACAACTTATTATTCATCATACGGTTTTCTGGCCACGCTGAAGCGATAAAATAGAGAGAGAATCGTTTTCGTAAGCTTCGACGCTAACAACAAACATACCACACCAAGAACATACACAGCATCATCATGGCTCAAGAACCCACGATCCAATCCCAGTTCGAACCCAACACGGGCACCTGGCAATACATAGTAGCCGACCCATCAACATCAAAAGCCGTCATCATCGACCCAGTACTCGACTACGACTCAGCTACTCAGGTTATAAGCACGTCCACTGCTGACAGCTTACTTGCTGGAATCGAAGAAATGAACTACAGCATCTCCTATATTCTCGAAACACATGCGCACGCCGACCACTTGACTGCAGCATCGTACCTGGCATCTCGCATCAGCCAGAAACAAGGATTCCGACCGTCCATCGGTATCGGAAAGCACATCACACAAGTGCAACAACTCTTTGGCAGCCGGTTTCAAATTCCCGCTGAGGAGTACGAAGGAGTCTTCGACAAGCTCTGGGAGGATGGCGAGACATTTGAAATCGGGTCGTTAACAGCTACGGCCATGCATCTACCGGGTCATACTCCTGATCATTTGGGATACAAGATTGGAGGTTCGTCCTTCCGCCATCATGGCTCTCTTTAGACAAGTATAGGCGAAATCCTGCTCATAATTGGTGCACAGATAATGTCTTCTGCGGCGACTCTCTCTTCCACGCCGACCTCGGTACTGCCCGCTGCGACTTTCCCAACGGCAGCGCTCAAAGCCTCTACCACTCCGTCCAGAAACTCCTTAGCCTGCCAAATCAAGTCAGAATTTGGACAGGCCATGATTACCCCAACGCAAACCGGACTGAGCCTGTGCCGTGGCTGACTGTCCGCGACCATCGAACGCGCAACAAGCATGTCAACGATGATGTTACCGAGGAGCAGTTCTTGGCTTTGCGGCAGGAGCGTGATGCTACCCTCCGTCAGCCAAAGTTGTTGAATCCGTCATTGCAGGTGAATATCCGTGCTGGAAGGCTGCCGAGAAAGACGGAGTCTGGAATGCGAATGTTACATTTGCCGTTGAAGGTAGATGGAGAGGAATGGTGATGAAGATGGGGAGATCTTGTTCATTATTATTATTCTACCTTAATCGTGTGCCATCTATTTAAAATTGTTCGAATAGTATCTTATAAGTAAATATTAAATATTTATTGTAATCAAGCACTTTCAAGCCATAAATGACAGTACAATGCTCATTCTACTTAGCTATGCTGTAATTCATGTGTTCAATCCACTGATTTGGGTGGAAAGTTGTCGCCGTCGTCCCACTCAGGAATTCAGTACATGTAAACTCTACAGTTAAGAATATCCTTTAACTCAGAATACTTCTTCACATCTCCCAGAACTAAGAATGGGGCTGGTGGCCGACGACCCCTTTTGCTACCTGTATGGGTCATAGACGCCGAATGCCCGAACTTTATCCGAGACGGCGAATGCCAATCGCCGATCTCAAAATTGTTTTATACATCATGACAAAATTCGGTATTCATTATCGGCCGATTGTAGAATCCTGCTTCTAGAACATATTAGAGTTAGTGTTCCTGGCATACCGTGAACTCACTGCCAATCCCACAGCTAGTGCCCATAGACCTACCCCATGTCTCCCAGTCGATGAACAACTATCTATCCGCCTCACATCCACCAACCACAATGTTAATACCGAACACCAAATCACGTACACAACCTCCGACATCAAACACCTCACACCCACCCTCACAACTATACAAAAACAACCTCCCCCTCCCCGCCGTCCACAGCTCACCCACCAAGACCCTCACACGCCAATGCACCGGATATCTAACTGAACAAATCCGCGAAGACCTAACCCTGGAATCCCAACTCCTCCTCCTCTCCTTCGCCATTGGCATCCAAGATGCCGCCGCGTGGAAAGACTACGGCTGCTTCGCCTCCAACCAAACAGGCAACATGCTCTTCCTGGCTATCGGCGGTGCCGGACTTGCCAGCAACGACGATTTTGATTTCACCTACGTGGGGATGAGTCTGGGGTCTTTTGTGGCCGGTGGGCTGGTAATGGGCCAATTCGCGAATTATCTGGGCGTGGTACGCATGCGCTGGTGGTTACTTTTCTCGAGTCTGTTGCAGACGGTGATGGTATTTGCCGCAGCGGCGATTATGGCGTATACAAACCCGGTGAAGCAGCAGACTAGTAATGATCCAGCGGCGCTGGTGACGTTGTTCCTATTGGCGTTTTCGTCCGGTGCGCAGGTTTCCATGGGACGGGCGTTGAAGGTCACGGATATTACGACGGCTATGGCCACGGCGGCGTATATTGATGTGGTTATTGATCCGGGTTTGTTTCGGGCAAGGAATCGGATGCGGAATCGTAGGGTTTTATTTTTGGTTATGTTGACGGCGGGGTGTTTCGCTGGTGCGGGCGTGGAGAAGGCGGCTGGGTCGTGTGCTACGTTGATTATGTGTGGGTGTTTGAAGGTTCTGGTTACTGTTATATTCTTTTTTACGCCGAGGATGAAGGTGGGGGTGTGAGGTTGTGGATAGAGATTGTGTTAAAGGTATTTTTTGGGCGTTGATAGAATATATAATATAGATCACAGAAAGAAGGAGTATTCTGGAAAGGTGAGCCAAAGCCATTGCGGCCATAGAACATGATCAGTCTGCTTCCATGAGATGCTGGGCCCTACCAGGGACAGGTTGATATTACATCAGTATCAGGCCGCCGCGGGAATGTCACAGTATCACTATGAAGTCTTACCATGCGAATGCAGTACGATATCTTATTATGTACACTAATTCAGCCTACATCACGGCTTTGTATATATCAAAATCGTACGGGAAACCCTTTTCTACTAGCAGATCCCTCGCAGACTTTCCCGACGCGTCACGGATATCTGGATCAGCCCCTGTCTCCATCAGGAGATCCAAAACATCCGCCCGGATTTGAAAGGTGCCTTGCCCGTTTCCCGGCTCATAATAATGTGTCTGTATGTAGTGATACAGTGGAGTACGGCCCTTGTTGTCTTGTGTGTTGATATCCTTGTTAGCACCCTGGGCCAAAAGAAACCTGGGGCCGGCCAGGTTCCGGTCTGGTTCGTCGAGAATGAGATGAAGTTCCGTCTGGCCTTGGGCATTAGGACGCAACTGTGCGCCCGCTTCAATCAGGGTGCGAAACCATGGGAACATGTTCTCATTCTGTGGCAGTGCGTAGTGAAGTATGTTTTTTCCATAGCGGTCAAGGCTGGTCAGGTCGGCGCCCTTTTCCTCGAAAAAGTGAAGGAGCTGCGTGCTAAGTGCCTCGACTTCGGGATCCTCATCGTCGACGCGCCAACACATGGCGAGATGAAAAGCGATATGGCCGTCCTTTGTGCGATAATTAGCAAGATCTGGGACGGCAGCCGGGCAGGTGAGTGGCCAGAGAATTTTGATGATCTCTAGATGGCGACCCTGACAGGCTTGGTGCACTGGTAGCCAGCCTTTAGTGTTCATCATATTGGGGTCTGCTCCGTGATCCAGCAGAAATCGCACAGTTGCTAGACGACCACCACCCGCTGCGGCATGAAGCAGGGAACCCCCTGGGCAGACATTTATCTCACGGAGCTCTTCGTTCATGTCTATCATGGCGCCTTCACGCTCATAGAAATAACAGATCAGATCTGGGTTGCCATTGCGCACCGCCCGAGCAAAGAGGCTGATCCCCTCTCCTTCCCCGGCAAAGCCGTCAGGGAGGTCCACGCCGTGGTCAACAAGCATCTTGATCATTTCCATGCCCATAGAGGTATCAATGGTAGCGTGAATGATTGGTTTATGCACAGTCCAAGGGGGGACATAGATGGACATAGGGGGTTGTGCGTTCGGGCGGGCTCCGCGGGTAAGTAACAGCTGGAACGTCTTGATTCCCCTGGACCAGGACTCCTCTGGTAGGGCCGGTAATATCCTATGGTAAGGGTCATACTCTTCATTTTCAGCTGCATCAGCCAAAGCGCGGTCCAGGATATCCTGTGGTACTCCAGAAGCCGGGTAGTTATGGAGCAGAGTGGCTAGTGTTTCTGGATGGTGATAAAGTGCTGCAGCAGCGACGGCCAGAGGCCATTCGCGGCTGCTAATGGTGTCTGAAGGTAGGCGATTAATCAGCCGTTGAACGACAGCGTTAGAGCCCCAGAAGGCTGCCGCCATAAATGAAATATATAGCTCGCTATCCATCCCTCCAAGAACACCACGTATTCCGTCCGCTGAAATATTATCCAGGGTTGCATCTGCTCCCGCCTCGAGGAGAATATCCACCATCTCGGCAGAGTTGCTTGCGGTGATAAGATGCAATGGAGTCAGGTAAACTCTACCATATTGTTTAATGCCCTTCTGATTAACATTGAAGCCTCGGGAAATCAAATAACGAAGTTGGTCTGGCCGGTTGCGCTTGATGGCCTCATGGAGTGCTGTTTCACCAGACTTCGGAAGGTCCACTGCTTCTGGAGAATCAAGGATGGCAGCAACGGCGGTAAGGTTGCCCACACGAGTCCATCCTATTAATTGAGCATTGGTGTTCGAATTGATGGGGTATGGGATTCTGGGGTAGCACGCCATGGTATTTGAAAAGTGCAGGAAATATTGAAAGAGGAAAAGAACCCAAATTAGAGGATTTGCTCTGCTCTAGTTGAGAAATTATGTGTAGTAGGATAATACGCGGCGAGCAGAAATGATACGCGCAGTACAGTATGTTACGTATTCTCTATGTAATTTACGGTCTCCCGAGTGAATCGTAAAGAATTGCTGGATACGATTCAACACAAACAGCTTGTCTTTCTTGAAATAAATCTCTGGCTGACAACCCAGCTTCATAGCTGTGTCGATGGTACTAGACCTTCTGTTGTAAACATATCCTTCACCTGAGACGAACAGCTGCCATAGTCTGATAAATTTGCACAGTAAGCATCCAAGCTGCCACAATATCCGTTCACCGAACAGCAATCCCCAAACTGGCTGCCCAGGCAGGTCGCACTGTTCGAGGACATACAACCGCAGATACCATCAGTGCTAAGCGGCTGCTCATCGCATCTACCAAAAGCAGATTGACATTGACCGATCTCGCAGTATGCATCAGTGCTGCCACAATAGCCACTCTTGGAGCAACAATCCCCAAATTGGCTACCTACAAATGGTCCACAAGTTTTCGTAGAGACAGCGGGGTGCCTTCGCCGCGCCGATCCAGATTTAAACCCAGATACATCTATAGCCCTGATTAGCACCACTCTTCCCCCGGCCGAGTCGAAAACACCATCGGAGCCCCAATAGCAGGAGCCGGTCTCGACATGCCTTTTCAAGTTACTACATTTCGCCATCGCGGCTGCTACCCACACAAGGTCAAGACTCATAGGAAATTGACGGCAAGCTAAAGGTAGTGGCACAGCTTTTATTGAACTTATCGAGCTTTTCTTGGGATAACCGTGGAATAGTATTTCTTTCTTTTTTTTTTTTTTTTTTTTTTTTTTTTTTTTTTTTTTTTTTGTTTTTTTTTTTTTTTTTTTTTTTTTTTTTTTTTTTTTTTTTTTTTTTTTCTGATAGTAGTAAAGACTTCACCCAGTCTTTTCACCACTTCCTCCCCAACCCTCTTTAACATAAGTTCTCTGTGATAAACGCAGACTGGCAAAAGATATGGAAAAAGATATAGAAGAGATCTTATACTCTGTACACATGACTCATTAGATCTACAGTCTAGTTTCACTTTGTTGGAGGTGGAATACAATTTAAACCATCGCTAGTAAACGCCTCAGAACCGAAACCTTTACTCACAGAACTTTAATCCGAAGCTCGGGGCAACAACATTCGGTGCCTAGGTACCTTTCCTGGCATCTCCCTATCGTGGGAAACACAGGTGAGTTTAAATTTTCTAAAACTAGTCAGGTACATGCCGTAGACCTAGGAACAGAAGTTTTATGATACATAAGACCGTTCATTTGGGGAAGAAGGCAACGAACTCGCTGTTCTAGCTTAGTTATTTTAATCGTATTTTCTCTATGCATATGTACACACTGCTCTTGTGGCCAGAGTGTTCCTGGCCCTGACTGGCCAGTGTGCCACAATAGTCTAATAAATCCGGCAACGACTAGCCAGGTCTGGATGAGTTTCATATGGAGGAGCACTTCCCGAAGTTGTGATGACATAGGGTGCTAATATTCGTGTGCGAGCTATGAAATGGATTTCGGCGATGACTGACCAAGATCGTCTGCGCCTATGTTGCCTGGAAGGAGAATGTTACGATTCGTACATGCTTCTAGAACTAATATATTTTCAGAAATTGTGCCGCCTTTTCTGTCGATATACTTGACCTTCAGTCTCATCTTTTAATATAATGTGCCTGTGCCTGCGCTATTGAATCTTTTATCGGCGAGAATTAACCTCCGCAGATGTGTTGTGGCTGGTGGCCATACTTCTTCTAGGCCTCAGATCTTTTCTAGCCGCACTACCATCAGCTATGTTAGAAAACAGACAGTCGTTGCTTACGTGTTTCTCGCTATCTACTGTCCAGCGAAGTAACTATTGGGTCTCCATTGGGGATCTCTTGCCGGAATTGGAGCCAACAAGCAACTGTTTCGTGACGCCGCTCGCAAATATATTTCGAAAAGAGATGCCTAGAGTTTTCCAGCTGGGAAGGGGTAAGCTGTCGTCTTTACCGAGATTTGATGCTTTATACCTGTTATACTGTGCTTCATTTTAAAGAAACTAATTTAAACTTATCGAACTCATAACTACCAAAAATAAAAATCTTAACCATAATGTAGAAACGGTCTGTGAAACGGAATATTTCCTCAGCCCCACGAGAAACCCTAGACCTAGACCTTTAACAGGACAAGCTCATTACTCTGAATAATTTGTCTTCTTTGAAAAACCGCCATTGAAAGGCCTCTCACCAGCCCTCACGAAGTCGTGGTGGATTTGCTTGATGGAGCATAATGTAGTCTGCCACTTTCGTATATTCGTACAGTACACTTGGGAGGAAGGCTCGTATATTCGTATAGCTCGCATAGGGCAGCTCCACAGCGGAGACACTCCGTTTCCAGTTTTAGACTTTTAAGCTTGGTTTTAGGCGGTCTATCTAGAGCAACGTATGTGATTGGTGACCGGGATAGAGTGGAAATACAAGATTTCAATGGGTTTGCTAGGTTGAGCGGTTATGATTTTCACGATGGGCGATTGCAGCCTATTCTACGGAAGACCCGTGATCGAGGCCTTGTCTGCGCCACCAACATCGTTGAACTACTGTATCTGAATATCAATCTTTGTCAACGTAGATATGTGAGAAAAGTCTTTTCTACCAAAGTCTGGATCGATTGGGAGTTGCTGCGATGGCTGGGCCTTCTTCAATATTCAAGGCCTCGATCGGTCGGTATCTCGATATTGCGTTGAGTGAGAAGTAGCAGATAAATCCTATGTTTACTCGGGTATCTCCAATTCCCATATTAATCTATCAAGGTAGGCCTCCATCCCACCATCTTTTGTGATGTACTTATCCTGCTATAAGGTACTGGGGCTCAAATCCCACGTGTTTGGATGTGGGCGTTACAGCCATTACCCCGACGGCAATCTTATCGTCACAGAATATATGTACCTCATCAATTCGCCGTACACAGCAGGCGTTCCCCTAAAAATCGTGCAGCCTATGTCCTCTCGAGTGAAAACTTAAATATTCGACCCTTGGGTCAAGGCGCTTAGGGTGTGGCGGACCGCTCGATCTCTCGGCAGACCCACACGTATTCGTATACAGCATGGCTTGAAGGGTTCCAGGGTCCAATGCAACGATTCTGATATCCTTATATTTATCTCATCTCATCTAGCCCTGCAGTCTCCATTCATTCAGTCTCTCCTTCCATTTCTTACCATCCTATACTCAAGATGGCCTCACAGAATGACTCCAGTGTATCCTTCGTTCTCTATCGATACACCCCGTCAATCCCAGCGGCGGCCATATTCACTGCTGTGTTCATCATCCTGGCCATAGTCCACACCTATCTTGCTATAAGACATCGATCAAAATATTTCATTCCTTTCATCATTGGTCTACTCTGTAAGTACATCTTCCAGCATATGCAACCCTCACCGAACTAACATATCACGGCCTGAATAGTCGAAGCAGCCGGCTACATCGCCCGAATCTTCTCCCACTATGACACCCTCGCTCTCGGCCCCTACATCGTCCAGACCATGCTCATCCTCGTCGCGCCTCCCCTCTTCGCCGCTTCAATCTACATGACCCTAGGCAGACTAATTCTCCATCTGGACGCCGAGTCCGCCTCTCTCCTTCGAGTAAAATACATTGCTAAGATATTCGTCGTCGGGGATATCATCTCCTTTCTGTTGCAATGTGGAGGTAAATATACCCCTACTACGCCATTAAAATCCTCTCGAGAACCCGCCACTAACATATTGCAGGCGGTGGCTACATGTCAGCCGGAAGCCTCTCCGCAATGGAAGACGGCGCCCACATTGTAATCGCGGGTTTAGCCGTCCAGCTCCTCTTCTTCGGATTTTTCATCATCGCCAGCGCTATCTTCCACTACCGAGTGAAGACGAATTCGCAATACTACACTGCTAGACAGGTGGTATCATCCTCCTCCCGTCGTCGCGACTCGTGGGAATGCATGCTGTGGTGTATTTATGGGGCGTGTGTGTTGATTCTCATTCGATCCATTTATCGTGTTGTTGAGTTCGTGGAGGGGAATGATGGCTTTGTTATGCGCCTGGAGTACCTGTTGTATATTTTTGATGCTGTGTTGATGGCCTTGCAGGCGATGTTGTTGTTGGTTGGCTATCCTGGACGGGTGCTGGGAGGGGGCAAACGGAACGATGGGGGTGTTCCGTTGGAGGAGAGGGCGGACTCAGCGGAGGGTTTTCTGGGACGTGGGAAGGGGGCAGTTTAGTGTTGGGTTAGATGCACGGATTGGGATAACGGGTCGGGTATACGGAGTTTGAGGCGTATTATTGTGCTATATAGATAGTCTGATATTATTGATTATATTCAATTGTCCATTAAAGCGGTATATTGGTATGAATTACTCCCCCTGCATCGCCATCGGCCACTCCATGAGAGACATTAACGCCCCATCTCCTAGCTTCTCAACCAGCCGATGAACGTTCTGAATCTCCCTTGGAAACGCCCCCCGTAGATACCACAAATCCTCGAATAGCAGCAGAATGACATAGAAATGTGCCAAAATCACATATGAAAACCCTCCGAACATCCCAGCATCCTGTCCTTGCTGTAGCGACAGAATAAAAGTGTTTGAGATGATTAGCGGCCACGACAGGACAGCTGCATCTTCGAGATCGGTCTGAATATCCACGGAGGCGGAGCTATCGCGCTCACTGGTTGAAAACTGAAAGACGTAGAGAGTGCGCATGTACATTTCCTCAAGACGATCAAGCGTGCTGACCTGTTCGCGTAGAAGTTCTGGAATCGTTTGTAAGTTGGGAGATCCGTAGGAATCTGGGCTTGGAGTGTCTTCCATGTTTATCCCAAAGTCCTGGGTAAGGGTGTTCGCAAAGTCGCGCAATAAGGAGATCTGCTGAGCAGCTCCTTGGGAGAAGCGAACAAATTGCGGGGACGCGTGTCGTAGACGTGGGAACACCCGTGTGGGTGATGTCGCTGAAAAGTCCTTCCAGTGCTCATTAGCTTGAGGGTGGTCCATTAAGGTCCGTAACCTGCTGGTCCGGAGAGCTATATAGTGCTCTCCTACCAAAGCGCCCAAACCGCGCACTAGATGCAGCCAGTCAATCCAGGGTTCTCCGGCTGAGTCACCATTGTGGAAGCCGATTCCCTTATCACCTAAAGCGCGAATGCGCAAGGAAGCAAAAGAAAAAGCCACTGTTAGGATGGAGCCACAGAATATGTAATCGGCTGTACTAGCTGTCGCCTCTGATAATGCGTGTCGGAAACCTTCAAGGCCTTTCTGGTGATGATCGAGGATGCGGTGGTAGTCACGAAAGCATTCTGCTTCGGGGATAGTCTGGTCAAATTTGGAGTTCAATAAATTGGTGTCGGGTGAGTCTGCCTCGCATAGCGCATGCGTGCCGGCCAGCGCCAGGAGAAGATGCATCAAATACTCTTGCTCAGCAGCCATGGTTGGAATGACTCGCTGCCAGATCAATTTACGCTGCGGATGAAGAGCCATTCTCCCCGAGACGTGGACCATGAAATGTGTCAAGAGACTCATGTCTGGCATGTTAATAACTTCGTTGCGTTGTGAAGTTTCTGCTGATTCAGACACCAGCGGTATGTGTAGGTCTAACGGCCGTAGTGACTGCCCTATATTGCCGTTCATTGAGTGATGAGAAGTCACTGGATTTGTATGTCTGCTGTCTTGTAGGTCAGGTTATGGGACTGATAAAAAAAAAAAAAAAAAAAAAAAAAAAAAAAAAAAAAAAAAAAAAAAAAAAAAAAAAAAAAAAAAAAAAAAACAACTGGCTGAGAATGCCATGCCCATCGAGCTTTAGCCACATACACTACCTGCTCATCTGGTGGCGGAAACGAACATGGTTCTTCGCGAAAAGAACAGGCGCCACAAACCGGCCTTACTTCATCACACTGAATTCGGTCAACATCGCAGCTAGAAGTCTCTGCATAGCAATTAGACAAACCTTGACCCGGCGTAGCTTGCAAGTGTAACAACCCTTGCGGGATTTGCTGTGGCGCGCCCGTCGTCTTTTGGGGTTTCGCGGATGGGAAACATCGGGCAGTGAAGCGCCCGCTGAGGAATGGGTATCTGACATAGTTGGCTCCCGAGCGAGACCGATATAGCAGTCCCATTTGTCTTGATAAGGAGTCGGTCGGAAGTAGGAAAAGGGCCTCGCCGGTTGAAAAGGTTGATGGTGGTGATGTTCTCAACCAAACAGCTGGTACGGGAGGGTAAATGGACCACGTCTGCACATTAGGCGCTTTTATTCCTTGTCACTTCATTCACAGCCACGGACATTTGCGATTCCTGGAGAAAATAGAGAAGTGTGCTCTTTATCATGCTACTGGTTCTGACTGATACACACAGATATGTACTTAGTGGCTGGGTGGTGAGCACGGGCGAGGGGAGTAAAGATGACCCGATCTCAAAGTATATCTTGAACGCTCTTCACGTGGGAGAGAGACATGGATTAAGGAACTTAGTGTTGGGGAAGCTGCACTTTTTGAACCTCGAGCTATTTTATTCAGATGAATCGTTAGTATCCTTAATGATCAGTAGAAACACATATTCCATATCAATGTCAACTTAGTTTCAATATCACACCGTACTTGCCTGTCCACAGTCGCCACCGTGGCCATCGTTGGTGTACTAGCTACCGGCAACGATAAGCCTTCACAACATCAATTCTTGCAGCAACATGCACGCAGAGGAGCGTGGTTCAGAATAATTTCTTCACAGGCTTGGCCTGGATACAATATCAGGGAATGAGAGCGGTAAACGCTGCCACCAAGCTCTTCCAATCCTTCGGCACGACACAGGCAACGGCTAGGGCTAGTACTATCGGAGTAGCTTGGAGGTACAATATAGCGCCTGCTTGATAGGTCCAGTTTTAGTTGTTCCAGCAATCGCATACACCATATTTCACAATCCACTCCATAGAAAGCAGTACCATTACGTAAATCAGCATAGTTACACACTGCGTTATTCATCGCTCCTGCAAGATGTTGGTCAGCATGTCTAGTAGTTCACTATGGGGTAACCTTCTCCAGTAACTCGATGGACCTATGAATGACCAAGAGTAACTGCGTTGTTTTTGGGAGACTAGTTGGGGGCAATTAGACGACGTGGATGTGGAGTCGTTCAACTTGTATACATGTGATCCTTGAAGATACAACTCGTGAGACATTTTTGTCCGTTCAAGTGGACAGAGTTGTAGGTAAAGCAACGTAGTGATCATGTTGCTGTATATTGCATAACCATCGCCAAATACATACTATAATGAGGTCTTCTTCTTCTTGTTCCTAACAGGTTGTCAACCGCCAGAATATGATATAGAAATGAAGCGAAATTAGTTCGCTAATTTCAGCTCAATAAGATAAACAGAATGCCATCGCAGGGCGTAGTTGATACTTCTCCATCCCACCGAAAAAACACCGATTGACAATAGCACTAGTGGGAAGCCCTGGCGCTTACAGCCGCATCGCTAGTCCAACAAAGATCCTTGGGGTAGAATCCCACACGTGGTAAAAATAAACTTCTGACCAGGGCGAATCCCTGAAGGGGGGGACAATGCTCGCACAGACCTCTACCATTAAAAATCCAACGGGTTGGTCATAGTTACAAATCCATACATTTTTCTCATCCCTTTCCCCCCTTCTTCGGCCTTCTTTCCGAGTCGTGGGGACAACTTTCGGAGACATTGGGGGAATTTTCCTCCGGATGCTGAATAATTTCGGGTGGATCCACGATGATGATTTGCCGAATGTCGCCCATCAGTGGAGCAGAACCTTCTGTTTAAAGCCAGTTGGAGGCTGAGGAAACCCCCGCGAAGCTTGCCATGAGCCACAGTTGGAGACCCAGAATAAAAGTCAGACCATCAAGTCGGAGACTTCGCCCAATGCGGCAAAGATGCAGATTCTTGTCCATGCCACCTTGACTGTTACTCAGGTATACAACTCCACTTTGGATTTCAAATCAGTTTCCACTCGGTTCTACTATCCCGATGGATCGTATAAAAGCGGTTGTCCGCTCAATTGAGCCGATCAACTGTCTCATCCTTGCATATATACCCTACTAGTCATTATATACCGCCTATACTTAATTTTCACGACATCATGACTGTCACCGATCTCGTCAACCACCCTGCCCAGGGCATCTCCTACTTCACTCCCGCCCAGAACATCCCCGCCGGTACCGCCGCCAACCCGCAATCCAGCGGCAAGCCGGTCCCGAAGCTCTTCCACCCGCTCACCGTCCGCGGCGTCACCTTCCAGAACCGCCTTGGTGTATGTTCTTCACCTTTTCCTCAATCATCTCCATTTTTAAAACATCTACTGACAACTGCTACCCAGCTCGCTCCTCTCTGCCAATACTCCGCCCAAGATGGCCACATGACCCCCTACCACATCGCCCACCTGGGCGGCATCGCCCAGCGCGGTCCCGGTCTCATGATGATCGAAGCCACCGCCGTGCAGGCCGAAGGCCGCATCACCCCCCAGGACGTCGGTCTGTGGAAGGACTCGCAGATCGGCCCCATGCGCCAAGTTGTTGAATTCGCCCACTCCCAGAACCAGAAGATCGGTGTCCAGCTCGCCCACGCCGGTCGCAAGGCCAGCACCGTCGCCCCCTGGATCTCCGCCACCGCCATGGCCACTGAGGAGCTCGGCGGCTGGCCCGACCGGGTCATCGGCCCCAGCGACATCCCCTTCGCCGATACTTTCCCCAAGCCGAAGGCTATGACCAAGGACGACATCGTTCAGTTCAAGAATGACTGGGCTGCTGCTGTGAAGCGTGCCCTCGAGGTTGGCGTCGACTTTATTGAAATCCACGGTGCTCACGGTTACCTCATCTCGTCTTTCTTGTCGCCCGCTGCCAACAACCGCACCGACGAGTACGGTGGTTCCTTCGAGAACCGTATCCGTCTGCCTCTCGAGATCGCCCAGATCACTCGCGACATCGTCGGCCCCAACGTGCCTGTCTTCCTCCGTGTCTCCGCTTCCGACTGGCTCGAGGAGACCCTCCCCGAGCAGAGCTGGGGTACCGAGGACACCGTCAAGTTCGCCAAGGCGCTGGCCGACCAGGGCGCGATCGACCTGATCGATATCAGCACCGGTGGTGTTCACGCCGCCCAGAAGGTCAAGTCCGGTCCGCTCTTCCAGGCTCCCTTCGCTGTGGCTGTGAAGCAGGCGGTCGGCGATAAGCTCCTGGTGTCGGCTGTCGGTGCTATCACCAATGGCCGCCAGGCTAACGATCTCCTTGAGAAGGAGGGTCTGGATGTCGCCCTGGTGGGTCGTGGGTTCCAGAAGGACCCCGGCTTGACCTGGACTTTCGCCCAGCACCTCGACACTGAGATCTCCATGGCTAGCCAGATCCGCTGGGGATTCACTCGTCGCGGTGGTCGCGAGTACATTGATCCTAGCGTTTACAAGCCTTCAATCTTTGATGCTTAGACGATGCAGATATATAGCAGAGCGCTACTTTTAATAGACTGTACATAGAATAGACATGACATGCATCCGATTCAACCATCTACCTTTGCCTCTGTACTATCATTATTCGCCTTCATTCCAACCATATAGTCAGTCGTCTCAACCGTACAATCTACATTACCAGCTATATAGCTGATCACTACTTGAATAGGACGTACATAGAAGGGACATATCCATTCCTATACAATCTATATAATAATCAAGTAGCTCAGCGCTATCGCACTTCACAACCACTACTACTATCTTACAACCCCGGCGTCTCCGCGATCCTAAAAACATACTTCACCGCACTCGCCTTCCCATCCATCAAATCCTTCATCGCCCCCTTCACGCCCTCCAACCCATTCTCCCGAACCTCAAACGGATGCCCCTTGAACCGTCCATCCTTCAACGCCCGACTAAACCACCGACAGAACACGAAGCACAAATCCCGACAGTCATCCACCCCGTTCGCCTTCTCATGCGCCGCATTCACCCACGTGTTCGTCGACAACAACCCGGGCAGATCCTTCGGGTCGCGGGGAAGTACATGGTCCACTTGTCCCCCTGGGGTGACTACTTGTGTGAGGACGTGCGCGCTGGTCTCGTCGACGATGGTGTCGAGTGCGTTCTTGATGTTCAGGTTCAGGGATTTGATGGCGGCAATGGTGGAGTCCGTCCCATTGCGGTAGTCGATTACTGTGTCGCCTTTGCTGAGGTCCAGGAGGGATTGGACGTAGGGTGAGCCGCCGCCGGCGATGGCGATGATCGGGTGGACGTTGCTGGCGCGGAGGAGCTTGATCGCGAAGGAGCCCACGGCTGTGCTGCCGCCGTAGATGACGAAGGGGGTCGGGGTGGTGGTTGCGCTGGGTGGGGACCACGGGGTGGGGAGGGCGTGGTGGTGGTGCAGGGAGATTACGGCCGTTAGGGCGGCCAGGGGGATGGTGGCTGCTTCTGTGGGTTGCAGTGCGGTTAGTGTAGTTCTGTGAATGGAGATGGGGTGGGGGGTGTATATGGGGATGGTACCCTCGAAGGAAACGCTCTCCGGCAGGTGGAAGGTAGTGTGTGCCCAGGCCACGGCGTACTCGGCGTATGAACCACCGGGTTTCAGCATCTCGTGGAATGCGGCGACTCGATCGCCTTCCTACGTTTGATTGAGTATGGTTAACATGTATGCTCATAACATGTGCTGTATGAAGGGGATGTACCTTGAATTCCACCACGTTCTTTCCCACCTTCTCAACCACACCCGCGATATCATCGCCCTGGTTCACACCATCCCGCACATGCGAGTATCGTGAGTACAGGAAGCTGTTCGGGTCATTGGCCAATTCGGCCACTTTCCAGTCCTTGGGGTTGGAGCCGGACACGACCACCTTGATCAGGACTTGGTCGTCGTTGATGCTGGGGATGGGCGAGTCGATGAGCTTGGTGCTCGGGCCGGGGAGGTTGATGATTTCCTTCATGTTGGTGGGTGGGTTGTATGGATGGGGTCAATGGGATTGAGGATGTATGGAATAGGGTATGTACATATATAGAAGCTGATATAGACCGGGGTGCGGTCTAGTGTTTCGGTATGGGGAACTGAGGAACATTATTAAGCAGGGTGGGGATACCTGATGTCATGAGTTGTTGAATGTTGAGTTTCATGACTCGGGCTCGGCAATCCAGAAAATCAGAGAATCAAAATGCCGGATAGAGGCACTTCCGAGCCCGTTGGCCCGTGCTGTTTGTTAGTGATTTCTAATGTTTATGAAACTCTTCCATGTATGTCCATTGTAGTCTATAGATCTTCTATATATCTATTATGTCCACCACATTCATGCACATGACAAATAACATCTAAACGATGAAAGAAATTCAAAGCTTGCTTGGCCGCTCGTTCTTCAGCACCGCCGCATTCCACGGGTACGGATCAAACACCAGATCATTGACCGGGTTCTCCTGGCTAGCCCGCCGGAACAAGTCTGGGTACACTTCACCATCGTACTTGCCCAGACTGCTGTCCAGCTGCCAGTCGGGGATCTTCCATGAGTCCACCAAGCGAACCGCATGCGGGCGGATCTCATCCAGCAGCTTCATCACCGCAGTGTTCTGCGTCAGGCCGATCTGTCGCACAGTCACCGCGCTAGACGAGAAGAACTCGGATGCCTCCCGCTCCAGCGTGTGCAGGGCATACAGTCGGAACAGCTTGTGCAGGATGCCGGTGGTCTCGGGGTCCAATGCCCCCGTAACGTGGGAAGATGTGACCGCCTCGTAAAAGTTCTTAACCACCAGGTACTGCGAGTGAGCCGTGGACAGGCGCCAGAAGTCAACCAGCAAGCTGTTCCATGACCGCTTCTCAACATCCCGGTGCTTCAACGCCTCGAATGTCAGGTGGGCCGTGCGCCAGGCAAATGCAGCCACAATGTCACTGTCATTGCCGAGGATGTCGAACGAGGCACCCTTGTCGCGGCGCGAGAGGTATGCCTGAAGGATGCGGGATGTGTCGTTGTTGGATGCCTTGCCGGCAAGGACGGCGCGGGCAGATTTCAAAAGCTGTGCACGTTAGTTATCGACATTATGCCGAGAAGCGAGTGTGACTTACGTATCTCGCCACCTGCTGCGTCAACATGTAGTTGTCACCCTCCCAGGTGAGCGTAGGCAGGTAGTCGGAGTACCACGGTCCAATGCCGCTGTAGCTGCTGTAACCGTGTCCACCGCAGGCACGACGGCACACTTCCAGACCTTCACCGGCAGTCGTACTTGCCAGGGCCTTCAGACCGCACGAGGTAGCATGCAGATCAGCCAAGAGATCGGCACCAGCCCGCAACTCCTCCGGTCCAGCGCCCCGCTTCTCCTGGGCGGCCTGAGCGGCGGCCTTCATACGGTTCTGGTTCTCCTGGTAGAGTCGCATCATTCCGCGACCAGTGAAGTGCAGAGCATACATAGACGCCAGCAGGGGCAATAGCCGGACCTGCACCATCTTGTAGTTCAGCACCTGGTTCTCTCCCACATTGCCCGTGGCATCACGGTCCTGGAACTGCCTCCGCACCGCGCAGTAGCGGGTGGCAATGGTCACACCACGTGCCAGGACACCACCAGCTTGCAGCACGATGTTAGAGCGCACCCAGGTCAGAGTGCCGTAGATGAGAGACGGCGACGCAGGACGCATGTACTCGTTGGTGTCCTTGTTAATGCGCGAGAAGCGGGCCAACATGTTGACGTGGGGGATCTTGACGTGGTTGAACAGGAGGAAACCATTGTCCATGGTGCTGAAAGGGGTCAGTCACAGCCACAACAACGCATCGTATCAGACTACTTACTTGTAACCGAACTTGGGACCAATGTCTCCCACGTAGACATTTTCCAAGGGCTGATGTGTGTTCATATCACGGATCTGGACCACAAAAGGATGCGGGCCGTAGTTCTTGCCGCCGATGAACAGCTGCGCCATCACCACAGCGTGGTTGGCAGTGCGACCCAGCGATCCGATCCACCACTTGGAAGCTGTCAAGGTGGGAGAATGAATGGTAAAGGTCTTGTCCTCGGGGTTCCAGGTGGCGGTGGTCTCCAGTCCACGGACATTCGACCCGTGGCCCAATTCCGTCTGCGCATAGCATCCCAGTATTTGATAGTTCTGTGCCGGCTCGAGGAAGAGTTTATGTTGCTCGGGGGTACCTTGTTCCCGCAAGGTGACCTATTCCGCAGTCTTCATTAGCTTTCTGAATAGGGTGGCGTGAGACAAAGAAACAAGACCGGAACATACCAAAAACATCGATGCATGCAAACCATAGGGAGTGGGTTCTCCCAGCAATTCATTGGCAGCGTGTAGCTCCTCTTGCGACCATTTATGTTCCACCGACAACTGCTGCAGCCGCTTGGCTTTGGCGAGAGACCGCTGGATCCGCTCCGTCCGGCCCTGCGTGTGATTCTGTGACTTGTCGAAAACCTTCTCCGCCTGCAAGATGGACAGCAGACGCTCCTGGCGGACCAATGCCTCCTTGGTGTGCAGCAATTCGGCCAATTTGTCAACCGCGACATTAGATTGATCGCGCTCGTGCTGCAGAAGCTGCGAACCCTGCGGGTCGGCCGGCTTCAGAGCCTTGACCCAATCCGGTGGTGAAGATGGCATAATGATAGAGATGATAGAGTGGAGTCTGCGGGGGAGGAGAACGTGGGAAAAAGAAGGGGGAAAGGAGATTAAGTGATGGGGGCGTGCAAGACGTTATAAGCGATCCTCCACGGGGAAGCCGAAATCATCATTTCGGTCGAGAACTCCCGTCGATGGGCACTGGACCTCCCCCTTTGGGTAATAGCCGAGGCTCCCTGGGGGTAGTTGGCCTCGATGCCTGAGTGGCCAATTCCCGGTGACCGACTGACCGCCTGCCGCGTGACTCTTTCTGCCGCCTGGCTGACTAGTCGGCGTTCCCCGGTAATTTTGTCGGTGTCTCAGCCGCGTGCTTCAGCCGTGTACTTACCACTACCCCCGACATATCTGCGTCATGCTCTGGACTTTCGTCCCCAGCCTAGTAATGCGATAAGACGGAATATTTCGCTGTACCATGTCACCAGATTGGCGCTGTAGTTTAATTCACATGTGCTATTCAAGTGCGCCATCCATGAGATTCATAAAAATGGCCACTTCCATATTCTTTGAGGCTCCACTCTCACATGTGAGAATCTGGGTGCTCCGTGTTCCCCGGGTTGAACCAACTTTGGTGTCACCAACAAGAATCCACATGCCAGCCACATGACCTGGTTGCTGCTAACATGAAAGGCTCCAATCAGCTGGTTGCGCGGACTGCATCCTGGGACAGTTCACCTGCTCCCTTTTGCCCGCCTCCGTATGTGTCCGCATATCGCGCCAACATCCACTCCTCCACCGTTATCGGCGGGTATTTCGCTTTCTCCGTCTCCGCCTTGCAGCTAGGAATGCACTCCACCACGTAGTCCAGATTCCCGGAGATAAAGTATGGCACGCTGTATCGCTCTTGTCCGCTTCTGTTGATGACTCGATGCAAGTTTGATATATAGCGATCGTTGGTCCAGCGCATCAGCATGTTGCCTAGGTTCACCACAAATGCCCCTGGAACGGGCTCGGCATCCGCCCATTCGGATGCCTCGCGGTCCCACACTTGTAGACCCCCTTTGTCATCTTGCAGGAGGATGGTAAGGCCGCCAAAATCGGTATGAGCCCCGATCCCTTCAATCATTCGTGAGCATACATAGTTGCGCCCGTTCTCAAGATCGTACCTCGTTCCTGACCATCTGTTTCCTGCGGCGGATACCGCACCAATCGTATAATATTGGCCGAGTCGTGACAAAACCCATTGAACCAGTTCTCTTCCAAGTCCAGCGTTTGAGCCAATACCTGGAAGATCTTGAGCCCCAGATCACTCATCACCACGTGGTAGTCTTTCACCGTGTTCCGGAACAAACCAGGATCTCGGATCTCGTCGGGGTATTTATTCGACCCTTGAGAGAATCTTCCGATGAAGGGATGTCCTGGAGGCAGATCCTGGGACAGGTAATAACTCTCCTTGAGATCACCAGGCCCTTCTTTTTCGAATCTCTGCGAACGAAGGCTTTCGTATCCCAGATTAACAGGCTCGAGCTCTGTCGAATCATCAGTATGTGATTGTCAAGACCGGCTTTGCTATCACGGTGAACCATTGAATGAATTGACCTCGACTGTACTTCTCCTTCACTTCAATTGGTAAGCTAAATAAGTCCCGGGCCTGCTGCAGCATAGCTTCTTGGATATCAAGCGGAACCCGGTGGTTGATGAGCTGAAAGAATCCATGTCTCTCACATGCATGACGGACTTGCCGCACTAGCTCTGCCTTTTTCTCAGCATCACCAGTGTAGAATGCTATAGTAAGTTAGGTTGGGACATATACATGGTCGCGATAATAGTGAAGAGGGATGGCGAAAACCTACGCTCAAAGTCGATAATGGGAGGTGCAGTAACCATTTTCTAGGATCGTGATGAGAAGGACAACCTCGGGAGGAGGTTCTCTGGCGAGGCAAGCGGGGTATGAGGCCAACTTAGAAGCTGCACCAGTCGTTCGTCGGCTTGTGTCCTGCAGACTAATCAATCCCTGTCCAGACGAATCAAAAATAGCGATGATGGGGAGGTGCGACCGTTAGAACGCTATCCCTGTCATCTAGTGAGCTTCAAATTCCCAGCATGCTGACACGCTGATACTACGCTTCCCCTGCCCACCTGGAAGTAATTTCGGGAGAGTTACGCAGAATGCTGGTTCGATGATATAACCTGGATTCATCACTGAAGCGAGCAGCCGTTTAAATAAATCAAAAGATAACTTGGTATCGTCAAATTAGTGCTAATAGCAGGTTGCTAAGTATCAAGCATCATGCAGGATCAAAGCTTGGAGAGAACACCATCCGGCTGGAGAACAGATAAATGCCTTCTCTGGATTTCAGAAATCGACCGACATCTGGAACGGTTAGCATAGCACTTGCCAGTCATCATCCACAGCGACTTACCCAGCCAGAGCCATTGTGATCATCAACTCCTGGCGCAATATCCGAATAGCCAGCTCCACTCCCTGTTGGCCATCATACTAAAACGAGTCATTACAATATTCACAGCAGTTCCTGGCTCCACATACCGCAAGTCCCCAAATCGGAATCCGTCCCATGAAACAGTAGTCTGCCCCCAGAGCTAGCGCCTTGAATATGTCTGAGCCTCGACGGATTCCACCATCGATGGCGATCGGGATACGGCCCTTTGCTACAGGCGCGCAGTCGCGGAGTGCATCCAAGGTGGCCGGGGCACCGTCGAGTTGGCGACCACCGTGGTTGGAAACAATTACCCCGTCAACCTTGTGTTGTATCGCGAGTTCGACATCCTCGGGTGTGTAGACTGCCCACATTAGCCAATCCGGGTCTGCTTCCCATCCAGAAACTTCTACTTACTGCCCTTTAGCCAGATCTGAAGCTTGGTATGTTTCCTTAGCCAGGGGATCGCACTATCCCAGTCAAGACTAGCATCTAGTATATATTAACGGGCTGTCCAATGATGTCCCCTGTTGCTAAGAACTAACCATAATCGGTTCGGTCGGACGTATCTTTCCCATCGCTGAGAATATTGGGCCATTGCATATCTTCGGGTAGCTGGTAATTGTTGCGATACTCGTTCAACCGCTTCCCGAGGACAGGAACATCCACCGACAAGAACAACGCCTTGTAGCCCGCCTTTTCTGCTCGTTCCAGCAACTGTAATGTGATGGACCGATCCTTCAGCACGCACATCTGCATTGCATAGGGATTCCCGCCGCCTTGACTGGCGACGTCTTCCAATGGGGTGGTCGAGTATGAGGAGAGGCCCATACAAATACCAAATTTCGCCGCGGCCCGAGAAGTTGCGAGCTCTCCTTCAGGATGGGCGAGTTTGTGTGCGGCTGCTGGGCTGAAGCCGAAAGGAAGGGATACCTGTGCGTTTAAGGAAGTGCATCAGCGACGATTCTGCGGGCTGTTAGACTTATACGTGTGCTACCTTGGTCCCAAGTATCTCCGTGGTGGTGTCGATATTGGCTACATTTACCAGGACCCGTGGCCGGATTCTGTATCGGTCAAATGCGGCTTCGTTGTCGCGTAGACTGTGCCATTAGTGATTGTTCTAAATTGGTCGCCTTGAGTATTCGCGCATACGTTATCAGGTCCATGGCACCTTCATTGTAGTAGTCTAATAATCACCAGCATTAGTCATCAAAAGTGCATATTGACTGTCGCTCAATTACCACACCTCTGACCATCTTAGGGAGCTTCTTGCTCCCCATCGCCTTCAGATCGGCGATACAGTTGACATCTTTGTGGAATGTCTCGCCGCGATGAGCCATGCCGACAATGGTTTCAGTGCAGAATGCTCAAGAATAAAATCAAGGAGAAGCAAGTTCCAAGGTTCAATATAAATGCTCATGTCTCTAAGTGGGCATTAACTTGATGCTATATATCATAGCTCGGTGTCATCGACTTTCCTGATTGTTCTGTTGTCCTGCGACCGCAGCTATTCCTTTACGCCGAAAGAGGAAAGCAGAAGGCAACTAATCTCAGATACCTGCCCAGCATGACACTGTCGCAAGGCATGGACAGTCAAAGCGCCAGCTGCCCTAAAGCAATGGGCAATTGTGTACAGTGGAGCGCCTTATCAGCCGTCCCCGGATTTCCACTCTGGGGCGATGGTGTTTTCCTCGGAATCACCTACCACATCGATACCTGCCCCTCAGAAACAACAACCCCTCATCACATCATTTCACTTTGAATTTAGCTGTTCATACACGCCTTGACTAAAAAGCCTTTTCTTTGTCTTGCACCCCTTAGAGTCACATATGAGCATTCCAGTTACAATGGCGAAAATCTTTCTGTAGGTACATCCAGGGATTCGACCTCTTCCTTGCTACTAACAGAAATCAAAGCACAGGAGCCTCAGGTTATATTGGAGGGGATGTGCTCCATGCACTGAAATCGGCCCTTCCAACTTGCCAGTATACAGTCTTGCTGAGAGACGAGGCGAAGGCTCAGAAACTCTCTCAGGCGTACCCTGATGTACAAGTAGTCCTGGGAGATTTGGACGCCTCTTCCACTTTGGAACAACAAGCACGTGAAGCAGATATCGTCATACGTGAGTATTCTTGCTTCAATTCTTTCTGCCTTCTGCTAATATTGGTCTCCTTTTACAGACACCGCAAGCTCAAATCACGTAAAGAGCGCCGAAGCCATCGCGCGTGGATTGACTGCACCGGAAAGACCAAAGCCGGGTAATTACCTCCCCTTCCTTCCGTCCCCTCACATTTCTCACGAATCAAGCAGGTCACTGGCTTCAGATATCAGGCGCAAGCGTTCTTTCCATTCCCGACATTGTAGCCAGCGCCTTTGGAGAACCCTCCAACAAGATTTACAGCGATGTCGATGGAGCTGATGAGCTGCGGGAGCTCATCCGACAGTACTCTGCCAAGCGTGTGGTTGACAATCTAGTCCTCAGCCTTCCCCATACTGCCTCTCGTCCTAAAACCGCGTTAATATTTCCCCCGATCATTTATGGTCGCGGTAGAGGACCGATTAACCAGCGGAGCATACAAATCCCGGAGCTGGCAAGAGTGACCATGCAGCGACGGGGCGGGGTTCAAGTGGGTAAAGGAGAAGCCACATGGAGTAATGTGCACATCTCGGATGTCAGCAACATCTTTGTGAAGCTGGCCGAGAAGGCTTTGCGAAGTGAGGAAGGGGAATTGTGGAATGAGAACGGGTTGTACTTCCCCGGTTCCAGGGCTATCGTAAGTCCTTACATGTTTCGACCTAAGCACAGAACAAGGTACATTCTAACGAGAGTACAGTCATTCGGTTCCATCTCAGCACGAGTGGCGCAAGAAGTGAAGAAGCTCGGCCTTGCTGATTCCGAGTCGGTAACTGAGATCAGCCATGAAGAGGCCGATTCACTCACGCCTCATGGCGGAGTGTTGTGGGGAACCAATGCCCAGCAGGTGGCTCAGCGAGCGGCCAAGTACCTGGAATGGGTCCCCGAAGGAAGAACATTGGAAGAGGAAATTCCACACACAGTTCTTGCCGAGGCCCAGAGACTGGGACTGAAATAGATCTATCTTGAAGTTATTAGATTACCAGAATAAATTCATTTACATACAATTTGTTCATTCCTACCCAAGTCAACATATGATATCTAGTTATCGCCCATAGAACTCGGTGTCATCAAGCTTCCAAGAGACTGAAAGGCTAAACCCGGGAGAGCAGGTCCTTCCGACGCTGTTCTGGTCCGAACAGGAAGGAGATTCCGCCCCGCCGGAACCACCTGCCTGCCCGGTCGGGCCACACCCTCCTTTCTGGGGGACCTGCTAATAATTGCTTCACCTTCCAGCTCCAGGGCCACCCGACTCATACCCCAGATTCTGTTCGATTACCCTTTCTTTCCGTTTTCGTTGATAATGCCCTGCTCTGAGTGACATGACTTCCTCCAAGCAATCAGGCCGCCGGACTCGTCGCAGTCATGCCCTGGGAGCCTGCAGAACGTGTCGAAGGCGTCATGCCAAATGCGACCAAAAGAGGCCTACCTGCCAGATGTGTCGGGCAACTGGCGTGGTATGTGAGGGGTTCGTTGATGAGATCCGATGGATGTCCGATCGGAAGTCCCAGCCTTCTTCGGGGACAGCAGCTGGGAAGGCAAATGATCCGGAGAAGCAGGGGCCTCGACGCCATCTCTACACAGGTTGATCACCCTCTCTCATACATCGATAACCTGATCACCGGGCTCAAAATGGTAAAGCTAATGTAAAGGCGTTAGAAAAATCGAGAGTCTCCATGAGCGATGCCTTGAGTGCAGACTTGGTGTCGGGCTCTATTGATGCCTCATTGGCAGAGATCGAAACAAGATCCCGGGATACGAAAAGCCCCTCACAGGGAGATATTGTAGTCGGACCATTTGCTGTGCTGGACTTCAGCCTTACCGATCCCAAATCTGCAAGTCGAGCTCATCCCACTGACGAGACTACGGTCGCAAATGATGTGATTCTACCGTCGGGGGATACCCTGCCAGAAGGCGCTTCCGGAGTCAGTCCGGCTCTGTCGCAAGAATCGATCGCCTACATGAACGACTTGCTGCAGTGGTCAGATATCCTTAGCTTGGATCCTCAGTTGCAGAGTGCTACACTATCTGGCACATTCGACCTGGGCGATTGGTTGCCCCTGGATTTGGGGACACAAGCCCCTATTCTGGAACATAATCTCCTTGGCGAAGCTCCTAGTCTGATGGATGATGCAGCTGCTCTCTACAATTGTGGCCCTGGGCAAGACAATGCCTCCAAGATGATGCCGTCGGTTGATAGCAATCCACCTGATGTACTAGCGGATGCTCATTTCCTACTACGACATTTCCAGGATCATGTCATTTCGCGTATGATGGCCGTTCCCCTAGACCAGAAGTCACCTTGGAAGATACTCAATGTGCCGTCTGTTGTTGTAACATATAGCGACATCACTTTTCTGGGTTCGCAAAACATCACTCATGCTCGATTAGCCAATTTGTACTGCCTCTTAGCCTGTTCAGCCCTCCATTTAACGGTAAACCCTTCCATGAGGACCTCGGACTCAACAGAACGATGGAAGCCGGTGGCGGAATATGCTTACCATCTAGCAAAAGACCACATGCAGATGTCTTTGAAGCATGAAACGCAAGAGCCAAAGAAGGCCAAATACAAGGACCAACTAATGGCAATCTGCGCCTTGACTGAATTTGCTGTACGGCTCCTGCCTAACTTTGTTCGAGGTAGCTTACTGAGGGAAACAGATCCTAAGTAGTCAGCAGCAGGATGCAAGATGCTACATGATCGATGCTGAGCGGCTGCTCCGCCTCCGAGGGTTGCCTAAACAACGGATTTCTCAAAAAGCTCGCCTCCTACACCACACATATACGTGGCTACGAATTGTAGGTGAGAGCACCTACGCTTTGCACAACTACACGCCCTCGGATACCTTTATGGAGGCTCTCAAATATCGGTTTCGGTACCAGAAAGTCGAAAATACTCAGGCAGCTGGGTACCGAACATCACGCTTGGACGACTTTTTGCGCCTCGATCGGCGCCCGTCCGATAGCGACCTGGACATTGATGAGCCGAAGGAGGACGACGTTGGCCTATATGATATTCATTTGCAGGATTCGCGGAAGTATCCTGCCACACTATATAGCCAGATTTACGGGGTATCGGAGACATGGCTCAGCTTGGTATCCCAAACAACACGCCTGGCCAACGTAATGGAAACCTTTCGAGTTGCGCGCGAAATGCGTCAAGGAAATAATGCAAGTCTCGAAGCATGGGAAGCATTGCATCGGCGCAGTGCTCGTCTCGAGAGCATGGTGTGCACATTCGCGTCCAGGAGAACAGAGGACAACATATGCGATTCGACCAACATATTGGCCAAGTCACATGGATGCCTTTTACAGGCTTTGAATTCTGCGCTGGTTATCTTCTTCTATAGACGCATCCGTCAGGTCCACCCGGCTATTTTGGAGAGCCAGGTGGACAAGGTGATCTCATCGTTGAACGAGTTTGATGTAGCACTAGTGGAAGCAGATCACACCGGCCCAGGTACAGTCTGGCCTCTTTTCATTGCTGGGTGCGAGGCGACGACGCCTGAAAGGCGGCAATCGATCACACTGCTGCTAGACAAAGGCGAAGCACGATGTGGATTTTCTGCCTATCATACTGTCCGGGACGTCATGAACCAGGTATGGGACAAACAAGATGCGCACTTTACACGAAGCAGAGGAGAGGCTTTTCCGACCTGGCTTGATGTTGTCAAAAGCAAGCAAATATGGCCCATTCTAGCGTGATGACCGCCGGGGTCTGTTACAAGGCGCTACAAGAAATACGATGACATGTCCTCATAAATTTAATTTTCTATATCCAATGGCGACTATTTCATGACGAACGCTTGACAACATTAACATTCGCATTCACCATCAACTGGGCCAGCTCGCTCTGGAGATCATCCTTCAAGAGGGCGAATGGCTTCCGCAACCCACCAGTGGCCTGTCCCCTCAGCTCCACGCCTGTCTTGACCGCTGCAGCGTAATTGTGCGACTCAAGGAACTTGCAGATCGGCCATGCCTTGGCCCACAATTCCCGACCCTTCTTGAGGTCTCCTTCAACCGAAACGGCATTCCAAAGCTCCACCGCCAACTCTGGGATGATGTTGGCAGCACCCCAAACTGCTCCCGGCGATCCAGCCGCCAGTCCATAGAACGTAAGGGTATCCCAGCCATTGAAGGCGGTGATCTGATCCGACAACCCGAACACCAATTCCGTGTAGGCTGGAGCATTTCCAGATGTGTCTTTGAGGTACTTGACGCCGACCTTGCTCAGATCCGCGATCTGCTGCGGCGTGAGGGTCAACCCGCTGGCAGAGGGGATATTGTAGTAGACAATGGGCAGTTGACTGGCTTCGTGGATTTCGGACATGAGCTCGGTCAATTGCTCCACGTTCAAGGGGTCGTAGAATGGCGGCACGACCATCACAGCGGCCGCACCGACCTGCGCGGCATGACGTGCCAGATCCACTGCCTCCTCAGTGGAGGTACTGCCTGTGCCGGCTACCACGGGGACACGGCCAGCTGCGTACTCGACGCAGAGTTCAGTCAGTTGCTTGCGTTCTTCGCGGGTCATGGTGGTGAATTCGCCTGTGCTGCCGCCCGGCACGAGGCCATGCACGCCGGCGCCGATCAGGTGGTCGATGTGGGATTTGAGTCTTGCTGCGTCGATCTGGGTCTTATCGTCTGTGAAGGGAGTGATCAGGGCAACCATGATGCCGCGAAGGGCGGGTGTTTGCTGTGTGACAGTCATGTTGGTTGCAGTTGTTGATTGGTATACTTGAATAGTTGAGGCAAGGAAGAATGACGTGAAGGATTGAACGAATTCTTGAAGAACCGTGGTCGAGTCTCGAGGGCATTTTTATTTCATGACGCGACGGGACTGCCTTCCCTCTCAATTCCTCCTTCATGTCTATACAATACTTATGATGATTGTTCTGGTAGATTGTACGAAGCCCTAACTGTCCAGATAGAGTCTCGGAGGGGTAACAAGACATGCCGGAACCACCTTCCCAATCTGGCGATACGACTTTACCCACCGGCAGGCAGTTCCGGCATGCAGTGGGGAGGCATTAGCGCATCCACCGGCGCCAAACTATCAATGCGTCTCGACATCAAAGAAGTGAGGGGTAATCGGACGATCCTATCCTTGTTATCGCCTTATCGGACGGGGGATTTGCTGACTAGTGACAAACCTCAATTGCCAAGTGGTCTGCGCGGAGGCACATCCCACATCCGGAACAGGAAGTTCTAGCCAAGTAGCATATATCAAGACAGGACACTCTGTCTCGCGCTGGTTATCTCTGCCTTCTGCTACTACTGTTATCTGTTATTTCAAAGAAGAGTAAGAAGAGAACATGACAGACTCCCTCTTTGTCGACATCACCACTCCCAATGGCCGGCAGTACCAGCAGCCGACCGGCCTGTTCATTAACAATGAGTTCCGTCCTTCGTCCAGTGGCCAGACTATCGTGTCTTTAGATCCGGCGTAAGACCTACAGACTCTTGTCTCCTTCTACACCTCCATGCTAATCCCCACAGTACCGACAAGCCCATCGCCACTGTCCACGCCGCAACAGCAGAAGATGTCGACGCCGCCGTCCAGGCCGCCAAAGCCGCCCTGTCGCACCCTTCATGGAAGCTCCTCCCCGCCACCGAGCGCGGACAGCTGATGGGTCGTCTGGCCGATTTGATGGAAGAAAACCGGGCACTATTTGCTGCCATCGATGCTTGGGATAACGGTTCGTATACTCACCATCCTCACCGATATGCAGACACTGACTTGGCCAACAGGAAAGCCCTACCACGTCGCCCTGACCGAGGACCTCACCGAAGCCATCACCACCATCCGCTACTACAGCGGCTGGGCGGATAAGACCTTCGGACAGACGATCAGCACCTCCCCTCAAAAGTTCGCATACACCATCCGCCAGCCCATCGGCGTCGTCGGACAGATCATCCCATGGAACTACCCGCTCTCGATGGCGACGTGGAAGCTTGGTCCCGCGCTCGCCTGCGGAAACACCGTCGTTATCAAGGCCGCTGAACAAACTCCCCTCAGCATCCTTGTCCTCGCAACACTCATCAAGAAAGCCGGATTCCCACCCGGAGTGGTCAATGTCATCAACGGCTACGGAAAAGAAGCCGGCGCTGCGCTGGTTCAGCACCCGCTCGTCGATAAGATTGCCTTCACAGGCTCCACTGCCACCGCTCGAGAAATCATGAAGATGGCTGCCGGCACATTGAAAAATATCACCCTTGAGACGGGCGGAAAGTCGCCCTTGATCGTGTTCCCGGATGCGGATCTTGACCAGGCGGTCAAGTGGTCGCATTTCGGAATCATGTCCAACAAGGGCGAGATCTGCACTGCTACGTCGAGGATCTTCGTTCATCGTAGTATTCTCGCCTCCTTCTTGGAGAAGTTCAAGAAGGAGATCGAGACGACTTCCAAGATCGGCGACCAGTGGGACGAAAATACCTACCAGGGTCCGCAAGTCACCCGGGCACAGTACGAGCGCGTTCTATCATACATCGAGACAGCCAAAAAGGAGGGCGCTACGCTAGTTACCGGCGGCAAGGCGTATACTCCCAAGGATGAAAAGAACGCGAAGGGCTACTTTGTCGAGCCGACAGTGTTCACTGACGTGACGGATGGCATGCGCATCTGCCAGGAAGAAGTATTCGGACCCGTGGTGGTCATCCTGCCATTCGACTCGGAGGAGGAATCGGTGCGTCGCGCCAACGATACCACGTATGGTCTGGGCGCGGCGGTCTTCACGACCGATCTGGAGAGGGCGCATCGCGTCGCGGCGGATATCGAGGCCGGTATGGTCTGGATCAATAGTAGCCAGGACTGTGATCCGCGGGTCCCGTTTGGGGGCGTCAAGCAGAGTGGTATTGGGCGCGAGCTGGGAGAGGCGGGACTGGAGGCGTATTCGCAGGTTAAGGCGGTGCATGTTAATATGGGGAGTAGATTGTAAGCTACTATAGATATGGGAGCATGCTTTGACGAATAGATTATGATGTTATCTTCAATGTTTTGAGCAGGTTAGTCGTGTTCTGTTACTGTCCGTAAGCTCGTAGTGTAGTATGTGGAACGAGCATGTTTACGTCTTGCTGGAGACTGGAAATTTTATCTACACAATCTTAGTACTAGTAATACGATGCCTACATCAAGTATTGAAAGGTTGAAATGATGATAGTAGGGGCAGTACTAACTTTGTTGCTCGTCTCGGCAGCTTCATTTTAAAAATTACCTCTATCTGAACGGAGCAAATATATATTTCTGGTTTAACACAACAATCGTGTCCAATTAGTATTCCTGAAGTGGCTTCGACCAGAATGACTACTAGTAATACATTTCGCAGTGGATATATTTTGATCAACAGATTGACTTATCATCAATGGTAGAAAAAATAAATTAGATTTGTCGTTCTCTGCATCGTCCATTGCTGCCCATCTAAATCCACGACGCTGTAAAAAATGGTGTTCTTCCGCAGAAGAAAATAGTAGGAGTTGGGAATAACCCCACTATGGACACTATCGGGTAAAAGCAAAAAGAAATTCGCTTGCATCATCCGTGAATCGAACACGGGCCTCATCGATGGCAACGATGAATTCTACCACTAGACCAATGATGCTACTGCTTGTAATTCTTGGCACTTGAATGATCTAAGATCCAGCAAATTGAATGAATATTTGGAGCGCAGAGACGAAGTGGACCGGATAATATCAGTAACAGAAGGACCCTTTATCTGATTTCTAGAATACTGGATCTGTCAACTCTCCTGTGCGATGTAGCTTCTTCTCAAGTCACATTGTTACTTAAGACATGACCACAACTGCCTGCAAGCGAAGTAAATTCTCGCTCACTTGGCTTGAGCAATGCCTCACACCACCCCAAACTTCTTACCAAACCTGACAAAAACACTAGGATTCTTGAACAAAGGAAGCATCCAAATAACGGCAGTCCATGCCGTCCACATTTTCCACGTGCGTTTATCAGCAGCCTTTTCCCGCAATAACAAGATCCTCCCAGCAATAGTCATTCCCACCGCACCCGGGAGAACGTACCCGGCAACGTCTAGCTCCCAAAACGCAGGGCAGACAACGGACCAAATCGCAACAGGAACTGCAACGGACCACCGGGCCGGCCCGTCACCCAGCACAATGGGTATCGTACGGCGGTTCTTGGCACGGTCTCCTTCCACGTCCTTGATATCTTGAATATGCATGGTCGTGCCGATCACGGCACTGGTGACCCAGATCCACCGCCATGCTCTAGGGAGTATATCGAATGCGGTACCGGTAGCGACACGTAGTGACCCCTTGTTGTATTGGCTGAACGCGAGGGCAAGAAGTACATTCCGAAGAATGAACCCGTCGTCACCACCGCTCAGGTCATTGTATACCCAGTTCAGGGTGTAGAGGAGAGCAGTCTCCTCCCATGCACCTAGATAGACGCTGAATGCGAGAACTATTGGAATTGCAAGCAGGAGCAACCGGCGAGTCTGCAGGATGCTGATCCGACCTGCCGGTAGTGGTCTCCAGGGTCGGTTGATCTTATCTTCTGCCACGGAGTCCGGATGCCTTTGATTCGCCAGGTTAAACACAAACAGGTTTAGCCAGTTCCAGAGCATGACAATGGGTATCCGACTAACAACTGAGAGTAAGTCCGGAGTGTTATCGTCCGTCAGAAGCGGCCCGGATAGAGCGGCGCATATCCCGAATGCTGTTTCAGGTATGACAAATGTGATAAAGTCATCCGCGGTAAATAGCCAGATAGTCAAGACAAGGTCCTTCCAGGCCCAGTCTTTCTATACACTTGTGAGTCTTCTGGAATCATGAGTATAGCAATATTCACTCACTTTTTGAGCCCTTGTATTGTTTTGTCTTGTCTTTACGACATCGCTTTCAAGCAAAGCACCTGCAGCGCCGAGCAAATATGTGCAAAACTCGTAGAAGCAAGAAAAATCAACAAGTTCCATTTTTCTCTGCATTTTAGATTTTATTCTGCTTACGCAGCATAGAGATGTCTGCGTCGGTGTTTGAAAAGTATTCTTCAGAAGGCTCCCAGTCTTGGGTGCTTAGCACCCTTATATTCGTGGAACCATATCAGGTCAACCTTCTAGTGGGCACTGGAAAGATTGTCAGTATCCCGGAAATCTCAGGGTCGCTTTTTCAGCTCTTGTCTGCGGAATTTCTGCAGTGGCTGGCTGTCTCAATCTCTAGCTAGACCTATCGGTAAAGCCGAGGAGTTACTGTATGAGACAAGGCTAAGCAAAAGACGAGGTTTTGGCTATTATTGCCGATGGCGCTCTCTTGATACAAGTCGTGGCTGAACCGTTGCAGAGCTGAATAACGCCACACATGCTATTGTCAGACGGGTCGACAGTAGCGCCGAGGCGATTTCTTCATACTGTCAGATGAATCTCATCTGTGAAGTTAGCTGAAACCCCCGGACCTAGTTGTCTGCGCCGTCTGGTGCAAAAGCCAAGTTCCCAAGAACAGATGTGGTCATTCCAGCCGATAGACGAGAGCTGACAATAGGACAAGAGTGTCAGCACTAGCGTTCTGGTGCCTGACGAGATAAATCACATATTCGGCCCGAATGAAGCAGTGAGCTATGGAAAATGTGTGTAGCACACAAATTAACATAAAGTGTTCAGTTACAACATCGCCAGCCAACCAACTTTTAGCCGTCGCACCAAAGGCACCTTCATCTTCGACGCTTGCGCCAGGCTTGTGCCTTTCCGCTCCCTCAGCAGTTGACCAATATCCATATAGCTCGCCACGGTTGCCCGAACTGGCTCTCTTACGCCCCGAGGTAGCTCCTCCATCGCCCCTCGGCTGATCTGATAATATTCATCTGCTTTTTGCAGCATTCTCTCCTGTAGATCATACGCGATCGGGGAGTTGGGACATCGTAATACATCTCCCGGAGCAAGGCCCACTTCGCCTAACCATGTTGTAGGAATGTATACTCGTCCGATTGCTGCATCGCGATGGATATCACGTGCGATATTGATACATTGCATGGCTTTACCCATGTCCTTGGCCGCTCGCCTCAACCGCGGTACATCTTGGACATAATAATGACCGCAATGGAATAAGGTAAGGTCGAAGACTAGTACACCGACCGTACCAGCTACAAATCCTGCGTATTGATCTAGACAGTACTCTGACTGGATCGGGAAAGCTTCTCTCTGGGGACTGAATTTGAGGTCGATCTCAAACCCTTTTAAAAGATCATAGAAAGAGTCATTAGATAGATGAGAGGGAGGAAGGTAGCCGATAGATTGACGTAGCCTCTCATATTCTTCCACCTTTTTACCAGTGTAAAAGTGGTCGGAATGTGGTTCACTGCGATGGGTTGAATCTAGGAGGTGCCTGCACTCTGTAACCCAAAATCTGGCCTCCTGTTCATCCTCGGCTTCGTCAATGAGATCATCCATGACGCGGCAGAAGGAGTACCTATGCATGTCAGAACAATGAAGCACGATTGGACTGAGGGGTAATACAGGAATATCAGATCAATGCGCAGCTGACCCTGGAATAATGCGCTGCCGAGAAACATGCTCTGACTCTTCTCTTGCAGACAATATACAGCCTGGGACAATGCAGTTTTGAGAGATGCGTCAATTGGAAGCGGCCTGGCCAATAAGGAAAGTGCTCTTCTTAATGTGATGTAGGTGTCTGACGCTGGCTGTGACAGGAATTCGTATTCTTGGAGAGCGTATGCGTAGTCACACCCAATCAGTCCTATCACGACCATCATATTGGTCACCAGAAAAAAGAGCGCTTCTCTGTTACTGTTAGATCCGACGTCTAACAATGCACAGGTAGTTCTGACTGGTTCTGACTGACTCAAGTTCTAGACCGCCGATACGAAAGTCCAATTTTGTGCCCTCCTCGATCCTCCAAGTCCCAGTTCCCAGAGCACGTGAATCTGCAACCCAGAGGTGTAGCGTGGGAAGGCAGATTGAGGCGATTATTGGTTTCCAGGGAAGTTCGGATAGTAAAGGATAAGACAACATCCTGTGTTCTCGCATTAGCATCTCAATGGATTCATGGGTAGACCAAACATACCACTGAAATAGCAGGATAGGGCAGGCCCACCCCAGAATCAGGCCCAGGTAAGTCATACGCCGTCCCAACAGCAAGCACGCTGTCCCACCACCCATCAATGCCAAAATGACTGTTGCTACCACATTTCTTGTTCCACGTCTCTCCAGATGTGACCGAAGGTACATGGGTCGCACAAGCGGCTTAGTGAAGACACAGTATGTCAAGCTCGTGATGTATGTCTGTATGGCGAAAAAGAAAACCTCTTCAATTGGAATATCAAGTATCTTGAGGCCGACTACTGCGTCTGGCGGATAAGTCCAGATAGCGGACCGTATGAGGTAGGAATCCCACGGGAGCGTCGCGAGTATGGCAATCTGTCATTCCCGGTCATATTAACTGAAGTTGTCCTTGCCGCAGGGTAAGGTTGGTGTACCGTAATTAGGATGCATATCTTGCATCGATCTTGTGCAGTGAAGAATGGATAGTACAGCACGGTCAGTGCCGACGCTGCAGGGATGGTATAAGTGCAATGACTGCTTGCGCGCTTATGGTTAGCAGGTGCAGAAACAAAGCTTGTAGAAGGTACCTCTCTTACAAAATAACATAGTCGAGTCCCATTTTGCTTCATGATTGTCTCTCATTCCCTTATGGCGACTACGGAGCTTATGGAACAAATATCAGTCAAAGGGCGTTCAGCCCCATCTGCAAGGTTTAGCCGAATCCTGTTTTCCTACCCCAGCTTCCGGAAAGGGACCATCTGCGGGTGCGTCTCTGCTTTATGAATGCTGGAAAGTCTGCTCTGGGATGCTCATTGCCACACCATAAAACAGGATAGAATTGAGAATGCCTAGTTAGATTAATGCCAAGTAGCTCAGACACTGACCACCTGTCGTCAATCGTATAAGGAGATGTCCTCGCTGGGTATCCGATCGACAGACCAGGTAGGCTGTGACGTACTCTGACCTCATGACAGGAGTATAGCTGACCGGGTAGTGATCAACGCATGAAATAGTGACCAGCTGTTCATTTTCAACATTATTGAGCTGTGGCGACAAAGCACGGGATTGACGCGACGAAGGCTTGAGTTGAAAATAGTAGCAAGTATTATGAAGCTGCAGTGGGAGAGCCGATTAGGGAAAGGGGGGTGGGTCACGTTATCGGAGTAGATGAGGGACTCCCTCACTTTTGATAGTTGGGTATGTTTTCATTTTCCAAATCAACACAGTCTGACTGAAGTGACTGCTCAATGCAAATGTCTCTAATATGCAATGCCCCGAACGCTTATCACTTTATATCATCACATTCAGATAAAACATTACCAAGCAAGCTCTGATCGGGCCATGCAACTGGCCGCTTCCAGCTGAGAACAGAACCTCTCCTCCTCTGCCAGCTTCCCTGTCCTCATCTCCCCAGTCACTTTGGGAACAGCTGGCCAGATTTCTTCCCCGCCTTGCTCCTCTTCTTTTCGCCGGTGCTCCATGACCATTGTCTTGACATGGTCTTGAAAATGGATGGGTCCCTGCCCACAATTAGCTCTTGCTAATTTCACATCTGTCTGGACAGTGTCATAAATACCTTTTCCTTGTCCGGGTGGAGTTCGCCATTGATGAACACCCCCGCGCTCAGATTTTCTTGCGCTCCAACACAGAGGTCCCGATCTTCGTCTAAGACCTGTCGGTAAAACGCGTTGATATTGGCGAATTCCTCGTCGGTGGCATCTCTGTGTCGATATACTTCGTTTTCGATCTTGCTCATTGTCGCGCTAACTGGTATCATGCGTTGAATATAGAAGAATTTGTCCCTGCTTGTGTCAATTGACTATCGACCTTCCCTTTCGGATACAAACTTACGTGACTGTGACCGACGTCGTCGGGTAAAAGTACGTGATTGATCGTCGGAACTGCGCATCAATGTTGTCCTTGTTGAAGATATGATGCTCCATGTACCTCGCCTTGGGCTCGACCCGGTACCGAGGGAGATCCGACACTCCATTAATCAGTGGATGTGAGGTCGCGCAGTGATAACATTCATTGTAGTTCTCAACCAGAAGCTTCCAGTTCGCCTCCACGTCCATCTCCCAATAATGGTCAAAAGTGTATTCCCCGTCAAAGTCAAAGTCCTGCATCCGCGGCTGCTCATCGATCTTTTGGAAGTCATCCTCCCACTTGACCTCCGGGTCCCCGGCTTCTAGATTCACCCAGACGAAGCCCGCTTTATCGATGTGTACGTGAATTGGGAGGAGCCCGTGCTGACTTTTGTCGAAGCTTGATACAGTCTCGAAGCGAGGTGCCTTTGATAGGTTGCCCTTCAGTCCATAGGACCAGCCATGATACTTGCAGCTGAGGATGGAGGTGGTCCCAGACCGAGCTTGAACAACTGGGTATGCGCGATGTCGACAAATGTTGTGAAATCCATTGATGCTACCTTCGCGGTCCCGAGTTAGGAAGAAGGAGAAATTGGAGATGGTAAAGGAAAGGAAGTCTCCAGGTTTCGTTAGTCGGCTGGAATGTGTGAGTAGCATCCAACGCTTGGAGAAGATGGCTCGTCGCTCCAGCTGATACATGGCATCGGAGCGATACCATGATGCTGGAAGGCTCCGAGGCGGAGAGCTTTTCTCGGGGGTGTTGGATGACCGGCCAAGTAGTCGGCACATGTTGTCAGACGAGAGAAGATTGTTTGGGCAGCTCGGAGGAGCTCTGATTGTCGCTGTTTCTATATAACGGAGAAGTGTTGGTAAGTGGGGTCTCGGCTTCGGCGTTGCAGCATCAAAGATGGGGGCGTTGGGAGCTCGTCCGAGGGCACCACTGATAAGCCACTGGATAAGGATCATCAGCTTATCTATCATATCTTTCTGCTGCCACGATGGCTGTCAACCAACTGAGAGAAACGATAGAATAACATGGGTGCTTATCCTGTTTCACTTGCTAGTCGCTGCTGCATATCGCCACATTGGGCCACAGATGGGATTTTTCGATACAATTCAAACATCAACCATGTCTATCTTTGGTGAGTGCCAAAGGGTCCTGTCTATATTATGCTATTTATTACATGTATAAGTCGTTCAAGTCATTTTTATGCGACTCACATCGTCCTGTCCCAACGACCAGAGTCTTCTCTTCTCTTCTTTTTCCGGCTGGCGGGATAGCCACCAACTCAACTCATATTTTGCTCGTATTCCGCATTTTCCTGAGCAAGAACGTCGCTGCTCCGATCAAAACTGACCCTAATATCCCACAGCAAGCACCAAAAAGCTGCAACCCTGAGTAATCCGTGTAATTTTGCTTTTCGAGTATGGCTCCCATGATCGGCAACCCGGTCAGGCAGCTGCCAAAGTTAGCAACCGGTAAATTTGACTTGCTTAAAGGTCTGATACTCACCTTACTGACATGATTAGCTGAAATGTTCCAAATCGCTGACCCAGGGTTTGCAGATCTCCCACTTTGGCAACACATGGCATCATAAGGGAGACAACCGCGCCACTGACGAAGCCATAGACCGCCGAGAAGACGATAATGCCCGCATGTGAAGGGTGGTAGTTGAAAGGAAGCCAAAGACAGAGCATTGACACTCCAGTACCGAAGCAGCAGAGTGTCAGGACGTTGAAGTGACCAAACACATCTGCTAGCTGAGGAGGGATGAGACGTCCGAAGATGGAGGCGGCACTGAAGTCCACAGGAGTCAGCCATCATAGATGCGAGGAAAGGTTTTGCGCAACCTTACTTGATGATAGAAATCAGGTAGAGAGCAAGAGTCGACGAAAATCCCGCGTTCTCTGCCATGCTGGAAATATAGTCGAAAGGGGCCCAGAGACCCCACCTGTCACTGTCAGTGGATGGGTAAGGCCATTGATAGGAACGAATGACGAACATGATGAAAAATGCGCCAGCGGTGTACAATCCAAATGCGGTATCCTTCAGCAGAGTCAGGTCGACCCACGCTGCTTTACCGTTCCACTCTTTGCGCGGAAGACGGCTGCGGACCAGTAGGCAGGCTATTGCCAGCATGATTCCGACGAATAGCGCTGTATACCGAACGGCACCATAGAAGCCGATGTCATTGATGACCCGGTCAAGAAATATGGGAAAGATAACACCCCCCAGTGAACTTCCCGATACCGCAATGCCAGTTGCAAGGCCTCGGCGACGAACGAACCATTGGCCGACGCAAATCATGGCCGAAGTGAAAACACCACCTGCTCCGATGCCGAAGCAGAGGCCTTGCGCAAGGAATATTTGATAGTACTCGTGCGCCAGGCTAGTCATACAAAGTCCTAGCACACAGAGAATGCTGCATGGCCAGAGGACCGGGATCGGGCCATAAGTGTCAATAATGCGGCCCCATAGCGGTCCCGGCGCCCACATGAGGGCCAGCTGCACGGCGAAGATCCATGATATGTCGGACGCGTCGTAATCTTTGAGCGACGTCTGTTGATATGTTGTTTGGAAGACTCCGATACTGTGATTAACGTCAGTATGAAGTAGGTGGGCAAATTCACCCAGGCTATACATACGCATTTAGGAACCCAAAGGAGGAGAATAGGGCGCAAAAGCTTCCGGCCACCGTCAGCCAGCCCTTGACCCCTTCTTCGGGCGGGATGGTTGGCTCCTCTACCGGCTGGTTCTTAGGCTCAGACATGGTTTGTCTTGCCCAGAAGTCTCAAGCAGATATTCCCTCCAATATATGTAGAGCCCTTGTCAAATATTTGAAGATGCATGAAGCGAATGACAAATTCTGGAGGAAAAAGCCTCCACAGGGTCCCTCCGGACAGCGATTCGGTCTACGACTGGCTAAGTCCGACCGAATTAAAGCGGGCGCTAAGATAAGTATCTGGGTTTCGATGAGAAGCTTCGCCTCGGACCCTCGGCTCTCGTTATGTCCGATGGGGCGAACACGACAAGGATTTGGCTCACCAGGGTCGCGCTAATTATGCGAACGTTTGTCGCTTTGGGCATGAAATTGACCGTGTCATCGCAGAGGCAGAATGCCATCTGACCCGTTCAATCTTCAATAAAAGAAAATACATATGCTGTGGACATTGATCGGACGATGAGCTGGAGCCAAATGACAGCAACCAGGAGCATTCAACTGGTAGTCTTTTTTCTTCCGCTCGCGACCTGGATCCCACAAAGCGGCTGCGAGCAAGCTACACCAGAACCCTAGCCGGAGGACTCTCGAACCCATTATTGGGATGATGCCGGCCCACATGGCTCCACTGTGCTGAACTACCGCAGGATACCTAAACTCTGATGCCAACTGCCGGATCAATGTACAGGGCAACGAACTTCATGGACTACGGCAGGCTGCGCCGAACATTGGGACGTGTTCATGCGACCCTTGATTCATATCGACAGCTGGCAATATTATTCGCTAATATACCCTTCACGGCCAGTCCTCAGTTTGGCCTAGATTTACAATTCCGTCCGCACTAAAGAATGCAGACCGAGTATTGACTTGGGCATCAGTTCTGCTCAGGTCATAGCACAAATGCTTCCGATCGGAGAATTTCGGATGTATCCGAAACATCTGCTTGCGGCTGCACACCGACATGAAAAAGGCACGTCTCATTCATCGGAATATTCCCCGTCTCAAAGTTGATGACGTGAACGGCACATTACCCCCACCAATCAGACGCCATATAGGCCTGATGCTAGCCCGATGATCGTCAAGCGAGTTCCCTGGACGATGCCGTCCTCCCCGATGGAACAGCCATTATCCATCTGCCGGATGGGAATACTAGCCCGTTGAACCGAGCTACTTCAGGAACAGATGTTCAAGTGTGACCTTCCCGTCTTTAAGTAGTATAGCTTCACAATTGGGGGTTAAGGCTGCTTGTGTCTCTTGATTGAGTGACCGAAATCAGCAATGACCGTTATGACGACCCTTCGGTATTTGGTCGCATACGACGTGCAGTAGTACAGCATATTAGACCAAAAGCCTCCAGGGTGCTTGCATTGGGATGAACATCGTCCAGGATCACCTCAGGCGGTATCCAGCAGGTGTTCAGCCGAATAGCCCCGTGGCTGTATTTGGCAGGGAGTATCCTTGTCGGCTTGCATATAAGTAGCCGTCTAGGACTTGTGAGTCCGAGCTGCGCAGCTATACGGGTGATCGTTTCCCAAGTGGCATGCTAGCCACGTGGTTGGAATAAGCTATGGTATCCAGGCCTCATAGCACACTGCTCCTTCGTAATGCGGCAATTCAATTCCTATATAACCTTTCTAAAGCCCTCGCTATGATCAGAAATAAGCAGGCCGTGATTGAATTCTGGTAGTAGACCTTATGCGACCGCGCGAAATTAGTAACCGAATCATTGATAGATTGACTGCGAGATGGAGATTCCAGTATCATTCCTACAGTCATGCTCAAGCTGGGAAAAGCTGTGAATGAACAATTAGCAGAAGATAGGCTGTGATCAAGCCTTGAGATGCAATGAATAGCAAAAATGTTTCAATACCTGCTATCACAATCTTTGCAGACAGATTGTTACTAGGGTGGAAGGATATCTAGTTCTTTGGGAACAACACACTTTGCCTGATACATATATTCTGGAGATTTCATTGTTCTTCTGGAAAATGATCAGGGCAGGACTTTCATCCTCTTATAGTACATCATCTCTCAATATACTAATGGTGGGACCGAGGCCAGCCCGGGGCATATAACCGACCCCAGAGAAGCCGCGCCCCCACGGTCGGCGATGTTCTCCGGTCGGCGATGGCCTCAAAAACCGGGGTCATCCCCACGAAAAAATCCCCAATTCACAACCAGCACCATGCCTACCACCCGTCCCCTTGTCCGTGCGGCATGCCATAATCTCTCCGGCATCCGTCATGCTTCCACTAGCGCCACGAAAAAGGCTGGACCCCTCGCCGGCATCACTGTCGTCAGTCTGGAACAAGCCATAGCCGCTCCCTTCTGTACCCGCCAATTAGCCGACCTAGGAGCCCGAGTCATCAAAGTCGAACGACCTGGTGTCGGAGACTTTGCTCGCAACTACGACACCCGCGTTAACGGCCTAGCCTCCCACTTCGTCTGGACCAACCGGTCCAAGGAGAGTCTCGCCTTGGACCTCAAAAAGCCGTCCGATCACAGCGTGCTCATGCGCCTGCTCGGCCGCGCCGATGTCCTCGTCCAGAACCTCGCCCCCGGCGCCAGTGCTCGACTGGGTTTATCCTACGCTGATCTCAAAGCGGCTCATCCATCCTTGATCGTGTGCAACATCTCCGGGTATGGTCCTGACGGACCGTACCGCGATAAGAAGGCCTACGATCTGTTGATCCAGAGCGAGGCTGGCATGCTCTCCGTCACGGGGACGGGAAAAGAGCCCGCCAAGGTTGGCATCTCCATCGCTGATATTTCCGCTGGTAGCTATGCCTACTCCAATATCCTGGCGGCGTTGTATCAGCGGGAGAGGGATCCCTCGAAGCGGGGGTGTAACATTGATATCTCCATGCTGGAGAGCATGGTTGAGTGGATGGGGTTCCCTATGTATTATACCTATGAGAATGCCCCGGGTCCGACACCAGCGGGTGCTTCGCATGCGGCTATCTATCCTTATGGCCCGTTTGAGACGGGAGATGGAACGGTGATGTTGGGGATCCAGAATGAGCGCGAGTGGGCTAAGTTCTGTGACATCGTTTTGGGTCAACCCAGTCTTGCTACGGATGAGCGGTTTGTGAATAACTCGCTGCGGTCGCAGAACCGAAATGAGTTGAAGAAGATAATCTGTGACGTCTTCTCGTCGCTTTCGGCGGAGCAGGTGATTGCTCGACTGGATGAAGCGGCGATTGCTAATGCCAGCGTCAATGATATGCAAGGCGTCTGGAACCACCCACAGCTCAAGGCTCGGCAGCGATGGACAGATGTTAAGACGCCCGCAGGAAGTGTGCCGGCTCTGCTACCTCCTGGAATGACCAAGGGGGATGAGGACACATATGGGGCGCGCATGGACGCTGTGCCTGATGTGGGTGAGCATAACAAGGCTATTTTGGCCGAGTTGGCGCTCGACGAGGGTACGGAGAAATAGCTACAGTTAAATTAAATGACATGTACAGTTGAGCTAGTGGACTTGGCTATCCTTGCGAGTATTGGAACTTTTAGACCCTTTTTAAATAACTCAGTGCGATGGATTCACCTCGGACAATCCTAGTGTCCACTCACGAGGTTGAAGATACCTGCATGTCAAAGGATGATCAGACGTGGAGCTAGTGGACCACATTATAAATCTTACAATTTAATCCAATGCAGACAACCTACCCCTGCTGCCCCTAAACCTCCCCGCGACAGTACTCAGCGTTGAGTGAATATCGGCGCAATATCCCCATCGCCGAAGCAAGTGGATCGGGAGAACAGGCAAAAAGCCGACATGCCCGCCAAGACCGAGGCATCATAAAGCCGCTTTATCCTCGACTACGGCTACTTGCATTCTGCCTGGCCACCTCTGAACTCCACTGCGGACGATCTCCTTTTCATTAGTAACTGGAGCTAGTAATCCCAGGATCATGTCCAGTCAGGAGACCTCGGGCCACCGACAGGTGAGAACCAGGGCCAAGCAGGCTTGTCTCCACTGCAATAAGCGGCGAATCCGCTGCAATGTGCTACAGATGCGCCCATGCCAGAATTGTCTGTCATTGAATGTACCCTGTGAGATAGGCGTTTCAAAGCGAGGAAAGTATGTTTTCACAGTTTCATCATTATGGTAGTTTGACGTAGACTGATTCAATGGCTTAGGTATCCCCGTAAGAAGAGTGCTCGGCAACAAACCGACGGCAACTCGGTCCAATTGCCGGCATCATCTGCGAAGGGAGGGAACCATTCATTCACCGTGTCAGCAGGTGATAAATCCGACGCAAAAGAGTCGCATGCCCATCCGATACCAGGGGATGCTGCGAGTGCTAATGAGACAGTGTTTTTCGGCGAGTCGAGTCCGCTCACTGTAGTCATTGACGAAGGGCGCCGGTCGCCTGAAAAGGGAACTAGTGAGATGCATATGACTCGTTTTCATTATCCCATTCCTGAGAAACTTGATGCCTTCAACACCCGTGATGAAGCTTTCCGAGCACACAAGATCAAGCAAGAAGGCCAGCTGAGAGCTGACGGGGCCTTCTCGTACCCGCCGCCAGAGACATGCGAAACTCTTCTGCGGGCGTACTTTGACTGGTTTCACCCCTGTTTCCCAGTCCTTGATCGTGCTGCGGTGTATGAGAGCTATGTGCAGGGGAGCTTGTCGCCCCTCTTACTCCAGGCGATGCTGTTCATAGGCGTTAGCCTTTGCACGGATGAGGCGTTTGCCCGGACGGAATTTTCTTTTCGATACTGGGCCAAGTTTCTCTTTTACAGCCGAGCAAAGGCAATCTACGATGCTGAATGGGAGTCTAACAAGACGGTCAAGATTCAATCGCTGTTTTTGTTGAGCTTCTGGCGTGGAGGGCCATCGGAGGAGCGGGACATTCGATTTTGGCTGGGCATTGCCATTGACTTGGCACAAAAGCGCGGCATGCATTTGATGTATGTAATTGTCTGTTTCACTCTGTCTCCTATTAACATGGTCAGGTCCAAGTTCTCGTTTGCCTCCCGTCGAGAGGCAGGGCTATGGAAGCGGATTTGGTGGTCGCTTTACGTATGTCACCTCTCGTAAGCCTGATGTGGATGCTGACCGTTGCTAGACCCGAGACCAGCAAAGCGCCGCAGCACTTGGGCTTCCGCCACACATTCGGGACAAAGACTGCGATGTCGCCATGCTAGAGCCTGATGATATCCGAGAGGAGGCTGTGGGCGGCCAAAGTCTTTTTGGGGTGCAGTGTATCGAAGACCTCTCTTATCCAGCCGAAATGGCAAAGTTAGCCAAATTATGTATGTCCGAACCTCCATACTGCGAATCTTTGCTCACTGTTCAGTGCGTTCTATTGTCTCGACCCAGTACTCGCCGCTGGGTCCGTCATCTAACGGTGCGTCACGAGCGGCATTGCACCAGCAACTGAGGGACTGGGAATCCAATATGCCTCTTGAGCTGAAGCTGGAAAATGCCACAACTCCACGAGCCAAGTTTCTGGCCGGACTCTTACATATGACATACCAGTAGGTGGCATGTATTGGGTACTTGAGTGAAATTCTCTGATCCAATGCTACTAGAAATCTCTACATCCTGCTTTACCGACCGTCCTTTCTTCACCCTCCAGATGGAGATCTGGATAGTCAAGGTCAGATAGCCTTGGATGCCGCGACGAAAAGCACACGAGTGTTGGAGGATATGCTTTCGCACAACTTGGTCCAACACGGCCCCCCTCATCTGTAAGACCGTCCCCGCCGATATGCTATAGAATTCAAGCTGACCATGTAGAATCACCCACGCGTTTTCAACCCTCTGCATCCACACCATCCATTTCCGTCGCTCGTCCGGGACAGGTCGCAAATTAGCCGAACACCGAGCCCGGCTCTGTCTCTTGAGCCTACAAGAGCTGCAAAAATCTTGGGACTTGGAGAACTGGGTACTAAACCTGTTCTTCCGATGTTTGGACGATCGCACGGCTCGCACTCTGCGACCGGTCGATCCCACTGCTCCCTCCCCTAAAACCGAGAGCCGTAATCTTGTCTCCGCCACCCCGGATATTTTCCCTGCTCTCAATATGATTCCAGAGGCGGGCGGACCGACGCTCAATACATCTTCTCAAGCGGCGCATACGCAGTATCCCACTGGGGATATTAGCGCCCCGAGTGATTGGTACGGCTTGTTCAATTTCACCGACGATTATACCGACATTTCGGGGGCGGCTCCCAGCCACGACGCATCGCTAAATTTGCAGAATCTGGAGTTTCTCTATCGATTTCTATGACGAATTCTATCACACCGGAAAACCCTACACAGTATATGATGGCGACCACACTTTATCCCATCTCGTCAATGGGTTCAGCTTTGGGGAGGACCGCCTTGGCAGAGTTCGGTACTCGATCGCGCTAAACGTGGAGTATCATCCGTGTGCGAGTCAGCTCATTCCTGCCGAGCAGGCTGAGCACGTATTAATTCCCTGACCCCCTCTTCGTCAGATCGACCCCAACTTCACCTTTAATTCAATCTTGTCTTGAGGCACCATGTTCGGTGACTTTCCCGTCGACAACAAGATCGTCCTGGTGACTGGGGGAGGATCCGGTGAGACCAGTTGAACCTCACTTTACCTCTGCTCCACATCGCAACTAACGCGCCACTCAGGGATCGGGTTGCAGCTCTGCCGCCAGGCCGCCGCCAAAGGCGCCCGTATCATCATTGCCGATCTGCGCCTCATTCCCGAAGCCCAACAGTTTGTCGACAGCTCCGACGCCGTCATCTTCCAGCGCTGTGACGTCCGTAACTGGAGCGACCTGCAAGCCCTCATCCAGCTCTCCCAAGACAAATGGAACGACGTTCCCGATGTGTACGTCGCGTCAGCGGCCATCTTTGAACCCGTACGTGTTTCTCCCCTAACTAAACATCCCCCATTCTGTCATGTCCATCATAATTTCATCGCTAACGGAGTTCAAATTAAGTCATGGTCCAGTTTTTGGGAGGACACTGAGTCGACCGACTACGCGTGTATCAACATCAATGTCAACCACCCCATCAAGCTTACTCGACTGGCCATCCGAGCTCTCCTGGGTAAGGACAAGAAGGGTGTCGTATGTCTGGTCTCCTCTATCGCGGGAATAAGTGCTTCCATCCGGAGCCCCTTGTATTGTGCAGCCAAACACGCCATCTGGGGCTTCGTCAAGTCGATGGCCCCGCTTGACCAATTGGAGGGCGTGAAAGTCACCTCCATCTGTCCAGGGTATTTCATCCCCCTTTACCCTTCTACTCTCTGGATTCCTAGAGTGTGCGCTAACGGCAACCAGCGTTGTCCCGACGCCTCTGTGGGACACCGTCCCCGGTATCCGCAAGCAACTCTCCTATGATAGAGTGAAACATGTTCCGGCGGAAGAAGTGGCAGAGTACATGCTCGAGCTTATCCAGCAGGGCAAATATCCCGGCGGTTCGGTAGTTGAGATTACCAGCTCCGGCCCGGATGGACGCAGAGTCATCCCGCCGTGGAATGTCTCGCCACCAAAAGTGTATGCCGGTGCGGATAAAGAGATGCTGGGTAACTTTATCGAGCCCGTCCGTGCGGCGTTGAAGAAGGAGCGGAAGGCGAAGCTGTAATCACTATACCCATTAGCTAATGCGTTCATCATTGAAGACATCCATACACCATGATGAAACACCCATAACTGGCGCTATTAAATCTTATGAAACATACCACATCCAGGTTTCTTCAAAAATTACTCTGCAAAATTTCACTATCCAGAATGAGATTAGACGCCTCCTTGTCCTTCCCCGTGCCCGGATATGATTTCCCAGACTACAACCCTCCGCAGCATCATTGCTGGGTGCAAATTCGATCGTTTAGTCAGTAGCAATTAAAGTCCATCCATTTCCACCACGATAATTTGCATTTTCTCACTCTGGACCATGGCCAACTCGCTAGCAAAGCTTGCTGTAACGTCGCCTGAGATAATCGCTAAAGGACCAAGATTACTGACACATAAGGAGCCATAATGGAAGAATTCTCTTAGCATATCCGACTTCAAAATCTTACACATTAGACCAGGATAATGAGTTGTGTGAGTTTAGCATCAGTTTCTATCATCATCTTGTTAGACGCGGCCGTATGTATGAGGCGGCCGAACAACCGCGCGCTACTACATAAGGCTTTTAGGGAGGTGAACCCTGTCGAGTTCAGACATAGTGGTCTTTTTGGCCCAGTAGTAGGGTCCAAAATACCAATGATGGTGGTAGGCTGATCATTAATGTAAATATGATTGTAAAGTTCATGAAAGTCTTTTACGGTTACAATAATCCACAGATATATTTCTGAGGATAATGAAATATATCCCCTGAAATTTAGAATTATACGATAGTTTGAGAATATGTAATTTGGTAAAGGAAAAGATAGATTTCCATTCAATCATTTAAATATTTATATCTCGCAAGTCGAAAGTCTTAAACTGGGCAATCACCTATTACCTATACATAAACCCATCATAACCATTTAACAACTATTCACGGCATTAAATAACTTTATAAATCATTTAGTCTCTGTATATATCCCCTTCGCGCACTCCTTCGAGCTCCTCTTATGTTGGTGTTGTGGTAGTATTGGTAGCACGCGTAGGACTGCAATGATTCTTTATAGAATATATTTTCGGGCACAATAGTACCACACGGCCACACATTGAAGTCCCCCTACAGAAGAACTAAATTTAGTAGCCGTAGCTTCAAGCTGCAATTTCGCCTCGTGTAATCAGTCTCTGCTATCAGGTAAATCACCCATATCATTTCATCATATCCACTATCACCTTGTCGTGTCCGGGTTATCAATCCCGCATGACGTTCCGAAATCACGCACAGGATACCCATCTTGCCCAGTCCAGTGTAAGATCCTGGTACTATTGTGTCATGCTTGATCGCGATGCACATAGGACCCAATGCAACTCGAATACGGGCAACACAGAATATAGGTCTACGATTAGAGCATACTTTATGGATTATATGGTCAGCCGATGGAGCTTCCAGGTGGCGATGTGCCAACGCAGCTGACAAGGAAAAGTGTAATATTCCGTCGATCCATCCAGAACAACTGCAGAGAGCGAAACAGGCTTGTTCGAGGGTATGAAGGCAGTGATATTCTTGCTTATGGCATTATATTCTGCGGCGGACATGGTTCATTGGGGATTATTAGGGCAGGTGGGTGGCGTTCAAACGAAGTCGTGTGCTTCTAAGTGAGCATACATCGTGTAATATTCTTGGCATATAATAACGAAAGAAGATCTCGACGTGCCTTGGCCTGTCCTGTGAGGGTGATGGCATTATATCCAGAGACTGGTCGGTACGCTATGCTCTATTAATATGTCTCGGTTGTCAGATAAATTCCGATACCAAAACTAAACTGGATGCCTGGAGACGAGCAAATTCAACGTGACGAGGTAAAGCAGGCTTGGTCTGCGACAGTGATAGTTCAGTCTCTAGCACCATTAGTTTCAAGGTATCAAGGCTCTCTCGGATATACTTCCTGTGTCCAGTGATAACATCTATAACAGTCCGATGTTGGCGGTCAGTATGTTCACTTTATCAAGATACAAAAGTACCTGGTTCCTCCTATGGTCCTCCATGGCCTAGTAGGCAGCCTCCTCGCTCAGTCTCTTGGACGCTATTGCCATTGAATATCAATTAGGATCCTGGATTCTCCTGTTGTGGCAACCTAGACAGCGCTTTGTAACACAATTTAGGCCAGTGTCAGCTTCTTAGCGATTGAGTTGGATACATAACCCTCCTTGAGTGAGCGGCTTTCCGACAGTTAGTGATTACAGGTCTTAAAATGCCACTTGGTTAGAAAGCTCAATTGAAAAATAACTGGTCTTGATGCTCATTCTTAACAACAAGCGCTTCTCGAGTTCAGTAGAGGTGCAGTCGTATACCACGGTCCGCGCATCCCTGAAAGATGTTGGCCAGTTGATGTGCCCAGCTTGTCTTACGGCTTGTAAGAAGAGAAGGAGAGAGCCTGAGAGGCGCCATCGAGAACAGAAGGGACCACCTGATCCGACTAAGCGAGCCTATCAGGGCTGACTCCCCTCTCTATCGCCACTACTCCCCTCTAGTAATTCTCAATTTTACTTCCTCATTTGCAGTCTGTAGCGGGGCCGAAGATTTACCCGGTACTGCGTAGTCCAAGATAGCAGCTGAACGCTTCTAGCGAAGGTGTTATAGAGACTATGCATGATCGGGGAAATATTCGCTAAGCACTAGGAACACCAGGCTTACTGCCTCATGGATTCTGCTGAATGGGTCCACGAGTCCCCACTGCTTGAACACATTGTCCCAGCGTATAGCCACCCTGAGCTCATCATGATCAGGCCATAGCATCATACCACGATGCCTCTAGCAAACATAAGACAAGGGCCCTGCCTACTTGCTCAATCCTGAGATGCGATAAATTCGAAGAACAGCGTGCCAAACGGCCCCTCGCTGAGCTGGTCTCCAGGACTCAATAATTCATTCGGCTCGGACACGGCTCGGAAACGGCTCGGAAGTCAAAGTGTTGATGCATCGGGCACTCCCAGTTCCTGCAGGACCATGCACTGCATGGCTACTTGGAGGCATTAACTTCCACAACCATCTCATAATGGGCATACTGGCTTGGCAGTAAATGAAAGCATTTCTGGCGAGTCGGACGCTGAGATGAGAAAAGCCTCGAGACATATTTCTTAGCTGAGACACCTTCTTTTCTGACTGCTGAATCATAATGGAAGAATCCTCATCCGGAGGGTTTCCACCGGCGTGCCTTCCAAGGTTACCGGCTTATCTATCGTGACTCAAGATGATACTACAGCATCCTGCAGTATGTCTAGTGCGAGATTGATAGGTTCACTACCCCCACTGCGGTCCTTCATCATGTTTGAAATCAAGAGGTCGCATTGGAAATGTCATAGAAAGCTCCCATGAGGAGGGTATTGCCCAATGATCAGCGTTGAGTCTCATCTACTCGACATGAGAAGCATGCAGGCCGCCGACGGATCCGGCTTCACCTGCCTGATTAGGCTTATCTCCGGCAACGGATCATTACTGACCGATGCGCTGCTGACGATCGCTGTCCTGCACCGCCATGAAGACATACCCGTCTTTTCGTTCCCGCCGGCAGTGGTTTATTCCCCGTATTCTCCCCCTCCAAGCGATGACCCTGAGCCGTGTCCGGGTCCCCGCTGGCCCCTGTGCCAGTTATCCTCAAAATAGTTTCGATTTCGAAGGGTCGCTTCGCTATCGAAGGGACGATGCTGACGACGCGTCGGGCCTGGATGCGGAAGGTGGATTGTGGATCTGCGGCCTTCCCGAAGGAACGCCGTCTAGGGTTAAATTCTAATCCGACTTCAATCTATCCGGACGTTCGAGGTCCTCATCCTGCCCGGCCTGCAGAACTGCCAAGCAGACTTATGCAGCTCTAATAAGGTGTCTGCAGCAGTCGCCAGCTAGTTTATCCCGTTTAGGTCGACCTTATTGACGACTCCGTCGGGTGAGGCCGCTGTTCTTTTCAGGAGGATATTCCCTCCTTCTGACGAGAGATGCGTGTAGGCTTCACCTGAAGACCCGAACACCATGCTGCAAGGTACCAACTAGGGAGACTATGGAATGGGATAGATCTACTGCGATAGACTTGGGACAGAGATGGAATCATTCTGCCAATGAGACCATGCCGACGGGGCATGTGAAGAAAAGTTGGTCGACTCTGCTCACAGTGGGCCGGACCGAGTGGAATCTTCCCATAGTAGAGCCGGCCGATCTCCCAGTGTCCTTCACCGAATCAGTTTTGCTGGGTGCTATTCGGAGAGGTCATTCGGCCCGCGGGGGTTTTGCTAGACTGGTCCTCCGCCAGCCAGTGAAAGACCATGCATTATTATTCGAGTCGGCTGGCCCCCGATCGTCGTGATCAGCACTTCCCAGCGAATTAGCCTCGCGTTGGTTTTCCTCCCTCTCTCTCGTCGAATCCGGTTTCCTCACGCTGGCTTGGCATCTCCATCGCGGCTTGGCACGACCGCCTGAAGTCTATGCGCCTTCCATATCCGGCACACTGGTTACTATTCCCAGCATCCTTCCATCATTCCGATTCTCTGCAGAAACACAGATTATGATAATCTGGAACGATAGTCACCATCGACTTATCCACTCACCCACAATGCCCAGACTGTGGAGAATGTGGGTGGAATAATTTTATTGTGGGAGAGTTAGATCACAGCCATTCACCGTGGCCGCTCTGGCTCTGGCGGGATGGCCTTCTGCCACTGGTCTGGCCAGCTCATCCGGCACTATGTTTCTCTACATGATATCACTTTGCTTTCAGAGCCTATCACCGGCCAGATAATCCGCTCTCTGTCAGCTCCATCCTTCGGAGTATATTGGCCTTGACCTCATTGGAACCTACCGGAGACACCTTGAGGACCATGGGCACAGCTCGCCATCGGTTGCAACACTGATGCCAAGTGATCGTCCTTGTTTGCAGGACGATCATCCCTCGGTGCACTACAGGTACCTGTATCGGATCGGCTGCACGAGGATTTCAGTCGCGTAGGGACAAGGATGCCGAATAAACTATTATCCATCAAGGCGTGATTGATTGTACCAGAGAGGAGTAGGCATCGCTATCTCACCTCAGAAATAGCTATATAAACCCCTCGGACATACCCTTCCAGATAGCTCTTCAGTCTACCACTCGCATCGCAAGCATCCTCACTGTTTCAAGCATCTCTGCGATTCTTCTCCCGGATTCATTATGCAAATCAAGAACGTCCTGAACCTGGCCGTCGTCGGCAATGCCCTCCTGGCCACCGCACACCCGGGTCACCATGAGGAGCGTGAGGCCCTTCAGCAGCGCTCCTTCAAGCGCACCTTGGCCCACGGTCTGCAGAAGTGTGAGGCCAGCCTCGAGGCCAGTGGCCTCCACGCCCGCGCTGAGGCCCGTCGCCGCGCCGTTGTCGACATGCACCGCCGTCAGCTGCAGGCCCGTGGCGACACCGCTGAGGTGCTGAACAAGTCGCACCTGTCCACCCGGCCCATCTCGTCCAGCACCCCCGAGACCGAGGTCTTCAACGACGACAAGAAGATCTGCCTCCTCGGTCCCAGCGCTGAGGGTGAGACCGGACCCTACTGGATCCCCGGTGAGCACATCCGCGGCGACATCCGCGAGAATGAGCCGGGTATTCCTGTCACCGTCGAGCAGCAGTTCATCGATGCCGAGACCTGCCAACCTCTCAGCGGCATCTACACCGAGATCTGGGGCTGCAACGCCACCGGTGTCTACTCCGGCCTGGTGGCCGATGGTAACGGCAACTCCAACGACCTGGCCAACTACAACCGCACCTTCCTCCGTGGTGTGCAGCAGACTGATGAGGACGGAGTGGTGACCTTCAACACCCTGTTCCCCGGTCACTACGCTGACCGCACCACCCACTACCACAACATTGTCCACTGGGGCGCCACTCTGCTGCCCAACAACACCCTGGCGGGTGGCTCCATCCCCCACATTGGCCAGATCTTCTGGGACCAGGATATGATCAGCAAGGTCGAGTCCACCTACCCTTACAACACCAACTCGATCCCCATCACCCCCAACGCGGAGGACCGCGTGGTCACCGTGGAGACCGAGAACGCCGACACCGACCCCTTCCTGAACTATGTCTACCTGGGTGACTCCCTCGAGGACGGTCTGTTCGCCTACCTCACCGTTGCCGTCAACACCTCGGCCATCCACTACCCCTACTGGACCAACGTGTACACTTCCACTGGCGGCGAGTCTGTCTGCGGTACCTGCGACGGTGACCCGGATGCTGTTGACGGTGGTCTCCCCACCCCCTCTGCTTCGGCTTCTGCTTCTGCTTAAAGGTTGAACCTCGATGGAGATGTGAGCAAAGTATTAAAAAACTGCTGGATGATAGGTGGATACTTTGTATGTTTAGACTAGTAGATGAGGTAGCTCACGAATATGAACGAGTTGATTGGACACAGCCATCACTTCGGAAACTGACCGATTCGTAAGCACTAATGACTAAGCGGGAGAGTTCCGGGCGGTCGAGCCTCATCGGGAACGCAAGACCGATAGGTAATCCCGTAGGATTGCCGATTATCGCGGGCTTTGCTGGATTCCCGTTGACATCCGTCTCTTGTGGAAGAACAGGATCCTTCACCCCTCTCAAAACAAGGAATGAATCTCTTCTTGGCGTCCGGAATCCTTGCGGTGCTCTGCAACTGTCCAACAGGTCCAATCCTTCGGGGGCATCCTACCTCAGGTGGTTACTACTACCTACTACCAGGAAAGCCCGCAAGAGACGCACTTTCCCCGGTGAGTGAGTGCAGTACTGTTTGCTTTTCGGGTGAGTTGGTCTTAATGTGGGGATACGATGGTGTCATTGGCTACTACTTGGCAGATACTGAACTTATATGCACATTCTTGATGTGATCGTCTGCTGAGCATGACTGCTGTAATGGTCGGTGTGGAAGTGCTGTGTGTGGATTAAACTCTATATGCGCAGTATCAGTGCAGCTCTGCTCAGTTACGACTAGGCACGAAAAGAGTCAGGGAAATATTGTATCAATATTATCGCTTCATTTGATTCAATTAATATGTACTACCATCGATGTTCTATTGAATGCACAACTACAACGATTCTGATATAATACCATGACTACCATCATGGTTGTGGTAGAGATACGCCTTACAGGAAACGTTGCGCCGAGACCGATGCTCGTACATATTCCCGAGGAGATCTGATCGCCGCGGCAGCTAAGCAGGGATTCGGTCGATCAGTCAGGCCAGAACCCGGCGTCTACCAACCAATTGCTCTTGGGATTTGGATGAGCTACTATACGCAAAAGTGTACGGGATCTGGTGATGGTTATGGTGAATATGGCCCAATCAAAGGGCCTCGGTCGGACACGGGTGCCAAATGGTATCAGCTAATCTATCTGTCGTGCATCTATTTATTTATCTACCTGTCACAGATAAGTTTAGAATTGGCCCACCAAGTGGATCCGTTCATCTCATTTCTCTTTGTCAGTTCTGGCTTCATCCTGACGTGACTCACATTCCCGAGTCATTCCCGAGCGGAAATGAAATCCATTTCCCCTCACGCACTTCTCCTCATAAAGCTTCCCTCCCAAAAGTCAATTCCTGAGTTTTCTTTTCTTTTTCCTTCTTTTCTTCTTCATCCCCATATATCCTATAAAACCTTCAACAGGGTTGACACACGATGATCGTCAAACTCACCCAACCATACAGCTTCCTGGATGATTACAGCGAGGGTGCTCATCCACGCCTACTGCAGTCCCTCCTCCTCACCAACGCCACACAACAAACCGGCTACGGCACAGATGAATACACACACGAAGCTCGTCAATTAATTTACTCTCAAATACAAGCCACCGACGATGAAGTCGCCATCCACTTTGTTCCCAGCGGAACTGCCGCGAATCTCATTTCCATTGCCAGCTGCCTGCGGCCCTATGAAGCCGTTCTCGCCGTAGAAACCGGGCACATCCTGGACAAGGAAGCCGGAGCCATCGAAGCCACCGGCCACAAAGTCATCCCCGTCCCCGGGGTACGGGGAAAAATGACCCCCGAGAATCTAGAGCGGGTGTTGGATCGCAATACCTTCTTCCCGCACATGGCCAAGCCGCGGCTGGTGTACATCTCCAATGCGACGGAGGTGGGCACGATCTACACGCGGAGTGAGCTGCGGCGGCTGTCGGAGACGTGTCGACGGCGGGATTTACTGCTGCATGTGGACGGAGCGCGATTGGGGGTGGCGCTGAGCGCCGAGTTGAATGATCTCACCCTGCGCGATATGGTCGATTACACGGATATCTTCTGGATCGGCGGCACGAAAATGGGCGCCTTGCTGGGCGAGGCGGTCGTGGTGCGCAGGAGTCTGGCCGAGGGGTTTGAATTCAATATCAAGCAGCGCGGAGCCTTGCTGGGCAAGTCCCGCGTTATGGGAGTGCAGTTTGCCGAGTTGTTTCGGGATGGGTTGTATTTTGAGCTGGCCAGACATGCGAATGCCATGGCGCGGCGCATTTCGGCGCAGTTTGAACGCATGGGATGGGAGCTGGCGGCTGAGACGGAAACCAACCAGGTGTTTGTCGTGGTACCGGATGCTATGCTGCATCGGCTGGCGGAGCGCATCCGATTCTACGAGTGGGATAAGCGTGAAACTGGCACGGTGATTCGCATTGTGACAGCCTGGGCTACGGATGAGATGGCGGTGGATAAACTGTGCCAATGGCTGGAAGCCATCCATCAGGCATGATTGGATTTTTCTTTTTATCTATCCTTAATGTCATGATAATAATACCCGAGCTATCTAATTGGGGGAAAGAGAGAAAGAGACAGACACAGACAGAAGTTTAATATGATGAACTAATGAGATCTCCATGAGTCAATCGGAAGATTAATCGAAACCATAACTAATTTTAAAAATAAGGATGAAAAATGGCCGGGCCAGACTGTTGGGGAAATTACTTGATGGAATCCACTTCCTGCAATTTCCGTGACAAAAGAATATCGCATTTCCCCTCATTATTCCCGAGGTTGCTTACTTTTATTCCCGACCATCGGGAATATATCTTCATACCCCTCACGTGCCCCTCACGCCGTCCCCCACTCAATTTTGTCCAATTCCAACCACTTTATTCCCGCGTCGGCTTTGAGGTGTGCAACGATGCGCCTGTCCATCTCCTGCGACAGCTGTCGGTAAGCTCCCTCACTTCCATCGCATTCCATCCCATCTCATCCAATTATAATAATCAATTGCTCATCTAATAGGCAATCCAAGGTCAAGTGCATCCACGATGGCCATCCTCCCTGCCGTCGCTGCCACCGCCTCCGTCGCGATAACTGCGTCCTGACCGATCCGCGCTCTCCCGGTGTGCGCACACCCCGAACCCCTCGCAGAGCCAGCATTAGAAGAACCGGCTCAGGTTCAGCGTCAGGGATAGGAACAGGGACAAGAACAGCAACAGACACAGGAAATACCACCGCGACCACTCCCATAGCCAGCTCGCCCGCTCCCTCTCCCACTCCCTCTCATTCTGCCAATCCCATCGCTGCCATCGCCCCGGCCACTCTCATCGCAGCATGCGACATCTACCGCAAGAAATTCCCCGTCGTCAACTTCCTTCATTATCCCTCGCTGATCGCCGATCTCTCCCATCATGCCTCCGCCGTCGAACCCGTTTTTCTCTCAGCTCTACTTTCTCTATGCGCCCGCTTCATGTCCGACGCCGCCCTGGCTGCTCCTGAAACCTACGCGGAGTATGCGCGCTCTCAGCTAGCCCATCGCGCCTTCGAAGCCCCTTCCCTCTATCTTGCACAATCGCTCGTCATGATCTCGCTCTACGAATGGGGTTCGGGTCGGCCTTATCGCGCATGGATGTACAGCGGTACTATTCCACTCAATTTCCCCTGCAGTCCGACCATCACTAACCCAATGCGCTAATCTCAGGCATGGCCACCTACATGATCCAATCCCTCCTCAAGACCGCCGATGATACCATGGAACAACAACCCCTCCTTGACCTGCCCGCCCATCGCATAACCTACGAACAGCTGGTCCGCACCTACTGGTGTTGCTTTGCACAGGACTGTGAGCTCAGCTCCGGCGCCCGCCAACACTTCGCACTCTCCTTCCGCCAGATCTCCGTGCCCCTCCCCATCAGCGATTCCGACTTTACCTTTGGGAAAGCCACCCCACGCTTAATGCCGGCGGACATGAATCGCTCATCCTCTCTGGCACTGAATTTATCTATTGATCGGGGATTGACTATCGTCACACGGGGGTTCGACATATTCGTTCGCATACTCCGGTTCGCCAATGAGAGCCGTCGGGGTCGGGCGCAAGGGTCGGCAGGGTTGTCGCTCCGCGCGTGGGAGATGCTCAAGGCCGAGCTGGACGAGTGGAGGGGGCTTCAGGATGCGACGGTGCGGTATCCCGAGACCAATGCGCAGGCGCATGTGGCCTTGGGATCGGGGGAGTTGTTCGCCTATATCAACCTGGTGTATTTCATGAGGTGTGTTCATTTAGCCGTCAGACTGCTCGATGAGGTAATTACTGACCGCGGTAGTATTCTATTCCTCTACCGCGACCGCTTCCTCTCCACTCCCAAATCATCCATCGATCATCACGACCCGGCCGACGACGAGGCCATTGACCACCTCTTCGCCACGGCACAGCACATCAGCGCGATACTCGCTGCCCTTGAAGCCTGCGCCACTCCTGTCATCACTCCATATGCGGGGTTCAGCGTCTTCGTCGCCGCCCATATCAACATGTACGGGACTGTCTGTCCGGGCCGGTACCCGGGGGGACTGGCGCGCGCGCAGGAAGAGAAGAAGATGAATCTGGAGTATCTGGAGCGACTGTGTCGGTTCTGGGATGTGGGAACCAGCTGGGTACACCCACTCACACCTCCACTTCAATTCTTGTTGAAAGACTAATGGATGGCAGTGGCGAACTCTCCAAGAAGCAAACCGGTTCTATGAAACAGCCCGAACCACCGCCCAAGGTCCAACGGGCGTTTCTCGTCCAGAGCATCTCACCCTGGCCGGTACCATCGATGAATACGGCGATATTCGCGTGTCGCGACCCGAGACAGCGTCTCCCGCGCGACGACGCCCAGGGGTATCTTCTGAGGGAGTAGGAGTGCGACGCATGTCGGTTGCCGAGTTGACGGCGCCAGGTGGTGGTGGAAGCAGCGGTGGTAGTGGTGAGTGGGCGGATGTCGAGGCGGAGATGTGGCAGTGGCCGTTTCTCGATGAGAATTGGTCGTTGGGATTCGATACGGGGTTTGAGTCGGCGTGGCCGGGGTTGAGCTGATTGGAGCTGGGTTGGCTTTGTATGAGTAATGAATGGATGAGTTAATGGTCACTATTATAATGAATGATATCGATCATAATCAGATATGGTCTGGTTCCACGGCCGTCACAGCGCCTGAATAGTAAGTGATAAGGTTATGTTCGAAATTGTCCTTCCGGTGATAAATTGCTCCTATATTCCCTCCATCAAGACATAGGACTCCGGTAGATTATCCTCTGGGCGCGGGTCATACTTCGGGGCGGTACAAAATCCAGATGGGTTGTGCTGAGAATATCGACTAGCAATGACACCGACTGGAGAAACGTCCGTTCGATCAAGAGATTGTTGCATTCGAGATGGTCCAGCGAATTGGGGAGTCAATTGATCTGTACTGGCGCTTTCACACATCCATTGCGACGACTTTCAGTGTGGAACACCTGGGATGCGGTACACTGAGCGCAAGCACTGCGACCTCGGGTCGGCGTACTAGTAAGTAGATAGAGCACAGGCCTCTTGGTGTACCTCAGCCGAGTCAGTATCATGTTTATTAGTGGTTCGGTCGGCACACGCGGCGTCGGTTGCCCCGTTGTGTTGGCGTAGTAGTATTTTATCTGTTCTCGGAAGTAGAGTAAGCTGCATAGTAGTATTTTAGTAGTATATGTCTCAGATGTTGGTGGAAATCAACTGGCACCGACGACACATCATTTGCAATGAAAGAAAGCACAGCACGGGTCCCAGCAGGTGGTCCCGAACTGAAATCCCCGAAACCTGCAGTCAGTAGAATACTACTGCTAATAATATATATTCACTCCCCTGCAGGTTAGGTCCGAGTGGGCGCGTACGTGGCTCAAATGAGATTCTGGAATACGACATCATGCCCACCGGCGATAACTACTGGTTGCGTCTACCGTTGTGAGCGGGGAATGTTCAATCGGCAGTTGACTAAGTATTTAGTTTCTTAAGTTCTGCCCCATTGGAGAGATGAAAGGTTGTGACGGTAAAGGAGGAAATTGCGTGGAATCTAGAAAACGCGGTCGAAAAACACTAGCATTGGTTTAAGGTTAAGCCGGCCTTAATTATTGCCAGAACGCGTCGATCTTTGCGCACACAGATTGAGCAAGTGGAGATGGGACCGACAACCACGTAAGATGGTGCGCGAATGCATCATCACACGTCTTTTTAGTCGAATTGACAAGGGCATTAAGCCATAAAAAGATGGTGCCGAGAAATGACTGCCACAAGTAGCGTGGCGCAGATATCGACTTTGTAGAAAATGGGTTTCACCACTGCTATTCTTGTTCTTGAGATGGCCTGTTCGGCGTGGTTGAATTCCGAGGGTGGACACCCAAGGCGCTCACCAGTTCGACGATCGGCCGTTGCAATTGCCCAGCCTCTGTTGGGGAGCACAGCGAAGCTTTTAGCGGGGAACGCGCTTCGGTTGGAACCAGATTTGGTTGTGCTTGGGCTAAATTCTTTTCCTCACGAGGGATACAGTGGAGTCAGGGTGGGAAAAGGGGGGTGGGTGAGGGTTCATGTTGTGGATATTCGTGAATCTCTGCTCACAATTGATGCGAAGGGGAGTGATTCCAGCTGAGGTTGAAAAGGATATCCTCATCCTCGACTGGAATCGAGCATAATTTCAAGCCAGTGCCGTTGCAATGCAGTCAAGAACTAATGACAAGAAACGAACAAGCACCGGGTGGACCAAAGCCGCGTGGCCGCTGAGTGGCCGACGGCCCACTCCGGATCCCCGCAGCCAATCACTGACGGAATTCGCTATAAAAATAAACTGGGAAAGCCTCAGCCCTAGTTGAGGCACGTTATGGAGTACGACGACTGCCAGCAAGATTGGCCTGGCAGAGATTTCGGCTCTCTCGCCCATCATCTCGCTCGACATTCATATTTGAGGGCCTGTCGGTAGTTCTGTTCCGATGGGCCCTACAATCCCTTCTTTACCCTGATCTCCCTCTTCCTCCTCTTCCTCTTCGTCTTTCCATCATCCTATCTACTTCTACCCGAACTTGGCTGCTGCCTATATCCGACCCCTCCTCTAATCCATCCATCATGCATCTCCGCTATCTGCTGGCGCTCAGCGCCCTATCATCCACCGTTTTCGCGCACGCAGAACCCGCGGCAGGAGTCTTTTCGCTGTCACCGCAAACCGAGGCGCCGGTCGCTGAACCAACATCCATCGTGGATAACTACCTCAAGCCCAAGCGGTATAACCGTTCCTTGAATTTCCAAAAGAGGGCGACTACCACCGATGATACCACCACCACCACAGATGCAGCCACCACCACTGCAGACTCCACTACATCCGAATCGACCAGCACTACCGAAGCCACCACCACCACCACCTCCGACACCTCCACGACCAGTGCTACAACCACTGCCACCACTGCCACGAGCACCACCTCCAGCTCGAGTTCCACTTCATCATCCTCTTCTTCCCAATCCACCACCAGCGCCACCTCTACCACTCAAAGTACCACAACAACCTCAACCACCACTAGCACCACCACCTCTGCCACGAGCACCATCTCCGCCGCGCAAAAGGAGTACAACCACCGCGGTGAGATCGCCGCCATCGTGACCTTCAGTATCCTCATCTTCATCTTCGTCGCCCTCACCTTCTTCCTCTGCTTCCGCGAGAAGTCCAAGGTCAACCGTCTGGCCAAGAAGGCCGACGCCGGCGCCGATTACTCCATGGTGCCGCTGGCTGAAGGCCGGCCTCAGAGTGAGGCCAAGTTTGACCGTGCCTCCATGATGTTCGCCTCCAACTCGCAGCTCAACCTCGATCAGATGTCTCGGAGGCCTACCTCCATGGCGGCTAGTGAGACTCTGAGTGTGCCGATGAACCGGACGGCGCCGGGGACGCCGTCGGATGAGCATCGGGCGAATATGGTTTGATTTGGAAGTATAGGTGGAGGGTTGTGTATGAGTTCTGTCCAGATACCCGGGATAATGTTCGACATGATTGCAACATGACATTACCGAAAGAGTCGCCATCGTTTGAAGGAGGATGGGTTTTCTTAGTATCTCTGTCCTTTTTTTATTTCTTTGTGTATATTGGATGTTTTGTTCTTCAGCGATTTGAGCCTTCTGTATGATCGTTTGTGGAGCTTTGTGATATCAGATGCATATGCATAGCGTTGTGGAGATAACATCCATTGCATTGACCGTCAGTAATGTGTAAGGCTGCATTACCTAGTAGGCACGGCCTATACCTTAAGCTTAACATATAGCTGCTGATCAAATTATGAATGCCGTCTTAGAGTATAAGATGGGACAAAATGCGGCACAACCTGATGGTATTATCTTGATTCATCACCCGACCACACATTTACCCTTCAAACACGTCCCGAACGTTGTCCATCTAAACAAACTTGTGCATTTAATGAAGATAGAGTAAACCCCGATGACACTATTGTACGACAGTGAAACCATCACGCCCGCCCATAACGCAATCGGCGATATCTCCAGATCCCAGCACCCTCCTTAACGCCGAAAGCCGATCTATACACCAGCACCCATCAAAACATAAATATCGATTATCTGCCACATACTACCCACATCAATTGAATTATTGTACATCATTTGCAATACACAGAGATTGCTAAAGTATATCTACAATGCCCCACCCACGCATCCACTCCACCGGCTCCCTCGACGCCTTCAACCCCATCCTCGTCACCCCCGTCATCGGCACCGAATTCCCCAAAGACAGCTGCAACATCGTCGACGACATTCTCAATGCCCCGAATGCCGAACAACGTATCCGTGACCTTGCCGTCTTAGGTACATCCTATCCCTATCCCCAACCCAACTACCCCCTCCCTCAAACAATAATACTCACAAATACCCAACAGTCGCCGAACGCGGCGTCGTCTTCTTCCGCGCCCAGCACAACCTCACCAACGACCTCCAAAAACACCTCATCCTGGAAATGGGCCGCCTAACCACCCGCCCCGAATCCCACGGTCTCCACATCCACCCCGTCACCAACGCGCGAATTCGGCGACCCGGATCCTCAAATCAGCACGATCCACTCCGAGGGCCGCAAGAAACTCTACCAGGGCTCGGACTATACCCGTATGGCGGCCGTCTGGCATAGTGATATTGCGTTTGAGAAGGCGCCGGCGGATTTCTCGAGTCTCAGGTTGACTCAGTTGCCTGTGACGGGAGGCGATACGTTGTGGGCTTCCGGGTATGAGGTTTATGATCGCATTAGTAAACCCTATCGCGGGTTTCTGGAGGGGTTGAGTGCCACGCATGTCGGGGCGGGGTTTAAGAGGATGGGCTTGAAGGTGTATACTGGGGAGAGAGGGGCGCCGGTCAATGTCGGGGATGAGTTGGAGGCGGTGCATCCGGTATGCATCTTTGTTTGATTCTGATTGTGATGAAAGGGGGTGGGGTTGGCTGATGGTTACTACTTAGGTTGTCAGGACGAATCCGATTACGGGGTGGAAGTCGATCTTTCCGATTGGTATGTTCATGTTGCAGTGGGTATGTGTGAAGTTGTGTGCTGATGAGATTAGGGGCCTTTCCGACCAAGATTAACGGATTGAATCGTCGAGAGAGTGCAAATTTGCTGCAGTACTTTCATGATCTGATCACCTATGGTCATGATCTACAGGTGCGGTTCAAGTGGAATGATCCTAATGATATCGGTACGTTGGATGCCTCTTACTATTAGGCAGCTACTGACAAAATAGCCATCTGGGATAATCGCAGCGTGTTCCATACGGCCACCGGTGACCACGAAGGATTCGGGCCCAGAAGTGGCAATCGCGCTGTCGGCGTGGGCGAGGTGCCATACTTTGATCCAGAGAGTAAGTCGAGGAGGGAGGATCTGGGGATTGAGGATACGTTGTCTCCGGCTCATTTGTAGTTATGTTGCTGACGGTAATTTGATGTCGAATTGGGTATCTGTTTTGGTCTATTCTGGAGTAAACCAGTTCAGTCCGTCGGACATATCCATGCTTAATAGGTCGTTTGACCATATCTCCGGGAACATGTCGCTGAATGTATGCCAGAACTCAGGTGTATCTGCTGTAGCAGACCCCTGTCCATATGTATCGTGTCCGGTGAGCCCTCCCATAGGTGGTAATGGATACTGAAAGTCAAACCACCCAGCCGATAGCTGAGAATCCCCAGTAGTTAGTTCTGTCTGTGCGCTGACACTCTCGGAATGTGGTGTGGGGATAGCATCCTCTTGTGTTTGTGATTCACTTGGCATGGAATCGGCCTTTGCTGCATCATTCACGTATTCCATCACGCGGTTGATGATCATCTCCAGGCCGTCTCGATACTTCTTCAGACTAGAATTTCTCTCGGCCATGACGAACAGCGCAGAAGAACAGGCTCGCAGATCATTCGACACGGCTACTGTCCACAGCTGGGGGGCTCGGAAGAGGCAAAGACTATCTCGTCAGGCTAATTCTATTGCAACAGCAGGAAGTGGAGGAACTCACCAAATCGTCAATCCAGCCATATACAATGAGTTGACTAAGAGAAAAGAATATCCCGACGAATCTCGCTGCCGCAGTCGCTTGAAGCACTGACACATCTGCCCCGAGGCATACAAACATTTCTCAATTAGAGGATCCCTGCGCGGTAAGACTCCTATGAACCGCTGAATGAGCATCCGAATGGCGTTGTTCCAATGCATATGAACAAAATCATCCTCGTCTGGTGCCATTGGTGGCAGCGATCTTTCGAATTCCTCCAACGCAGCCATCAGAGGTGTTGTCTCTGGGACCAGTGTTGCGGTGCTCTTATCTGTCCGGTAAATCCGGGTATGGATTTGCGACATTATGCGCTGCAACCGAGTCAAGGCGATGAATCTCCGAAGACTTCTTCCTGGCGCCGGCTCACGCGGGGCCACTGAATTCCGTAGTGCCTCTTCAATCAGCTGGTCACTGGTACACGAATCATCCAGATCAGCCGGCGCATGGACATCGATTTCGTCTTCCGGAACACTGAACGGCCGTCCCAATGACCAGGCCACGTATCGCTCAACCAGGTAGACGGACCAGAACAACCGCCGGCGCACCTGCCCTTCGTACGGTCGCATTCTTCGATACTGGGATTCCCGGTGCAACCCTAGATCGATACAGATGCGCATGGCTAGACCGATAAGATACCACACTCGCGTGGCAGAAGATGTTCGCATGTGATAGAGGACCAGTAACATGAGGGCTTCGAGATTCGTATAGGATTGCGATTCGCCTAGTGAAGGTTCCAGCTGTAGTGCCGTGGCTACAAAGGCGCTTGGTGGCGTGGAGTCGTAGGTCTCGGTCATTTGTAGGATAGCTGCACCGATGGCATATACCATGAATAATTTGAACCGTGCAGCCTCGCTCGTCACATCCGACTGAGGCTTCTGCACGGTCGCATGCAGCTGCATCAGCTCTGAGCGATCCAGGAACGGGAGACGCGTATGCATGTCCTTGAAGTATGCATTGAGAAGTCGTATCCCAACAGCATCGCTTGGTAATGTGGTGCTGGCTGCGGTTCTCTCGCAAGGCAGAGCTTGAAGGTGACTGCCATTGATGGGGATGGACCTAAGCCAGACGGCGTTCTGCACTAGACGGCCCAGATCTTCTGCAATAGACATGCCCGATGAGGGACCCAGATATGCCAGGTTCTCACTCCCTTCATGGCTCATTGCCATCATCGAGACCACACCAGCTCGGGAGTCACGGTGTTGCGATTTTGCGCCCGTCGAAATCTGTTCCTGTGGCGCATCCGAATCCGGAGGAATTTGTTCCAGTGCAGCAGCCAGCTGTGCTTCAAGCACTTCAATGCGATGCACCAAAGCCCCCTTGGACATGGCATGGTGCCAGGATGGAACGGACTCGGATCGCAGACAGGGCTGCTTGGCGGATTCGCAGCCGGTACAGGTCGGATAGCCGACGCATCGCTGCTTGCGCCGGTGGCAGCGTTTACATGACTTGGGGATGCGTTTGCGAATCCTTCCTTCAGCGCTCATGACGGGAGGTGAAGGTTGCAGCGAAGAAAATGGAAACAGGAAGCAGGGGATGATCAGCCATCCCTGATGTTCCCCGCATCTTGGATGAATTGAATCCTCTGCCGAGGCGCCAATTAGTACTTAGTTACCGGGCTGGGCGTGGCGGATATGAGGCGATGGTGCCGCCAACGCACGCCATCGCATTGGTGACTGCTTTACGGGCCAACCAACTTGAAGCATTTGATACGGTCGGAAAGGTAGCCGAAAGGCAGTCAGCATTGTGTTCGAGGTGAGGCCGAATATATCCGCAGATAATAGATCAGTCCGTAGTAGCAAATTCATCAGCTTCATCACCACCCACAATTCTCCGATCGGACTGTTCGGAAAGGGAAAAGTTAGAGTAAACGGCAGGCTTAGAGAGCTGCAGTAACGTGTAAATGATATACTCGCGTTCCGGTCACTGGAAGGTAGTCACAAGCAAAACACAAGATCGTGTCTATAAGTAGAAGAAACTTTCAACATGAACGCAAGTTTGCGGCCAATATCCCAATCAAGGCAAGATGGCCGAGTGGTCTAAGGCGCTGCACTCAAGTGAATTCGCTTGTCCAGCTCAGCTGGATGTATTGCAGTCTCGAAAGAGGCGTGGGTTCGAGTCCCACTCTTGTCATATCCTTTTTCTTTTTTCTTTTCCCCCCGCTCGTTGATCCCTCGGGAGGATAATTGCATTGTTTTTATGACACATGGAAAGAAGACCACAACAATGCCTTTCTGACATTGTCATGCATATGTCTTACCCGTCTCACTATCAGACACCTTCTTTTTTCCATTATGGTGATGTGCAAAATTCGAATACATCTCAACCGCACACTCTCCATCCGATGGCAGTGTTTTCTCGCCTCTCTCGCAGAATGTATTCAATCTCACCTTGCCCACGTCACAACTTTGGCCGGCAAGGAAAATATACCCCGATCTGTCGGTCCATCCCATCATGCCAGCCTTATCGGGATGATTGTGTGACAGTCCAACTGTCCCGGTTCCCACCATAGCCTCAATGACTGGATGATGCACTGCTGGCTAACTCCCCCAATCAAATATCGATCACAGCCTTTAATAGGCTGAAAAGTACCTAGCTGTTCTCCGCAAGCGTTCGATCCTCAATCCAGTCCAACGTTCAATCCAAGGACTGGATAACTGACCAGCTTGGAGATCCGTGGGGAAGTGGGCCGCCCGACCCAGACTTGCCGTCTCACTCAGCTAACAGCTTAGTTCTAGACTACTACCGTATATTAGCTGCTGCTCCAGTTCCCCGCCTTCATCACCATCGGCTTATTCCTCCCCTCCACAATACTCGCACCCACTGTGGACAAATAATGTCGACCGCTAAGTTCAGAGTCACCGAACATATCATCTCCGCATGCTATGTCCGGGAGTATGCGGGCAGTACCGTGGACCAGGAGGATGTGCTGCATCTCCACATCAAGCAATACACGCCTCGCGATCTACCCGATCCCGTCCCAGCCGATGCTGTCACTATCATTGCAGCCCACGCGGTGGGCTTTCCCAAGGTAAACACTCCCCTTTCAATAACAATCGATGGAAGTGAAATGACCAGGCATAGGAGCTCTACGAGCCATTATGGGACGAGCTTCTCGTACGATCCGCTCAATCCAACTTCCACATCCGCGGTATCTGGATAGCAGATGTCGCCAACATGGGCATGAGTGGGGTTCTCAACGAAGATAAACTCAGCATGGACTGTGAGTGATTGCAGACCTACTACTACTTCCTAGCCTCGAAAATCTCTTGCTAAAAATGTTTTCTAGGCTCATGGATGGACCATCCCCGCGATTTGCTTCTAATGATCAATCATTTCCGCGATCAGATGCCGCGACCGCTAGTAGGAGTGGGCCACAGCTTCGGAGGTACCATCATGTGCGTGTCCACTCGCTCCCATCGCCGGATTATTACTGACCTTTCCTTCAGTACGAATTTGGCACTGATGCACCCCCGTCTACTAACCTCGGTTATTCTCTTCGATCCGGTAATTCAACGACTACCACCCAAGATGGGCTTTGGTGCGGACCCGCCCGGTCCTGTCAACTTCGCCCTGTGGCGTGACGACGTCTGGCCAAACCGGGCGGCAGCAGCAGCAGCTTACAAGAAAGTCTTTAAGAAGTGGGACCCTCGGTGTCTCGAATTAATGGTACAGTATGGGTTCCGGGATCTGCCCACGGCCCTGCATCCCGACTTGGGCGACAATGTAGACGCTGCCAACCCGCCGGTCACGCTGACCACGACCAAGTATCATGATGTGCTGGGTCAGATTAGGGAAAGGTTCCATGCTCGAACGTCTGATGGCCAGGCACAGTTGGATCGCTCAACCCATGCGGACGTGGACCCTTCTGTTGCTGTCCTTCCGGTGTACCGCCCCGAACCGCCCAGCACATTCAACAAACTGCCATCGCTGCGACCGTCAACACTCTTCTTGCTCGGAGAAGCGAGTTACTTGAACCTCGATGATCTTCGGGAAGGGATCAAGAGCTGTGGTCAAGGGGTTGGGGGAAGCGGGGGAAGAGACAAGGTCAAGGAGATCATTCTACCCAAGCAAGGCCACTTCTTCGCCTTTGAAGCGGTCGGAGAGACGGCCAGCCATTGTGCCAGCTGGTTAGATAAGGTTATGCGCGAATACCGAGTCGTTGAGCGGGAGTGGAAGGAAAAGAGACAGAAAATGGCCAAACGGGACCATTTGGTGCTGAGTGAGGAGTGGCACAGGGTGATCAAGTCTCCCAGTTCATTCCGCGCAGCCAAGTCACGGAAAACCAAACTATGAGGTCTTGGTAGCTGCCCTCCTCTTATACCTGTGCTTTGATCTACAGTAATAATACCACTATTTCATTGCTCCAGCTAAAATGTGCAGTGAGAGTCGGAATGTCAGGCCTGACATTCCATGTCATATCCACCCTCAGGATCCATTCTTTTCTCCAGTATATCAAGTAATATTTACTCCTAAGAAAGAGGGCGTTGAAAGTTACTCAACAGGCTCAAGGCACAGGTATAGTTAGAAGAGGCGTCATCTTATCACCTCACACCGAGTTTGCACTAGGAATCAGTCGCATTGTAACAAAGGTGATGGGAAGAATACCGAGCGAAGACTGCGCCGAGGATCAATGACGATGACACTAACTATATAAAGTTAACAAAGCTTAGTATTTTAGACTTTCCAGCCAGAAGTAAAAGCATGGGAGCAGATGTGTCATATCGGTTGCAATACCCACGGTGTGGGCAAATGCCCCCGTGGGAATGTAACATTGTGGGGGCTGGGGAGATAGTAGTTGCAACGTCATGGGCTGCTTACTCAGAACATGAAAGCATCATAGAAGTTGCCTCCGCACGCAGTTTTGCATGCTCTCGGTAATAGATACAGTGACTACTCGTGCGTGCACGCTGTGAGTGATGAATAAGTCTCCCTAAGATTGCCGATCAATGCCACAATCTAGTATACTGTAAGTTGATACAATATTCAAAATTCGCCTAATATACTAACACTATTATAATCGCTTACAGGACTTCCTAGATATTGTTTGTATTGGTTACAAATAATGTCACAAACTGAATGACTGCAAATAATCCGAATGATGTAAAGTCGGTCCAACAGTAACTCTAACTGCCCAACTTTCGTCATTGCTTGATCTGAGCCTGGTATAAATACATGCTGGCATCCCTCAATTCTACTGAGCAGGATATGAACCAGACCTCCTTAACACATCATATTATTGCCTTTGCCCCTAATTCATAGTATTGTCTGCACCTCTCAAGAGGGACATAACAACCATGCAAATCGTAACTGTCATCGCACTTCTTGCGGCCAAGTATGCTCCCTGACTGTCGCATATTCATTCATGGAACCATGTACTGAGGTGATCTATAGCCTTGCCGTCGTACAGGGTTGTAAGTGTTGGTCTGGAGATAGTGTGGATCTGAAAGCGAGCCAGGATTGTTGCTCCAGCGAATGTTGGAACGGTGATGATGGCAGTGTGAGCTTTTCATGATTATATCTATGTACGAGACAGGTTTGGTTATATTGACGAGATGATAGTGTGATTCCAAATGCCTTGGTGATGATGTGTGGGATTATGCGGTATGTTGTGCGGCGGAAGATGAATGTAGTGATTGCGATTACGGCTGTCATCGTGAGGACTTGTAGGAGTACTATATATGAATAGTTAGTCTGGAATCTTTCGCTGTTAAAAGATCAAATGCTATGGAGTCGACTTCGAGGTCATTCTCTCTGACAGGTTCTGTTAATACGATCTATATTCGTTGCATACTAGTCTCGTACGTATATAGATAAGCAGTAGGTAGAGTAGAAAGTGCAGAATATCACCATCATCAATTGCCCCTCCGTATTGAACCGGAGTAGCAAATTTGCTTGAATTAAGCAGTATATCCTGCTCGTCCAACAATCGCACACCGGGTCGCCAAGATCAAGTCGAACAACGGGTTTATTTCATCCTCTCCAACGCGTTATGATCACAACTACTTGTGTAATTCCTATCATACATCAAACGTCACATATCCTCTAAAAATCAGAGCATCTTCCCGCCACCAATCAAAGTACCTCCCTCGGCAAGAACAATGGCATCGAATCCTCCCACATCGAGTTGGTCATCAACTTCTTATTCCCCCCATCCGCATCCATAATCATAATCTGCCCATACGGCTGGAAGGTATCATCATACAGCGCACACTCGAACCGGAAACCGTACATGCCGGTAGACCACATGATCTGTCCATCCTGCGACCACACCGCATGCGCATCATTAGCACCGCTGCTCGTCAACACGCGTAGATCTGTCCCATCCGGCCGGATAGTACACACATCATAGTTGTACGTGCTGGTTTTGCGTGTGAATAGGATGAGCTCCCCATCGGGAGAGAACTGGGGCAGATTATCCCATTCTGTAGTCAGGACGGTTGTCTTTCGCGTCTCGAGGTCCAGCACTCGCAGCCCGATCTCGCTGGCGTTGCCGTAGGTGGCAGTGTCGGCTCCCCAAACCCGATACACCACCTTCTTGCCGTCCGGCGAGAAGCTCGGGAACCCGCTGTTCAGGGCTCCATCCTCGGTGATGGAGTAGCTGCTGTTCACGAGAACCTCGGAGTAGCTGCCGTTGGCGGTGGCCCGCACGATCCATCCGCCCGAGGCTTCTCTCGTCTCGAACCAGAATCCGACGCCGAAGACGAGCCACTCGCCGCAGGGTGACCAGCTGGGCTGGTAAGCGCTCAATCCTGTGGTTTCGTCATCGCTGACAAAGTCTGCCGTGCTGGGGTCGTAGACGAGTTGCAAGTCGCCTCCGGTTGTGTTTAACGTCACGATGGACGAATTGCCCAGCTGCTTCTGTGTGATGGCGATGCGTTCCTGGTGCGAGATCTGAGGGAAGACGTCCGTGAAGCGGTAGTCCCAGTCATTGTCCCAGCTGTAGAGCTGCTTGTACCCCGCGCGGATGCTCCAGGTGGTCTTTTCGTAGACTACTTGCTTGCCGTCGGGGGACCACGCCGGGGACCGGAGGGTCGCCGAGGTCGTGTTGACGTAGAGTCCCGCGGTCGTGTAGAAGCCCTCGCTGGTACCTCCTTTGAGGGTGTAGGCGATGGTGCCGTTCTTGTCCAGGTACTGGGGGAATTGCTTGACACCGGAGCCGGCGACTTCCACGCGCACATCGGTGCCTGTCTCGAAGTCTACGGACATGATGGTGGAGTTGGCTGTGGTTATGGTTTCTGGACGATGGGCATTGTAGGTGTCTTCCCGGGTCATTTCATAGTAGACGATGCGTTTACCGTCTGCTGACCATTTCGGAGATCCAAGAGAGTAGTGTGGCTTGGAGATGATCTGACGGAAGTCAGAGCCATTGGGACGGATGGCGTAGAGAGAGAGTTCTTGCGTCGTCTCCCAGCCCGTACGGCCGAGGAAGGTCGGTACGCCGTGTCCGTCCCATTGGGTGTTGCGGTCCGAAGAGAAGGCGATCCATTCGCCATCGGGAGACCAGGCAGGACGGAGATAGCTCTCCATGAGGGAGGAATTGGGGGCAGTGGTGGGCGTGTTAGTGAGGTTCCACTGCGCGCCGGTCTGCAGATCAAGGATCCAGATGTTTGCCTTCATGTTGTTGGCGGTGGAGACGTAGGCTGCCAGACGGCCATTGGGAGAGATAACAACGGAGTCTTCCACTGCAGGCGTGGCAACCAATTCCTGGAGATCGGAGCCGTTGGTCCGTACGCGGTAGATACCGTCACCATTGCGCTCGCTGGTGAATGTGATCCATTCTCCATCCGGGGAGAAGGAGGCGTGGTACTCGTAGACGGGGTTGGAGAGAAGTGGGCGTTCATTACTGCCATCAGTGTTGGCAATGTAGAGTTCGGAGGTGCCAGGAGCAATGCGGTTCATCATAAACACGCCTTTCTGCCCGACAGAAGGGGTGCTAGAGGAGGTAGGGACAGTTGAGGAGCTGCTCTTAGAGGCAACCAGCCCTCGGGGCATGTGAGCGCGTGCTTTAACCATGTCATCCATGTCCATGTTCGCAGTGTGAGCGAAGGGACAGCCTCCAAGGGCTGGGACGGCCGCCAGGCCTAGAAAAGAAATGAGGGAGCAGCGCATCGTTGCGGAAGACTGCCCGGATACCCTGAGTCTTGAACTGTTCTTGACAGAGCGACGCCTGAGCAGGGCACTGACGAGCGAGAAGACGGTGGTATTTATGCATCCCGGTCTGAGAGAAGAAGCGCACTTGCCCCGCGTCTGATGCAGAATTTGCTGAACGATGCTAAGCGTGGAGCCCTGTTTTGGAGACTCCTCTTGCGCGGGCCTTTGCTACAGGGACGGGGGAGTGATACCGGCTAAATCATGTACCCGGCGGATATTGAGATAGTCATGCTAGTGTGGGACAGATGGAATCCATGCACAATACTTCTGCTTCATAATATAGCGAGTCCTGTGCGGACTGGGATAAATGCAGCCACATACTTTCTGCCTGGTAGTCTCCTCCTGGTAGCAGACTGCTTGGGTCTAATCGGAGCATATAGTATATTAGATCATCCCGCGGATTACTTTGCTATACTTCTGCTGAAATCCAAGCATACAGATTCGTTGGGCATACAGACGGCCGGATGTTGGCGGACACTCGAAGTATCAAATAAGTGCTGTACATCCACCTGCCAAGAGTCTAATGATTTGACGCATGAATCATGACGCGGCCGAAGACTTCTTTCTCTCCGATGTCCGTTGTCCGACCATTGTCTGCAGCAGATAAGATGAAATAGCATTGTGCGCGCATCCATTGGCGCGGAAGTTCAGGGCTGAGACCCCACTGCCCAGATGACGGGGCGCTCGGACAAACGACCCTTGTTTTCGTGACTGTTCATAGTATAGGAACGACATTGAAGAATTTGTTGGTTGTGTCATGCGGATATCCTGGGTCCTGCAACAGGGGATTAGAGACATCGAGATTCAGGCACATCGTTGAACATTCATGTTCATCCCCTTCTGCCATGTCTCCATCAAGCAGGAACCCCATAGGCAGACTAGGGGGAATCCGACAGACATGATGTGAACGGTACAGGCGTATTTGGCGCTCAGAACCCTGGAGAGATAAGATCTGCAGTCCCCGTCGGAACAGATCAACTTTCCTGTCTCCGATGTCCGACATCTCCACTGTGAGACCCAGTTCAACCTCCTTGCTCCGGTGTCATTCGATGGCGATGAAAATTTGTCCTACTAGATACCAGGCCATGATGATCACAACCAAGCGAGGAGTCCACTCTTGCTCTTGGAAGATGCCATCGGTTGTGAATCTCCGCTGCAGGCACATGTCCGGTACCGAGAGTAATCTAATCAGATAACCAGCATCTGATAACCGGGTGTGCTTTTGTGAGAAATAGCGCCGCATTATGAAATTTATCAAGGAATGGGCTATAGTAGCACCAGCACATTACCATAGAAGAAAAAGATTTGCAATCGCAAGGTGTACAGATCTGACACATACCTCTGGACGAGATTGGATGGATACTTATAAAGCTGGACAACACATTTCCGTCTAATGCTAATTGACTGGCACCTGGTAGAAGGGAATAGGAGGGCCAGAATCTGCAGGGGTTTTGAAATAGCCGGGTAATCAAAGTGGCATTAGGCTCTCTAGCTCTATTCAGTAGCACAAAATTATACGTGGGGAACTTTTGCATCCAACCATGCTTTATCGGTCCGGATATTCTAAGCACTTCGCCTTCCCATGGCCTTCACCTCGCTATGCGTCATAGAGTTGGTCACTACCTCTATCGACGTTCGTTTCACGATAGCCATGCTCAACTGTGGCCACAGCTTGGAATCGCTGTCTCTCGAATTGATCGGGCCGTCTTCCACATCGAACCTAGTATCGAAAAGAGTATCTCCCCACACCGGTCGTGCGCTCTTCTTGGCGGTCAATGTGTGCAATGGAAACGAGCGGGATCTCGATCGGGAATATTCCTTGTTCCAGAATCCAGGACGAAGGAGGGGTCTAACGGAGGGTGCAGCAGCAGCGATGACTCCAATGGATGATTCCAGGCTGTGGGGTTGTTAGCATTGTGCATGCGTATTTGTCAAGGAACTGACTCACAAAGCACACATGTAGAGATTTATGTAGTCCCCTGGTAGTATGTTAGAAGTGTTATGGCTAGAGCTGAGTCGACATATGTTCACGTACACGTAGGGTCCGATGACTCGGTCAAAGTGGAAACGTACTGTGTTCGCGCAAGTGCAAAACCCGCGCTCCTGTTATGTCATAGTTAGCATACCACTAACCTAAGTATAGAATAGACTCACGCAAATCCCAGGGCCATGAGTCCACAAATGGCTGCCTTCACTTTGATCGGGATCTTAACCTTCCATAGAAACACGATCGGTAGGATGGATAGCACAATGTCTGTTCCTGCGGCAATTGCTACGCTGGTGTCTTAGCAGGCGATCCCAAGAAATGTCAGAGGTTATCCTTACTCCCTTGCGCAATGGCTGCCCCATTAATTGCAGACTTTGGCCAACAGGTCCCATCCACTCTTTTGTCCCATGTTCGGGCCGCCGGATCACACTGAGGGAGGACGATGGCGGCATCCAGGAGGCTCGTGACCGTATTGAAGGCAATGAAGCACCAGAAGAATATCTTCCACACCTTGGTTGTAAGACTATACGCAGTGTCAGCTTTTGTGCCATCAAGTTGCCCTCAGGTCTAAGACATACAACAGCCTCATCAAGAGAAGACTGATGGAGATCTTCAGGAAGATGGTTGAGAACAGTAGCGGGAAGAGGCACATCCGCAAGAGCTTGGTGCAGTATACAGCACGGTCGACATCAAGGGTGTCGTAATGACGCCCTAGACCATACGGAACTGCAGCGAGAATCAAGGCCATGGCAACCAGAGTGGTCAACTGAGTCATGGGTATCAGTGAGAAACGTTGAACAGTCCTGCAAGCGCAGCCCTTACCGTTGCGAGGAGGTTGAACCAGTCATCCCAGGACAGAGTCCTCATGACGAACTTTCGCACGTACAATCGCAGCAGAGTCAGGACGACGGCAATGACTGTGGTCACAATAGTCGGGATAACGATGACGGATGCCTTGGAGGCATTGTCGTCAACCGCCCGTATCCAGAGCAGCATGATGCATCTGACCGAGCAGCACCGCTGAGGAGAAGAAGAAACAGACCAGCGCAGTCATTCGTATTCTGTGGAGGCACCAACGAGTACCGGGGGTAGGCTCCAGCGAAGGACTTTGTACCCCGGGACAGACTGGAATAACGAAAATCTCTGACCCTGGCAGGCGTGCGTAAGGCCATCAGGGGATAGCCAGCTAAGTCAACCTAATCGGTCTGGCTATGCCCGGAAGGGCAAGAGATCGTGGATCTCCATCCATCCAGACCGAGGTCGAATGAAAGTTATGCGCATGAACCTGGTCCGTGGGTGCAGCCGGACTCGCCCGAGATCTCTTGATGCCTTGTTTAGGGTGGATTAGAGGTGTGCCAATAGCGACGGAGGAGGGCGGGAAGCATTCCAGCTGGCACAGTGATTCATCTATTCATGCTCCACGCTGGGATCCACTCACACGACCTGTTGTGTGCTGTCTTGGTCATGACTTGATGTGGAATTTTGGGAGCAGTTGAGATGGAAAACGGGAAGGTCCTCAGTTTGCGATGCCCTGTTGCCTGGATGGATTGCAGCACATAGATGGTGACCCCAATTGGTAGAGGGGATTCCATGAAAGGATTAGGACGGAGGGTTGAGCATCGAGACTGAGATATGTGGGGGAGCTGAACTGGATTGAACTGGAGTCAAATTGAACTGAACACGGGAAGAGATGCAGGCACGGGCCCGGAGATATCGCGGGGAAACCGGCCGACACAATGGATTGACAATCTGCCAGGCACGAGAGGACTGGCTGTCTATGTCTCCTACTACTTTCGATCAACGGCTGTCAGACTCTAATTCCAATTGGCTACTGGCAATTCTCCAATCAATTGCATCGTCGTAAAAAATCACGCATCTTCGAATCCGCCGGCAAGGGCTGGCTGATCGGGGATGACCGCGACACGTCGATTTCCCCTCAATCTAACCAGGCCGCTAATTGCTTAGTCTGCTCTTGGTGAGAATTGGCTTGAATCCTTGGACATGGGATCACGCCACTCACAATCCCTCCAGATGGAACATCCCTGCCACATTCGCTTCCTGGACGCTTTGTTCGTGGTGATCCAAATTATTGGTGGCTGTCATCTCAGGGGCACCGCGGCTCAATTCCCTGTCGCCGCCGCATAGTGAACCATCTATTTCTAATCCGCCCTTGAATTCCCCCCTAACTCTCCCATCACCCCAGTCATCCGAGGTTCCTATCTATCCCGGCCAGGACTGGACCTAAATAAGGACCTAGAAGTGGAAGGAGCCATACTTAGAACGAGACAGACAGAAACAAAGTGGGGAGTGCGAGCCGAGGGTCAATTGAGGGCACTAATTTTCATCCCCGCCCGAACCAAACTTGCTGCCCATCATGGGCCCACCCCGACCGTTTACCGTCACCATCATCGGTGGAGGCATCGGTGGCCTCGTTCTCGCCGTCGGACTGCTACGACGTCAGGTTCCTGTCCAGATCTATGAGGCTGCCGCTGCCTTTGCGGAAATTGGGCTGGGGCTGTCCATCGGTCCAGCAGCTCACCGGGCGATGCCCCTCATCGACCCGGAGATTCGAGCCATCTACGACGCTCTCGTCACAACGCACGCAGACAGCCCGGGCTATGAGCGATACAAACAGACCTGGTTTGAACTCGTCTGGGCCACCGGCGACCACGAGGGCGAAACGTTTATGGACTTGAAGGCCTTGCCTTCGGGACAGACGACGCTGCGACGTGCCGACTTCCTTGCCGCCCTGGTAGCTCTGGTCCCTCCGGATATTGTTCACTTTGGCAAACGGCTGAACCAATTGGCGGAAACGGCAGACGGGGTCCGCCTACAGTTCGAAGATGGCACAACTGCCATGGCAGATGTGGTGGTAGGATGCGATGGGATCAAGTCTAAGGTCAAGGAATCAATGCTGCCCGAGGAGTCCGCTGTGAAACAACCTCGATATAGTGGCATGTATGGCTACCGGGCCGTCTTCGACATGGACGAGATGGTGGCGGCGGTTGGCGACCAACGCGCCCGAGTATCCACCATGTATCTCGGCAAAGGCGCCTATGCAATCTCGTACCCCATCATGCGCGCCAAAAAGGTAAACTTTGGCCTCTATATCCTGAGTGAAAGCTGGGATCATGACGCGTGGGTTCGACCCGCCAGTAGAGAAGACATGCGACGAGATGCTCAGGGTATGGGAAAATACGTGCAGGCTCTTGTTGAGGTACGTCGGATGTATGTTTTTCTCAGACCGAGCGTATGCTGACTACCATCAGCGCATGCCCGACCCTTCTCAATGGGCCATCTTCGAGCATCCCCATTTATCTACGTACACTAAATCTCGCGTGGCCATACTGGGTGACGCGGCTCATGCCTCCACGCCACACCAAGGGGCAGGTGCCGGTCAGGCCATCGAGGATGCTCACGTCCTGGCAGAGCTTCTGAGCGACCCGCGAGTCAATAGCGTGGATGACGTCGTGAATGCCTTCAGAGCATACGATCAAGTCCGTCGACCGCGAAGTCAGCATGTGGTCACGACGAGTAAGGAAAATGCCTATCTACTCTGCTTGTGCCTAGACGGTGTCGGGGATAAGGAGGATAAGCTACGGGAGACATTCCAGCAACGACTGCGGTGGCTCTGGGACCTGGATGTACAGGAGCAGGCCGAACAAGCAAGGAGGAAGATGTTTAGTGAGTGTAAACTGTAATGAGTCTAGATACCCAACGCGAATTAGCCAGTACTACGATTGTCCATTTTACTTTTCTTTCTGTTTTTCTGGCTCATATTATCTAGAATTTACTTGTCCTTATCCTCAGACCAAGATTGAGAGGCTGTTCGATCTGCCTTGGTCTGAGATTTGAATATCAAGAAAAGGGAAAAGATTGGGATGATGCACAATACTATATAGGAGAGGTTTGGCATTGGTCAGCGCGTCCATCGTAGTGCAGGGAATAAACATTATTGAATCCATGAAGCACCAGATGATAGACACGACACATTACTGGTATTGAAATACAACCATTTATCTTCCGAAGAAGCCTACCGCTTTCTGAACAATCGCCGAATAGCATCCACCAGCTCCGTCCGCCCGCGATACATGCGGTCCGGGGATGGAGAATTACCAGACTCTTTAGCAATAACCCCTCCGGGCAAGAAACTCCGGGTCATCTCTACAAAAGGACCGACCGACGCTTCAGGTAGAAATCGACCGAAAAATGCGGGCAAATCTGCTTTTTCGATGGGTCGGAGTTCGACTGCATGTCCGGCCACGTCCTGAAATGCTTCCTGCACGTCCTTCGCCGTGTACTCGCGTGGACCGTGAACCTCCACGACATACGGGTTTTTGGGGTTATCCATGGCCATTATATAGGTGGCGCATGCCTTTCCGATATCGGCGACGGAGACCTTGCAGCGTGAATGGTTCAGCCACTAATCCTATAGTTATTCAATTCATAGCGTCAATAGGGATCTCTCACCATTGGAATCTCATAGTCCAGGGGCGTGATGACCGAGAACAGGTGTGGTTGTTTGGCCTGGACAGTCTCCATGGCCGGAGCCCAATTCTCCATAAAGTAGGCACATCGCATGAAGACGACCTCGGGTACGACATCCTTGAGAATCTCTTCCGCAATGTGGTTCGTCATGATTTCTCCCTATGCGAGTTAATCAGACTCTAGTACCTATAATCGCGTAACCGAGGGTTAGAGGCAGGACGCACTGTTCCCTCTGGCTGTTCGGCGCCCATGCTGGAGAGGAGCACCAGGCGTTTGACCGTCCCAGCCTTCTGGATCGCTACGCGGGTATTTTCCGAGGCCTGGCGGGCCCACTCCATCATATCGGAGCCATCATAACGCGGCGGTGTGATGGCAAAGACGGTGTCAGCGTTTCCAAGGTCTAGGCTGGCTGCATTACTGAGATCACCTGCGACCGCGTGGAAGCTACCATGCGAAACGAACTCAGCGGGGGCTTTGGCGACGTCACGGTAGATGGCGCGCACGTGAACTGGGGCAGTCAACTGGTCTGCTTCCAGAAGAGCCCGGATGGTCTCCTGGGCGGATTTGGGTGATGCGGGAAGAACGGCGACGAGCATTCTGTCGGGACTAGCTACATGCTCTATAGCAGCTGGGCTGTATGGGGTAGTGGTGCGTTGTTCGATGCTTCGTTGAGATCGTCGGTGTCAGGCGAGGTGGAGAAGAGTTGGGGGCGGGGAAGGGATGTTCCTTGGTTGCCCCCAAACTCTGTTGTTCCAATTAGTTTAGAGCCATCAATTAGTTATCAACTGTTTACAACGACGTCGTGGCTGGGCATGATGGAGTGTTCACATCTTGACACATACAGCGAATATCAGGGGTGCCACGCCATGGAGGCTATTTTAGTGTCAGTGATGGACAATTTACAGACAAAGAAACACCCGACCGACTATTTTAGCTGTGATGATCGCGTCTCTACTAGTTGCCGCCCATTGGTGGGCTCGCCTGGTAGTAATAAGTATCATCCATTTCGTCGAGCGACGATGGCTGAGTGGGTCGCTAAATGCCTGCCTTAAGCAGAAGGTATGCAGTAGGCTCAGCCTCGCGTCCATAGTTTCAGTGATAGAATATTATAATCAGAGAGTAGAAAACGCATGCTCTGACGTTCATTTAGTCTGTCCTTCTGACCCTTGCCAATCGTTGGGGCTCTGTGGAGGACTCTCGCCTTCTCGCCTGGAGCCCGCCTACTCCTATAAAGAAAGCTCCGGTTGTATTGCTTGGCCGATTATCTTCTTCAAGCCAAGGTAACAACATTACTATATCCGAGGCAACATCACCACATCATGGAGACACCATGGACCCAGCTGGGTGCCTTTGGTACCGTGGCCGGGGTGCTGCTGGCCTTCGTCACTCGCTCGGGCGAAGTCGAAAAACACCTACTGAAGTTGTTGAGTCTCTTCGCTCTTGCCAACATTACCCTCATTTCGTGGGCGCCAGCCTGGTTAGGCACCACCTCAAGCACATCTGAAATCGTCCTTCGAGTACTCTGGCTAGATGTAGCGCTGCTCACGGGCCTGTTTGGGAATATCGTCGTGTACCGGCTCTTCTTCCACCGACTGCGCAACGTGCCGGGCCCGATCGCAGCCCGTGTCTCGCGTCACTATGCCGCCTACCATACCGTCAAGGATGCACAGATGCACTATACTGTTCAGCGTTTGCACCAGCAGTATGGTGATGTCGTCCGCATTGGTATCGTAAAACCCCCTTCAACCTTGCCTCAATCCTTCTCCACTGACGGGCGCAACAGGACCCCGAGAGGTTTCCGTCTGCCGCGCCTCGGCCATCCGCGCCATCTATGGACCCCCAAGCCGATGTATCAAGGGACCTTGGTACGACCAGGTCACGAATGAGAACGACAAGAAGCCGCTGTTTACTATTCGGGACCTCAGAGTGCACAGTAAGCGACGCCGGCAGTGGGATCAAGCAGCTAAAGGTGAGAATTGAAACAGACTTCTTCCGATCGTGCCTGCCCATCGGACCACTAACAGATGTGAATGGCGCCAGGTATCAACCACTATCACAATGCCCTACAGGAACAGAGCAGGATCCTGATAGAGAAGATCCGCGAGCACCAAGGGCAGCCCATGGACGTGACTAACTGGATCAACTGTTATACCTTCGATGTCATGGGACACATCGTCCTGGGTGCGGAACTGGGGATGCTGAAGACCGGGAAGAAGATCCCCGAACTGCAGGTCATCGACGAGGGCCAGCGATACATTGCGGTGGCCGGGACTATGCCATGGTTTCCACCACTGATGCTGGGGATTCCCGGTCTGTCCGCAATTCTCAACCCGTTCCGGCACCACTGTCATAAATTGTTCGATGCGAAGCGAGCGGTATTTTTTTTTTATTTTCTTTTTTCCCAATGCACTTCTGTATATATTGTTGGTGACTTGTTTTGCTGATTTATCTTTAGGCCATGACGAAGGGGAGCGAGCCCAAAGACATCATTAGCTGGCTAATTCAAGCCCAGGAGAATGGTGATCCTGGCGCGCCACCCACGGACCAAGCAATCAAGGACGATGCCTGGTTCATCATCGCGGCTGGCAGGTAAGGTTGGCCCTGAAGATTTCTCGCCCTTGACAGAGACCAGACAAGTAGAAGAAACAGGCTGACGAAACATGATCGGATCTTGTAGCGACACGACGGCATCTGCGCTGATCAATGCGGTCTACTACCTCGCCACACATCCGGGCGCGCAGGCCCAGCTCCAGCGAGAGATCGATGAGAGATTGCCCGAGGGAATAGAGGGCTTGTCATACGAAAATGTGAAGGATCTCCCGTATCTAACTGCGGTGATCAATGAGACACTGCGGTTGAAGCCATCGGTGCTAGATGGTCTGGTACGCGTCACCCCGCCGCAGGGACTGAAGGTGGACGAGGATCTCCACCTGCCGGGCGATGTGGTGGTGTCAGTGCCGACTTTTGCCATTCAGCGCGATGGGCGCTATTGGGAGGATGCCGACCAATTTCGACCTGAGCGATGGGCGTCGATCGAGAACCCGGCCAATATGCCATTCATTCCGTTTTCACGAGGTGAGTCTGTTCACCCAGACACTCCCTGGTTTGCCCGACTAAGACCTATCTCCGCATAGGCTCGTATGACTGCGTGGGCAAGAGTATTGCGTGGATGGAGATGCGGATGGCTTTGGCAATGCTGGTGGGAGAATACCACATCCAGCTGGCCGATGAGGAGCAGCGGGCCTTTGATGGCAAAGAACTGGATAACTTCGCCATGTCGGTGCCGGCCTTGTGGGCCACCTTCCGACCCCGTCGGTCCCCATCTTAACCATCAGTCAGTAGTTGTCTCGGTTGAAAATTGTGTAATGTAATCAGTCGGTCTTTTGTAAGCACCTGAAGAGACTTTTGTTTATATGCCGGAACGATTCCGCTGTGGTGGGGCACCCGAGATGACGTGCCAGACTTGCATCTCGATGCAACTATCCCCAATCGTGCAGTAGATAGATATCTCCGACTCACCCCTCCTTCCCCTCGGTCGCATTCACCACCATCGCTTTGTCTCCCTTCCTTTCGACTTGTATCTCACTTAGGACGTCTAACCTCATTCCCGCACTATGACTCTCAAGCTGTACGGCTTCGTCCACTCCACCTGCACGCGTCGTGTGCGCACCGCCCTGGCCGAGAAAGGGCTGGACGTGGAAATCGTCCCCGTTGACCTGGCCAAGGGCGAGCAGAAGACCTCCTCTTATCTGAACGATCTTCAGCCGTTTGGCAAGGTGCCCGTGCTACAAGATACCGAGACTGGCATCCAGATCTACGGTTGGTGTTGCGAGAAATCAATTTCGGACATACCCTAACAATACTCCCTTCTATGAACAGAAAGTCGCGCCATCGCTCAATACATCGCTACCAAGTACCGCGGTCAGGGCACTGACTTGGCTCCTCCTGAGTCGGATCTGAAGGCCTTTGCCTATTATCAGCAGGTACTTCTACCTTTCCCTAAAAAAAGCTACACAATCTCCGTACCAAAACTAATGGGATAGGCCCTCTCCATCGAACAATCCTACTTCGACCCCCTCGTTTCCCAAATCGCCTACGAAAAGGTCTTCAAAGCCCGCAAGGGTCACGGCCAGACCGACGAAGCCCGCGTGCAATCCCTCTTCTCCCAAATGGAGCTCACCCTTGAAGGTTACGAGCGGGTCTTGTCGAAGCAGCCCTACCTAGCCGGGCAGCAGCTTACACTGGCGGATTTGGCTCACTTGCCGTACGGCGTCTTCATTGAACAGTTTGGATTCACGGATGTGGTGAGCAAGTTCCCGCATGTGCAGAAGTGGTGGGAGGGATTGAAGGCTAGGGAGAGCTGGAAGAAGGTCACCGCGTAGTGTGGGTACATATGGAAAAAAAAATACGAACTTAAGCAGTAGATAATAATTGAATTCGTGAATGAAACCTCCTACGAATTTCAGACTTTCGTCGAATCCCGGGACTCCCGATGACCCTGTAGATAGTCCGGGGGTTATGCATGTCCACGTGTCCATCAATACCACGAACTACCACCGCACTTAGTCAGAGCTTTTACTAACGTAACCCACGGTTAAACGGCCCACACGGTTAGGCGGCCCAGCTGGTAATACTATATAAAAGATCCTTTTTGAATATAAGATATCTCAACCATCAAAAGTCGAAGAGACATGAATTTTGATATTAAGATTTGAATTAGTATAAAGAATCCTTAGCTATATCCTAAAAATCTTATAAATATATATAATAGATTATCATAATACAATACCTGTATTTTATATGTATTATATAAAAATAAGATCTATTGATATAAATAAAAGATTTTAAAAATCTGAAAAATGTATAGAATATATATTCTTATATATATAATCTATTTATAATATTAGAACCACTCAAATACAGTATTCGCTGAGATATAATGGATTTAAAAAAGCATCTTTTATATGGGATAGTAGGATGGGCCGCCTAACCGTGTGGGCCGTTTAACCGTGGGTTACGTTACGTTTTGGCCAGTCCACGGATAGTATCACATTGTGCAGACCGATTGAGGGTCAACGTGTGAGCGAAGAAATGCTAGAAAGGGGGAAATGAGCAGTTCTCAGTATGAGCTTTGTGTTGAATCAACTTATTTAGGTAAGCGTGCATGCCGTGGAGTTTTAGGTTTCGCCTACGGAATGAGCTTCAACCTCCTACAAAAACCATAACATGAGTATCCGCTTTGCCAATCCCCTATAATGGGAGCATTCCACAACCAAGGCCAAGAATGTATATACTATAGTTGCAGAGCAACGACAACAGGCTCGAATACTCAACCCTTCTTGGGAAATAAACAAACATCACAAGACAGAAGATCGTCCACACCAATTCCACGGCGCAGTCGACGCCCTCTCATGCAGTACTGGGATAACAAATACAGTCATAATTTGGCGGAATAATAGGTGCATATGGCGTGTATAATGCTCTCTTCTAAATACACTAACCAAGTTGTCATATAACATTTCAAAAGCGTCGTGACTAAAGTACAAGATGGCATAAACTAAAGCACTCAGTGTCCCCACAGCCTTGTACACGGCCAGATCATCCCCAAAGACCAGCTCAAGAGGAGCTTTCTTAAACCTCGTACTCGCGCAGCAACCAAGCAGACTCAGGCCGGCTCGAGCAAGCATCGTCAGAGGCACAGGTGGCAGTGTCGTAATCAGCATATTCGTAGAAGATGTTCGTCTTGTCTTCAATGTCCGAGTCGTCCAAGTTGACGTCCATGTACTGGATGGGATACCCGTAGTATCCCGTCAGCCCAGCATCGCTGTCGGCCTGCTGCAACGCATTGTCGACAAAGTAACCGCAAGCATAGTGGTCGCTGTGGTCGCCATCACCAAAGTCGTTGACATAGTCACCCGTCTTGACCTCGTCGGGGTCAAAGTCATCAATCAGGGCGGCAATGGTCTCAAGCAATTCGTCTCTCGTGTACTCGATCCCCGACCCATCAATGGTCCGGATCACGTCAATGTCGCCGTTCCACAGCTTCTGCAAGCTGTCGTTCTGGTCGGGGCCGAAGCCGGTTCCATCCATGTTGCCATCCGGCAAGTGCATAAACGCCAGGGAGATGTCATCGTCGTCTTGCAGCGTGTAGAGGGTGATGGACTTGTCTCCGACAAAGATCACATCTTCGTCCCAGTTGTTGCTCGCCACGGCCATGCGCGCATAAGCAGCGCGCGAGCCCTCCTCGCGCGCATTCCAGTAGTCGGATCCCAGTCCTGCATCTCCCGCAGTCAGGAACACAGTACGAATGGGCTCGCCTGAAAGAATGTCTCGGATCAGGTCCGGACTGAGGAAGAGGAGATCGTCATCCTCGTGTGCGACGAAGTTGATGGTCTTTGCAGACGAAAGGGTGAATGACCCAAGGGCGGCCAGCGTGCTCCAGAGACCGTAAGTCTTCATTGTGAGGGTCGTTGAATTATGTAAAGAATGACTGGTTATGTGTACAGGTAGAGTGGGAATCTATCTTCTCAACCTGTTTGTGGGAACAGCACAGGGAGCCTGGTTTATATCACCGACTTCTACCTACATCAAACACATACAAACAGATCAAGGAACTGGAGTACTTTTGGGCTTACATTCCTCGCGAGAAATCAGTACTATGTTCGCATCCCTTGCTTTGGCAATCTTGGTGACGCCAGACTTTCAATCATGGCTTTTGCAAAGCCTGGTGACCTCAGAGGCTCTGCTCTGCCTGACGACGTTGTCAGCCACTCATGTCTAGATATACTGTTCAGGGCTGTGATCTGCGCATCAAGCCATTGAGTTCAGTAGTGCGGGATAAACGATGGAAGATCCTGGTCGCTATTAAGTATATTCGCATTCCATACCGCGAGTCGGCTGTGCTCGATCGTAGACACGCTGCGGATCCGCGCGTGAAGATGATTACTATGAAAACGCGAAGCTTAGCTCCTGTACCAAGGCCCGCTGTCGTTGAAGAATCTACACCAAGGACCATAGCATGAGCTATATCTCTGCGCGTCATATGCGATATAGCACAGGGACGTATTACTGAGCGATCGGTGGCAGGGGATCGCCGGTCCCTCTCCAGCATCAACCCCTTCCATAATCTTATTCCTTTTGTTGTAGTAATTTTGCAGCGGTAACTAGATAAGCAATGATCGGCCTTTACCACGGGTCTCGTGCCTTAGAATCATGTGTCTGCCATCAGGCGTAAGATTCACCAGGTCCTGAAGGAAGTATGCGTGCTGATCTATTAGGGGGAGGGGAATGGGGCAGGAATCTACACAGTAGATGATCAGCAGCCTGGAACATGGTCATTGCTGAAAATCTAGATGCTCTATAGAACTCGCCTGCAGGACACCGAACTTCAGCATATGGCGGACAAAAGATTCTCAGTCAACGCAAGTGGCGGAAGATGTACGCTGGTCGATTTTGTGGCCCATCTTTCCCATGTACGGTATTAAGAGCAACCAATCCCTGAAGACCCAATGTATGCTCGGAAGGGGTAGACCCAGGCCTCCAAAATATCGTCCCATGCTTGTAGGTGGATGTAGCGCTCGTCATCACCGTGACATTTCGAAGCAATATGTGGCCCAACATTATAGGTAGGAGGACCGGATATCGGTGCCGTGAACCCTTGATTGAGTGACCGGGCTCAGGTATTGTTGCTGCGTTGGGGCACAGAAGTGGAAGGTTATTATCTTTGTGAAAGAGTAGTCCCGGCCAGCGTATGTCGGTATCAGATTTGGGAAAAGATGTGCTGGAGCCAACACTTTCTAAAGAGGTCAATCAATCAGTCTTAGAAGGTAGTGACCTTCATGGATGCATACCAAGCACAGGCTACTACTATAAGCCGTTATCGGTGCATAGGGTCGGTTTGTAGCAGATGGTATGGCCTACCTTAAGAGAGTAAAATGTCCAAGCATCTCCAACATTTGTTTGTCATAGAAACTACAGAATCCTTTTCTCTCCTCAGTAGCTCTGTCGAGACATATAAGTATACCCATGAAGAAGAGCGATGGGACCGCCGTGCGGCTTCGGTCACATCGGGAAGGTACACAATCATAGATTTTACAGCCTTGACAGTATATAATATGTTACATTTACTATCATGATGTAAAGGAGGTATATTCGATATTTTGATATTTATCATAAGGTAAATGCCAGTTTACGTGATTTTGGTTGTCACCGATCAATGTCGTTAAGCCACTTCAACTATATATATATCCCGAGACTAGTATCAACAAATCGAAGATGATATCTCGAACAACGAAGAATGTCATAAGTAGTAGTGATTATGCGACCGGTACGCAGGTACTACATACAGTATGCTCTCCAGATGCATTATTGTAAGTACTATCTCAGAGCATAGTCTACTTTCAATTCAATGACTTTTACTTGAGAGGAGAGCTGTTGATGTGTTTCCTATTCAGGTTCTTTGTGACCAACTTTACGAACCCGATGATGTCATAGCCTTATAGCAGCTCGAAGCATCACGTGATGTTACGGGGTCAGCTCATGTGCCTGTGAATCCCAGCAGCTTCAAGATAGCTGTAGACAGGGTCCTTCTAGAGAACCCAGTCTCTGATCAAATATTACTGATATTTATAAATCTTGAATCGAAAGCATTGACCTGCTATTATGCAAGGCAAAGTCTGTATGCTCCCTGCCTCGCCTACGTAACCATCTACATATTCGAGTTATCCTCCTCTTGAGGGCAAACAGAGTGATAGATTAGCGTAGATAATGACTAAACCTAAATATAAACCCCACTAGACTCCAGAATATTACCCAATTGCTCCAAGCGATAAGAAGTCTGTGTCAAAGAATTCACGCAGCTGCCTAGACCGTCAAGGACACCTTCTGCCCCCAATACTGACCCTCCGTAAGCGATGCCTGGTGAATTATCCTCTCGAATATCCAAAGACCCACGTCCCGACGACTAATGTAATAGCCCACCGCGGGTTTCTCGTCGGTGCCGGTCTTGATCTTCGACAATCCATCGCCGTCGCCGTTCACCAACAAGGAGGGCCGCACCATCAGATACCCGTCGATGGCGCGTTCCTCCTCTGGCTTCTGCATCTCGGTCTCGACCAGCTTCTCCATCACCTTCTTATCCTCGTGTGGCACCTTGAGCAACCAATGGTACAGGGGCAGCATCAGAAGTGGCACGTCGCGCGTGTCGCTGAGGCCGGTGGTGCTGATGATCACGATCCGGGGCTTCTGCGGACACGATCGAGCGGCGGACAGGATGGTCCGGACGCCATCTTGGCAGATGGTCGGGTTGTCTAGGGTGGCTTTGATGCCATACTCGAAGCGTGGCTTACCGCCGAGGCCCGAGACGATCAGGTCGACGGGGCGGCCATCGAGATAGAGGGTCTTCTGAACGGCCTCGTGATCGTAGATGTCACCTTCCGTGACCGTTAGGTATTTCGCAATGGCGGATTCGGGGACGTTCAGCTGCTGGAGCAGGTTGTGGAGCTTGGAGGGCGTGCGAGCCACTGTTAATTGATCCAGAGTCAGTTTTGAGTCTGGCTTGGAAAGGAACGGAAAAACGTACGGGCGGAGCAGTGATACCCGGCTTGCAAGGCCAGTGCCAGACACGCATTGGCACATCCCCCCGTTGCCCCAAAAAAGGCTACTGTTGGCTGTTGTTGCATTTTTGGTTTATGGAAAGGGAGAGAATGACCGAAGTACTAATTTGCTTGATATTGCGATGATTACTGAAAAATAAAACCATCGTCCCTTCCGTCTTTATGTACATTCTTCGATCCGCGCTGCCCTCCGTTAAGTCTCCGTGCGACCGCGGAGATTTGTGGCTGAGCCGCCGTCTTACATCCTCGTGCTGCCAACACGAGCTGGCAGCCATGAAGGAGCATCATCATGACTCGGAGGCGCTCCGCTGCTGCTCGTGTGATCTTCACCGCATAAGCTACAACCACGGTTCGTCAAGCCTTGAATGGCACCGCCCACCAACGACTCAGGAGCTATGCTTCCCCGACCCCTAGATCCCTGAGATATGCTTCCGGCGATGGAGATCGTCCCAGGAACTCTCTGAGCATGTCCAACTCGTCTCTACTGCCACCATTGGCGAGAATCATTCGTCGATAGCGAAGTCCAGCTTCCGCACTCATGGGATCGTCACGGAAGTTGGAGGTCCAAATGTCCGCTGCCAAGGTCCGGGTGCTAGTCGAGGTAAGAACAAGAAACATACACCCATTGACGGCTACACTTACTAGAGGTACGAGAAGTAGTTGGCCTCTTGGCCCCACATGTAATGCTGGGTCGTGGCATATCCATGGCCCCAGTTCCCTTCCTTAGGGCCTCGGAGGAGGGTCATATTCTGTAGTATCGAGTTGTATCGCTCGGATATGCCATTGCCTTCCGAGATTTCCTGGCCGTGCTCGCCATGTACCTCCATATCGAATGCACTGAAGGCGACTTGTCTCAGGGTCAAGATACCCTGATTGACTTGCTTCACGGCAGCAAGTCCTTTGACTAGGGCCTCGGGGATCTCTCTGGGTGGCCGGTTGGCATCCATCACAGTGCTCTTATACCCGGGAAGGTAGGTGTAATGGCAACTGAGCTGTTGCAAACACTCTGGTACCCAGCACCAATATTCCAGTAGCTGACTGGGTGCCTCGACGAAGTCTCGCACAGTTCGATGGCCGGAGAATAAAGCGTACTTGGCTCTTCCCAGGAGATCATGCATTCCTATTGTCCACATTAGCAGGGAGAAAACTGCAACGGAAATCTATGCAACCTACCGTGTCCTAGCTCATGGAACAGGCTGATGACCTCCCTGTGCTGCAAAAGCGCGGGTCGGTCGGCTGTAGCTGGCGAGACATTGCACACAAGAGCCGTGGCTACAGGGGATTGAGTCCCATCTTTCTTCTGAAACCCCTACATTTTTTCTTTAGCAAAACTTCCAGCCTTTGCAACTTAGGACACTTACGGGGTGAATGTTGAAGTTGGCCGCATGGTTGTATTTTCCTGGGCGAGGGTAGATATCCGTATAGAGATAGCCTAGAAAGGAGCTTGAAGACTCCTGCTTGTCACGTACTGCGAATACCCTGACATCAGGGTGCCATACATGCCGATCAGTCTTCTCTGTAACTTCCGTGATGGATAACCCGAACAGCCTTTCGAAGGTGCCCAGCATCCGCTGAATAGTGTGTTCAGCGGGGAAATACTCGGAGATCAAATCGTGGCTGACGGAATACTGCTCTTGCAGCATGCGGCGGTGATAGTAGTCGAAATCCCAGAGATGAAGTGGAGATTCTATTCCTGCGAACGCCTGTAAGGCTTGCAACTCACTAATCGCAAGTGGCTGCAGTTTATGCCCAAGGTCCTCCAGGAGGTCTGTGACAGCGCTAGGAGACTTAACCAGCTGGTGCCGTAGTTGTTGCGCTGCGAAAGACGGGAACCCCAGTAGTCGAGCGGCTTCGTGTCGCAGCCTGATAGTCTCCTGGAAGATTTTGACATTCTGAGGGTAAATTGTCTGATTACTCAGAAAAACATCTCGCCGGGTTTGAGCCACGCTGCACTTTCCCAGAATAGTGCTGACTGTTGGCCGATCCAGGCGAATGCGGGTCCCAGAAGGACCCCGTTCGAGGTTCTTTAACAGGCCATCGTCGAGACCCTCCAATTCATCTGGGGTTATCCACAGACTCCCTGGGTCGGTGGCAATATTGTCCATAAATTGGACTCGCAGTTCAAGCAACCGCTTTGTGATGCGCTGAAACCGATCGCGATCTGCCCCAGTCAGACGGAGGCCATTATCGACAAACATGCGATGGAATCTCGACAGGAGACGCATGAGCTCGCCATCCTGAATATCCTCATTGACGTTGCCATACACAACGTCGACCAGAGCAAAGAGGCGCTCATCTTGGAACAGAGCCAGGTAAGCCTGATTGACCAGGTTCACTGCCTCTGACGATGCTTTCCGCAGGTCGGGCGACGGCGCGACTGATTGGAATAGGGCAATGTATTGAACCACATACTTGAACTCATTGTCTATATTGCCCAGTGGACGCACTAAGGTATCAATGGTGGCATCCCCGATTGCAACTGTGTTGAGTAGCTGATCGACCTCCAGCTGAACCCTGTGGATAACCTGATTGGCATGGTCTAGAATTGCGGTGGGTGTAACGTCAAAGGTGGGTAGTGGGGCACATTCCTCGATGGTCATGATGTAGGACACTGCGACGTGGGCTCATAAGCTCCTTACTCCTTGGGTTGACGTGGCTGTTACACGACAAATATAGCATGCCATGAAGCTCCAAGGGCAAGAGGAGCGAAGCGTCAAAGAGAGCTTCAAGGTAGCACATGATCGAATCCTTTACTGCATCCTTAACGGTCATCTGAGCTGAGCATGACGAGTTACAAGCCATTGCTAAGGCAGACATGGATAGCTGCATGAGCACCTATACTAAATTAAGGGTTAGTGCAAAGCTAGCTGGTAACCGTCTCAGGGGAAGCTCCACATCTTCTTATCGGGCAAATAGAATAATCAGACAGGCAAGCTAGCTAGTTATCCGTTGTGCGCCACGGTATCGAAACCTTGGCGTTTCGTAAGAGGCAGAAAGGACAAAATGATATCGATCTGAGGCACACGGGTTCTATCGACGTGACACGCCCCCTTGCATGGTGGGAGATCCCTCACACCAGGCCTCATGCAGTCCTACATGCCATCTTGGCAGCTGGTTACACGGATACTGGAACCATATATAATCATCTCGACGACGAGCAGGCGCTGTAAGGGACCTACGTTTTCATGTCATCCGCGGAGGGGTGGTGGGAGCATGATGTTGATGCCATCAAGGGGTGTTATCAGCAGCATCCATCCGACAACTTGACTTGCTTTCTCTTCACCTCCGTGACTCGACCATTGCCTACAAGAGGGACATGGATGACCAGCGTCGGCCTTGGCTCTTCTGAAATACTTCGTCGCTGGCTAACGTGGAGATTAAAAGCGGAAGGTCACCCAATATGCCACAGAAAGTATAACCTCTGGCGCTTCCAGAACTCTCGTCGATGCATGCTGGACGCGGAAATACATCCGCTCAAGCGTTTTCTACTAATGCTAGGATAGCTGTATTCTCTCACCGGGATTAGGCCATTCACTTCTCTTCTTGCACTGTGGCGGCCATATTATCGCCAAGCAGTGCGATAGTCAGGGCGAAAGTTAAAGACGGGCTTAGAAATCACGCACCATCCCCACTTGGTGTGCTACTTGGGATCTGATTACGCCGAAATGAATCCGATCGACAGGGAATGTGGATCCGATAACCAGATGACAAACGTTTAGTCAGGCACTATGGATTCCTCACGAATTCTTCACCATCAATGATGTGACGGAAGGGAAATCGCGGTTGCGCAAATTTTGACGCCCGGGACGATTGAAGCGGGAAGACCCGTTCAGTCCGAGCCCAACGATCAAACCTGACCCGTTCAGGGTCCTCATGGGCATTTCGGGAACCGTTGCCACTAAAGCAACAGCGTCGCATGATTATCATTAACCCAAGTGCCAGTCCCACGAACACGGATCAGCACCGGCTCAACTCTGACGCCTCTCCCTGCGTGGTGTCCTTGCAGATATCAGTCAGGGAGTCTGTGGCCAGCCAGGATTTGCCGCTAGGAGGTGCCTAGTGTTTGGCGATGTCTCAGGCCGATGCCTGACCCGGCATGCCGATATCTTGCGGTGGATCCTGTCCGATCACGGCACGGTAAGTTTAAATGGGCCCAGGATCACGAGCAATATACAGACGGTCCAACGAGGTCACCGGTACCATCGGGAAGTGGATATCATCCTGCTGACGGAGGATTATGAAGCAACTGGATTTGGGCCATTGCAGAACGGAATGCAGCAACATGAGAGGTATAAAAGCCCAGTGCGCAAGGTCCTGAAGATATCATCAACCTCCAGACATTCCGGCGCAACCATGGCCAACAAGATGCTTCGAAGCTTGACCGTTTTGGGTGCGCTGTCAACGGCCCTTGCAGCGCCTTCTACCCGTCTCTCTGGTCCTCAGTATGATTACATCGTTGTTGGCGGAGGTACCAGCGGTCTAGTGGTTGCCAACCGCCTCTCGGAGAACCCCAATGTGTCGGTCCTGATCATCGAAGCCGGTGGTTCTGTCATCAACAACTCCAACGTCACAGATGTCAATGGCTACGGACTAGCCTTCGGTACTGACATCGACTGGCAGTATGAGACAATCAACCAGTCCTATGCCGGCGACGCACCTCAGGTGCTGCGTGCTGGAAAGGCGCTTTCGGGCACGAGTGCCATCAACGGTATGTCATGCGTACATGTCTGGATGGAACAAGCACTAACCCCCTAATAGGAATGGCATATACTCGGGCCGAAGATGTCCAGGTCGACGCATGGCAGACCATCGGTAACGAGGGATGGACCTGGGACAGCCTGTTCCCTTACTACCGGAAGAGTGAGAACCTGACTGCTCCCACCGCCAGTCAGCGTGCCAGAGGAGCCACCTACGACCCCAGTGCCAACGGGGAGGAGGGTCCGCTGTCCGTGGCTTGGCCCGACATTCCCGCCAACAACCTCACGAACACTCTCAATGCCACCTTCCAGGGGCTCGGCGTCCCATGGACCGAGGATGTCAACGGGGGCAAGATGCGTGGCTTCAACGTCTACCCATCCACCATCGATTACACCGCATATGTGCGTGAAGATGCCGCCCGTGCATACTATTGGCCCATTGCGTCCCGGCCCAACCTGCACCTGATGCTAGATACTTTCGTCAACCGTCTTGTCTGGAAGAATGGAGGATCCCAAGGCAATGCCACCGCTGCTGGTGTCGAGATTACCTCTTCCAATGGCACTATTAGTGTTATCGGAGCCAGCCAAGAGGTCATTATTTCTGCCGGTTCGTTGAAGTCGCCCGGTATCCTGGAACTCTCCGGTATCGGTAACCGGGATATCTTGGAGCGGTACAACATTTCCGTCCGTGTCGATCTTCCCACCGTCGGTGAGAACCTTCAGGATCAGACCAACGCGGGGCTGGGTGCTTCCACTACCCCTGGTCTCACAGGCACCAAGACGGTGGTGTACCCCAACGTCTATGATGTGTTTGGCAACGACACCCTGGCGGTCGCACAGTCCGTCCGCCGGCAGCTCAAGCAATGGGCCAATGAAACCGCCCAGGTGAGCAGTGGCACAATGAAGGCCGAGGATCTGGAAGCTCTCTTCCAGCTGCAGTATGACCTGATCTTCAAGGACAAGATCACGATCGCCGAGATCTTGTACTACCCTGGTAGCACCAGCAGCATCAGCGCCCAGTACTGGGCTCTGATGCCCTTTGCCCGCGGCCATGTCCACATTGCCTCTGCCGATCCGACTGCCAAGCCGGTCATCAACCCCAACTACTACAAGTTCGACTGGGATCTTACCAGTCAAATTGCGGTGGCCAAGTACGTCCGCAAGACGTTCCAGTCTGCTCCCTTGGCCAACATTATTGCCGAGGAGACCAACCCTGGCTTTGAGGCCGTGGCTGCCAACGGCTCGGAGGAGGACTGGAAGGCGTGGCTGCTGACTCAATGTAAGTTAATACAGTCGCCGTCCCAAGTAATCATGCATGCTAATGACGATTCCCAGATCGTTCGAACTTCCACCCGGTCGGCACTGCTGCCATGATGCCCCAGGACAAGGGTGGTGTGGTCAACGATCGCTTGACGGTGTACGGCACCAGCAATGTGCGCGTGGTGGATGCATCCGTCCTCCCCTTCCAGGTGTGCGGCCACCTGGTGAGCACCCTGTACGCGGTGGCCGAGCGGGCCTCTGACCTGATCAAGGCCGACTCTGCTCTCTTTTAAGCGGATGTGCCAGTTGTCATTCCGTGAATGGTCGCGTTTGTATAGAATAGCAGGAACATAGATCATAGACAAATATTATATCATCATTACCACTTCCACACTATGTACATAATATAATCTTTCGTACCATGTTCATGAAGCCGCATGCATTAGCCCATTACTATACAGGAGAGCGGACCGTCCAGACACAGCCATCTTCAGCATTATTCACATAACAACAGCCCCCTCTCTAATAAACGGAGGAAGTCGTGTTCAGAGTGACATTGCGGATCGTGCACCCCTCGGTCTTGTACTGCTGCGCATACGTTCCGTCGAAAATGCTCGTCAACCAGTTCCACGCCCTGGCGTTGCCATTCACCTGCTCTGCCGAGTGGCCACCGATGGTGTTCCGTTCATACAAGATGTTCAGTCCCAGACCACAGTAGCGCTTAATCACGCGATCCGTATCCTGGATGGGACTGATCTCATCGTGAATAGCCTTGTACGCGAGCACCGGCATCTGCGGGAACCCATGGTAGCCCATGTATCCGTCCTGGTTCAGCGCCTTCTGCACCACCTCCGCCTGGAACGTGGCCGATCCGTTGACAAAGTAATCGAAGATGTTCTGGAAGGCGTAGAAGACCTCCGCCTCAGACAGGGTCAGGTCCTTGGCGGCTAGGAATCCTGTGCGGTTGTAGGGTCCCGTCGTCTTGAGCTGGCTGAGGATGAATTCGTATGTCTCGGGATGCTGGCTCGACAGACCCAGGGCAGCAGCGGGGATGAGTCCCGCGCTGATGGTCGAGGTCACCGTGTCCATGACGCTGGTGACATTGGGAGTGAGACCACCCACGGCCAGACCGGCAATGTTCAACTCGGGAGCGTATTGCATCTGCAGTTCAGCAGCCCATTCGCTGGCCAAGGCACCGCCAGAGTAACCCCACAGAGCGTACTGGGCGTCCTCGTTCAGGCCGAATCCGGAGGCGAGCACGCTGCGGACCGAGTCGAGGGTGGCATGGCCGGACTGCACACCGGCGGTGAAAGAGGCATTGGGGCCCTCGTAATCGGGGACGTTAACGAACCAGCCGCGCTGCAGGGCAAGGATGATATCGGAGGGCGGGCTGGAGTACAAGGCGTAGCTGGGACTGGCATTGACGTCGAACGAATCGTAGGCGATCTGGTAGGAGAGCAGGACACTCTGGTTGATGGCGGCGGAGGCAGCCACGGGGGGCACCAGCAAGGTGGTCACAGCCCAGGAAGGCTTGTACTGACTGTCTGTAGTGCGGTACAGGATGTTGTAGGCCGCCGACGCATTGCCCACTACCACGGTCAGGTTGCCGGGCGCGGGCCGCACGCGCAGGATGGCACCGGGATCAGCCTCCTCGAAGCCCTCGGGCGCGCTGTACCAGGGATCCTGGCTGGGCGGGATGGGCGTGGAGCCGGGCGTGGGCAGCGCCGTTGCGCCATGGAACAGGCTCGCGGCCAGAAGCAGCACCGAGGGGATATACATGGCGGGAGGGAGGATAAAGGGGTTGCGAGGCGAGAGGGATGGAGAGAGGGAAGGTTTGGGAAAAATGGGCAGACCAGCTCGGTATTAATAATTTCTACTATAACCAAGCTCTGCTTCCTCACTGTTCTGCCAGGATCCGGATGGAAGGATCCGTGGCTTCGATGGAGAGGGCGAACCCGCCAGTAGGAAACGAGCGGATGAAAGTCAAACCCCGGGCTTGATTCATGCAACAGCATCCTCCCTGCACCTCTCCTCCAGTGACCGTTGGGCATCACGCCCGAGCGGGGATGGACTATGCCGGCTTCAGCTAAGCATCCGGGGCGGGTCTCGCGTGCGATGACGGCACTGGTGGAGACCGCAGAACAAAGCTGACCCAGAAGTCGCGGATCACTCGGATGTGCTGGTTGCTGGTTGCTGGTGCCTAGTGATGAGTTCCACCAAAAGAACGAGTTTGATGGCCATCAATTGGGGGAGAACAGCCGTAGCAGATCGAAGAGAGTGAAGTTTATTCCGGGGAAGCTTTCTGTCCAGGGCTTGGCTTAGGAGAGGAGTGACGAAGCTGCTGCAGGAACTAGTCGAGTCAAGCTAGTGAGGGAGGCATGAGGGGAACCTGCAGCGTTCACATGCTGTCCATGAATGCAATGCAGAATCTCAGGATAATGTCTAATAGAAGGTGGGAATCTGACATTAGACTCAGAAAATTAGGTGAGCGATGTCCACATGATATCTCGTGGTGTAACCCACGGTAGGACAAGAGCCGAGTTGTCGAGGGAAGCTTCACAAACAGAACCTTCAAGCGGGTTGTTATAGCATGACAAAAATCTCCGACTTCACTCGCATGTTTAGCATTATGCCCCACGGAGAGAGTGCAGTACTACCCGCTGATCGGGGATCGGCGCGATGGGCTCAGCTGGCGTAGCGACCGATCAAGTCTTACACTCATTGCCGATGGCCGGACAGACTGACCAGAGGATAGTCAGCATGCGATATGAAGCAGGTCGTTCTCGCCGACAATAATAAGAAACAATCATCGACACCTTCGATGCAATAAATAGATGTAATATATGCATGGGTTGAGTTGCATTGACTGATCATTGTACTTACAGTCAAGAGCTAATGGATCAGCCTCCCGGATTGCCTGTTTGGGCTCTCAACGTGGCGCTCTTCCCCCACGACCCTAATCTACTTTGACTCTGACTTCTTATTTCCCCGCTCGAGATGGTTGCACTGCTAGTGTGTTCAACTTTTCCTCATCACATGTATCTGACAGAGAACCTCGGCAGCCCGAGTCTCTTCCACCTGATCGATAGTTGTCATGGGCTGATTGGTACAGATTCTCACCCATTAGAGACACATCTCACCGACGCCTTATGCAGCGACAGATGTTGATTGTCCTGCTACCATTGCTTTTTTCTGAGATGCAGTCCGACCCATAAGATGGAAACTCTCTAATTGATTACGATGATCCAGACTAAGGCTGAGGGCTCAGGCAACCTACCTCTCGTTCAGCAGGCCGAGACACGGTTGCACAAAAATTTGCAAAATAGTACGCATCGCGTCATAGTCTCTCCCACCGAGTCAGTTTAGAGTTCCTGTTACTGCATCTTCAACTCATCGGTCTTTGATTGTAAGCCATGCATGGATTAGTACATCTCCCACCGCCGATCGTCATCCATCTGCCCCGTCTACCATGGCAGCTCCTTTCCATCATACTGGTTCAAACCAGGGTTATTCTCCCACCCAGAAACATGAATATTCAGAAATCTTCCATTGACCTCCATCCCCCTATCACGGATCATCTCCAAGACGCGCTCGACTCCAGTTCCGACCGGAAGATCGGCATGAGCATTGGCTTCGTCTGTCTTCAACCACTAACGTTGAGATCAGAAATATGTCGGGATTGGCTTGAGGTCTGAATTGGTACTCACCCCCGGACTCACGCAGAATACGGTGAACCCCTCAATCTCAAGCTCTTGGGAGTATAGCACCGTCATCATATTCAAGGCGGCCTTGGTGATTTTATAGGAGGGGGCAGGCAGCTCCCGGTAAACGGACTGCTTTGCAATGGAGCCGACGCTGCTGGAACTGGAGGATGCGAGTCAGGCTTCAACACGGTCGGTTTCGGGTCAAGAGGCATTACATGTTGACGATCTTCTTCATAGAGCCCTTTCGCAATACCGGCAAGAAGTTCTGAGTGATGACATGTGGACCGGTTACGTTGACCCGGAAAGTGTCTTCAAGGTCCGCCCTGGTGGACGTTAGCTTCCATCAGCAGTTTTAAGTCATCCATGGATTGAAACGAACATGTCCTTAATCTGGCCCCAACCCACGATGCCAGCATTGTTAATGAGCACATCAAGTCCCTTGTCGCCCATGATGCTCTCCACGGTCTGGGCGGCCTTCTGGATGGACTCGGGGACCGTAACATCCAAGGGAACAAGCACGACCCGGCCGGGATGCCGGTCTGCTAGGTCCTGCAGGGAGGCATTGACCGATCGGGAGGTGGCAATGATGGTACTGACTTCTGAAGGGGACTTTTCTGATAATTGGCGCACCAGTTCGAAGCCGATTCCACGAGTGCTGCCGGTAACTAGGTAGGATGCCATGGTGCGTATTGTGGACACAGCTCTATTCGCTCAATGCAAACGAAATCGAATAAACGAGAGCACGACGATATCTATAGCTCCTAGTATTTATCCTCCCGCCCCTCCAAAATATCTATCTCCATATCCTTTGCCTCTCTCCATGCTTGTCTCCGTTTCCTCCGTGTGCTATACCTCCCGCGCTTGTGGCCACTGGTCGGAGTTAAATGACCCGACTCGTTAAATCCGGGACATAAGGTTTTCGATATTGCACAGGTCCGCAATCCCCGAGCAGGAGATGATCTTACCAGTATAGCAGAAATGTACCGTGGGACTTTTACATCGGACCCGTAGGCATCATGATTGCAAGCAACTCCTCTTATACCTCTCCTCTGCCTTCATCGTGCTTACCTTTCCACCCGGGTCTTCCCGTCGCTTTCGCGCGGGATCGGGCGCTTCGTGGGTTTCCCTTTTGGGGGAAGCCGCTCGCGGAATCATACCGGGCGCCAACGCTAGCCCTGTTTTGGGTTAGCGTCTTTGATCCCATACCGATACCAGTTATTTTCAAAGCCAGCGAACAGGAAAAGAAGGATGATGTCCCATCTAGTCGACAGTCACCGACTTGATAAATACTAGGACATACCAGCCTAATACCCTGACATTGAGAATATATTCAGCGATGAGCAGCACCCAAGTTAGGTTCCCCACATTCTGGACGATGGATAAAAGTGCCTTATCGGAGTGGAGACCCAACAACTCTTAGACACGCCATATAAGAAGAGTGCACCGTGGCAACACATCTCGGGAGTTGCAAAAACCTATCACTCCAGTTCCAGATCTACAGAGTTAGAAGTCATGAGTAGCCGATACGCAGCAGTGCATCAATCACCTGAGGGCGCTGGCGACGCGCGTCCAATTGCCCTACAAATCATCCAGGATGAACAGCTTCAGGGCCGGTGGTCTGACAAAGTCATCCTCATCACCGGCTGCTCGTCGGGCTTGGGCGTTCATACCGCACGAGCACTATACACTACCGGTGCCACACTTTACCTGACGGCCCGTGACCTCGACAGGGCGAAAACAGCGCTCGGTGATATGATCGATAGCCCGCGCGTGCACCTCTTGTCTCTGGATCTCAATTCTCTGGCGTCCGTACGTGCCTGCGCCGAGGAGTTCCTAGCAAAATCACCCCATTTGAATATCTTAATCGCCAACGCCGGTGTCATGGGCTGCCCGGAAGGGCGGACGGAAGATGGCTTCGAGACGCAATTTGGTACCAACCATCTGGCGCATTTTCTTCTCACCCACCTCCTGCGTCCTGTGATGTTGGCATCTTCTTCACCGCAATTTCACTCTCGGGTAGTGCTACTCTCCTCCGGTTCGCATCGCTTTGGCCAGGTCAACTTTGATAATCTCACCTGGGAGGGCGAGTTCGACACCTGGTTGGCTTACGCGCAGAGCAAGACAGCCAACATCTGGACTGCTAATGAGCTTGAGCGGCGGTACGGCGCGCACGGCTTGCACGCGGTCAGTTTGCATCCTGGGACAATTGCCACGGACTTGCTGCGGCATGTTCCGGCTGACCAACTGGCGATCTGGACGGCGGACAAGGAATTGGAAAAGTATTGGAAGACCCCTGAGCAAGGAGCTGCCACCACAGTCTGGGCGGCAGTGAGCCCAGACATGGAAGCAAAGGGTGGGGTGTATCTGGAAAATTGCGCTGTTTCCACAGCGTGGATGCCTGCGGCTGGTCCCTGGGGTCCGGGATACGCTCAATGGGCGTATAGTCCGGAGAGTGAAGCGAGGCTCTGGGATGTATCATTAGAGTTGTTGGGGTTGCAGGAGTAGCCATGGCTTAAGCTGCTAAAACTCATACTCCACCTTTTCATACTTATCGGTGATTTCTATTGCAGCAGAGGCTGGTTAATGCGATACAAAAATGAGACAGTTAATCTAGCATACCAGAGACACACAACAACAGTGTGGGGCCCTACATTAAGCGCTGAAAAGTGAATATCTTCAATGGTACTACTTTATTGACCCCTCAAATCTGTCCATCCCAATACTACCGATTAAACTCTGCAATAACGCTTCGCGGTGCCTGATACGGTCCCAGACTTGTCCATTCCATATCCAATCCAAAACCCTGGGGTCCTCCTACACGCAGTCCTCGCTCATCTCCGGTCCACAGCGGATGTGCCGCCATGCCGATGACATTCACGCGCAAGCCATACCGCAGCTCCTGCGACCCGATTGCCTCACCATCTTGGTCTAGGACCGAGATGAGGTCGGGTACTGTGCAAATAACCTGCGAAGATGTGGGATTTGCGGGGTCGATGTACGCAGCGTACAGAAACTCATTCTGGAATGGGATAATCAAGTGACGCGTCTCTGTCGAGACATGGTTCTCCACATTCTGTCTCTCCTCCCCCGCTAACGGAGCAATTGTGCATTGGCCAACCGTGTATCCCCGACTGATATCTCGCTTCACGTCAATGATCTTGCCACTGTACAGCAGCTTGCCGGGCGTAGTTTCGAACTATGGGCACGTTAGCTTGCTGCATATGGCACAATTGGCAGTACCTACAATGGCTTTGATGATGTCTGTCTTGGACCGGCGGGCGCGGTGAATAGCCCGACCCAGATACCAGGCTTGGGACACTGTGTTCGGGATGCAGTATTTCTTAACAATGTCAAAGGTCAAAGGTACGGCGGCGACAGCTGTGGAGATACCGAGATTCACACACTGGCACCGAAGCAGTTCCTCGACGCGGCGGTTGGATTCAGCTTTCTCCAAGGGAATCAGCGGAAGAAAGTAAAAATTTCAGGGGAGATTCATACCAACACCACTCCAACATTACCTTTAGCATCCGCAACCACACACGGAGTGATGGGATGTCCATAAACATAAGGTGTCCCTAGATTAAGAACTAAGCATCAGGTCCAGCAGGCCCCTATGGGTAATGCCTACTTACCGTGCTCCATGGTGGGATAGGCGCGGCCCATGAGGTCACCGTCGAGAACCGGGATATCGTAGTAGGCGCTGGTGGGAAAGGTGGACATCCCGTTCCCTCCGCCAATTTCGTCGGCAATGATCCCATCGAAATGCGTATATCCAGAGAGACGCACGGCATGGTCGATGGCAGTCGTGAGCTCGATCTTGGCCGGAATTCGCTCCCCGGACACACTGGGGGCACCATACCACGATCCAAACACGCAAACACCCGAGTCGTTCATGCGGTCTGGGGGTACCACCCTCATGCGCCCTTTTGCCTCTGAGCTTTGCAGCCAATCTAGACATTGCAAGTACTGCAGGTAAGACGGTCCCCCTCCACCTGTGCCCAATACACCGGTCCCGGTTGCGATGAATTCCAAGTCGACGGCAGAAAGGTACCAAACGTGGTCCGCCACTTCAGGAACATAAGTGTCAAGATTGAGGGATGCACTGTGTTTGGTAGTGATCAAGGATGGAGGAGTACCGTTCGCGACCATCTCCACGGTGGAAGGTTCTGTAAGGGGCGTATCATTGACATTGATTGACATCCAAGATACCAAATGTTCTTCTGCAGATTCACTACCTGGAGCGGGAGCTGCAAGCCTGCCAACAGCTTTGACAATAAGACGGACCGCCTTGTTCGTGACATACTGCAGAGGGATCTTGTCCACCTCCACGACGCTCACATCGTCCTTGTCAGCGCCGCGTGCGATGGCGGCCTGCACTGCTTGCTGCTTTGCTGCTTCAACTACGGCTCCCTCATCGCGACCCTCCAGGATCTCAATAACATCCACCTCACCAGATACTTTGGCAATGGCAGCCCCAACCGCGTTGGCTGAGTCATAGTGTGGAGGAAGAATGCACTCGGTGACGCCTTCCAGTGCATCCATGTAGACGATGGAGCCACCCCCGACCAGTAAGAGGGTCACGGGCTGGTCAGACACTTTCATCTCATCAATAGCCCGCTCGAGGATTTTCTTTATGCCCGCGCGTGCTTTGGCAATAACGGTAGCCGGGAGGTGCGCTACCCGAGAGGGCTCTCCCAGCCCAGCCTTGCCAGACGCGACAACAATATCTGTTGAGGTCATGGTATGGCCGCCGAAGACTAGAGCTTCCTGTGTCAATCGGTATCCGACCGAGTCCGGTCCAACACTAACGGCATCTTGGGCATGATCAATGTGGATGCGACTCCCTCCACCCAGGCCCACTGAAAGCACTTCGGGGATAGGAAAGGCCGTACGTACTCCACCGATTTCGACAAAGTTGGGCGCCTTGCGAGGGAATCCAGATGGCAAGAGAGCGCAAACATCGGTGGTCGTTCCTCCGACATCCATGACCAGTATTTGAGTGTCTGTGTTGCCGCGGATGCTGCTGTTGTTGCTCCGTTGGTCCAGACCGGCCAGATAAGCCGCCCCCGTCAGACTGTTCGTCGGCCCACTGGCAAAGGTCTGAATAGGGCGCTCGGCGGCCATCGCAGCGCTAGTCAGGGTGCCATCATTCTGAGTAAGATACAATGGACACTTCAGCTGTAGGTCCTTCATGGCCTGACAAAAAGCTCGAATAGTCTTCTTCGCCAGGTCCAGGATGGAGGCGTTGAGGATTGTGGCATTCTCACGTTCCAATAGGCCAACGCTGCCAATGTCGGCAGAACACACCACTGACAAGTTGGGGTTCTGCTGTAACATCAGTCCCTTGCAGGCTGCCTCATCTGTGCCCCGGTGATCGAGGGGAGAGAACACCCCAACGAGCGCGACGGTCGTAATCCCAGCCTTCTCGATCTCAGACACGGCATTCTCTATTTGTTGAGGACAGATGGGCGAGATTTCCCGACCATCGATGTCGAGGCCTTGAAAATACTGATTAACAACATCTGTTCATGGCAATGGGATGTAGTCTACATACCACCATCCAGATAAAAAACCGGGCCTCCGATAATGTCACGCAGCCGTGGTGGGAAGTCAGAGAATGGCGGGACCTGGGTTACCATCAGCGACCAATTATGCATGGAGAGATCAGAGGTTGCTAGGGGTATGGGGATACCGCTCTAGTGTAAGGACCACACAGACGAATGACAGCGACCCTACTGAGTCGACGGGGGTCGGCCTCAACGACGGCGTTGACGAAGTGGGTAGTGCCGATGGCCACGCTGCGCACCTCCTGGGCGGGAATCTGCGCCTTGGCGAGGACATCAACGATTGCCGTGCAGATGCCAGACGTTACATCGGCAGTGGTTGGGGTTTTGCTGGAAGCGCACACCCCCCTCTGTTGATCTCGATGCAAATCCTGTTCTGGGAGGGCTGCGGGTGCCGCGTTAAGAATGGCAGCATCGGTATTGGTGCCACCCACATCCACACCGATTCGATAAAACGCCATCTTGATATGGGCCGCTGATAGTTGATAGGGGAATCAGATAGGCTTTCTGGCCGGGACTGAACCGCCATTTTGTACCTGTACCACAGGCGCCCTCATCGTCTGCAGTCAGGATCCAGGCTAAGCCGAACCCCGCTTCTGCTCATGTCGCTCATCCTTGGCTGGCGCCGGCCGAGATAACGCCTTATCATCCAACTCAGCAGGTATAACTGCTTGTATCAAGGATGAGGTCGAGGCTTGATATTCTCATCGCATGTGGATTGACCCAACGGACTCGCCATGACGCTTCCCCAGTGGCTCGAGGTGCCTCAGGAAGGAGAGACCATCCCCGACCGATGGATTAATAGTGACATTGAACCCATCCAGGCGGATCGTCGCCGCTGGGGCTTTTGGACCTTTAACAACTACTGTTCGGGAGCATGACCCTATGCTGCGTTGTGCAGGACTCGCTAACAGGGGTATTGTTCGCAGGGGTCCTCATAAGCTCCAACATCTCTGGCTACATGACCGGCAGCTCACTCATCGCCCTGGGACTGTCGTGGTGGCAGGCTATCGTCGCCATTGTGATCGGAAACATCCTGGCAACCATTTTCATCGTCCTCAACTCGCTGCCTGGGGCTTTTTACCATAGTAGGGATTTGGCAAGACTGTCGTCGTGTATTGGACTGACATGATGTTCAGTTGGATTTCCCGTGGTGAATCGATATGTTTGGGGCATGTATGGCAGCCAATTTGTCATCTGGAACCGCATCTTTCTCTCTCTCAGTAAGTCCCCATCGATGAAAGTCTGCAAATCTCCCGCTGACAGATGCAGTTTGGTGTAAGTCACATCACTCCCAGTTCACGCGTGCCAACATGGATTAACCACCAACTTCACGACAGATGCCTTCCAGGCTTGGATTGGAGGCGAGTGTGTCTATGTCTGTCTGCAAGCCATTTGGCCCTCGCTGGAGAAGCGCATCCCCAACCACATGCCCGCCGACACCGGCATGACGACCGCCGAATTTGTGGGATACATCATCTTCATGGTCCTCTCGCTTCCCGTCATCTATGTGCGACCGCATAAACTGCAGAAGATGTTCTACATCTCTGCCGCCATTGTCATTGCGTTCGAATTCGTGCTCCTGATTTGGTCTCTGGCCACCATGGGTCCCGACGGCTTCGGTGACACATTGGCTTCCGGGTCGCATGTCTCTGGATGGATGATCGCGTATGGGATTATCAGCACGATCGGCAGCATCTGCGCCGGGATCCTGAACCAGAACGATTATGCGCGGTTTGCACGACGACCCCGAGATGCCATCTATGGTCAAATCTTTAGTGCAGCACTGTACGCCATCATCTGCGGCATCATCGGCATTCTCGTCACGGCCGCCACGCAGGAGCGCTATGGAGAAGCCTACTGGAATCTTCCCAAGCTCCTGGGTGCAGTCATCGAGACTGGTGGTCCGCGATCGCGCGCGGCGGGCTTCTTCGGAGGTATCGCGCTGATCATCTCGCAGATGGGAGTTAATGTGCCGGGCAACGCGTTGTCTGGAGGTGAGTATCTTATTTGCACACAGCCCTTGTTGGGGAAATGATTGACGAAAGTAGGGTTCGATCTGGCGGCGACCTTCCCCAGGTACATCAACATCCGTCGGGGCGCGTACCTGACGGCATTAGTCTCCATTGCAGCCAATCCCTGGAGATTGGTCAACACGGCCACAGTGTTCATCACGGTCCTCAGTAGCTACTCGGTGTTCATGGCGCCGATGATCGGGATGATGATCGCCTCGTACCTGTGCGTCCACCAGCGCAAGATCAAGGTCCCAGATCTGTTTGTAGGAGATGCACGGAGCATCTACTGGTATACATCCGGGGTGAATTGGCGGGCCATCGTCGCGGTCAGTCCCTCTGCAAGCTTCTTAGGCCCTACTTGACTCTCTTGGTGGACTGACACTCTGGCAGTGGATTTGTGGGACAGTCCCCTCGCTTCCCGGCTTCATAGCCTACGTCAACTCGACCATTCATGTTCCGGCCGGGCTGATGCATCTCTACTACATCTGCTTCCTCAGCGGCGCGTTGATTGCCGGCGCCATATTTGTGGCACTGCATTATGTCTTTCCCGACCGACGTGTGCGATCGTTCCTCGCGTCGGCGCCTACATCCCAGATGCTGATCGAGGAATACCGGGACCAGCAGATCTCAGTCGAAGCGGTGATTTGTGAAAGGCCTCCGAAGCTGTCGGACGATGAGTGAGCAGCCATCGTATAAAACCGACTTTGATCATTGTGAGGTAGACATGCAGCGAGCCGTTATTACCCCCGTTATCGTTCATATATTGGATGAGTGGACGTTAATAGATGGAGAGAATGATCGCAGTCTGTTAGATCAAAACTTTGATACTGCGAGTGCCAGAGAGTATATGCATCTATTTGCAACACTTTTGCAGGGAGTTCAGTTCAGAGATGCTCCCATTTTTCCTGCCAGGATGACTCGGATATATATCTTACAGAGGTGACAATACGCTGGTACTTAGTGACTCGTAGTTGCGGCGGCATTGTAAGAAATACCACTAGTACTCAGTAGTGGATTGTCGTCCACAACAATTCTAACCAGGAGCACTGCCCTATTTGCTACATGGGGCCATAGCATTGAGTTCTTTGAATGTGGAAAGAAGGGTTGTGCTTGCCGGGGAACAAACCGAGTCCGATCCCCGTCTCCACTGCGGCTGGAAATATTTTCACCCCGATGCAGCAATGGTCCAACCCCCTGAAGATGCAGGGTCTGGTCCAGACCCTCAGATGTGGGTTTCAGATGATAATATTCTGTATCAGCAGCAGCTTGTAAATCGCCTAGCTATCTCAATAAAATTACCTTGTGTGCCAGTCGACCAATCCGGAACCGCAGCTTCACCGGAAATCCTTACCGCGCTCGGTTTAACGCCGAGGATGACGCGTTCGGAAATCGATCGACAGGCGAAAATTGAAGCTGTCGAAAACCTCTTCAGGACCGCGGGGGAACACCCTGAACCTCTTTGAACCTGCTCTCGAGATCTCCCTCTGGATACTCCAGATTCAAGATACCCAGAACAATGACGGAGGAAGGTATCAAAACCAGCAGTGAGGGTGAACGCCCTGGCCAGTCCCCGCCAGGGATCGTGCTGGTGCCTCGACCCAGTTCCCATCCTCAGGACCCGCTCGTAAGCATCTGGCCCCCAGGACATCCTTGGCCCCGGAATTGAATTGCTGCTGATACTTTGAAGAACTGGTCGCATCGTCGGAAACAAATCATCCTGGCCACTCTCTGCCTGGCCTCCTTCTCGGGGGCTATCGCTCCCCTATCGGGCCAGCTGAATCTGGCCCAGCAGGCCAAGATCTATGGCAAAACTCGCGTCCAAGAGTCCTATGCTGTATGCTGACCAACTTGTATCACCATCCTGCTCCAGTATATGTCCTGACAAGCTATGTAGAACTCCGCCGCATTGGCGGGCATGGCTTTCGGGCCCTTTTTCTTCGCTCCCGTCGCCCACCGGCTGGGTCGCAGCTCCGTTATTTTCTGGTGCATTCTCTGCGCCCTCATCTGTCAGATCTGGGGGGCCGTCATGACTCATTCGGATGATTACATTCCCTACATCATCTCGCGACTATTTGCCGGCTTTTTCGGCGCCGTGCCCACTGTCCTGGGCCCGCGTGTCATCACCGACATGCTGTTCCTGCATCAGCGCGGTCGCGCCTTCATGGCCCTGCATATGGCCTTTCTGTTTGGCACCATCGCCGGCCCGACCTTCTCGGCCTTTATCTCCGCCAATGCTTTCTTCCCCGTTGAGTTCTGGTGGACCGTCGGCCTGTTGGGAGCCACGGCCATCCTCATCTTCCTCTTCCTCGAGGAGACGGGCTTTGACCGCGAGAACCTTGACCGGAATCCTGCCATCCCGACCAACTGGCTGGCCAACCGCTGCGCTACCTTCTTTTTCGGCCAACGTGTGGTGCAGCCGACCACCTGGTCGGTGACCGTGAGTGGCCATCCGCCCCAATGTTTGCTATGGATTCTGTTATGCTGACCCGTGTTCCAAGATGAAAATTGCCGTGGCGCCCGTACTGATCGGAATCTGTCCGGTCACGGTCATCATGGGTACCTTCACTCTCATCTCCTTCGGCTTCTACGTCGGCATGAACGCTCTGGTGCCCGTGTGGCTGCAGCGGACTCCAGAGGAGGGAGGTTACGGCTTCTCCCTGAAGCAAAACGCTGCCTTCACCTTCTGTCACTGGATCGGCATCCTCGTCGTCCAGATTGTGGGCCACTACTACAACGATCGATTGCCTCTGGCATTGGCCCGGCGCTTCAACCACGGTGCCTGGAAGCCCGAGTACCGCCTACAGGTGCTCTGGATTCCCAGTCTGATTCTCAACCCTATCGGACTGGGCCTGTTCGGCGCTACTCTGCAGTACCACCTGCATTACATGGTGCTGGCGCTGGCGGTGTTCATCGTGACGATTGGATCACTGGCTAGTGTGCCGGTGACCGTCAACTACGTCGTGGAATGCTTCACGCGCTACCCGGCTGAAGCGGGTATTGTGATCGGCGCCTACCGCATCGTCTACGGTTTGACCATCAGCTTCTACATTGACCCGTGGGTGGCAGCTGTCGACGTCGGCTGGGTGTATGGCATGATGGCATTCTTTGCTATCTTCTCGTTCCTGTTCGTCATGCTTCTGATGTGGAAGGGACATGCCATCCGCGAATGGCAGCTGGCGAGTGTGGCCAGCAGTGAGGAAGGCGTGCAGGTCGAGGATGGGAGCAGTGAGAAGGGCGTGGTAGAACACGATGGAGAGAAGTTGAAGGTTTGATACCCCTAGAAGTGGTTGTATATGAGTTACTAGCACATGTGCTAAAGTCTAATCTAATGTATGTATCTAATTCACCGATGTATAATTTCGGGCATATAATATCGTCTATACTTCATCTCTTCGTCAGTCCCAACGGGGTACTCTTAGTATACAGTGCATGAGAAGCAACTTGCTCACGCATACAGCACCGTTCCATTTTCCTTCCTTACAAAATCCAAGAACACATCCAGTTCCGGACTCGAGGCTCCATCCACCAGAAACACAGCAGGCTTTCCAAAGGGCGCCGACACCTTGGCCGTCTGTCCAGCACGGTAAGTCTGGCCCGTCCACACATGGGTATACGTGCGGTTGGCACCGTGACCAGGGAAGTACACATCCACGGACTGGTGACCCTCATCGAGCACCGGTGCCACGTACAGATCCCGTCCCAGGAAGAAGCTCTCGTAGCTGATCTGTCGGGCGCGGAGATCCTCCGGGTGGTACAGCACCGGCATCCGCAGCAACGGCCATCCACGCCGCTGGCTCTCCGTGTTGAGGATGCGGCGACGGTAGGGACCCAGACTGCGGAACAGCCGGGCGTTGTAGGCGAAGTACGTATACGTGGTGGAGTTGCTGTAGAACTGGGCGTTCACGCTGGGCACGTTGCCCTCGTGCGACCGGAACACGGCGCTCGAGACGGCACCCAATTCACCCCAGCGACCTAACAGCTCAGCCGATCGTGGGATGGCTCCAGAGGAATTACTGGTGGTGGGAGGCTCGAAGACGGTCGTGTAGCCGCCAATGTCGCTGTGACTGTGGGCATAGCCGGAGATGCCCATTTGGCCTTGGATTGTCACCACCGACTTGATGCCGTCATTGCGGGTCCAGAGAGTAGCTTGGTCGCCGACCCAGAACAGGTTCATGTGCCGGTTGGCGCCCATGGAGGCAGAGCGGTGGAAGGTGACCATCTCATGGAAAAGAGGCATCTCGGCGGCCACGGAGCGCTGGTAGGCCGCCCAATCCCGCGGATACTGGTTGTGGTAGAAGAAGGCGCTGGTGGAGATGTTGGCCAGCGAGGTATCGGGAGTGATGGGAGTGTATTCGCCAAAGTCCCACATGCAGCCGGAGATGTTGGCGCTCCACACCTGCGTGCGAAGGACGTCGGCGAACCAGGCGCGAGTGTCTTCGTTGGTGAGGTCCAGGATGCCGGCATCGATGCCCTTGCCGCTGGAGATGATCGCCGTGGAGTTGGTGGTGGTGTTCTGCACCATGAAGCGGTGCTGGCTGGCTTCAAGGAAAAGATTACGGCGGTAGCCATCTGACTTGCTGCTGACGTTGGCCAGGAAGGGGTTCACATAGGCGAGGGTGCGAACGCCGTGCTGTTCGCGCAGCGTCTGCACAAACTCAGCCCATGTGGGATACAGAGAAGTGTCGGACTCCCAGTTCCACCACAAACGTGAGATGTTCATGTTGCCATAGGGGGCTGACTGCAGATGCGTGCCCGACCTTTGGTCCGTTAGTGATGATGAACGCAGGGTAGGAAGGTGGCCACTCACCAATCTTGCAACCACACACCGGCGACCGGACAGTCATGCTCCAAACCCTGCTTCACAATCCGGTTGACCTTCTCTTGTCCTCCCTGAATGCCGAGCAGTGCGCCGTGGTCCACCCATTCCGGAAGGGCCGGCATGCGACCAGTGTACTCGGTGAGCATGGTGATAGCGTCCAGCATGGTATCAGCCTGCATCAGATGGCCATGCATTGAGAGACTATCGTAGCGCACCGTGACAGCATCCGAGCGCTGGAAGTCAAAGACGGCATAGGCCGTGTCATTCTCATCGAGATAGAAGACCCGACCGTCGGAGCTGACGTACTGAGGGATGGCCGTATAGGTAGTGTACTGATCACCGCCGCTGAAGAAGCCCTGCGAGTCCTCGATAGCCGTGTATGGCTGGTCACCACGTCCGACACCCTGCTCGCGGGAGAAGATGGGAATGGACCGGTTTTTCATAGAAGCGAAGGACGCCTGCGCACCGAGACCGTAAAAGTCCTCCAGCGCGTGCGACGCGAAGGTGAGATAGAGACGGTCGACGGGCACGCTGGCATTTGCTTCTGACTCAACAGTGGCTTCAAAGGCAACGCGATCCGAAAGTGTTCTAGGGACCCAAAAGTTCATGGCATATGCAATGTCCTCCCCACCGCAATCCAGAAGATATCCGCGAACAGCTACCTGATTCTTCACACTGTCGCGACGAGGGATACCCGCCAGCTGGGTGATGTTCTGGCCTCGGCATCGTGCCTGGTCCACGTTGGTGATGTTAAAGTTGCCACTATCCTCGACAATCTGGTCCTTTCCGGCGCTGGCACTGAGGAAGGGCTGGCCGGGGATAGTTGAGAAGATGGTCTGGTTGTCTTGGTGGATGGAGATCTGATGTTGGCTTGCTTGGTAGGACAGCTCCAGTCCACTGCCCAGGGGCCAGGTTGACCGGGCCTGCCCCAAGCAGGGAAACACAGCCAGTGTCGCCAGGGCTCCCAAATAAGTTGACGGCATCTTGGGCGAGAGTTGAGATCCTGTCACACTGCTGTTATCCCGGGCCTCAGTCCAGATTTATAGCTGGGCTTCCCCACCGCGTCCGGATCGATAGGTGCCCCCATTACTCCTGCGTGCCTCCACAGTTGGATTGATGGGGACTGTACATGAATCGGTTGCTCGTAAAAGACTCCCATCTGGGATAGACAAGGTAGATGTTGGTGCAGGACTCGGCTCAGTTGCCCTGTGGACGGGGAAGTAAATGACTGTGGAGGAGCAGAAGAAAACCCTACGAGCGGACTTTTCCCGACTCTGGGGCAGGCAGTGGACCCTTCGGCAAAGCTGGCCGAAATGCGTGAAGGACATTCGATCGTGTTTAGTCACAAATGGAGGCATCGGAAGCCACGAGAATTAGCATGCCGATTCCTACCCGAAAGAGTCGAGTGCCCACTATCTGGGGAATCCGGAGAGTCCCCAGACGCCAATGACACTCGTTCAACGGCGACCCTCTTCCCCACAAAGTCTGCTGGGAAAGTCGATCAACTCGGCTAATGAAGTCATCTTTCCGAGATTTCAAGCAGAACTTGTTGGTCTCTCTTCTGCCGAGCATGTTAATTCTATACCATCTGTCATGGATTCCTTGGAATTCACCAATCACTGTATCGCTCCATAGTGCCCTGATCAGGCCACCTCGAGATTGTGGTACCGCGCGGCCAGTCTGATAGAAAACATGCTTGTCCAACAGTTGGCTAACTAAAGTAGTCGCTGTTTGGTCACCAATAGTCTCCACAACTGGAAATCCCGATTGCACACGTCCTGGACGGTTGTCTACATGGTGGGGCTCTTTTCTGCAGTACTAATCTGCAGGAACTGCTTACACTTCTCAAAACTTTATGAGTGCGCGTTGCTGGCTGCAGAGATAATGTGCATATGAGGCCTGGGGTTTCCAGTGTTGGTTCCGACCGTCTAGGGTCATCGAGCTCGCGATGTTGCAATTTCTCGAAGTCAGTCTATATCCGGGAAACCCACCCATCTGCTAGACTATGTTTTGCATTCCCATCGTGATAGGTGCTGATCAGCTGATTGACCTCGTATCCTGTCAGCCCATAGTTATCCTTCTTGGTGTCTCTACTGTATAGTGGCCGCTCCTGCCTCCCTGGCTGTACTGATAATTGCTAACAATAAAGGCCTTTTGTGCCCACCTACCTGTGGACGATTCTCCATGTGTTTGCTCTGCACGCTGGTATGATGATTGAAGTAGTCAGATCAACAATGGTACAGCGTTACCAGTTGTCGACATGAGCCCTTGGTCTTGTCCGAGAAATTCCATGGGTAAGGCGGCCGTGCTGCATAGCTCGGATCAGTGCTAAAAATAAAATATGCTTACCTTTGGACAACCTGAGAGTATTTTTAGAAGTCAGTGGTGGAAGGCTTTAGGGAATTAAGATTTACTTCGCCCATTCCCGACCGCGGGGGAACGGCGGAAGGTGATGTTATTATAGGGTCCCTTCCATGACCCCCAACATAATCAGGAGATCAGGCACACCGTCATCATGAGATAGCATGTTTGCATAGCCTTCAGTAGACCCTGCAGCGGCTGTACCCCGCGACCGTGTCTTAAGCTGGGCATTAATTCTACTCTGTACGAGTGCTCCCTCGTATAGAGCCCGTCGGCCTTGATGTCTATGATGTCAGTGTCTAGGGGTACTCCGAGGATAACCCCAGCATCAGTCGTAGCCCGGAACAGGAAACAGGAATGAGCGCTCCTCCCTTCTCAGCTCCGGTGGCGAGGAGACGCAGCGGCAGATACGAGGGCCACTTGGCAGACTGATTGGCGGAACCACTAAATGCCTCTTGCGGAGAGTTCAGCCGCTTCCAGTAGAATCATCGAAATAGTACTCATCATAAACCGTTGTCAGAGCCTCGATGACCTGCTGCAGACCAATGTCTGAATATCCACTTTTCCGCTTGCGAACGTCGGAGAGAACTAGCTTAGGGAAATATATACACCCCTTGCCAGGAAACCTCGCCCATGACTTTTATACTCTCATGCCACGATGCTCCGACGACTATTCAAAGACTATCTGGTTAACCTACAACATGTTGTCATGACATGATGCGAAAGATGGCATTCACGCGAAAGTTACCAAGTCTAACCGTACAACTGTCACCAATGGATCACTTCGGGGCGATGCGAGACCTTTCGGCTCCAGCCGATGGTTGTGCCCGTCATCTTTTTGTCTCATTAAACCGCATCCTCACTATGCCTTGAAGGACATACGGCTCGTCTCCAGCCAGACCCAGGGCACCTGAGTGGCCAGGTCTCAAAGTAAAATCTTCTCTACTCTTCTTGAACGTTGATATGAGTGGAACAGTCTGACTTCCACCAGTGCCAGCGTCATGATTTTGTCAACATTGATCCCGAATAGGTCACAGTAGGTAGAAGAGAGGTCGCCTGATAAACAGCTTCCACGGTTTCAGTCAGCCGACTGAATGGCATTGCTCGTATAGAGCGAAAGTGGTACGCGGGATTGCCGTAGGCTATGGAAATCGCTCAACTCTCTATACAGTTGAAGTCCGGACTTGCTCCCTCTTCTGTCTATAAAGTCCCTGTTTAACCCCCTATCGACTGATCCCCGGAAGCTCAAAGACCGTGACATCGCAGACAGACTACTACTACTACACAATTGGATCTCCACTGAAATATCTCTTTTCAATATGAAGTTCGCTTTGCTACCCACACTTCTTTCAACCTCCGTCCTTGGCCTGAATATCGGCCGCGCCCAGACCACAGCTCAAGTAACCTTTATTGGTGCAGCTGGTGCCCAATTTACCCAGGACTTTCCCACCGATGGATCGAATGTCAAGATAAGTAAGTGGCCTATTTGAGGATTACTGTATGTCTCGGCTAATATCACTAGCCAACCCCCTGAGTATCTCGCATATATCGTGCAGCACCCAGGGCGCCGTCTGTACTTTTGACGGCATTGACCACAGCGTTACTACCGTGACTGGCGTGGGCCAGGTTGACGTAGGCCCTCCGCAGACCCAGATTCAGGGATCTTGTCGGTTTGGATCCGGATCGACTTCTCCCAGCAATCCCGGTCAAACTCACCCCACCGGAGGTCAAGTGCTCATCACATTCGTCGGTGCTGCCAATGCTCAGTTCCAGCAGCAGTTCCCCACCAATGGCGCTAGCACCAAAATTAGTACGTATCAGATAAACTTTGTTATATGGCCAAGCTAATCGAGGGAATCAGGTAATCCCCTGAGCATCTCCCACATCACGTCCAATACGGGTGGCATCCACTGCACCTTTAACGGCATTGACAACAGCGTTACCACCATCAATGGTGCCCAGACGGTCGACGTTGGCCCTCCGCAGACCCAGGTCTCTGGCACATGCCGTGCTACTTAAGGCCATTGCGAGCAATTATCTTCATGCCTGGTCAGAGTCTGCTGTGAATATGGAGCGTTGTGTTTTATCACAGCATGCATACATAATTTTTGGCTTAATAATACTGTCTTGTTGGATTTTACTTGTAGGTCTAATGGTATGTGGTTTATTTTTAGCAGTATTTGAATTTCCGGCACGTATGGCCTGCTTTGTGTTCTTGGGGACTTCTAAATCACGTCTACTTGCTGAACAATGTAGCGCACCTGTACAATGCCTATACAAATTAATAATCTGCAGCACAACTGGCATACAAACATTATAGATGAAAGTAGTAGTCCATGTTACCGACGTGATTGTTTGGAATACAAGATCCGCTTTGTCTTACTGGATCATACCGTTTTAAGGCCTGTACTTCATCTGCCTTATGGAGTATTCCCTACGCTGCACCATTACTTGATATATGATTACGGAGGATCAATCAAAAGAATGACTCAAATTCAGGAGGGGCCCCGCAAAATAGTACTAGAAATCAAAACTATCTACATCTTCGTTCTCCACTGCCTCGTCGATTGAAATCAAGCGCTGACCTGATCACATCATCACATCACTGCATACCAATCAATCCGCTTCGGATTGAGACACTCAACACCATTAGTCACAGTGACAGGCCTCGTGTGCAAGTTTACTCGTAGGTGATGGTCACCTCGGAGGCGCTATCGATGGTAACATCAGTGACCACCTTGCCATTCTCCTCAATCTCGATGATGGTCGCATCGGTAAGTCCAACGCTCTCACCACCCGCCGCCTTGGCAACAGCACCAGTGAAGGTGACGGTGCCAAAGTCCACCAGGTTGACGAGCGAACCATTTTCCTCGAAGTCTAAGATCGCGTTAGCGTTTGATAAAGTTGAATGAGGAATGTATGGTTCATATTACCTTCCACAATCCACTCAGCGTTCTGTCCACCGAGGCTGGAGCTGGACGACAGCTCCTTGGATACCTTCTGGCCGGTGCTCTTGTTCTCAATAATGGCAATACCGGTGGTCGAAGTGTAGGACTCCACAATGGCAACAATCTCATCGCCCGCCGAGATGTCGATGCCGCTGAAGTCGTAGGCGTAATCCGGGTACCACTCATACCAGGCATCGAACGAGGCCTCTCCGTCGGTCACGGTGAAGTCAACACCGGTCTGAAGAATGGCGTTTCCATAGGTATCTCCGTCGATACCAACCCAGGCAGATGCAGCCTGACTTCCTCCAGAGTTGCCGGTGGGCTCAGGGACAGTGAAGGTGCCGGTCACCGCAGTGTAGGTCGCTGCAGCAGACGGAGGCTCCACCAGCACGGCACCGGACCAGTTGGAGCTGTACTCAACGTTGGTCTGGTTCTTGGTTGATGCAGGTCTAGCAACTGCCTGGAGGGGTCGGGATCCCTTGCTGGTGCCGCGCGCCTTGAGGCGGGCCTCGAGGCCACGCTGGGGAGCTGCGACGGCAACGCTGGCGAGGATGGCAGTAGCAATTGCAGCAGTGAACTTCATCTTGAAGATTTGGTTGGTAGTGAAACTCGGTGAAGAGGTGACTATGTGTTGGAACTATGGACTTTGATGTCTTGAAGAAGATTGCAGTGGGATGGAGACGAAATGATAAAAACTGCAGATTCAACCCAATACTTATAGGATGGCTCTTAGTTGAGTATCTATCAAGTCGACACTCTTCACGGATGGCATCATTCTTCCTCATACCATCCCAGAGTCAACGCCATTAACACTTTTGCGAGGATGTCACGGCGAAGTGCCTGCTGAGAATGGCGACATCTCGACCACCCATGTTAAGATGCATCGGAGTCCGGTGGTGGATTAACACCACCCTAGTGAAATCCGGAGTGTCGAGAGCATCCGCCGTAAGTAATGTGTGTAAAAAGATCCAAAAAGAAGCACGTCTTACTTGATGCAAATTGCAAGTTAAATCAAGTTGATAACAGCTATCGCACAACGGAGACTCTAAACCGGCCCATCGCTTTTCAACATTCGGCTACATAACGTGAGGGTACTTGTAAGTTAATAGTATCTAAATTGCGGGTTCACACTGATAGTGGCCGTACGGTACGTAAAAGAGAGTTTCGGCCTACCGATGAACAAGCTATGCCCAGGGCTTCGTCCCATCCAGGCACCACTGCTAAGAGTGCCAAGGGATTTGTTAGGACAGCCATGTAAGCGCAGTTAATTAATTTGCTCGGCATCCAGACAGGCAATATCAGCAAGACAGCCCATCAACTCCGCGCAGGGGCCTGAAGATCGAGGTCATGCTTAGTTTGCGTGATTTTAGCTCGGATTACCTGATTTCCCTGCAGAATGCTTGGGCTAACTGCCACCGGAGGCATTCCTTCCTTCCTTAGATACCAGATTGATGATTTCAGTAACTGATATATGATAATTTATTTTCTTGGCGAGACTTAACGAGGTTGGTCTGCGTTGTTTACTATACTCATCAGTTCCGTGCGGTTTGCTGCTTTTCGTATGTGGTGAATGACACAATGGGAAGGCCAGGTTGCGTCATGTACCCTAATATCCAATCCATGTGTCCATCCAGGACAGTCTTTTTTACCTGTTTGCTTCTGTCGTTTCCGTTCCAGTCGTGGTGAACTTAAGTGGACGAGATACTACGGGAACTCCTACCCCATGGACTGGCTTGGCCAGCCCTAGGCACCACTAGGGATGTATCTTGGTTGATCAGGTGCAAATCCAATACAACAGTTCGTTTTCGAGGGAATCTGAATTATTCAGCTTCTGGTATATATTACCAGGGGATCACAGCTATCGTTGCGGGACGGTGTACCACTACTAGAATCGATTCTCAGAGTGCAACAAAAGATATATTTTCGATGCCACACGCACCGGATCGCAGGTTTCAGGCTAAAACTCTATCTACCGACCAGCACATTTGACAGAACACAAAAGAAGGGTACCTGGTACTCCTGCAGCCCTAGACTATGAATATCTAAATAATCAGAAATTAGTAGGCGTAGTATACTTAAGAATATCCCGCAATGGACCACTCAACGATGCCCCCCAGTTATGGTGGTTATTCACCTTCCGCAAGTGTTGTTGTTATCTGGGACAGAAATCTCGGCACCGACTGGACCCACGCCCGGAGACAATCCTACCACTCAGATATCGTTACGAGAGGAGGGGTTCCGGCTGGGTGGGGAAACTGTCTTGTTCGCGTCGTTCAAATGCTCTCTCTCTCTTTAATTGATTAACTGGCTTTTCGAACCCCGCCGCTAGAGTGTGCCGCCAGTTCCGGTTCGGACACCGCGGCCAGGGGTTGGAACTCCAATGCTCCAAAGTCAATGATCTTCACGCTTAGCCTACTGCCACCAGAATGTCGGCCCAAGATGAAGATAGTAATGCGCCTCTTCTTGGAGGAGATCCTGCCTTGGAGTATGGAGGTATCGCGGGAACCTCGTCTAGCAAAGCCCATAATTCCTCGTTTCGGCAGAACTTGGGGACGGCCGAGGCGTTCAGCATCATCATTAGCATCGTAATCGGAAGCGGAATTTTCACCTCCCCTGGCGCCATAGACACCAATGTTCCCTCCCCTGGGGCAGCCCTGGTCGTCTGGTTCGTCGGGGGTATCTTGGCATGGACAGGGGCTGCAACTATGGCTGAGCTCGGGACGGCGATTCCGGGAGAAGGTCCGTACAGATCGCGTTTTCAAGACTCCCTAATGGCTCACTCTTTTCACCGCAGGAGGTGTTCAACCGTACCTTCAGTACATCTATGGTGAGGTGTTTGGCTTCCTTGCCGCCTGGACATGGGTCATCGCGGTGGTGCCGGCATCACTAGCAATCTTGAGCATCGTGTTCGTGGAAAGCATCTACTCGGCGACTGGGGTGACCGATCAACCCAATACCATGACACATAAAATTCTATCCGCTCTTTTGTTGCTCCTCATCAGCATGGCAAACTCGGTCAGCACCCAGTTCAGTACGCGGCTGAATAGATTCTTTGTCACCACCAAGTTTGCCGCTATCTTGGTTACTGTGGTTGCTGGACTGGGCGTCGTCGTCTATCATCTTGGTGGCTGGGATAGAGCGAGTCCATCGGCATCCCAGGACTGGCTGGCCAGAGACTGGTTTGCTGCGCGCAACACAATTGGTTTAGACGGCAGGGAGATAGAATGGCAGAATTTACACGGGTGGGAGACTCTTGGTCATTACTCCGCCGCGCTCTATGGCGCACTATGGGCGTATTCAGGATGGGACAAGGTATGATACGGCCCTTTCACTGCCAAATTAGTTGTTGGAGTATCCTCACCTTGACGGACGATCCATTGCCAGGCAATCTATATCAGCGTCGAACTCTCTGCTCCGGCTCGTCAGCTGCCTCTGGCCATCAACAACGCCATTCCCATTGTCATCCTCAGCTTTATCGCAGTGAATGTTGCGTACTACATTCTTTTACCCTGGAATGTAGTGTCAACAACTGATAGTGTGGCAGTTGTATGGTTCTCTCCTGGGTGTCACTGATAGGAAAAGTGAGCCAGTTTCACCGGCTGACATTTATCGCAGACATCATTCAATCACCTCCTTGGACCTGCATTTGGTGCCACCGTGGCGGGTCTCATCTGTCTAGTGGTAGCAGGATCCTTGCTGGGAAGTTCGTTCGTTGCCGGTCGCATGGTGGTGGCCGCAGCCAATTCGAACTGGTTGCCCTCATTTCTGGGCCGCGTGGGCTCGGTCTCAAGGCAGTCGGCCTCGACAGCAGATGCGCCCATCAATGCGATTCTCTTCTCCACGGGCTGTTCCATCGTATACATCTTCTTCGGGAACTTTCGTGCCCTGGTGACTTTCAATGGTCTGGCGGAGTATACGTTTTTCTTCTTGACCATGGTTGGCGCCATCGTCCTGCGGGTTCGTGAACCACAGCTCCCCCGCCCGTATAAGCCGATGATCTGTATACCCCTTATGTTCGCTCTGGTCAGTGGGTTTGTGGTCACTCGTGGCGCTGTTTTTGCTCCCGTGCAGGCGGTGGTGCTCATTGGATTGTGGTTGATGGGCCTGGGGTTCTACAGCGCGAGGAGGCGATGGGTAGGCAAGAGAGAGGCGGAGAGAGGCTGAGAATGCCTTTCCCGCATTGAGGCCAGAATTGGTCATGATGAAGTAGTGGTGGGTTGAGTTCCGTCGAGCGATTAGCCTGGCTTGCCTGAAAATGCACCGGAGTTCGGCAGCGAATAGCCGACGCACTGGCAAGGACTTCTTGAATACCCTGAGCACCTTCCGTTGCACAGAAGTCGCGACTTCTCTGATCAACGAGAGTAGAGGAACTCGATCCCCCGACAATCACATCACATTAGTCTTTTCAGCCTTTTTACAGCAGTGGATCTTGAGAAGGAACACCGTCACAGTTATCACCTTGGTTTGTGAACAAAAGATTGAACATCTCCCTATACAAATAACATACGAGCGGCGTCATTCAGATTCTATCATCTGTTCACGTCCCGTTCACGAAAATCAGGCATAGTAGGTAAATGGAGCACAAGGAAAATTCCATCGATGGTTTCCCAACCGACCCTGCTATGGATTGGAATGGACCGGGTGATCCAGATAACCCTCGGAACTTCCCACGAGCCAGGCGTTGCATGGGAATTGTCAGTGTGACCCTTCTCGCATTCGTCAGTGCCTTTTCAGGCGCCATCTATGCACCGGCACAGAATGCAGTGATGGAGTCGATGAACTGCAGCTATGAGGTCGCCATGCTCCCGCTCGCCCTATATAATCTGGGACTGGCATTTGGGCCGATTATTGGGGCACCCCTTTCGGAAACCTATGGTCGCAAAGCCGTCTACCTTGTGACTACCCCTATTTTCATGGTGTCAATGATAGGTGGTACCTTGTGCAACACTATATCGGGCCTGATCCTGTGTCGTTTTCTGGCCGCTGTCTTTGGGTCATCGAATATCAGCAATGCCTCGGCGACCATTCTGGACTATACGAGTGACAACGAACGTGGCACCGTCCTCGCCATATATTATGCAGTCCCAACTGTTGCGGCGACGCTGGCCCCTCTTGTTGGAGGGTTTATCATGATCCGTATCGGAGAGTGGAGGTGGACACAATGGGTACCGATAATTCTCGCGGCAGCTTTCTATTGCCTGTTGATCTTCACCAAGGAGACCTACAAAGCAGTTATCTTACGACGGCGGGCGATGCAACTAGGCTTGATGGGCACACACCGTGGGACGACGATTGGGGGTAGTCTCCGACATCTCTTTATCGTTCTATTCCAGAGGCCTATTCATATGCTCCTAACCGAACCTATCGTGACATGCATCAGCCTCTATAACGGATTTCTCTTTGGTTTGTTGTATGCATTCGTGATTTCCATTCCTTGGGTTTTTGAAAAGTATTATGGGTTTGATCCGCAGGCCCGTGCGCTCTCGTATCTCGGTGTGACTGTGGGCAACATCGCTGCCTGTATACCCCATGCTCTAATAGACAAGTACTTCTTCCTGCCGCGGCTGCAGTCGTGGAAACAAGTCCACGAGCCGAGCCTCAGAATGCCTCCAGAGGCCCGTCTTGTATCAGCGTTGGGCGGCGGCTTGCTCCTTCCACCGTCATTGCTCATCCTCAGTTGGACTGCCAACTTTCAGGTCCACTGGACTGTACCCATCATATTCCAAGGTTTCTCGATGTTTTCGTGTTTGCTTGTGTATTCGGGGACAAACCTCTTCATGCTGGATACTTACGGGCCGCTCTATGGTGCATCCGCCTCAGGGGCAATGATGTTCAGTAGATACATCCTCAGCTGTGCGTTCCCACTGTTCACTCTTCAGATGTTTGATGGCCTTGGTGTTGGCTGGGCAACCACTCTGTTGGCTGCTTTAACGCTTCTGATGGCTCCCATTCCTTGGATCTTGTGGATTTATGGACCGCGGATTAGGAAGGCGAGCAGGTATGAGACTACCATATGAGATACATCATTCGATTCGAAGCATCAACTAGCTACCCAGCCTGTCTTGGCAAAGAAGGTCTCTGGAACCGCTAGTCAATCAGATCTGATCTAGTATCATAAGAGAGACCCGATAATATGAAAACTTTGACTCAGTCCATAAGCGAAATTAGATATAGATATTCACTAAGACACAAAAGCGACATACTCACGGGCCAGTTGGCTGCTTCTATGCGTAGGATGTTAGCCTGATGAAATGTAAAACTACTACTGCATTACTCTACTGGCCCATATAGAGACTGTTATGAGCTCGGTCATCAGCTATTGCGATAATGTATGGATCATACACTTCAAGGTACGTCTGAAATTTACTGACCTACCAGGGCACCTATGGCATAAACACTGTAGGTGTACTATTAGTGAGAACATGAAGTAGAATGGAAGATTGAGAGTCTAATCAGCTAATGCGGTCTTTAGATGGAGCTCACGCAATGGCCGAGTTCGGCATTAGAAGCATGCGCAGCTTGGAAAATACCAGACATAACCCCACATGGTCAGGAAGTCACAATTTATGCTTCTTTTGTCCTTCCACCAGCGCCTGAACGTGTTGCTCGGGCACGCCTGTTGCGACCATATCCAGTCCCGCAAAAACTTCGAGGCAGTTTTGTTGGACATTTATCATTCTCTCTGGTTTACGGATCAAGTTCTTAATGCCTACAACACAAGACCTTGCTGCAAGTGAATCAAATCGCCTATGCACTTCATCAAGTACTTGCTTCAGAAAACCGACCGAGTCGTCTGGCTTCCCCGAAGGAGAAGTCACCACTCCATTGACGAAGCCACAGGCAACCAGTTCCTCGCAGGAAATCCGCTTGCTCATGATCAAAGCCTCGTTTGCCTTGGACAAACCAAGGCGCTGCACAAAAGAACGAGAAGCCGCACCTTCCGCTGCAACACCGAGCGATGAAAATGGTGTGAGGAGGAAGGTATGCGGTGCTGCATAGATGAAGTCTGCTTGCGCAATGAGCGCGGCCGGAAACCCCACGACGGGCCCATTCAGTGCCACGATCAGGATCTTTGAAAAGTTGACAAGGGTATGAGTGAGGTCCAAGTTGTTAAACAAAGTGCCACTCATGTTGCGCCGCATATCTGTTCCGTAAGGTCTGTTTCGGAAGGCAGAGCCGACATCTGTACCGCTATTTAAACAATGGATAAATTTATTAGCTATGTGGACATAACCAAAGGCCCTGTTAATCTCACGCTGAAAAGTATCGCCCTGTGCCGGTGAGGACCGTAATGGTAACGTCGGGTGTTTTCTCAAGGTGGCGGAAAATTTTACCAAGTTGATCATAATTGTCCTGATCCAGTGCGTTAAGCTTATCAGGACGGTTGAGAGTTACAACGGCGATATGGCCTTGGAGACGGACTATTATGGGACTGTGGCTATCCATACTGCACGTTAGGTCTTTGTGGTTCCTTCCCTTGTGGGAAATACTAACCAGGTCTCAGCGTGATATTTATTTAAAGAAAGCTGCGGTCTCGCCACTGGGCCCCCTTGCAGCCTGCGTACGCATGCATGTGCCCGTTTGGGCCACATGCGTGTTGAAAGTCGTCATTCGCGCAAGGCTGATGAAAGAGACTGTTGCCAGGTCACAGCTTCCATATCTTCCATAATGTACACAAATCGGGATAGCCACGGAAAGCTACACGTTACAGGTTGGACTTGACCCGATGTCCCCTTCGAATATGAGCTTTCCAGTCTTTGTCAATGGTCATTTGGTCGGAAACATGCAATTTACCCCACCCATCGTGGAGGGTCTGCTCCTCTCTATACCAGCGCCTTGATTCGCAAGCTAACCAACGAGAGATTTCCTCTGCGCATCCATCGACTGCCTCGAACGGAACCTGGTGTGAGAACCCTTGCATGACGACTTCACGCACGCGACCAGCTGCAGCCCCGCCACTTCCCCCAGTAGCAATACCCGTAGTCCGGAGCTTGTCACTTCTTAACTCTGGAAGGCTCATATGGGACTCACTGCCAAAGATGTAAAGAACACTCGGTCGTAAGTATGGCAACCGAGGGAAAAGCTCAGTTATCTCTGGACGATAAAATGGTAACGATGTGAGGGCCTCAGGATCGAGATCTGGGTGCGTGAGGCGGTTTCTAGGATCACCTACGCCTACGTCGGGGGCAGGGAGGTTGTGATAAGGTCGGGCAAAGGAGGCCAGCTCCTGCACTAGCGGAGTGGTGAGTCTCACTAATGTCGTCTTATTAGGCCGACCATTCTCGTCACTGATTTCGGATTTTGCTAGGACATCGCGCAAGCCGTACTTCACAAAATGTGCGAAGACGCGCCGATCTCAGGCCTGGTAGAAGGGTTTTCGTTTGAGTGATTCAGTCGCTGCAGGTCTGGATGGCCAAGCTTCCCGTCTGTAAACAGAGAACTGTAGGTGTGGCCGCATCACCATATCGGTTCTGTACATTGATGTGTTGCCGAGATGAGTAATTGGACGTACTATCGGTGCCTCGAAGAGAACCATAGCATGAAACAGCCTTGGATGCATGAGACTAAGGTGAACTCTGCGAAGTAAGGTATCAGCCTGCTACTTTGGATGGGCGCTGGGGTAGGAAACAAACACGGAAAGACATCCAGCACTATGCCCAATAGCAACGATTGGGCGTGGCATGTCATCTCGTTTGACATTGATCAAATGGAGAAGATCCCGACTATGATCAAAAAATGGCTTGCTGGGGGATCACCATCTGTTAGACTGCTATCTCTTGAAACTACGGTAGATCGTCTGGTAAGCTCACGGTCAATTCCAAGACGGCCTCCATTGATGATGTTGCTCTCCGCCTGATGTGCCGGATCTGCAGCCCAGATACTACGAATCTTGAGCCCTTCTTTCCCATAGCGCATCAATAATTCCTCACACACTGGCTCGTAAAGCTCCTACGTCGCAGTTAGCGACTAAAAAGACATCAGGATGTGGCAATGGTGGTCATACCTTTCCAAAGCCACCGCCAGGGGCGACGATAATTGTTGCATCTCCTGGACGGGGATTGATGTTGCTAAGGGGAATGTACTGTTTTACAGCCAAATAGAGAACACTCTCTTGTGTTATTGTGGTCGCCGCGGGATACTCTCGAACATGTTGACAAGGAACCCTGTGTTCGACTATCTTCCAAGGACTGGATGGAGACATGGCAGCTAGTAAAGGTATAGAAAGGGTGGCAAAGGCTAGATTTCTGAAGGGGAATGAGCGAAGTTATGGCGATTGTGGCAGGTTATTCCGCGCAAATTTCGTCTTCCTCAGGACGCTCAAGTAGACATGAATGAGAGCCATCTCTACCAAGCAAGAGAATCTATACCAAGCAAGAGAAGAAGGAGTGTAGCATACTGCGAGGTATTCATAGGCATTGCAACAAAAAGAACAAATATATTTGTGTCACGATGCAGTATTATCGATTTGCGGAAGCTAGGTGTCACCTTGCATAGGACGAGTGAGTTTGTTACACCGACATCACGGTCCATCCCCTTGCACTTCAAGCAAGGCTAGACTCAAAGACCACGAAGGATCGAAAATGACCTTCACAAACTTCCAAACTTAGATTTAAGCTTTGCTTTCCTCACTAATTCCCAGGCAGCGTCCGCGGATGGCTCTACTTTCAGGGCATATTTTACCGAGTCCGGACTGCTTGTCTGCCGCTCGGCATGCCTGGCGGCTATGCTCTGCAAGATAACAGTGGTTCTGAATGCGAAAAATGCATCTCCCCACCAGAGATCTGGTTCGGGGTCCCAGCCTGCAGTCTTGACATACCACTGTAAGCACTGTGCGCGACTAGGCAATCCTGCAACCTTCCCAGAACGAAACATTGCCACGTCCTGGTTCAGGCCATCCCAGAAATAGGGATGCGTGAGGTTGCAAAAATCTGAAAGGGGATGGCCCATGGTCGCCATTTCCCAGTCAAGGACCCCAATTACCCGTGATTCAGTGGGATGGAAGATCAAGTTATCGATCTTGTAGTCACCATGCACTATGGTATGCCGATCCTTGGGTCGAGGCTCATGACGACAGAAAAAGTCGACCATTTCGGTGTAATGCGGTAACTCTCCAACAGGGACCTTGGTCAAAGGATCTTCCACCTTTGCTTGTGCACGGGATAGATATGTAAACGTCGACAGCTGACGGTCATAGTAGCCTCCTTGCTTACCAAAACTCTGCAGCCCAACTGAATGGTAATTGGTGGTATGAATCTTGCCTAACACTCGTACAGCATCTCTCCACCTGATGATCCCAAGTCAGACAGGAATAAAGACCAATGAAGGCATATCAGAAGGGAACTTACAAGGCTGTCCTCTCGGTGGGACTCACCCCAGGCATAGAGAAATCGGTGAAGATCCGACCATCCAGAAACTCCATAACGTAGAATGGGGTTCCGAGAACATCATCTTTTTCGTACAAACAGTAGGTCTTTGGGACTGGGACTTCAGTCCCCTGGAATGCAGAGAGTGCTCTATATTCCCGCTCGATTTGATGGACCGTCCTGGAGAGGAGCTTTCCAGGCGGTTTCTTTCGCAGGACATACGCTATTCCACCGGAGTCCGTAATCTTATAGGTTGGATTGGATTGTCCCACTTGAAACTGTCACGTAATGGTAATAAGCTTCCATGCACTGTAGAAATGAGACTAGGATAGCTCAACTTGTTGCACGTGGAAAGGAGGTCGGATCTGAGGCAATGCCTGAGTAAGGAATTTCTCAAGGGCATGAATGTCGATGGGCTGTCCTGCTTGGTCAGCCATCTTGTGGAATCAGTCCCCAAGTAAGCGCTACAGCAGCCGGATATTTCGACAACTTGACCATTAGACAGAAGCTTCTAATACAACCTTTATATGCCGGTTGCGGCAGAACTACCATTCGAATGAGAACAGAAAAGACCAGAAACGCTGACAAAGCGCAAACAACCATGGTTTGCATATGCATCTTATTCACGGCCAAAACGAAATTTCGTTTGAGGTTTAGACCTACTTTATGGGGAAGGACCAACATGAACTTGACCACATTGAGATTTTGAACGTTAAACTTTCCGAATCCCTGCAAGAGTGGTCATACAGCGCCAACTATTTACTCCACTTCGGTGAACCTAAGCCGAAAATCAAGGGGTGGGGTGGAGGCAAACAATCCTGAAGGATGTGGAACCTTATCATCTTCAGTCTCAACGTAGAAACGTTCAGTAATCAGCGCTATTTGTCGTTTGATTTGCGCCATCGCCAAGTGCCTTCCAACACAACTGCGCGTTCCGTATCCAAAGGAGAGCATACATGCAGTACTAGGAGCACCTCCCGTGGGTACCTGTGTGGGATTATGTGGATCGGAGCGGTCAATCCACCGTTCAAAGTTGAACTCCTCCGCATCATCTCCCCAAAGTTCACGACTACAGTTGATTGCCTTCGGACAGATACCGATGTGCGTCCCGCGGGGAATCCAGCGGCCTTTGATAGTAGTGTCGCGAATGGCCCTGCGAAGCAGTAGCCCGAAAGAGGGAAAAAGGCGCAGTGACTCCATGACCACCGCATTGAGGACTGGAAGCCGTTCGTACTCGTCTTCGTCAAGCTCCATCCTGCCACGCTTGGCGTTGCGTAACTCTTTGCGCACAGATTGCTGAGCATCTTGGTTGGCCGCGAGACAGTAAATGACAAAGGAGAGCGAACCCCCGGAGCTTTCGAAACTATTTTCTTTCAGTCAACTTGGATCATGTTTTCTCATATCGGAATACCTTACCCTGCAGCAATGATAGTTCTTAGTTGATCTATGTATTCATCGTGATTGAAAGGACCCGACTGTTCCAAATTGGACAGGTAAGTGAGATGGTCTCCTGTTCTTTCATTCTTCGCCAGCTTTCCTTGCATCATGTTGACGACGCTTTCAACAAGGAGGATCCTTGCTTTATCCATGTCCTTTTCTTCCGTGGAAGGGACTAATTGATCTAACCAGCCTGGCAATAGGTTGTGTAAGATAAATCGTATCTTCTTCTGACGGTTGCTGGCGAACAAGGTTTTGAAGGCCTGCAATATATGTGTGTTCCGGCCTTTAACAGAGTCCAGGTCAATGCCAAGTGCAAGAATGCTTCCAGTGTCCATTGTAGCTCTGAATACAACGTCCGTGACGGGAACAACAGCTGTCCCTTTCCCTTCGCTGCTTCTCTGGCCTTCACCAGACATCTTGAGTAGTGAGGAAATATATTCATTGAACTGCCTCGATTTGGCGGTCAGCAGAGGGCGAACAATGTTGATGTTCGTTTGATTGAAAACGGGCATGAAGGTCTTCCGGTTTCTATTGTGCACCTCCTGTTCCTGAGTGACAAGGCTATCTCCAAAGAATCGGACCGAGTATCGCCGGAAGGCACGGGACTTCTCAAAGTCGTAAGAGCGAGTTGACAGCACCTCAACTAACCCCTCGTGGTCCGTAGGGACTATATACTCAGAGCCGAACAAGCCAAAGAAATGCATGAGTCCGCCTGGGTAGGCTCTTTCATTGATCCAAGCTGTCACATTTTTCGCTAGCGGTTCATCGAAAACATCGAACACGCGGTCGTAGAGCCAATTTACCGACTGCAGCGGTTAGCATCAGCCGGAGAGAAGATGAGGGAGGCAGTATTGGCTCGGACCTGTGGACCAGGAAGATCATTGAATGTGCTACGATGTCTTTTCAGTATAGTCGTCGCACACACTGTCAAAGGCAAGGAGGTCGACCACGAGACAATAACAGCACCAATAAGTAACAACGGATCGCGGGGGAAAATACCCAGGTACCGCATGAGGGCATATAAACAAGTGCACCACGCGTAGTAGATTGCCTTGACGTTAATCTCGTGCTTAGCCATCCCGTCAGTAAATGATGAAATGGCAGACCTGAGCTCTTGAATCACTCAGTTACTTCTAAAAACTACGCTGGGAAGAGGAGTCCTTCTTATAGATACAGGGTCATGTTTGGCGCGACAGCAAATCTTATAAAGTTGGCGTAGGTTTCACAAGCCTGGCTCACAATGTAGTTTCTTTGGCAAGATACTGAAAGTGGATTGAGTTACCGAACAACAGTTACTCCCATCTAAGTGCTTCATGCCGAAGACATGAACCTGGGCCTGTGCATAGTCTCCCATTGCCTCCGTCAGCAGGTGAAAGGCATTGCGTTGACGTAGAGCGGCGGGCCACCGCATCCGTATAGCACTTAACCGAGTAGACGCAGATTTCCTGTATTCGATTATGCCTAACTGCCTCTTCTCATTACTTGCATCTCCTTGCTTCACTCTCCTTTCTTCATTCGCCTAAATGAGTCGACCTCCCACCCATTCCTACTTTGAAGGCTTCCACGATGATGGGTATATAATGGCAAGGTATGATGTAATACTTGTCTATACCTGGCCCGCTGCTTCTATCCGCGCGCTCATTGTGAACATCCGGGTAGAGGTTGAATCAGCCTTAAAAGAACTCATCTAAATTGTACAAGTATTGCTCATGAAAAATGTTGTATTCTTTTTGTCGTTATGTTGGAGTATACATGACGGATTTTGAATGTATTTTTCTATCTTTCCTCATCATAGCTCGGATGATATCGTCTCGTTGCATTAACCCATAATATGTCGAGGGCGATGCACCTAGCCTAAATGGCACTTCTATGCAACGGTTTTCCCATCACCATGGGATATCCTGAAAATTGCACATCCTAAAACCATACAGACTACTCTGACCATGAGCGTTGATACAGTCACCAGTCATCTTCGGTATGATGTAGGTGTCCTAATGTAGAAATCTTGATATGAAATGGAGTGCATGAACACTAAAATCTCGCCTCGGCTCTCGCCCCATATCTGTACGTGTGGAGGCGCTAAGCCTGGCATAAAATCAGGGAAATAGAAACCTAAGGTCCGCTTTAGCTTTGGGGCAGGCCGGCTGGGTCAAAGCCGCGTGAATGGTAGCATGGATGGCTGTTTTGAAAAGAAGTATGTCTAGTGGCGAGTCCAACAACTGCAGCGTCGGTCGCGAGAATGACACCCAACTCGGGAAGATCAAGTTGCTGGGGCATGAACCGGTGAGTGTAGTAGCATTCCAACAATAAGCCGCCCAGTGCGTATGCTTTGCTACTTGAACGGTCCCCAGCTATGGGAAGATGTAGTAGGCTGGGCTAGTAGTGGTTGCGATGGGGCAACTGGGACTCGGCTGCGTGGACAGGACTAGTACATATTTGGTGTCGCTTTTATTCGAGGTGGGAGGAGATTTCATGGGCATTTCAACAAGCCTGATAGATCACAGAGGATCGTGTTCCGGACTGGCTTATATTACAGGTTCCGAAATAGTGGGTTACTTGAATTGCTCACTCTTCCGCGGTTTCTGTGAAGAGTGGGTCGGTTGGCAAGTGTTGGGATGTCCGACAGGGGCGAAAGGTCCTATCATTCGGGATGAGACTCGGGTCACTGAGATCCAACACCGCGCTTGCAGTCTCGAGCAACGTATAGCGTGAATTAGTTCAAAGATAGAATCGTAGATATGTTAAATTTCGTGGCATACCGCTTCCCCGTGGGGACGGAAGCAAAATCAGGGTACTTCATTGCATTGGGTTGTAAATAAATGAACTAATCTTTGGACTGACCTCTGTTGGCCTCGGAAAGCAAACACGGCAATTGAAGCGAGAGCCCGCCCACCTCAACCCGAATACTCTCCACCTACGCTAATTCACGCTACGAACTGCCAAGAATAGAGAGGTAATATTGGAAAACACTAGCTAGATCGTTCATGTTCATGGTCGAGATCGCACGGTCTCGGGGGATATTGACGCGAGACACTCGCAGCGTGTCTCGGACGTTCACAGACAAATCTCGTCACTTCCCCCCAACAATTGTGGTATCCCACAGCGGAAAGGGGAGCAACAGCGTCACTTAGCCTCTAACTCCATTGCCACCGTTGAAGCCAAAAATGCAAGTTCTGCGATGTGGAATCCACGGCTTTCATGAAGTGCTAGGCATTGATGTGGACGAGATTCGCTTTTATTGGACGATTGAATCCGATGATAAGCATGCCTCACAACTTGCCTACCGGGTGGTGCTGAGCACCGATGAGGCCGCTGTGCAAGGAGAGGCGATCGTTGAGTCGAAGCTGGCCTGGGATTCAGGTCGGGTGATGAGCAATGAGCAACGTAACATCATCTGCAAGCCCGATAATGGCTTCCAGTCGACTTGCAGCTATTACTGGCGAGTGACCCTCTGGGATCAGTCAGAGCGACCGCATCATAGCGCCGTCAATCACTTCTTCACAGCCTACCCCCGATCCCACCTGCTGCCTCCCTATAGCATGAATCAGACCTACATGCCGCATACCAGTCTCATTTTTCGCTCCTGGTTCGAGGACGAGTCGAACCGATGGAAAGCCGTGTGGATCGGTGACGGCGGCGACAAACCAATTTACCTTCGCAAGGCCTTCGATTTGGCCCAGCCGCCAGCCCGTGCCATTATGTTTGCCTCCGGCCTTGGACACTTCAACATGACTGTCAATGGCTCCCCAGCGTCAGACCACCGGCTGGACCCCGGTTGGACCAACTACCATCGTCGGGTGCAATTCACAGCCTACGATGTGACGGCCCAGCTGCAGACAGGCGCCAATGTGCTGGGCGCTCACCTCGGCAATGGTTTCTACGCGGGCGACAAGGGGGAAGATCGCTTTTTCTGGCCAATGTACGAAGACAACACTTATGTCCGCTATGGCAACGAGCTCTGCTTTTTCAGTGAACTGCATCTCTTCTACCCCGACGGCTCACACACGACGATGATTTCGGATCCGTCCTGGCGTGTCCGCAAAAGCGCAACTAGCCTCGCCAATATCTATGCCTCCGAGAACCACGATCGACGACAGTATCCAACGGGTTGGGACACACCCGACTTTGATGATGCAGACTGGGCCCTCGCAAAGCCGCTGACTGGCCCCCGTGGTCATATCTACTACCAAACTCAGCCACCTGTGGTGTTGCACGAGACTTTCCAACCGGTCAAGATAACAGAGCCGCGTCCTGGTATGGTATGCTATGATCTGGGGCAGAACGCCTCAACGATGGTGCGCGTGGAGGTTGAGGGACCGAGAGGATCGGAGATCATTGTCCGTTATAGCGAAACGATCCAAGAAGACGGCACAGTGTTGATGCCAGATCCCTTGTTCAAGGAATTTGAGACTGGTGTCTTCTCTCGCATTCACCTGGCCGGCACGGGCGCCCCTGAAATCTGGGAGCCCGACTTCAGTTTCACAAGTGCACGGTATATCCAAGTAGAAGGAGTCTCCTTGGACGGCAGTGACGGCCGCCCAGTCATTCGATCAGTTGTGGGACGCCATATCTCATCAGCTGCCCGCCGCCTGGGCACGATGCAGACCGACAAAGAAGATGTGAATCAATTGCTAAGCGCTCTATCCTGGACCTTCAGCAGCAATCTATTCAGTTATCATACCGACTGTCCCCAGATTGAAAAGTTTGGCTGGCTGGAGGTCACTCATCTGCTGGCACCGGCGACACAATACGTTCGCGACATGGAAGCTCTATACACCAAGATCCTGGATGATATTCTGGACGCCCAGGAGCCCAGTGGGCTGGTCCCGACCATGGCGCCTGAGATCCGATACATGTGCGGCCCGCTGCATGATACCATAACCTGGGGCTGTGCCGTGTGTCTTCTGCCCGACATCTTGAGGGAGTACTACGGTTCGACTCATGTAATCGCCAAGGTGTTCCCCGCGGCGGTGCGATACATGGAGTACATGCGCACCAAAGAGCGCCGAGGGGGCTTAATTGAACACGGACTTGGGGATTGGGGCCGTGGGATTGCCTTTGGTAATAACCAGGCTAATATCGAGACCGCTATCTACTACCGGTGCCTACAGTGCGTGGCTATGATGGCTCGCGAGTTGGGTGAAATGCAGAAGGCGAAAGAATTCGAACAGTGGGCCGCTCGGATCTACGCCGTGTACAACTGTCACTTGCTAGTCACCGATGACGCATCTCGACCCTACGCCTACTACACCTCATTAGACAACTACCCAGCACGCGACCGGGATGCAATCGCCCAGGCCATGGCTTTGCAATTTGGACTGGTTCCAGAACAGCATCGCAAGGACGTGATGGCTGCCTTCTTGGATGATGTAGCGGATGGTCGCATACGTGCCGGAGAGATAGGGCTACGTTTCCTCTTCAATACCCTGGCCGATGCGAAGCGACCGGATTTGGTGTTGCAGATGGCCCGTCAGGAAGAGCACCCGTCCTACATGCGGTTTTTGCGGCGTGGAGAAACAACTCTGTTGGAGTTTTGGCAAGACGAGTGCCGTAGCAAATGTCATGACATGCTGGGGACTATCTATGAATGGTTCTATGCGGCGGTCTTGGGTTTGAAGCCTACAGGACCGGCATATCGTACGTTTGTGGTAGACCCGCCTTATAACGCCGAATTCAAGCATGTCAAGGGAAGCGTGGATTGCCCCTATGGAACTATTGCCGTTGAGTTTACGCGCAACGAGCAGGGTCAGGCGGTTGTGAATGTGCGTGTGCCCTTTGGCACTACTGCCATTGTGAAGCTTCCCCGCAGCGGCAAGTCTTCGGCATATTGTCGGGAAGGAGAGGAGAGTCGGGCAGTGGACGGGGGGGAGGTCAGCCTGAGCCACGGCGTGTACTCCATTATTGAAGGATAGTGATAATTAAAGCCCAAACTGGTTTAGGCAGCGTGACCAAACTCTAGAATGGCCTGATCGTGCCGATACACTGTTCTCCGCGTACTGTGTCGGTAGGATGGTGACCGAGCCAGCCTCATCAAACGTTCGGAGACAAGGGTAAATGGAATCAAGTCGGAAGGTTTCCGGGAATGCCTAGCATTTGTAGCTATTCTTCTGTTTCTCTTAATCTAATGGGGCTCGGGATATCCGAGGTCCATGGTTGTTTTGTCTGTGGCCTTGGCTAGCGGCTTAACCCGGTTCGAACTGGCGCGCCGCGCTTAGGGCTCACCACCCCGGATGGATCAGGAGTTCATGCGCTTGGCAAGATGGGAACAAGCTGATCTGGCTCAACTTCGGCAACGATATGGTCCTTACAATGGCACCCCCGGGACGATTTCGGGTCAGTGTCTCCCGAAGCCGTCTCCACGTTTACCCCAGGATCAGTGACTTCGGTTCGACGCGGCGGCAATGGAGCCAAGCTACAGCCCATACACCGACCCCAGCTTGTGGTTGGGGTTTACTGGAGATACCCACCAAGTCAGTAAGGCACCAGTTTACCATGTCCTAGCCTCACGGCTCGTATATAGCTGGAGGCTGCTACCTAGCTTTCTCATTACGGTTTTGGCACTTAGCAGAGCAGGCATCCGACATTCCAGCCAAAATGGCCAAACTATCAACATTACTCTCCGCTGTCTTCTTGGCCATTGGAGGTAGACATATTTTCTCCTATTTCCTCTTGGACTCACAGGTGAAAACTCATTAATAACTCCGGCGACGACGAATAGGCTTTCTTTTCGGATATGACAGTGGTATCATCACCTCGACGATCGGCCAAACCGAGTTCATCCGATACTTTAACAACCCGAACGACACGGTGACGGGGGGTGTAGTATCCGCCTTCCAAGGCGGTGCCATTCTCGGAACCATCATCAACATCTTCACTGGTGATCGACTGGGACGGAAAATGTCCGTCTTTGTCGGTGCCTGCATCTCCATTGTGGGCTGCGCGCTGCAAGGCGGGGCGATCAACATGACCATGCTCATCATCGGTCGGTTCATTGCGGGTGTAGCTGTGGGCATGCTGACCGCCACCGTGCCCATGTACGCCGGTGAGATGGCCGAAGCCGCATCCCGCGGAATGATGTCGGGTCTACTGCAGTGGATGTTGAGTTGGGGGTCTTTAGTTGCGCAGTGGTTGGGATATGGATGTTCCTTCAATAGTACCGATTTTCAATGTGCATCTCCCCTTATTATGGCTTCTTTATGCTGCATGTGTACGAAGTGTCTAACCTACATCCACAGGGCGCTTTCCACTTGCGTTTCAATGCGTCCCTGGTCTTGTTCTCATGACCGGTGTCTGGTTTCTCCAGGAATCCCCCCGTTGGTTGATGGAACAAGACCGCCACGAGGAGGCGTTGGCTACACTACACCACCTGCATGGCGACGGCACTCCAGAAAAGTCGCAGTACATCGAGCTGGAGTATCAAGAGATCCGGGACACCATCGAGGCGGAGCGCGCACACAACACCATTACTTGGACCTCCATCCTCACCAAACCTTCCTGGCGTCGTCGCCTGATCCTCGGCTGCGGTGTGCAGGCCTTTGGCCCATTGTCAGGAATCAACGTCATAAACTACTATGGGACGCGCATCTACAGCTCATTGGGCATCGACACGCGCACCACCCTGATGATCATCGGTATCTCAGGCGGCCTGTCCATCATCTATTGCACCGTCGGACTCTGGGCTCTCGAGCGGGTGGGTCGGATCCGTCCGCTAATCGTGTCAGCGGCGGGCATGGCAGCAGCACTGGTGTGCAATGCAGCCATGTCCCAGCATTATAATGAAAGTAACACTAATCAGCTACGGGCAATGGTCGCAATGAACTTCGTCTTCAGCCTGTTCTATACATCGCCAGGTATCATCTCCTGGGTCTACCCCGCGGAGATCTTCCCCGTGGATATTCGAAACCAAGGCAATTCCATCACCACTTTTACTAATTGGACCGTCAATCTGGTCTTCGCACAGTTCTCGCCTACAGCCCTGTCCAACATTGGCTTCCGTTACTTTTACGTCTTCTTCGTCTTCAACCTCATTGCTATGATCTGCTATATCTTCTTCTTCCCGGAGACCAAGGGCAAGACCCTCGAACAGATGGACGAGCTGTTCGGGGACGTGATGACTCCTCCTGGAGACCTAAAGGGGAAGGATGAGCCCCAAGTAACAATGATTGAAGACGCTATGAATGTTTCATCCTAAGCCATGGTACGTTGTTTCCCATTGGCTGTTGGAATAGGGGGGTATGCTTTCAGTAACTATGTGAGACGCTTGGCAAACACTTGCTTTTCGAGTTTTGGGGTTTGAACAGATCTGTCACCGTGTCGTCATATACATAGTCTCCAGCTCTCCTGTGTGTGCGGAATCTTCCATGGGCTCTTATTGACGAGAAACTCGAGGGTAAGGGAGTGAACCTGTGGTGTGGTCAACCTCCCTATAACACCTCGAAGATAGTCGGACCTGGGTGACTTGATGCGATTACACCATCCCGAGTAGTTTCATCAGCAGGCTCGAGTGCATGCTGTGTTGCAACGTGTAACGAGAGAACACCACTAGCTGCCAAATGCAATTCATAGCCTATCCAGTGATGCCACGTAGAGTCGCATTAACATTTATGTAATCTTGTTTAAGACCAAGTGATAAGAACACACATTTTCATATAGGCTTGACCGGAGTAAGATTGCTCCGTTTGCTTGCAGACTCTAATAAAGGTGCTTTTATGATTCATTCGACCCTGTCTAGTGATTGTACTCTATGTCCCAAGCTCTGTTCACAGTGATGCCTTCCTTGTCACATGTGGCTTCTTTCTTGAGGGCTGATAACGGGATCGCGATGGTCGTTTTAGTATGTGGGTTTTCCATTGTCGAGAAACGGTGAGGTCCTTCCTCGGTATGACTACTCAGAGTAGAAAAGGGCTGCGTGTCCTCGTTATCGTAGGAGCTCGACTTAAGTATTTTTGTAGCCCATGATGACGCCTGTGCACGTTTCTGTGGCGTAGCCCAAGACGGTGGGTCGGCCGATTGGTTGGTGGCTTGAGAACCAAAAAGCTTTCGTCGACCTGCGACCCATACGGGTCGCAACGTTGGGAGGCAAGCTTTGATACAGTCACTACCACGTGTCATTAAGTTTACCAAGGACAGCACGTACCTGAGACGATTGCCAAATCAGCCTCGATGTTAGCCCAAATGGCTTGATTTACCCAGTTCCAACTGACGTCCGCATCAGTACCTTGAGTCATCACTGAAACGAGTCGCATTATCGAGGCGATACACACACTGTTCGGTCAGTTTGCTAATGGCAAGAATCTGAAGGCGAGGCCGACTTACAAACTGCTTAAAAGAAACATCGACATAATAGCCTTCTTATGGCTTTTCGAGGTATTGAGTTTCATGATATAAGGTATAGGGAGTGCGAGAAGCGTAACATCGATGATGATATTTGGGATTGAGATGGCAAACAGGAATTTTTGGCTGTCAACATTGCAAGATGCATCAACAGATTGATCCCATAATCCTCGAGTAGGTATACATTGCAGCAGGGTGAGCAAAAACTGAAAGTGTCAGAGAAAGTTCTCTTCTCGAGGGCAGAACAACAACACTTACTACAGCGATACCCCACATGCAGACCAGTGTGGAAATAAGGCTAATGGGAATCTTTATGTTCGCTCTGTTGAATAGACGCCAGTACAAGGCCAGGATGGAGAACTTGACAAGGACAATGACTCCCGTGTAAGTGAGTTCACAAGAGAATAGCCCGATATATGCGTTCTCCGTAGCATTGGGTCCGAATGTTTGAATGTGCCTTCCCAGAGCGCGAGGTATCCCTACATCTGTCAACTTCTGATACTTGTGTAGGATGAAATCGGTCTCGCCTTACACCATAATAACGAAGCCGTCAGACCAGTGCCGCAAGCCTAATCAACAATATTAGGGACCCTCAATTGGGAGCAGAAGCGATAGTACGTACCAAAGAGGCTAAAATCAACCAGTCATCAACCCATATACCTGCAGTGTTTTTCCAGCGGCACCAGAACCGAAGACCAACACAGAGAACAGCGACAAAGAACGGTATTGTTGAAGAAGCATACAAATTAGATTGACGAGACTCAGAAAGGTCCACAGAGGGCATGGATTGAGACATGATAGTCACAGAGAGTTGTGAATTTCTGAGAAGCAAATCAATGTTCATGCAAACAATGTAACTCTATTTGTGGAGACCTAACTGTACGCAGTGCTCACAGTGAGAAGGATCCTTTATAATGGGTACTGCATACTCCAAGTAATATAACAGACATGGCTGAACCAACCGGTGGGCCAATACTTGCCCTTTCCGCCCCTTCAGGTATTGCAACTGGGTGTGGGGCTGAAGAATTGGAAAGGGAAAACTAACAGGGGTTTGATAACGAGTCAGAGTATAGTATGGAAAGCTGTTGCTTTTCCTCATGGTACCTCGGCTCGCGCCCGTCGATGGTTAGCTCTTCACAAATGCAGTAACGGGGGTTGTCTGGATGCTTCTCATTGGGAAGTCCCTGCCCGGGAGACCCTGAGACACCACCATCGCGTCTGCCTACAGTCTGCCTACAAAGCAGCGCACGTCCTACGCTGCCGAGTAGGGAGGGTGGATGTGTGGACAATGCATGGGCTGTGTCCACCTGCCGCTTCTCGCGCCGGTCCGGCCTCCATGCTTATGACCCCCTCATACTCCGTACCGATGGATCCTATCTTCTTAGTCGTCTTATTGGTTTGGTTTAGCCCAGGGTGAATCCCCCATTCAGGAAGAATAGGAAGTGATTCTTGCGTTGCCTCTACGTGCACGGGAAATTTGCCTGCTGTGGATCGCCGATGTACGCACGTCTCGTTTCGCCCTCCGTGCAGTGGATCTACGGGTCTATTAGTATTCCCACAACTTTGACGACCTTGTGATGATGATGGGCATGTCATATTCTCAAACAAGACAAGGTGGCGCAGCTAAGCACTTCCCCGGGGGCCAAAAAGTTTGGTACTTTCTTGTGCAAGGCCCCTTCCGAGGTTTCGGCCCGCCTCAACGGCAATGATCCCCACTATTGGGGCCCGAATTCAGGAATAGCATGGACAACGAAATCCTTGCCGATCGTAAGGTGCATTGTTTTATTTCAGCCCCCAAAGTGCCCAAAACCATCCCTCACTAGCGTGCGGCAAGCTGATGATCCACTGTTTCCTCCCGTAGCGAGTGGCTGATTTTTCACAAACCAACACCTGGGCAGGTTTCTAGTTTGCAGTACGTATGGGGGGTTTTCTTCCCAGCTTGCTGTCTCCTGATGAAAACAGTATATTGTTCCAAGGCTACACGAGAACTTTTGGATGGAGTTGCCCCCAAAACCTAGATAACAATTCAAGCGCTATCAGTTTATTGGTGTTGGTTTAATTGCCCGCCCTCAATCCGTAGACTAAATCAATTGGCCCCTACATTTTGTAATCGGCATCGCACTAAGCCCGTTATAACAGTTGTTGAATTGTTGTTGACTCCACAACCGTCAGTGTGAGATGTGGAGAGGCTCGAAGGGGGCTGTCCTGACCTACCGAGATCGGCATAGCGTAATGTAACGATCATTTGGCCCCCATCCGCAGGTACATGTGCTAATACACGAATTACCACTTACCTGTATGTACTAGCCGTTGCACCCTGACGTGCGGCTGATTATGGATGACCGGTCCTAACGCTCAGCCTACACTACAACTTCGCAGGGATCATACATTAACGTTAATCTTGGCAATTTTAGTTAATCAAACCATGACAAATAGATACCACTAACTAACAGTTCACTAGTTAACTAACTCTGCCAGTCCGCCTTCTTTAGATTACTGCCTGGTAGCAGTCCCGACTTCTCATTCCATTTTCATTTTTTCCTTCTCTTCAATAATATTCACCATAACAACGTCGCAAGCTATTCTAAAGTCAGAACCCATTCCAATATGTCTCCTGCGAACCTCCCGATTATCGTTATCGTTCCAGGTGCCTTTGGCACCCCCCAAGGCTTCGAGAAATTGCTACCGCATCTGACCGAAGCCGGATACGCAACACACCCAGGATCATACCCCAGTTGCAACCCCTCTGATCCGGCCAATGTGTCTTCCCCCCAGGATATCGCTCACTTGCGTGACAATGTGCTACTCCCTCTCTTGAACGAAGAAGGAAAAGATGTCGTCATCATCGCACACTCATACGGGGGTGTTGTGGCAGGTGGCGCAGCAAGAGGACTTGCAAAGGGGACCAGAACAACCCAAGGTCAATCGACTGGCGTGATTGGCCTTATTTACGTGGTGGGCAACATCACACTCGATGGTGAATCTCTGTTCAATGCGGTAGGCGGTGCTTACCCCCCTTTTATCAAAGTCGACAAGGTACGGTCTACCCAGAACAATCGCAGTAATAATGATAGGGTATTAATAATTTTGTCCCCAGCCATCTCAGGGCCTCGCTGTCATCGAACCAGCGATGGACGTTTTGTACAATGACTGCGACCGTTCCCTTCAACCGGAATTGGATAGGCTAATGCAGCCACATGCACTCCGAGCTTTTGAAACTGCCGCCACTGCGCCAGCGTGGGCGGAAAGTGCATTTGACGGTAGGAGAGCATATGTGCGTACTTTGGACGACTGTTGCAACCCTTCATCGTTGCAGGATATGTGGCTGGAGAAGTCCAAGGTTGAATGGGAAGTTGTGGATTTTAAGACCGGACACATGCCTTTTGTGAGCCAGCCTCAGGCTTTGGCGGAGCAGGTTACCAAATTCATTGATGGTTTTATGGCAAAGTAAATAGTTTATACAGAGTCTATCACATGGTGTAGGCTTCACAACACACACCAGTCACGTTTACTCGCTCCATGACTTATTGCCAACTGGCACCATTCCTATGCATACGGCCTGGCCAACATCAATTCAATTCTATCTCTATTCTTATATCTGATTGATGATACTAATTAAGATGCTAGCTATGCAGGTGTCTCACTCTCTGAAGCAAGAATATTGTCTTGAATGCCATCACAACCCTCAAACTCGCGTAAACAAGTGAACGACGCATCCTGAGGCGAAGGCAGGTCGCCGCGGCGCCTAAAATCACTGAACGGAACGGAACGAAAGTAAACATATACACAAAAGGCAGCCTGAAAGGTCTCATGATGATAGTAGTACTAGTAGTAGTAGTAATTACCTAAAGAGTGAATCCCAAACATCTCTAGATGCTTTCGCGTGTTGAGCACAACTGAAAACAGAGGTAGGGAATCATAGCATGTGAGAGTTTTCCTAGTCCAGGTGTGGTAACTTAATTAAAAGAACTCTCCATGCACTCTATGCTCAAAGGCTAGGTTTAGGTAGTGTATGTGACAGACATAGGTATTCCTCGCTTGTACTCCCCTCACTGCTCCGTTCCATCAATTTTCTTCGTGACCCAGACCAGTTTTGGAACCATGATCGAAGCACCATTCAAAGTCTCCATCATCGCGTTGTGCTCTAGCTTCTTGGATGCCTCCGGTGTCTTGAGTGCGTTTTCTGCAAATTCCTTCCATGTGCTCACATATCTATGTGGATGTTAGGTAATAATAGACAGCTAGTGTTGGCCTGATTTATAACTCACACATCACTCCAAAACCGAGCATTTCCGAGTCCGTATTCGTACGTATAAAGCATTGAGCCGGTGAATCCATTTTCATCCATTATTTGCGTAAGGCCATATTTCCAACTGGGGCGGTAGTAAGCTCGCACCAATTCTTTCAACAATTTTCTTCTAGTACACTTACGTGTCATATCCTTTAAGCTGGGAGAAGAGTGCATCAAGGTTTGACGCTGACGTCCCAGGTACCGATTTGATTGAACATCCAATGGTGTCAACCTCGTCCCACTGAAGGTAGCCGCCGGGTCCTTGACGCAATGGGTCGTCAGCCTAGCAATATAATTGGAATTCAGAGACATACTCAATAACTTTTTCAAGTTTGCTAGAATCGGCCTAGGGTCATTATTCTTGACAACGACCGTGATCAGACGAACATGTACAATGTCGAAGTAGCCTATGAACTCATCCGGCACATCTTCAAAAATATTCCAGATATGCATGTGTATATTGGCGGGTAGCCATGGCTTAGGGCCAACTTGGTCCAGGCTGATATCGAAGCCATGTAGATCAACGGACGGTGGTTTTCCACGAGCAAAATCGTGAAGCCAAATACTGAAAATGTCAGATATGAGTACTTCTCGACTAGACAAATTACTGTACCCGTTTCCAGTAGCAATATCAGCGACTCTCAAGTCAGCAGCACGAGTGTCGATATCGGGATGAACCAAGAACCCAAGTAGCTCCTTCCAAAGATAATGCTGTGCCGTAAGTCTAGTTATAATATTAGTGAAGTTACACATTAGCATCATCTTAGGTAAACTAACCGAGTGTTTGCGTTAGAATCGCGCATCAGTGCATAAGGATCCTTAGCTTTCACAGTGGTCCCATTCCAGCTGTTCGCTTTTGGTAGCTGTGGTACAGTGTCATCTTTGGGGATTCTCATTATGAAGATATTATGGTTATGTAGTTGTAGTGAACAATTTAAGTGAGGCTCTGGAATTCGAGGGGTGGCTTTGGAAGGAATTTGCCTGGTTCAGAAGCAAGCTTTTATAATGAATTGAGAATCTTGATGGTAGCAAAAGTACTATTCAATAACGTCTAGCGAGGTACTGGTACCTACTAGCGCCTCCAACAACCTGCTAGGGGTATATTAGGATAATCAACGAATTTACATAGAAGTAACACCAAGTGAGGCCATACAACCTCAAAGACAAGGCAGAATTCAGATAATTGTGGAGCTGTGAACATTCGTACATGTTGTGGATTGGCCTGTTCCACGTATCAATACGTTCAAGCATATACAAGCATGTGAACAGTACAGTGATCCGTACTTGCTATGACCATTTGTCGGTCTTTTCCAACGGTAAAATGGGCCCTTATGGAGCACACTTCTTAGCGAAGGAACGATATGATTTGGCTCCATTCTTGGTTACGGGTCGTTACACATGGCCCCCACTGTCAGGTTGGATATTTGGCCCTGTGCTTATTATGGAACGTTATAGACGGCCCCCATAGTTAGGTTGCATACTTGGCCCACTCTTTGTCATGGGACGGCATAAATGGCCCCCATGGTTAAGACGGCACTTTGGCCCTATCGAACAATACCTTCCCAAGTTCCTTTATTAGGGGAATGGCTGCTTTTTATATGCAGAAGGAGACGCCAGCATCAAGTGCAGAGGTACTAACAATATATATATTAACCGGGAATTCCTCTACCAATGAGCATCTGCTCTTCTGGGGAATCTAGAGGGCGAAATCTTAGAACAGCCATTGACTGCATCGCTTGTACTGTCAGCCCCGGCATCCTCGGCAATGACAGCGACTGGAAGTGATACTAGTGCGTGTAATATATTTACCTTAAGTGGGCCACTAGACCCACTGATGATCTTTTCGCCAAGTATCAGACGAGGAGTGGCCAGTGACAGCGGCTACTGCCGGAAAGGAGGGGAAGAGACACATTCGCTCAGCGCAGCAAACACAAGCACTCCTAGCGACCAGTATTCATCTATTATCTTGGCTATTTTATTGTTAAGATGGGCATAAGACAGAACGGGACAGGAGAACATACTGCTGTGAATCCCATTAAAACTACTAATTATGTATGCATGTATATATATGTATATATATATATACATCCACGATAAGTAGCTTTGCTGGGTTTAGTCAGTCTTCTCATTTGATAAAGAAGAAAGTATTGCTTTACAAGCCTATGAAAAGAGTGTTACGGTGATCTTTGACGTGGTGAGTATAGCAGGAGAAATTATATACCACTCTCATGGTTCTTCGTGTTTTGGAAGTGTAATGAATTACGTAAAAGTAGACTGAAGTCCCGACTGGTCCGATTCCTATACAAGACTTGGGACTTATATGTGACTGCCTACTGAACATTGCCAGGTGGCCATCTTCGGCTGTATGTATAGCTACATCGTTAATCATGAGACTCGAGAATACGAGCCGGTCTGATTTGGACGAGGAGAACCTAAGGATCCCTGCATTGCCTAATACTGGATTGTGTTTAGTATCTTTATAAGGGGTAGACTGCTTGACATACTTCAGATAACCTTATCCATGCACCATTAATCCAAGATGGAACGGCTGCAAATTACATTATTTCGAGTCCTGAAATCCCCACTCAAAGTACCCACGCGCACCTTCTGAATTTACCTAGCACCCCTGGTTGGTTCGGTTGACCAGGGTCTGCACTTTTCATTCATTCTCCTTTACGCGGCCACCTTGTTCAATCGTATAGGTCTTATAATTCCCCTACAACCGCTGTAGCAAGCCTTGCACTTGGTCGGCTGAGTATTTCTTTTATGTTCGAAGCATACCGCCACTCAGCCCTCCTGAACAAAAAGATGAGTATAAGCACGAATGTCATGGACTGACGGGGTGCCTATTTTCTCCAGAGTCACTTATGCCCGTGCTTTGCTGAAATAATGGTACAGAATGAAAAAAATGAATACCACCCTGCAGCTCAGAGCAACTGTTTGCATGCTAACTTTCAATTCACATCATGGCCTGACAGAAGATGATAAGCTACAAACATTATACAGGTTTCTCGCTATTACCGAGCAAGTGAAATTCATTATTAATGGGGTGTTGGTCATTCTAACATCTGTTTAGCATCTAGTTCTTTTGCTATAAGCCCCTCAGCTTGGTGCATTGTCTCTCCTTCAACATCCAGGAAAGGGAGATTGAAGAGCTCAATGTATTACAGACCCGACTATTACTTGCAGAATGAACCCTAGGGGAAAGTCGGACTCAATCGAATTGGAGACCATGCCGATGTAGAAAGAAGTAAGAAAGGCGGTTGGGTGGCCTGGCTAGCTTAGACATTATGCTTGCTAGCCGCTTGTATGCGTGGTCCTAACCCTCAAGCCAGCTTTCGCGTATCTGCTGATTTGTTTTGGACTCCACATAATCCCGAGATTTTTCATCGTTTAATTGAGTGTGTTTGGTTGGAAGGCCGCACCGATTCAATGGCGGTCGAGAAGTTCCGGCGAGTCCGATACGATCGTCAGTAGATCGCAATCGCTGCTGCTGTTGATGGGAGCGACCCATGATTGTTCTGAAGTATGTGTTTTTAGTCGGGAAGCTGAAAGTGAGGATGCAGTTGTCGGTACCATAGTTGGTAGGTACACCACTTTCCGTATCAAGGCTCGAGGCCTATAAATGAACTTACCGACAAGCTCCAACCGCTGTCCGATGGTACGCTGGTGTATCGCTGGTCCAGCTGCACCATTACTTTGTCGACATTGTCTGAGATTCTGAACTCTTATGCTCCAAGTGCCAGGCCGTGAATGCATTAAACAGCATCCAGGACTTCCTGTAATGGTCGTCTCGATCTACTTTTTCAAAGACGAATAAACCGGAGCCCACGATCATCTTATAGATTCAAGTTTCATGCAAGGGATGCTGTATATATGAATATTATTGAAACTATCCCCCTATCAAAGAAAGAATATGGTCGGGCCTCTGTATATATATCGTTGACTCAGGGTGTTACTGATATAACGTTTAGGCGCAAAACTGATTCGGGCGTTTCCAGACACAGGCAAGATCGCTGAAGGGGACAGTGTATTATTTTTCGGGGAATTGCCAGAACAAATCTCCTCACTTTTTTTACTTCTCACATTCTCTGCTTTGGGGAAGACGAGTGGGCGTCAGCAAAAATGATTTGAAGGCTGTGAACTGATTTCTTCTGTAGTTCTCGTCCTGGCTTGCTGGCTACGGTGACTTCTGCGAAATTCCGAATAAGGCTTGTTAAGAGCAGCAGAACCTTTCACCAGAATATTCACTGCCTTGCGAAGGTGGATAGCGGACGCGCATCTCGAATATATCGATCCGTCTACTCCCTGGCCTTCGCCCTCCTCCTTCGATCCCCGCCGTCCATCACACTTAGGGTCCGTTTTCCCCCACACACGCTCCCCTCCTGACGAAGCAAGCCATATGTGCCTGGATATAACGGGATCATTGTAGCTAATGAATAATATAAGTTACAGCCACATTGATGGTTTCCGGTCTTGTCAGGCTATTATCTCTTCATCTTCTGGTATACCCTTCAGCATTTTCCTTCCTCAATGGTCGGCGCTCCCATCACTCCTAGCTGGCTTGACACGCCGGGAGGACCAAGGTAACTCGAACTCTTGGCTGCATGGGATCAATCTTGAAGCCCATCTTCTGTCCAGTGAGAGTCGATGTAGACCGGATGGACTCCGTCTTCATCCAAAACCTCCCAATAAGTCCCCATGGCATGACCAACAACCAGGTCCACGTCCACACACAATTGGAAAATTCTATCCACAGGGAATTGATTGCCAAGGTTGCCCGGGAATACAAAGGTCGTGGCTGGCTGGCCACTTATACTCGAATTGTAAGTCGACCCCCGAGCCGAAGACAAATGCCCTCTTCCTTTTCCACCATATTTTAGTTAGGAGTGGGAGGGTTTTTATTACTGCGACAGTTGACTTATCTCCTTGCCCTTACCAGGCAGCCATGTGTGAGAGGTCCATCAATAACATTTCCGGCCGTGTTTTGTTGTAGGTCTCCCCTCTGAGGCATACAACGGTGTAAAGATCCTTGACCATGCAATTTGAATCTGTGGGCATCCCCAAGAACCGCTTCTGCATGAAAATACCTGGAACTGGCCCTGCACTGAGCATTTACCCTATATTACAGGCCAAAGGCATTCATACTATGGACACGGCTTGCTTCTTACTCGCCCATGTACCGACTAAGCAGGCTGCTTGTTTATCAGCTTTTTTCTTAAAGGTATGAATGTTACATCATCCCACTAGGAGTATGCGTTCGTGATCATGCAGATGCGTACGCAGAAGATTGGCCTAGCCCACTTCTTCTACAAGATTAAGGCGCAGGAGAGTGACCGTTGCAGCTTCGGAGAGGGGTCCGAGACCCCTAAGCCCGTGCTTCTAGCGTGCTCCCGCTTTGTAGGGCTGCGTACACAGGGCCTTGATAAGATCACTGCCCGCACGGATCTGGGGGCTACTACTGACTATGATTCACTCATATCAGACTCGCAGGCGATCCGCTACATCGCTGAACTCATACTGCAAACAGGCTTGCTCGGGCAGTTCAATCAAGTTGAGCTTGACCCTGACCCTGACCAAAGCCAGGAACACGTAGGCCTCAGGGCCATGCAGGTAGATAATGAAGACGCAGGATAGAAGGACCTATACACAGCTCGGATTAAGTAACCCGGAGAAGGTTGCGCATATTAAAGGGAACACGCATGTTGGAAGCGAGAACTTGGATAAAGAACGAAGAGAATGGACTCGCAGGCAGCTGGTTAGCCGGCTGCGCTATTTGTTTATTTCTATTTCTGTATGATGCGCTTTGCGTTTGTTGTTGAGTTATGTGAGCTACGGCGACGACCTTCCTACGTCGTGGCGTGCGTTGCTTTGTGAACCATATATTTAATACGAG